AACCTGACTTGTGGCGGACCAGTGGTCCTGGCACCGTCGCAGTTGATCCTCCCAGCACAGCTAAACGGAATCAGATAATGTGGGGAGGGAGAAGGGGTTCTCTCCCCCGTGTCTGTCTCTGGTTCTCTTAAGTTTGGGTGGTCTAAAATGATCACCGCGACACGAACCGCAAACATCTCTGGTGGTCGGACACAACGGCGTCCATGAGCCGTGGGTTTCGGGATGCACCCTTTTTTTCCAGCAGGGAGGAGGGAAGGCATGGCGAGAATGGGAAATGATGTGAATCTGCCGACCTTAAGGAAAGTTTGGCGCCACCTCGCTCCACTACCCAGAAAAAGTGTAACACACACACAACACGCACACATACAATCCTCGCTGGCATGGCTGAATATGTGCTATTGGGCTTTTTCGATTGCTTCCAAGGTCCAACCAACGTGGTGCTAAGCTTTATTTGTCGCTGACGCAATCACACCTGCAACGAGGGCTGTCCTGGACATGGACCGGAAGAAAGATCCTGGTCTGAGTTGTCTCTTGCATCTCCTGTCTCTCGTCTCTTGACTCACTGTGAAAAGTCTGAAGTGGTGACGATGCGAGAAAGAGGGGAGAGGAATGGCCCCGAAGAAAAACATCGCATACATCGGCATATTTTTTGGGTGTTGTTCTCTCGCCATGTCGGTCCATCTCGTGACTTTTTTTCGGTTTACTAGTAAGATAAAATATATCGTGGAGGCTGGGCGCGAAATGCGGTCTCTTCTGGTCCACTCGAAGTGCGCAGACCTGATGCTTCCCAGGCTGCCATGCTCCTTCCCCCCCTTCCTGGCCCTGGGCTCGTTCTGCTTTAGCGGGCCGGGTCTCGGCGGGCCGGCCAGGCGCGCGAGCCTCACCGTTTGGAAGCTCCTCTCTGGCTGGCTCACTCGATCAAGCCTTCCCTAACAGTTAAAGGGGTGGCCTGTGTTGCGGAGCCAAAGGGCCCCAAGAATCTGGTCAAGCGAGGTTCAGAACTGGCCACCGCTTCTGGTCGGCCCATCATGGCGCTCCGTATCTGCTTGTATAGGACATGATACCCAACCACCTTCTTTTGGCTGAAGAGGAAAAAAGAGAGGGAAAATATGGTCTTGTATTTTTTTTTAATTTTTTTTTGTATGCTCAGCATACTCCACGGGCAACGCGCAACCTGGGCGTGGGCCTGGGTGTGGGCGACATGCCATAAGATTTACTGTACTCTAATAGTACTACTGTCCTACTCTCGCTCTCGCCTGTAGCAGGAGGGGGAAACCACCATGGTCGCTGTACACAGTGGGTAACATAGGTTACCATACAAACCACGGAAGACGTAAGTGGTTCGGACCTGACCCTTGGTATGGAGACTGTGTGGGCTGAACGAGCCAGTGCAGTGCAGCAAATCTGCATGCACACGGTTTTACCGCCAATTGATCCATCCATCGCGTCTTGACCGCAAAGAGTAACACGAAGAAGACAAGTAAAAAAAAAAAAAGGATCAAAAATAGAAGAGGAAAAGGGACGGGCAGGGTACACGATGCGGTCAGTACGCACGTCAATGGTGTTCCCTTGCAGACTAACCAGTCTCCTGACACTGTTCCTGTATTCTGTATGCGATTTGTATGTTCCTGGTTTCCTCCTCTTCCTCCTCCACCACCACATCCTTGTGTTCCTTTTTTCCCTTCACGCTACGACGGCTCTCCGTCCTGAGCGTTCAAGGCGGAGCAGATAGAAAGTTGGGACGAGGTCAAAGACGTGCATGCATGCAACACATTCTCAGGCACCCTTTTTCCTTCTTTCTCTCCCTTCCCTTCTCATGTCCCGCTCTGCCGCGTGCACGAGCATCAAAATTGAATCTTTTTCCTGCTGGGTCTCGATAGATGACTGGTCCTTGTGCATGTACCATAGTACCTTACTCTATCTTCGTAGAACGCGTCCCCTTTCCCTTTCCCTCCCATCCCGTGTCGCCGGGGTACAAGGAAGGTACTATGGTACTAAATGGTAGTAAGAGAGGTGAGAGAGGGAAGCAAAGAGAGAAAGAGACTGGGGTTGCCTCAGTCTACAGGGGTAATTATCCTGTCTTCTGCTTGGCTGGGCAAGCTTCTCGTACATACATACTACAGTAGTACTGTACTATGTAGCAGTAGTGGCCTGCACGCCCTGTTCGTGCGCGACGCTGCTTTTTCGCGTTTGAAGGTATCTCTTGGCTGATGCCGCCACGGGGAGGGTACCTCCTTCCCCCCCGTCCCCGTCCCCCCCCTCACCTGCAAGCCCAGAAACCATCCTGGTCCCTGGTCCCTGGCACCTCAACCCGCTCCTGAACCTAACCACCCTTCCCCCCCCTGTCCACTACGTACCCATAGTGCTATAGTTACCACTGTACTGTGGTAAAATGGGCACGCCAGTCCCGCCTGCTGGGCACTGTGCCATGCGCCGCCAGGGCAAGGGACACCGCACCGTCTGGGCAGAGCAGCCCAGCGGCGACTCGAGCTGTATGGGGACATTCCCTGCAGTGAGAGGTGCAAGATTGGACCTCCTGTCCAATCCCTCTGCCGGTCGACGTCCCACCTCCTACACCTACACCTTCTGTCTACTGTGCAGGTTGCAGCTGCAAATATCTTCTCTCTCACCCCGTCCTCCACTACTCTCTCTCCTCCCCTCTCTCCTTTCCCCTTCGTCATCCGCCATTCATTCCATCCCCTCCACTCCTCTCTCTCACACACTTAATTCCTTCTAACCCGCCATCTTCTTTTTCTTCTTACCAAGGAGAATAGAAGGGAAGGAAAAGAGGAACATACCACACCCCAGCTGGGCAACGTCGACAGTCCTCCCCCCCCCCCCCCACACACGACCCAGACCCCCAGCAGCTGCTGCAGTTCCACGTCCACATCACAGGACCAGGACAGCCACAGCGAACAAGGTCCAAGAGTCCTTGCATTGCAGAAAGCGGATCGATCGAGCCCACATAGTTGGCAATCTTGGGAAACCACAAGTGGCATAAAAGAGGAATTGAACCCCCCTCTCTTATAAACCCCTTCCCGAGATTTCAATTCCGTGACTCCATCTTTTCCACATTCCAAACTCTGCTTAAGTGCAAACTTGGCGACCTCGATTCCACACCAACCATTTCCCACACTGGAATTCTTCGGCTCGACGACGAGGAATCTCCTTAATCTCTTCCAACCGCCCCCTCCCCCCTTTCCGATCCCTTCGTGCCGCCTCGACGACATCGAAGCTTCCCTACCGACCAACCCTCCTGTGTCTGTACACTCGTCCTATACCAGGAGGCAGGACCAACAGAACGAGAAGGTCACCACACACGATCAGCTTGAGGACGTAAAGGATTTTGATGCTTCACATGATTACGATCGTGGTGAGGCATTGGAGCTTTTCCAGGTGTTGAGAGAGGAAGAAGGTATGTCACCACGTCATCCGTTGGATGTCTGAACGACCCACATGGCCAAGTCAGAGGCAACGTGCCTTGCCGTCTGTCCCTAGCCCTGGCATTGTTCAATTGCATGACTTGTAGGCTCATCAGACACGATGATGGTCTACATGCTCGTGCACCTCCCTTCTCCAGAGGAGCTTCCAGCTCATGCCAGACGCGCAGGGCGCTACGGGCGCTTGATGACAATCATTCATCTAGAACCCTTATTCTGACTGGTGGCGTAATTCAATTTACAGGTACATGCCTGAGGGCTACCTTATCATCATCGACCTGATCAAGCCCATTCCATCTTCGACTTGAGGCTTCGCGTCTAGTGGGAAACGTTAACTCGTCGCTCCCGCCTCGATCCTCAGGAATTGTACAATCTTGTCTGCCGTGCCAAGACAATCCCCTGTGGCGGTAAGGAATCTCCTCTCCTCCCCACTCTCATCCCCTCGTCACAGTTCGAATTCCACTTCCTGAAAGGGAAGAGGGAACAAATTACATCTCGTTGTGACCGCGTCGCCGGGCCTGGCTCTGGTTACAGAGACAGATAGGGGGAAGAGCATCGAAAGTAGCCTGCTCCAGGGCGCCTTGAGTGAGGCCCCGGGCCCCTCCCGTTCAGTCAAGTCACCAATTGCCCAGACCAGGAAAGCTTCTACAGCAGCCCCCCAATGCCAACATTGTGTATGTGTGTCTTTCGATGGAGGCATTACTGTTCAAATTATGTGTGGGAACTTCGTTCCCCGCGTGTTGGCAGCCTGGCCACTGACTACACCTGGCACACTGGCACGCCTCGAAGAGCGAACGAATCATGAAAAAAAGATTTGGCCGAGGCCGAGAAATGAGAAAAGAACACGCTCCCTTCCCTTTGCTCTGCTTCCCTTCGAACAATCGTGGGAGGCATGCTTGAGCCGTCTTGAGCGATTCTTGATTGAGAGATCTTGTCTTGATTCACCCCTGAAAGATGAGAACTTGAGAGAACTCGAGGCTGATCAGACCCATGTCGGTTCAATTAGAGCCGTTGCAGTTTGCAGCTTGCAGGCACAGTCCACCTTTGCCAAGCGACAGACAATTATCCACTTTTAAAAGCGGCCTGTGCTCCCGGCCACCCATTCAATTCCCATTCATTTACCCGTCTCAACCACTGTTCACCGTGGCTCCTCTCTCCAACTCCTTCATCCCGTTTTCTCATCTTTTCCATCACACTCTTTTTTTTTGGCATCCGCCATCGTCACTCATTAAACCCCCCCAATCCAACTCAAGACGTTCATTCTCTCTTGTTATACAGCAACATTATTTGTTGATCACCAACACTTTCTTTAATTAATACTAATAACAGTCGACCTTCGTTTAGATTGTCCGGCTCAACAAGACACCACTCACTTTTACTGCCTATTGTTTCTTCACCTTGCGGTTCCGCCGTACTTAATTTCACACTCTCTAGCCGACGATAACAACAACCAGAGCGAAGCTTCCTGGGGAAACTTGCACACGGACATCTCTCGTCAACATCTTTTTCCCGACCTCTCGATTCCCTCACAAAACGAACGACAAAATGGCATCCCAATCAATGCAGGTTGAGGAGGTCTTCGAGTCCGACTACCAGAGGCCTAACCCGTTCTCGGCCGAGAGCGCCAGAAACGCTGTCCACGCCAGGAGATGGGATGCAAAGGTCGACAGGCAGATCACAATCGCCAATGAGCTTTCGAGGCTAGTCAGCGATGAGTATCTTGAAGATATCATGCAGCACGCCCGTGCCATGGAGGTGAGTCTCCACCTTCCAACCCCCCTTCCCCAGATCGCCCTTCTTCTCGTATATCGAGAAACATGACTGATGAACAATGGCCTTGGCAGGATGAGACATTACCCGATGCCAACCTCATCGACATGCAGCGCGAGATCCAGTGGTTCATGCGGCCCTACCTGATCGACTTCCTGATCGAGGCACATGCCGCCTTTTCGCTCCTGCGGGAGACGCTGTTCCTGACCATCAACCTGCTCGACCGATACTGCTCAAAGCGTGTCGTCTACAAGCAGCACTACCAGCTGGTCGGCTGTGCAGCGCTGTTGATCGCTGCCAAGTATGGCGACAAGAAGGACCGGGTGCCTCAGATCAACGAGCTGAACAATATGTGCTGTGGTCTCTACGACGCCGGCATGTTCACTCAGATGGAGATGCACGTTCTCAACACCCTCGAGTGGAACATCGGCCACCCTACGGTCGACTTCTTTCAGTCCATCATCTGGGCTGACGAGCAGGACGACCGCGAGGTTCGCGACATGACGGCCTACATCTGCGAGATTGCCCTGTACCACCGTGACTTCGTGTCCACCAAGCCCTCGACCATGGCTCGGGCCTCCCACGCCCTGGCACGGGCGATCCTGTCCCGGCCCGAGGTCAATGATGGCGAGTGGGACCGTGATGCTCGGGACACGCTGCTGACGCTGTCGCAACATCTGCACCAGCCATCAGTTACGCTGTCGCGCAAGTACTCGTCGAACCACTTCTCGCGCGTCTCCACCAAGCTCGCCGAGTTCCTGGCCAAGCAGGCCAGCATCGCCAAGCCTCAGGTCAAGGGCCCAGCCACGCCTCCTGCCGAGTACAGCCCCTCGAACCCGACTGCGAACATCTACAGCACCCCTCACAAGGGCCACGGCTCCGCCCCAGGTGCTGCCGATGGATACATGACACCACCTATCACACCCGACGGTGCCTCCTTCGGCGTCAACGGCCAGAGCGGCGACTCGTACGCTCAGCTGCCGTCTAGATGTCCAGTGACGCCCACACCCCCGCAAGCCGGCTTCTCCAGACCCCAACAAGGCGTATCACAGTTTGTGAGCTACTTCGAGGGCCAGCACAGCAGCGCCGTGGCAAGTCACCCATAATAGACTCGCCGGCGGCACCGGCTTCAGGATGGATTTTCTTCTCTTCATTGTACCATTTCCCCTCGTCCCACGTCGACCGACGGACAACGGGTGTTGTTGCATCTTCTTTCCCACAACCAACCAACTTCAAACAACGACGAGACATTTCGAGTGTATCATTCTATCGGAGACGGACCCACACAAAAAAGATTGCATCTGGTTATCAGCGATCATGGCATTTAGCGAGTTTTGGTTTGGCCTCCTTGCACATTTCTACTTTTCCGTGTTTAAAAGAATTTCGCTTCGATTCGGCATGTCCAGAAATATTTTGACACTACACTCGGCCTGCCTCACACTCGGGGTTCTTGTCAGGCAGGCTGTTATACCCAAACCCCCCGAACCATTTCACACAAAAAAGATCAAATCGTCAACCCAAAAAAAAAAAAAAATGGCCTTGTTACCCGTACAAAAAGAACGAGACTTCTGAACATTGTGGACGAAATGTCACATGATTATCTTTGTGGAGGACAACTTTTTTGAGGGACCTCGAAGAGGGTACGAGGACCTCTCCAACCCAGCACACGCTGCGCGCAGATCGGATTGCAAATGTGGAAGTTAATATTACGGGTGGCATTTATCAGGAGAGAGAACAGGGGCAGCTTGGTCGGCGCGGCGGTCAACAATCATATTCTTCATATCCAGATTTTGCTCCGTTTGTTCCGACCCGGCACGACGAGTCACGCGAGGATCAGAGAAGCCACACACAAACATGGCTCTGAACACGTCTTCGGTGTCTTGGGCCCTGGTGGGTCGGATGGCCCAGTGCGGACACAGGAACAGATTGCTGCAACTGGTCCTGGAGAAGCAAATATTTTTCCTTTTTCCTTTTATTTTTTCTATCTTATTTCCTGTGTAAAAAGGGGCGCGAGAAGGAACATTTTGGAAGGGGGACATCGAAACAAAGGCGCGATGTTCTTGGATCACTTGGCAGCCATTAAAACCAAAACACCGTACCAGAGCTCCCCGGACCCTTCGAAACGGGTCCACCATCGCAAATATGGCTGGATGATGGGGATTCTTCCCTCGTATGAACAGCGGAAGGATTGCCTGTGATCGCCATATTCAACCACTAAATAGAAAAGAAAAAAAAAATTGAACAAAAGTGGATCGACAGAATTGTGTTTCTTTGTGTACATTTATCATTGTGTCTGTGTGTCTGCGTAACCAGAGAGAGGTTGTGTGTGCGTGCGTGTGTGAAGAAACCGAGGGTGCTCGTGCTTGCCTTACTGCCTCGGTCTGTACTCTTCTCATCAGGTTTCACTCGACTGCCGGGTGATTTCTCTCTCCCCCCGGTCCTTTCTCCTTCTGTGTTTGCTCAATCTTGGTGTCCTGGGATACGGAGATTTGGCACGGATCTCATGGAGTCGAGATGGCGTAGCACATCCCAATTATAGCTTTCCCTGCCTTGTCTGTACTTCCCGAGTGCGATTGATTGACTGGACCCGCTCGCGACGTCTGGGCTGGGACGGCGGTGGATTGCGTGCAAGTCTTTGACCATGCCATACAATTCTGCATTTCTCTTCTCTGTTTTCCCTCTCTCTCTCCCCCCCCCCCCCCTTCTCTCTTCTTTTTGCAGGGATCAAGCACGTGGGTTTGAGCTGCAGATGAATATGCAAGGAAACAGAAAAGAAGCCCTTGTCATCATTCTGTCTCCCCACCCCTTGCCCTCCTTGTTTTGTTCTGGAAGGGAAGGGAGGGGGAGAGAGAGAGAGAGAGAGAGAGAGAGAGAAGTGAGAGTCAGGGGGAGGTAAGGTAGCAGGCCAGGGCTGAAAGGGGCTAAGGGTGGGTGGGTGGGTTATCATCCATTTCTCATTCCCGAGTTGCTGGGTTCGTCTTCTTTTTTGCTTTTGGGGATTCCGCCTTCCCCGAGATCCTTTACCTTCCCGATCGGGACAGACCTGGTTGGTTTTTGGCCGTTTGATTGGTTGCCTTGGAGGGATGAGCGGGGGGTGGGCCATGCATAGTAGCGTTATGGCCCAGCTGGTTGGGAATTTTAGTTTAATAAATCAATTTCATGATTGTCAATTTTTTTTTTACTGTACAGTACAGGCTAGTCAGTTCATGCTTTATGTTTTGTCTCTTCCCCTCGAATTCACAAACCCATTCACTGTCTCTCCCATGGCAAGGTTCACTTCAACCGAGAACTTTCCTGTGCCGACCCCCTTCGTCGCCACCGTTGAAAACGAAGACAGAGGTGGAAAGAGCACAGAAGGAAAAGGCGGAGAAAGTTGATCAAGAGAGATGAGATGAGGCTTGGAGACCGCACGGGGTTTCGGGCCCCCCCTGAACTGAACAAACGGTGGCTGGGCGGCCCTCCCGGAGAGATTTTTCTGGAGACGCGCCATGGTTTGGCGGGTGGCTCCCTCTCCAGTGCAGCCCTTTCATTCCGGAACCGTTGACACACAGAATCGGCCGTTGGGAGCTTTCCCCCCCCCCCCCCCTTGGCTTAGATCGTCGGCGGAAGGTTCTTGCGTTTTGTGTGTATTGTAGGTAGCATGGAGGTGTTGTCGCCCTCTTGCAACCATCGTGAGGTTTTTCTCTCTTCTTCTTTTTCCTTTTCTTTCTTGTCTTTCTTGTTTTCTCCGTAAGGGGCTGGCTAGCGAGGGTTGTTGTCGCAGACGAGAATAGCTTAGACGATATTGCTGTAACTCGGCAATTCTCTCTTCTTGTTTTCTATATTCTGGCGAGATGATGCGGCGGAAGGGGGCCACATTGGAACCCCTTACCCCCTCGCCTCCAGCTCTCCGAGACCTTCCTTCGCCCCCCCCCCCCTCCCCCTTCTTTGGAGACTGAGTCTGGATCTGAATTTGATGCTATTCAGGAGAAACTGCGGAACAGGGTGAGGATGCCTCATCAGCGGAGGTGCGGCAGCTGGTGGCGTTCAGGTGTCGTTTTGATGGGGTTTGGACTATGCGTGGATTGTGACTCTGTGTATGTTCTTTCTGTGCCCGCTTACCTATATGTGTGTATAACCATACATATATGCATGTATGTATTTATGCAGAGGATAGCTTGATGGGTCCGATTGGAAAGTTTCTTCAGCTACCTCGGCAGAGAGACGATGGCTGCTTGGTGAGTTATGGCATAAGTTTAAAGGTCTGAGGTATGTCAATGTCCAGTGCCTGGTCTGGAATGATTCACGGGTTGTTCAACATTGTCTCATATCATCCTTTGTATACTTTGCTGGCTTTTTCTTTGTCATTCCTCCCTTCCTTCATTGCCTAGTAGCCCTTTCAACTTCAAAAGTCGTCTCATTCCTTAGTTGAGATGCTTGCTCGCGATGATCCAACTACAAATCACTGATGTCTCAGAATCAGGATCATGTCATGCAATATACACATTTGTGTGACTTGACAGAATAGCCAGGAAAATTGTCTACATATCACTTTGATACTACTTTAATGACAAAATCTATCAAACAATCCTCGCCCAAGCGAATGTCAATCTCTATATTCCTTCCGTGAGGGAAACTCTCCAATCACGCTGCCGTCTTCCTCAGCCAATATCAGATTCGTTTTGATATCCCGCCCGTCCCTGCTCACGATATCCTCATCAATCAACATCCTGCCTTCCTCCATCTCTGACTCAAACGTCACCCTCCGCAGGCCCAAGACCGCCCCGCCGAACTTGGAGATTGTCCTTCTCTGCTTCCGTCTGAGCTTTTGCTCCATCGTCAGAGGGTGATCGACTGGGTCGTACCGCATGGCCCCAGGCATGTTCCGACTGCCCAGCACGTCATGTCTCTCCTGGCCCAGCGCCATCTGGCCGGTCCCGGGGGCGGAGGCGAGGTAGTATGCCAGGAAGGGAAGCATGCCAGACAACCTCTCCGAGGTGAAGGCGCCGTAGGGAGGGGGCTTGATGTCCGAGGGGAGCTTGAGGACGCGCGTGGGATGGAAGTGGGCGGCCGCGGACCAAGGCGCAGGAGGCTTCGTGGTGGTGGTGAAGGAAGAAGGGGATGAGGCGTGGAGATCCAGGCCGCCGAGGAGCTCGAAGCAGTATCCTGTGCTGGTCTTGGCTGCCACGGAGCAGATGTCGACAACGGTGGCGGCGATCATTTCGTCCTCGTTGAAGCCGAGGAGTTTGAAGTCGTCGTGGAGCAGGACGGGCAGCTCGGCACCGCTGTCTAGTAATGTGTCGAACACGATGATGGGATGGTCGCCTTCGGCGTGGTGACCTGCGTCCTGCTCCTCCGTGTTGCTGTTGCTGTTGCTGTTGCTGTTGCTTTGATTGTCGTCGGCTTTGGTTGAAGGAGAAGTTGACGTCTGGTTGTCTCGCCTGTCCGATTCTTCAACCACCACATGGTTTTCGTCCATGTGCTCTCGCTTCCTCTTTACTCCTGTACCAACAGGTGCTTCCACCTGTGCCTTCCGCAACCGACATCTGAGTCGATCATCCCTTCGAAAGCCCATGGGGATCTTGTAGTGGCAGGCATCGTCACGATACTTGACACTACTGTCTTCCACACTTCTGAAGCTGCTCTCGCCTCTATCCAGCTTGAGAATCGTGCCCCTCTTGGCCAACACCTGCCCGGCCCCTCTGGCAAGCGGTGGCTCCCACCACAGATATCCTGGACCGTAATGCGCCAAATACATATCCAATCTCTCCTGCCTATCCGCTGTAAACTCGGCATAGCTTCTGCACGTTGTGTCCACAATCCGCCCAGCGTATATGAGAGTGTACCTTTCTGAGAACCCAATCTCTCCCGTACCATACCCAGACAAGGCAGCCATGATATTAACCCGCATAGGTTCGCGCCCTCCTCCTACTCTAGCTCCTGCTTCTACCTCAGCCAACGTCGTGCGCAGCAGTGCAGTGCGGGCCTCGATACACTCCCTCTGGTATGACGCCAGTTGGCCCCGCGGAACCATGTCCTCCTGGCGATCACGCATGCACAGCTCCTCGTAGGCCCTCCTGGCCTCTGCCAGGCTCCTCTCAACCGTGGGCAAGGCGTGCGGGCTGTGGAGGCGGTGGTACTCGTGGATGTGTTGCCATTGTAGCATGTGGCGCCGGGCTGCTTCCTTGGGGCTTAGATTGCTTGCGTCGATGGATCCTATAGCCAGGGACGGTCTCCATTCGGGGTCTTCTGGTTGTTCTGGTTCTTGTGCTTGTGCTGTTTCAAGAGACGAGGGCCCTGCTGCTCCTTCTGGTGTTGGTGATCCGTCGGGTGAGTTTGTGGCCAGTGATGGCGAGTCTTCTTCCTCGGCCGGTCCAGACAAAGGATGTACACTTCTCGTCCATGCGCTTCTGCGCGGTGTCGTGGCCATCACCTCGGAATTTGCTGAAAAGGCAGCTCGCGCTGCCTCTTGCTGTTGATTGGCATCTGTCAGGGCGGGAAATTGATCGGATCGTGCACCTTGCCCAACACCTGCTGCTGCTGCCGCTGAAGAAGAAGAAGAAGAAGAAGGAAGAATGCCGTCTGCTTCTTCCTGCCAAATATCACTACCTGGCGGTTCCGTGTTGCGCTGTCCAAGTCCTGCAGGCGTACTTGACTGAAGGCTTGAGGCCAACGGTCTTATTCCGTGTGCACCATCACGGGGTTGGTCTTGAGGGCTTGACATGATTGACTGTCACCTAGACCAGGCAAAGAAGAGGTTTGATTACGGCAGGACTTACATCAAGCAGGTGTCGTGTAGTAGAGGCACGTATAGGAAAACAAAAATCGACAGAGATCGCGACTGACCGACTAGGTTTCCCGTGGGATCCCATCTAAACTGCATTCATCATGATTGCACAAAATCTCGTGAGCGAACATCCCTGCCCCCCCTTTCAAGACAAAGGCAACGATAGCTTTCTCCCTCTTCTCGCCCGAGATGACGCTCTTTTTCTTTCAGGTTTCTTGCTGGTCGGTGCAGGCGTTGAAGGCCCGCGTGTATTCCGAAGTCCTTTGTGGTTTGTTCAGCGCCTTTCCCGGAAGCGTCAAACCGGCGCGCACTTTGTTCCAATCCTCTTCATTGTTGACTCGTTCTTTGTTATTGATCACAGCAATGCAGATAGGATTAATATGATTTCTCCGAAAATGGATGTACTTTTTGCTGGGTAAAGATGTTTACAGAACCTAGTCAAGAAATGCACCTGGCTGGTTGACTTGATTTTCCTTTTCGCTTTTTCCTTTCTATTTGACGCATGTGAGACAGAAAGACAGGGCCATTGTCCTGATAGACTTAGACAACAAATGATTGACCTTGTATTTTGAGGACCACCCCCCCTTATTCTTCTTTGCACCCTTCTGTTTTTGCTCATGAATTCTTCTCGCCTCCTTTTAGCTCCCACACTCTGCTTCTTCCTCACGATCTAGATTTGGCAAGTCTCCTCACTATAATATTGAGTTCTCTCTCGGAGTGATTAGACGCCGACAACTGGAAGCATTCTCACTTGCTCCAGGCGCGGCAATTCGCCGTGCGCAATACTCTGCAACCACCATGTCCCAGCAAGAACAAGACCTCAGACCGCTGGACGCGGCGTTCATCCAGCATCTGAGAGAATCCTACCCGCGGGCCTCGAACCGCGCCAGGATCTACTGGGAAGATTTCTTCGCAGCTACTCCAGGCCTCACCCCGGAAGAACGAGCCGCAGCGCTCGCGAACAGGTTCGCCACCGGCGTGTGGGATGATGAGACGTGGCAGGTGACTGACCCGGTAATTCGGGAGGTTTTTGAAGGGTATGATCGGACGAGGAGTGTGGACGTGCCTCCGCGCACACCTCGGATTAGATCTTCTCGTCGTGGTGATGATGAAGAAGAAGAAGAAGAAGAAGAAGAAGAAGAAGAAGAAGAGGAGGAGATCCTTGGTGAGGCTGGGCCTTCAACAGCTGCACAGGGTCGACAAGAATCAGAAGATGAGGACCAAGAGGAGGGGGACACTGGTCTTCCTACTCCTGAGACTCTTCGTCGACGTGGCCGGTCACCTCCTATTAGTAGCCCGCAGACACCGACACATGGTCTAGTACGGTTGATCACACTTCATATTTGTTTATTTAGCTCTTGTAACAAAAGAATCAACACTAATGTGATTAACTATTGCAGCACGTGGAAAGCACCAGCCCTCCCGATCTTCCCACGCCCGGAACCACCCCAGGAACAACCCGCTACGACGAAAGACCAGACACGGACGAGGACCTAAGCGACACCCAGGTGGAATCTGCCCTCCCACCATTTCCACCCTCCTCACAAGGCTCTACCCGCCCTCCTCCCGGCCCAGACACACAAGACATGCGAAATTCTCACAGCTTCCGGACCCAGCGCCAACCTCCCATCGCCACGCGTGCCCTGCAGCTCCTCAACTGGGCGCGCGACGAGGACATCGACCGCCGTCGTGATTTCCAGCGCGAGCTGGACGAGGGCGAGGCGTGGGTGGACGAGCAGCTGCGGAGGAGAGGGGAGCGGAATCTGGGCGCGAACACGGTTGCTTTGTTGAGGAGGGCCAAGGAGGCGATCTTGGTCCATAGACTCTTCCAGCGGTTTCATGAGGGAAGTTTTTTCTTTCGACGTGGTTTGGACGTGGGGAGTTTGCCCAAGTATAAGGAGAGGCTTCGGTACTCGTATGATCATCCTCTGCAGCTGGGCTACTCGACGCCTGCGACTAGAGCCTCGAGGTTGCTTCCTCGCGTCGTTGTCACCGATAGAGAATTTCCAGCCAGACCGGTCAACGAGATGTGGCGGACGGACCGCGAGGCTGCGCTGCCCTTTGATCCGGCCCTGCCTGATGCGCGCCACGATGCCATCAGATCCCTCGCAGCCGCCGAGGACGCCTGGTGGGATGCTGCGTTGACGTCGTCAGGAGAAGAGCAGCAGACCAGGCTCAACAACGCCTCCATGATGGAGAATTGGTACTACGAACAATGCATCGCGCAGGATGGTGTCGGGTTTCAGGGTTGGGTGCACTGGAAGAATAATGATGATGACCAGAATGGCGAAGACGACGAGGAGCGCAGGGTTCTCTGGAATGGGGACATACCTCTGGACGACCCGGCTCGGTTTGCTGCGGAGAGAGGATCTCGTCGTGCTGGCCTCCAGGCTGCGTTGAGACAATTTTCTAGTGATGAGAACCAGCGAGTTGCCGAGCAAGACGAGGACAGGATGGTCACGCTGCCACCTGAGCCTCTGGACCTGGAAGAGGTTAGGAAAAAGGCGGGCATCGGCAGAGGACGTCCTCTGAAACTGGCCCAGTTGCAGGCTGGACAGATGGGAAGGACGGATGGCAAGGCGGATCCGCAGGGGTTTATTGCCAACATGAACCAGTTCTGGGCGTGGTATCGAGGCCACATGGAGTCGGCACGTGCTGCTGTCATCGCCAGACACATGAGAAGAGGGTCTTTTGCTGATACTGGGGGGATTCAACAACAGCAACAGACAAGAAGAAGACGACAGCCAGGGACGACACCATTCGTGCTGCCTCCTCATTCTCTCTGGGGTCCATATGTCTGGAGAGGGGTCGAGGCCAACAAACAGATCCAGCAGGACACATTGAGGCAGATGAAGGGATTGAAGGCACTCTTTGACCGCGAGCAGCACATTGCGCCTCGAAGGTTGCTTGCAGAGATGGAGAATTGGTACCAGCAGGGTCTTCGAGACACCCAGAACCGTCCTCGTCTGCACCGGCACAGAGACCTGGAAAGAAACAGCGCTGTGGTTTCTACTGGTCAAAATTTGGAGGAGCGGACAGAGCGCTGTCTGGATCAGGTCGAGATGGAATGGATCCGTTTCCTCCTCAACCAGTCCATGAATGCTGAGATGCTGCACGACCTGCAGCCTCGCACGGCTCTGTTTGTTGTCTTTGCCGAGAGGCTGAACCGGATCTTCGAGGACCCGGCTGACCCTCTGTTTCCAGACAGGGCAACATCTGTCAGCATTGAGGCGCTCATCGACCACATGGCTAAGATGGACGGGCCCGTGAACAAGACCAAGTTCTATCCATACGACGTCAAGATGTGGCTGGAACGGCTCGCTGCGCAGGGCCGGTGCACCTATATCGAGGACTGGCGCACGTATGGGAGAGTCTCTCGACCGAGACTGGAGTATTTTCCAGAGCAGCTCATCATCTGGAGGCAGCGGAGCGAAGACGAGCTGGACTTTGAGCAGTTTCCCGAGGACGTGGCGTTGGCACCTCGCTTCACGGACCGTCGCACATGGCAAGATCTCATCCGGCAACAACAAGAGGACGACGCCGGTATGCTGCTCGATCGCAACGTCGCCAACTACTTCCACTGCCTCGCCTACAGATGGGGCTGTGCCGTCCGCACCCTACAGGCAGAAGAGGACAACGGCTGGCCCTCCAACAACAACAACAGCAACCAAGCGGAGCCCACCATGGCCGACATGCAGCTCACCCTGACCGAGTTTGGCGAGGAATTCCGCAGCCAGACAGGGGACGACTTTGTCGAGAGCGACAGCCCCCTCAACGACCTCTGGCGAAGCACCCTGAACAAGGGCGACGAGGTAGCCATCACCCAGACCGCCGCCCTCGATGCCATCCGCAGGGGCATCATCGACGAGTGCGTCCAGAACAACAGCATGCTGTACCCAGGCCGCACGACAGACTACACCAACCCCCGAGCCCCCAGGACGCGCGAGCCGCTCTGGGACTGGGCCAGGCCTGCGGTGCGCGGCAAGGTCAAGAGGTTCTTTGGTCTGGACCGCTGGCCTGTGCAGCTGCAGAGCGCAGAGAGGCAGGCCCGGATCCGGCGTGATGTGGATGTCGACCCGCAGCAGATCTGGGATCCGATATTGGAGGATCCTACGCCCTGGACGTATTATCGGCCCAAGGCGAGGCCGTTTGGGGAGGAGAGGGTCAAGGTGAGGTCGGGCCATAGGATCTTTCCTATTGGTGATACGGCTAGGCAGAGGGAGGTGGTGAAGAATCATATTATGGGCGTGATGGCGCAAGGTAAATCATGGGATCTTCTCTTCATTTTTCTTCTTCTTCTTTCCATTCTCACTCCTTCGCATGATGTTATCGATCATTAATGAGGAATACTCTGGATACTGACGTTTTGACCAACAGCCATGGGCATGCAGCCTGACGGTACTATACCTGGTGAAGATGGCGAGGATGGTGGAGACAATGATGATCAAGATGACGATGATGCACGCCCTCCTCGGCCGAGTCTGTTCTCCAGGCTCACCAGCTTCCTCGGCCTCAAGCGACGAAGGTCTGACGAGGATGAGGAAGAGGACATTGCCCCCGTGCCCAAGCTGCCGCGCGTGGACCGGGCTTTGGTCCCCAAGAGTTATGGTGATCCGGTTGGTCAAGATGAGGCAGTCTCGCCCGACGCAAACGTGGGTGAGGCCACGGAAAATCCATCATGGAGGGCGCAGTCGGGGGGACTGGGAGGGGTTTCGTTGTTTGAGTCGGAGAGTAGAGAAGCTAGTGTGCTTGTGGCGTGATTTGCTAATTGCCTTTGTTGTTACGTTAATTACATACGGTAGATGGTCTGCGCTAATGGTCAATGATAATCCAGTATAGTCTAAGAAAACTCCATTATATCTCTGGCTTCGTTGAAGCCTGCTGAGTTGATTAGAGTATGTATTGTGAGGATATTGTGTGGCTTCCTAGGAGGCATGAACTATGGCCAGCATGTGTGAATTTGTTCACATCTGTAGATTAGTCGAATTCTCATTAGACTGTATCTTGAGTTCGGTTGATCATACTGGGAAGTAACTGAAATCTATCTATATTGATCTCACTCTCAAAGTAACACTGCCGACACGTTTCCGCAGCGATGATGCAGTAGATGGTGATTTACCATTTGATAGCCCACAGGGGAAAGAATGGACGGGGATTGATTGCCATGGCACGCTCATACGATATTACATTGTAAATGTAGTAAATTGTGCGGGGTCATCAAAAACTTCTATGGACGGATAATACGGATGGATGATAAACTGGGATTATAATATCTGTGTCACAAGGTTTCTGTCACAGTAGAAGAAATCCACAGTAGTACTATTATCTTATGCTATAGAAGATAGATAACCAGCCAAACGCCGGATCGGCGATATCACTTGGTGCCGGAAAGGGGGGGGGGGGTCCCCTAATCCACAACCTGGTCTTAGGGAGCGAGTCGCCATCATGCCATGCATCAATCAAAAAGAGGAAATGATGTGATCTGCATGCAATGGGCAGCAGATAAGATTCCCCAACGGAGGATCAAATCGGCTTAAAGTCTGGGTGGGGGTTAACCCAATGTATCGACCTTCTCCAACGTTACGTTCAACCACACCCCTCCTACCTTCGACACTTTTTGTCCTTTCGCGTCAGTACTGCAATGGTGTCGTCAGCTCTCAGAAACTCGTCGTGCGTGGCTGTTCATTAATATCATCGCCGTCATCAACCAATCATTCATCCGTCATGTCTGATATTGAAAAGTCCGTCGAGGCACCGCCTCCCCCCGCCAGCGACCCCGAGAAGGCCAGCACCTCGGCCGGCGCCACTGACGAAAAAGTCGGCCATGTGGTCCTTAAACACGCTGATCGCAACGATGCAGACGAGGCGCTTAAGGTGCTGGAGGCAGAAAACGGCGAGGTCATCGAGCTGACGCCCGAGGAGGAGCGCAAGCTCCTCCGCAAGATCGACCTCCACCTCATGCCACTCCTGTGTCTGGTCTACGGCCTCAACTACCTGGACAAAACGACTGTATCGTACAGCAGTATTATGGGATTTAAAACGGACATTGGACTCGTGGGTCAACAGTACAGCTGGATCGGCAGCATGTTCTACTTTGGTTACCTCTTCTGGGAATATCCAACCAACCGCCTCCTGCAGCGGCTTCCCCTGGGCAAATATTCGAGCCTGAACGTTATTGCCTGGGGCTTAATCCTCGCATGCATGGCTGCCACCAAAAACTTTGCTGGAGCCATGACGGTGCGCTTCTTCTTGGGCGTATTTGAGTCCGCCGTCACACCTGGGTTTGCCCTCTTCACCTCTCAGTGGTACACCATCAAGGAGCAGGGCGCCAGGACGGGTATATGGTTTAGCTTCAACGGCTGGGGCCAGATTCTCGGCGGATTCGTGGCTTATGGCATCGCCGTAGGCACGACCAAGCACCCCGTCGCCATCGAGTCCTGGCAGCTCCTATTTCTGGTCATCGGTCTGTTCACCTCTTTCATCGGCTGCATTTTCTTCTTCGTCATGCCCGATAACCAGATGAACGCTCGGTTTCTGACGCCGAGGGAGAGGATCCTCGCCGTGGAACGCATCCGGATCAACCAGCAGGGCGTCGGAAACAAGCACTTCAAATCCTATCAGTTCAAGGAGGCCCTCACCGACCCTATGATCTGGGCCTTTGTCTTTTACAGCTTTGTCGCTGATATTCCCAACGGCGGCATCTCCAACTTCTTTAGCCAGTTGATTGTGTCTTTTGGCTTCTCCAACGAACAATCTCTGCTGTTGGGAACCCCCGGCGGGGCTGTTGAGGTATGCTTTGCTTCTCTTTCTTCTTCCGGCGATAAAAAGTTTACTACGATGCTTCAATGCATGTGCTGACATTTGTCCTCGAAAAAAGGTCATCACGCTGGTTGCAGCGGGTATCATTGGCGACAGATGGGGCAACCGCCTCCTGGTCTCTTCGGGAGGTCTGATACTAGCCATCATCGGCATGCTCCTGATTGCCTGCCTCGACGACAACCACAGCGTCGGCAAGCTCATCGGCTACTACCTGACGCAGGCCTCAGCGACACCCTTTGTGGCCCTGCTCTCTCTCATCTCGACCAACGTCGCAGGCTGGACCAAGAAGACCACAGTGGCCGCCATGTACCTCATCGGCTACTGCGTGGGCAACATCATCGGGCCCCAGGTCTTCCAGGCCAAGGATGCGCCCGAGTACAGGCCGGCCGAGATCACCATTGTGGTGTGCTGGGTGCTTGCCCTGCTGGATATCCTGTTCATCTACTTTTGGTGCCGGCGCCAGAACAAGAAGAAGGCCGAGGCTCGGGCGCAGCCTGGCTATGTGAAGCTGGAGGGGCAGGAGTTCTTTGATCTGACGGATAAGGAGAACCCTGAGTTCATCTATAGCCTGTAGGCTGGGGGATGCAAACATATATTAATGCAGATGGGCTGCGATGTAACCAGGCAAAATCGGAACTTGCAGTACTATTCACTTCTCTTCCCCTTGTGAAGCATATCTCTGCGAAGCTGTGAAGTTTTGCTAGGCGAAGCAATAAATAAAAGTTTGGCTAAGCAAAGTAATAAATAAAAGTTCTGCTAAGCAAAGCAACGAACAAAAGATTTGCTTAGCAAAGCAATGAATGAAAATTTAGCTAGGCAAAGCAGGTTAAAAGGTTTCCCAAAGTCTGTATCTAGCTCACAATGACCTGCTCTTCCCCCTCCTTGAGCCCCCCCCCCCCACAGCGCTACACATGCCCCCAGTCTTTGTGAATAGCCTCAGTAGTGCTTTCTCCTCTTTTTTATTCTCTCTCTTTCTTTGTTTCTTTCTCTTTTACCTTCTCCTCCTTCTCCTCCTTTCTTTCTTTCTTTCAATTTGATTATCCTGAATAGTCAAGCTTCCGTTCGGTTGTTCTGCCGCAATAAGCTTTGGGCCTATCATTTCTGTGGTGTTTTCGACGCCAGTAAGGAGAGCCCGAAACGTTTAAGGTTTCTTCCTAGAGGTCATTCATTTACTTACTGCGACCAATCTTTGCATACAGGGCAGCTGTGTGAGCGGCTGCATTTTAATCGGTGTTTCGACACTGATTATAGAGTTGGCTCGCTAGAACAGGCTTGCGGCCTGCCTCGCCTCTATTACCTGGTCATCAAATAGAAGTATTACAAAATAACACAGAATACATTCTTCTTGAGTTATTTGGTCCCATTCTCTTCCAAGATTCACTTTGATAGTCCCGTGAACGCAACTGTCCTCAATGTATCTCCGCATACTCATTCAATGCATCGTGGACCGCTCCCCAGAGCCCATCATGCCAACCTTTCAGCTCCTGCCACTCCGGCAACACCTCCTTAAACATCGCAAGCCACCCGCCCACGATGAAATCCGCATACATGGGCACCGCGCCCTCGAGAAACGGCCCTTCGTCCCGCCTGACGTACAGCTTAGCCACCTCGCGCATGGTGGTCTCGAAGCTCTTGAGGACCGCCGCTCGGGCCTCGCCCTCGACGCACAGCTCGTCCCAGCTCGTCCTCCCAGCGCGCCTGCAGAACTCTGCCTTGGATATCGCAGCCGTCTCAGGGTTGAACGGCATGCTCTGCGAGCCGAGCACCACGTGGTCTGTAAAGACCTTGTCGATGTATGTGTTGAAGGCCCGTTGGAGGGCGACGGTGGACGGCGGGAAGAGGACGGGCTCGCCGTCCCTGCTGGGGTATTGTCTGTCGAGGTAGACGGCAATGTCAAACGAGTCCCCCACCGTCTTGTCAGTGGCGTGGTCCACGACCACGGGCAGTGTGTAGAAGTCGCCGTCGTCGATCCAGTGCTTGCGCACGGGAGCGGCGCCCAGGCTCTTGCGGACCTCGGTCACCTCGGGGAGGTCGACCCATTCCGTCTTGTACTCGACGCCATTGTGACGGTGCTTGAAGTTCAAGGCGTATCTGGCGAGTGATTATTGAGCTAATTGTTCATTTTGCCTTGGATGCTCGGCTAGGGTGTACCTTGTTTTCCATGGGTTTGGGGCATAGGTGCGCGTAGGCGGGCCTGACGCGATATCGTAAAAGGTGAGCGAAGGTGTCGACATTTTGTTTTTTAAAATCTATATATGTGTATGAATGTTTCGTTCCTTCCAGTGTTGATAGTCACGGAGTTGGAGATGTAGTGGGAGATTGATATGTTTGAGAATGTCTGTTCGGGTGCGTGTCTTAAATAGAGCTGGACGAAGATAAACTACACGCATACACGCCTCTACAGTAGAATGAATGTACTACTAGTAGATCATAGTTGCTCTGGTTTCACTCAGAATGACTCATGATGAGCTTTTGTCTCTCCGTCCATAGTCAGACCATATTTCGTGTAATGATTCTGGTATTCTCAGCCTCAAATAACTGAGCAAAAGATTTCCAAGACATCGCAGTGAGGCTCTGAACAATGTTGTCGATTTGCATTCAAAATATTTCACTGCACGTCGAGGTCAGTTCGGGTATGTCGTCTGCGTGGGCTGCTTGGCCGTTTTATCAACGTTCGAGGCTGCGCAGAACCTAGAAAGCCTCCGGTCGGACTTGGCCCAAAGGCACACTCGTGGCAAGATCGCAACCGGACTATTCACGCGAATATTACCCCTTAACGCCCAGTGACCCCTAAGGCCCGGCACCGGGTCGTCCGGGGCGGGGTTTTGTAAAGGCGGAAGAGTGGAGACAACCCGCTCCGGGCCGGTGGTCGCGCCTGGCGGTGACGGTATTGTGGATCCCAGAGGGGCCGAAGACGGAGCCAAGTCATGCCAATGTGTGCCACTGAAGGTCTCGTCAAAGTTTTTTGGAGCCGGAAATAAAACAATGGGCACCTGCTCGAGCGTTGGATGATGCGAAATTCCTGGATCCTGACTCGTTTCTTCTTTCTGTCTCCTTTTTCTTTCTCCTTCTTCATCTCCCCCGTTCCGTAATAGCGGTCAGAAGAAGACACTGCTGCAGTGGTACTAGAATCCCTTTTTCGATTTCAACCAACATTGAACTCTCTCATACCAAAACTAACTTCCCCCTTTTTGTTTCCCTTTATTCTGGTCCCAATTCACTGACCATGGCTGGGCGCCAGATCTCCCATCATTCGCTTGAAACTGGTGATCTAGAAAAGAATCAACATCATGACACTTCTGGCTTAGATCACGACGAGTCTTCTGCTGAGGAGCACTCCGACCACGACGATGGCTCTTCGCACGCAAGGGAAGACCATCATGATGACAACATTGAGGATCCTATACGCCTGACGCAGCCAATCACCCACCAGGGAACAAGAGCTTCTAGAAGGTCTGCAAGCAATGTTCTGACTGCTGTTGTCTCTCGTGTAACAACCCGAGGGTGGCCGGAGCCTCCTCCTCCCCCCGATGGTGGATTAAAGGCTTGGACACAGGTAGCTTGTGTGCGTATACTTCGTTGTTAGACACAATATAGATGCCAATTGATCTATTCGAGAAGTTCATCTCATGCTAATGTTATAAATAGGGATGGTGAGGAAATCCCACCCATCAAAAAGAGCCCTTCCCTTCCCCCAGCCCGTGCCTTCCTGTCCTTTTCACAAGATGACGATGATTGCCTCTCTTCTAAATGTGGCCTCGGCCTTGATACAACCACCATCTCGTGCAACATTTTCGCAGCACATGCTCTCTACGCTGATCTCTTTGATCGTTCTACTGACACACGATGTACTTGATTTCTTTCAGGTTGGCTATAGCATCGACTTGGGGATATTTAAACTCATTTGGCAGCTTTCAAACTTATTACGAAACTTCGATGCCCGACTTGGCCCCATCTACCATCTCCTGGATTGGCTCCCTGCAGATCTGGTTCACCATGGTCGGCGGCATCTTCACAGGACGTCTGCTGGACGCTGGGTATTTTGTTCCTACCTTTTTTGTCGGTGCGGTCCTTCAGGTGCTGGGCTTATTCCTCATAAGCATCTGCACGAAATACTGGCAGCTTATGCTGACGCAGGGCATCCTCACCGGCGTGGGAGGCGGCATTTTCTTCACACCGGCCTTGGCACTGGTGGCAACTGTAAGTAATCATACAACAACGCAGTTGCTCTCTGATTAGTTGGGGGACGGGACTGAGTGGTTGGCTGATGGAAAACAACCTCCCCCAAACACAGTACTTTGAAAAGAGACGCGGACTCGCCATGGGACTCGTCACTACTGGAAACTCGGCTGGTGGCATGATCTATCCTATCGTTGTCAGACAGCTGCTTCCCAAAGTAAGTCTATTTGCCATCCATTTGTCTTGACTTGCTCTTGATTCGAGAGAACTCCGCGCGTCCACGTCATGAAAGCTGACCTGACTACCTCTTCAATCAAAGCTCGGATTCGCCTGGACGACAAGAGTGCTCGGATTCATCAACCTCGGCGCCCTCACAGTCTGTGTGGCTCTCATGCGCCCACGTCTGCCACCCAGAAAATCAGGCCCCATGATCGACTGGTCGGCTTTCCGAGACCCGGTTTGGAACACGTTTATCGCGGGCTGGTGGCTGATCATGTGGGCAAACTACTACACATTCTACTACGTACGTCTGCTCTTCTTCCCCTTTGTTAGACCAGAAGGGCGATCCGTGCATTCTTGAAAAGGGGCGTGGTGGGTACTTACAAACTTAGATCGCCTCCTATGGGGCTGATGTCCTCGGCCTATCCTACTCTTCGGCCTCCATCCTCATTATCGTTGTGAACGGCGCAGGCCTCCCCTTCCGGGTTCTTGTGCCCTTGTTCTCCGACCGCTTCGGTCCTCTCAATGTCTTACTCCCCGTCACCTCCATCTGGGCCATTATTGCCTTTTGCTGGCTGGCTGTATCCAGCGTACCGGGCTATTACGTCTGGACCGCTTTTTACGGCGCCGTCTCCGCTTCCTTCCAGTGCCTTCTCCCCACCACGGTGGCGAGCATCACACCTCGGCTGGACAAGGTGGGCACGAGGATGGGGATTGCATTCTTTCTCGTTGCGTTCTCTTCAATGACAGGCCCCCCAGTCGGGGGCGCACTGCAGACGGCGGATGGAGGTGGTTATACCGGGGCGCAGGCCTGGGCGGCGAGTGTGACACTAGTTGGGTGTTTTTTGTGTTTTGTTGCTCGATGGTATAGGGCTGGAGGGTTTGATCCTAAATTCAAGTGTTGATTGGTCTGTTTTTACATCGAGGGCTTGTGGATTTGAGGGCGGGTGAACATAATTGCAACGACGTCGACGATGGACATAACACTTGATGACTGGCAATATTGTGCCGACTTGATGTTGATCAAAATTCTGGTCCATGACCTTCTAGAACTTAAGTATTTTTACTGCACTACAACAACAGCAGGGTTAGGGTTTTGAGTGTAAAGTGGGAACGAGACCACGTAACCCCCCCTGGACGTCACCCAACATCTTCAAAACCTCCTGAACCAGGAGAGCCTACCATAAGCCCATTCTCATCCAATGCAGGCGAGACATGGGCAGGTAGTCGCACGTTGACTCACCAAAATTCGTTGGACGCACACAGCCTCCCTTTCTTCTTCCTTCTTTTCTTTCATTACAGTATCAATTTTTGTATGGCTGTCACTTGGCGGCCTCGAGGAGGCCTTGGCGGCCTGTCGAGTCTCTCCTCAGTTCTTGTCCTTGTGCTCGCCTTCCTGGCTGTCATCGCACAGGCTGAGCTGGATAGTGCTGGCGATAATGGACAAAAACCCATCGTATCTGATCAAGACAATGACGACGCAGCAGCAGCAGCAGCAGCAGCAGCAGCCACAGCCACCCGCCAGTTTCCCTCGCTGCCGGTGCTGGGATACGTAACGCCGTGGAACCCGCGTGGGAAGCAGCTGGTGGAAGACCACCGCCAGAAATTCGACATAGTCAGCCCTGTCTGGTACACCATCCACGCGGTCGGAGATGGCTACGAGATCCAGGGCGCCCCGCCAGGCCCTGAAGATGACGAGTGGTACAGAAGGCTGCAAAAACCCGCCGCCACGTCAGACGGGACAGACGCAAAGCCGCTGCAGGTCGCACCGAGGTTCATCGTGGACGGCTGGGGCGACGGCGACTACCGGCAGTTCATCTTCAACGAGACGCGGTGGCAGATGCTGGCGGACACGGTCATGACCGTGGTGCGCGAGATGGCCTTTGACGGCGTGGTGTTCGAGTCAGGCGCCACGCACGCCTTGCCACAGTCGCTCACCAGGCTCTCCGAGGCCCTGCGCGCCGACGGCAAGATCCTCGTCGTGGTCATGCAGCCTCTCCGCCCGCTCGGGGACAGGTCTGACGAGCTCTCGGGCAAAAGGGCCGAGCTGATCGAGGCCACCAACAGCATGATCCTCGAGAACCTGCCGCAGCTGGCGCTCGTGGCCGACTACTTCAGCATCATGACCTACGACATGACAGGGCCGGGCGGGCGCGAGATCAGCAGGGACGCCATCGGTGGGGAGGGCAAGCTGGCGCAGGCGGCTGCCAAGGGGAACGTGCGCGAGCCTGGCCCGAACACGAGCGCTCAGTGGGTGCGCGAGAACCTGATCACGTTCATCGAGGTCACCGCCGCGCATGCCGCCAGCGGCGCAGACGTCAACAGCCAGCAGGGGTTCCAGGCTAGTCTCGAGGCCCAGCAGGCGTCTCGCAAGTTCCTCATGGGCGCGCCCCTCTACGGGTACAGATACCCCGTCATGTATGCCGACAGGACCTCGGGCCGGTTTGTCGAGCCCACCCCCGTCGATCCCATGCCGGACAGGCCCCTCATCACGGGTGCGGCCGCGCCAAAAGTCCGCAAGAAGGTCCCAGAGGGCGCGATGGCGATTCTCAGCCGTGGAGGCGAGGCCATCACCGCGCAGGAGATTGTCAACATCATCAGGGATAACAAGCCTGAGGCAGTCAGGCTGGAGCCCGAAGGGGAGTATTATTTTGACTATGAGGAGAAGGTCGGCGCAGGGTTCTTTCGGGTCTTTTTGCCGACCAAGGAGAGCATAGGCCATGTGCTGGACACCATCAAGGATGTGACGGAGGATGATCTCATTGGCTCGTTTGGGGGTGCCGGCATTGCGTTCTGGGAGGTTGGGCAGAGCTCCGAGGGGCTGCTGGCTGCGTTGTAAAAGTGAAATGAAAAAAGAAAGAAAAAAAAATAGACAAACCGAGACAACGTGTGGCAAGCGTTGTTGACATGAAAAAGGGGACGACGACCCTTTTCTTGGACAAACATATGAGGCCGTGTTGTTTCTATGATTCGGCGCCGTCTTCTCTTGGCATCAGTCAAGTCACGGAAGCTTTTTGTACAAAACACAGTCACTGTGACAGCTGAGCTATATTTCACAGACACTACCATAAATATCAGACCCAACAATATAAATCAGCCTTTAGATATTCAATTAATAAATGACCCCTCTGCTATGGACCTCTGCAAACTTGTTCACGTGTCAAAGACTGGCCATCCTGTCGATTTTCAGAGTTCACCCCCGCCGTCGCTACATCTAGCACGCATGATTGGGGGACAAATTAGGCCGAGATGGAGCCACTGGGATAGAGGCATGAGAGGCTTCTGATTCATCCGCACTCAGTTTAAGCACAACATAAGATTCGAATGACTTTTATTACTTCACGCGTACATGTCAGCCTTGCACAGAAAGAGCCCTGTGAGACTGTATCTTCACTCATCCTTCTCTTTTTCCTTTCCTTTCCTTTCCTTTCCCTTCGAGGACCAAACACCTTCGACTCTCCCTCCCCAAACGCATTGAACCCTCAAAATGTCCGCCGACCCACTCGTCTTCCATAACCCCATCCTAAAAGGCTTCAACCCAGACCCAACCATCTGCGTCGTGCCCGCCACACCCGACGGCCGCCACCCGACCACCTATTTCCTCAGCACCTCGACCTTTGAGTACTTCCCAGGCTGCGCCATCTACACGTCCACAGACCTGCTGCGCTGGCGGCTCATCGGCCATGCCCTGACCAGGCGGAGCCAGGTCGAGATGCGGACGGTCGAGCCTGGGGCGGGGAGCTGGGCGAGCACGCTGAGGTATCGGGCTGAGGAGGGGCGGTGGTATCTGGCGAATTGTTTGTTTCAGAGGTATCGGCCTGGTAGTGATGTGAGTACATTACTTTGTTTTCCTTCTCCTTTCTTTCTCATCGGAACATGAGGGTGAAATGACAGATGGAGGTGGCACTTGAGTATCAGCTGGTGCTGCTGCTACTGTGCGGCCATGCTGAGCAAGGCTTTGGAGAGCGTGTAAGAAAATTACAATGTTATACATTCCATATAATCTTACCATTTTCTTTTCTTCTTTTCTCTTTTCCAGGAACGCATATTTCCTCGCGGCTTCTACGTCTACACAGACAACATCTGGGATGAGAAAGCCTGGTCGGATCCAGTATATTTCGACAACCCAGGCTTTGACCAAGACGTATGTGAACTTCCCCCATCACACTACTCACTCGGCTTTATAATAAACTCTCATGATGTCTTTTCTTCCCAGCTCTTCTGGGATGACGACGGCAAGGTCTACCTCTCCACCACCATGCGCCTAGCCCGCCGTCCCCCCAACTCTACCCAAAAGGACTTCGCAATCCATATTTCCGAAATCCATCTCCCCACAGGCCGCACCCTCACCGCTCCCGCCGTGATCCGCAGCTCCCCGCACGGCATAGCGGAGGGCTCGCACATCATCAGGCGCGGCGGGTGGTACTATCTTTTCACAGCCGAGGGCGGCACGGAAGCTGGGCATCAGGAGTGGGTGTTTCGGAGCAAAGATGGGGTGTATGGCCCCTGGGAGGAGCAAGGAAGGCCGCTGTGGTATAATGGGCCGGATGAGGTAGTGCAGAGGACCGGACATGCGGATGTGTTTGAGGATGGGGAGGGGAGGTGGTGGGCTGTTTTGCTTGGAGTGAGGCCGCTCCGGGTGGAGGATGATGAGGGAGGGGGGAGGTGGTTGGAGCCGCAGCTTGGTAAGTCTCGAACCTTTGATGTGTGTGTGCATGTCTCTTTTTTTTCCTGTGGGAGATAGAGAAAAAGATAAAAAAAAAAGCATTTGCTGATCTGGAGGAGGATAGGAAGGGAGACATTCTTAGTCAAGGTTGATTGGGTCGATGACTGGCCTGTCTTCAATGAGGGCAAGAACATCACGCTCCTGACACGGGGACGAGAGAATGTCGCCAAGCCCAAGATCGATGAAGTCTTGTCCGAGCAGAAGGAAGAGAACCCGGTGTGGACAGCTGATCTGAGCAAGCCAGAGCTGGAACTTGGCTGGTACCAGAAGAGTGAGTTGAATGTCCAGTTCATGACCCTTTTTGTTTTCGTTTATATTTTCGTTTTATTTATTCATTTTTGGTCTTTTAATCTCACCACAAACACGCTGAACATATTCGTCCACCCACAGACACACCCCTCAAACAATCCTACTCCCTCAACGACCGGCCAGGCCACCTCCGCCTCCACGGAAACTGCCACGACCTCTCCAGCCCCGAGGCCCCTACGATGCTCCTGCGAAAACAAACTGCCTACACTCAGACCTTTCAGGCGACGATGGGCTTCAGCCCTTCCAAACTTGGCTATGAGGCCGGCGTCGTGCTCTGGTGGAGCCAGTTCTCGTACGCCACCGTCGGTGTGACGCTGGTCGAGCTGCCTGATGGCGAAAAGGTGCAGACGATTGTGCGGCGGAGCCCAGGGGGGCGAGCAGGTGTGATTCATGTGAGTAGTCTCGTGTCTGATGAGAGCGGAAGTGGGGAGAAACAGGGCAAAAAAAAAAAAAAAAAAAAAAAAAAGAAGAGGGAACAATGGGGAGAAAAAGCACAATCATTCTTTCAAGCTTACTTACGTGAGAGAACCCAAAACGCAGGTCTCGTACCCATTTTTATCACCACAAAATGTACCGAAGCGGGTAGAAAAACTGCTCTCCCAAGAGACCTTTACGCTCAGCGTGTGCTGTGAGCATGAAAAGTACACGCTAGGGATCCGCCAGGGCCCAGAAGAGGATTATGGTACTTGTCGGGCTGATGCGCTGACCGTCATGCCGCCTGTCGGCGGCGCTTTTACGGGGGTCCTGTTTGGCCTCTATTCGTTTGGGAGGGGGGAACCTGTTCTGGATCCTGCTGACTTTGCTGAAATCCGTGTCTCGGAGCACGCGAGAGAGTAGTCTTGGAAAGGATTGTGTGTTGGCAGTAGTGGTGGGTCGGTATTTTTGATAACGTGGAACAGGAGGACGATGACGGACGGATGCATCTCGCCCTGTCGTGTTTTGAGTCTGACTGTACTACATATGTAGGTGGTTCCGATCTGAAAGAAAAGCAAAGAAGAAGAGACAAACAACCAAGTGTACACTGTATCATGGACTTTGTTTGCTAAACTACCACTCTGACAAATGCGACTTTCACCTATGAATAGATAATTCAGATGATGAGCCCATCTGCTACTCACAGGCTTCTGAGCAGACACGAATTGGAACATTGGCGAGAAACGGGTATCACCCAAGAGGCCAGACCATACAGATGACTTGATTTCCCCGGACCCCAACTCTGCAGGGTGAGAAGGCCCCTTGCCCACTTCTCTTATCCGACTCGCATGAGGCTTGCAGCGGCATGCATTGCAACTGTGGTGAATATTGAAATTATAGTAGGAGCAGTAAAATGATACCGTAGTATTATTATAGTCATCTGTCGTAAACAGAACGAACAGATTGGGATCTGGTATAAGATCTCGGCTGTCCAGCGGTGGCGTCTTGTACTATCTCATACGGATAATCAGCAACAAAAAGAAAAGGTCGAGACCTTTCCGATTGTGGATTATCCAGACTCTCCCCTCAAAGATCTACATTGTTGTAGTACCCTTTTTTGTTCTTTGTATGCACACCCATCCATTCATAGCAATCCGTCTTGTTTGTCTCATTCCCTATTCCATCCAGGCCAACACTCGGATTGCCCTTTTGAGCATCCCGAGGGACCCACTGCCCCGCCCCCGGATTCTGCACGCATGCGTTCGCCTTTCCCCACATACTTACAACACCACCTTCGAAAAGGGTCCAAGAAAAGGTGACGGCCACCCGGGAATGGGTTGGTGTGGTGGGTGCCCATGGTCTCGTGTGGATGATGCATGACCGGCATCTGAGTGAAGTTTGTCAAGCGAACCTTGGAAAAGGCAAAGGAAACCGGAGGTCATGGACCCTGCACCAGAGGGAAGGCCAATGACAAGAAAGGGCTAGATATGACAGGTCAAGCGAGCGCCACCACACCCACAGCTTATGGTTCTCGCCGATGTTGCAGTGCATTGGAACATCCGCCCCAACGGCGCCCAGAACGCTGACCTAGAGTCTCGGAGTCGACACCGATATCTTCGGTCTACTACTGGCTATGAGGTGGCGGCGGGGTGGAGGGGAGGGGGACCATCGCAAGGACCTCACCATTCTGGGCCAAGGATAAGGAGCAGAAGAAGGAAAAGGACAAGGAGAAAGAGGAGAATGTGAGCTAGCAGGAACGAGCCAGGGCGAGATTGCTCCGGCAGTGACGACGGATCTTCGTGAAAGGGGAAATGCCCGTTCATTCAGGGCAAGCGCTACAAAGACTTGTTCCCGCCCAGAAGGAGCGATCGTGTAGCTAGCTAGCTTTTGTTTTATACGTCAGAGTCTGACATTTTCTTGTTATTTCCGTCGCTCGCGTCTGTCCTGTCCCCTTCCTCCTCGTAGTTGCCAAAAATCTGACTCGAGAGCAGAATATCTTCCAATCCCAAAACTTGCCTTTGCTCTCATCGTGTTTTACACACGTAGAAACAGAAAAGTCCAGGCCAGAACACCGTTACAATGGCACGAGTGGCAGCTAGCACCTCAACCCTGAGGATCATCACCACCGCCACCACCACCACCAACTCCTCGCGGCTCCTCACAAGGATTCCATTGATGGGTCGCTTCATGGCACCCAGTATTGGCCGGGCTACTCGGAGCACACTGGCCCCCCAGGCTAGGAAATTCCACAGTACACCTGCACGGCTTGATGGCTTCACCCTCAAGGACAATACCGGCCGCCTTCCTGAGTTCAGCCTCAAGGACAAAGTCATCATCGTATCCGGCGCAGGGAGAGGTCTCGGCCTCGTACAAAGCGAGGCCCTCCTGGAAGCCGGTGCCAAGGTCTATGCCATCGACCGCCTCGAGAAGCCGGACCCGGACTTCGCCAGGGTGCAGGCGCGCGCCGAGGAGCTTGGCACGAGCCTTACGTTCCAGCGTCTCGACGTCCGGGACAACATATCGCTCAACGCCACGGTCCAGAAGATTGCTGACGACAATGGCCGCATCGACGGGCTGCTGGCATGCGCGGGTATCCAGCAGGAGACGTCCGCCCTGGAGTACACGATGGAGGATGCTGATAAGATGTTTGGTGTTAACATCACCGGTGTCTTCATGACTGCACAAGCTGTGGCTAGGCAGATGCGAAGGCTGGACCGGCCCGGCAGTATGGTGCTCATTGCGAGTATGAGCGGCCATGTTGCGAACAAAGGGCTCATCTGCCCGTAAGTTGAAACCTCCTCCTATCATCTCTGGCTACGCCGTGCTTCCTCTGCCTTTTTTTTTTTTTTTTTTTTTTTTGTTTTTGTTTTTTGTGCATCGGACTGACTCGAGACAGTGCATACAATGCATCCAAGGCCGGTGTGCTCCAGCTGGGAAGAAACCTAGCTGCAGAATGGGGATTGCACGGTATTCGCGTGAATACCATATCGCCAGGTTATATTGTCACTGCAATGACAGCCCCTCTCTTTAAGCAATATCCTGACCGGAAAGAGAATTGGCCCAAGCAGAACATGCTGGGAAGGCTGAGTTACCCTGAAGAGTACCGGGGTGCAGCTGTTTTTCTCTTGAGCGATGCCTCGAGCTTTATGACGGGATCTGACTTGCGGATGGATGGAGGGCACTGCGCCTGGTGATTTGTGTTGCTATATTCCTGTTTTGCTCGTTCTTTTGGATAGGCGTAGGATGGCTCAGCTTTTGATAAGACTCGTAGGTAGAATCAAATCTAGTTCGGCTTCTGAACATCAACGACTTGGAGAAAGAGATATTGTGGTTCATGTAAAATGTCGATAACGGCAGTCGAGATCAGTTTCCCGACGGTCGACCATTTTTCTGCCATGTGTGTTTCGCGATAGCCCGTGGTAGGTAACCCCTGACTACGTCCAGGTCCGATCTCAGGCATAACACCCCCTTTAGGCGAGTCCCTTGGGAAGTCTCGTCGAATTTCCCCTGGAATAAAATGTAGACATCGAACCGTGGTTGGGCAATCTTTCTCAAACACGTTCAGGGGACGGCGCCTCCAGCTGGCCGGTAAAGCCCCTTCGGCCCCAGCCGACTGACCACCCCTTTCTTCAGGTTGAGTCTGTGCTCGATCTGCTCATCGCTGGCGCCCCTCTCCTTCATGACGAGGACATCGCGGATCATGCCAGCATAGAGGAACCGCCTGCCCTGCCCGCCTGCTATGCCCAGGTTCTCGAATTCTTCCTCGGCTTCCTCCGCCAGTCGTCTCCTGGCCTCCAAGGCGGACAGTACAGCATTGTTGGATGCCGCAGGGAATATAGGGCCGCTATGTCGCGTCTCTTGCAGAGGCGAGGACACTAGTGATGCTTTGGAGGAAGGGGAGTAGGTGGGGTTTGGCTGGACTACGCCTATCTCTCGGAGGCGCTCCGCGAGATCCGGTTGAATCGTGGCGTCTGGAGGGGCCGTCTGTGGATCGGAACCGTCTTCGCGTATTGCTGGGGTCGGGAAATCAGAGTCAGTCCACCTTTTCCGCGCAATCTGCCCCAGACTATTTGTTGGGGAGAAGAAGGAGAAAGAAAAAGAAGAAAAAAAAGGGGGGGGGGGGCGGAGGGCTTCGGAGTAACACACAGTCGCTCTTGGAGAAACTCGCCGCGGGCGCGCCTCTCTCGCTCCACGAGAGCTGTTCCGAAATTGCAGCCGCCCTCTGATTTGCCGCTCTCTCTGCAGCCAGCTTCTCTGCAGCCGTCTTCTCTGCAGCCATCTTTTGCGCTGCCGCTCTGGCAGGGGCGCCAGGTGCAGGTGCTTGTGGTGGCAAGGCTGATCCGGTAGCTCGACTGGGGAACTTGCGGACGCTGCTTTGCGCAGCTGTTTTGGATGCGCCGGATCCCATTGCGAGTGTGGATTGTCTGAGGAAAGACTGTTGAAGCACGGCGAATGGAAGGGAAGTTTATTATAAGTTGAAAACGTCTGGGAAGACCACAGCGTTCGGCGTCTGTGAGCAGTGCATCATCGATCTGGGGAAGAATTTCTTGTAGCGAATGAACGGCTGTGTGATGACGAACATTTACCTCGAGCTCGAGCTACCATCCCTGCTGCATTGTCCGTAGCCCTAACCCTGGGCGTATTGCTAGGTGCCACAGGTCCTGGAAGATATCACTTTGAATAAAGTTTTTGTGGTCGGATTGTTTATCAACTTAGAAGTCTTTGTTATTATTCTTATCTTGACCAAGAATAAGTGCAATATTATACATATGATGAATTCCTTGTATTTGCGAGACTCACAACATAGGCCTGTGTGAAAAAGACTCCAGTATATGGGGACAGGGTGTGCTCAAATGAGTGAGACTCTCAGTGGCATTCTGCGTCTTTCTAAAATCCAAGAGATGTGTCAGAGTCTACAAAGCACCAAATTGGGAAGCAATCATTATGAATCTGTTTATATATCAATATTTCATCCTCTGTAGATCCACTCGCCTTCACACTATTATTATCTATCAGAGATCGGTTGCGTGATGATCAACAAGTTCCAGATCGTGAGCCGGGGCCATAACTCTATCTCGGATCCCAGCCAGTGATCAACACAATCGAAAGCTTACTTAGCAAACCCAGGTGATGATCATCTGAGACTATGATATATAGAGCACAATATAGGTCGTGCCAACTTCATTCACAAAGAGTCTTCCTTGTGTCAGCCTAATACTGAATATTGCATATCTTGAAATCGTGGTACTGGGATTGTCATTGCTCACCCATCCCGAAATGCTTTACTGCAAGACGACGATATACCATTGGAAAATCCGATCAACTGGTTACACAAATGAGCTCGTTTCGCTCATCCTTCTGGGACGGTTTGGGACTTCGCATGATGAGCTATAGAGAGAGGCTGTAGCATTTCCTTGACAACCCTACTTCGGCGATGTGTCCGACGTGAACACCGGTTGCCACTGTATGTAATCATCGGATCGGGCATAGGTTGCGACTCTTACTACTGGTTATGTTGTGATTGGGGGAGGGGGAGGGGGACAATGTTTTCACAGAGTTGCATGTTTGGGTTTACGAGGCATGCGCCTCCTTGAAGCCTGGATCTGTGGGCCAACGCAGGGAAATGATGGTATCTGGAGAGGGAATTAACGCGTATACTATGATACAGCTCGGTGCAGCTATTGACAAGCTGAAGTGATGTGGACATAAGCCACCATTTACCAGAGCCAGACATATCTTCAGAGCGCCCACTGGCTTGTTGCAACAACTCATGTGCTTGGGCGAGCAGGAGAAGACAGACCACGACCTTGGGCTGTCCTGCCCGGAATTTTTCGCCCGCGGGAGAATGTGGTCTCGATGAATTGAGCCTCACGATTGGATAGCTCGGCTTGTCCGACTAAAGTTGTAACATGTGTAGTTGCATCGCGAGTCATTGCGATGGTTCCGTGATCCCCGTGGCCCACTCACTCGGTTATCGCCAGCCATCATCGGATCTAACACAGACGTGCTGGCCCTTGCCACGAGCTACCGTTGTAATCTTGGATACGTTTGGAAGAGACTTGTTTTTGTTTTCTGTTCCAACCTTCAGAAAGTTGGTCAAAAGAAAATTGGTAGCCAAGAATGGGAAGAAAAGGTCAACGCCACATGAACGACATGACCTTACAGGGGGTTTGTGGGGCAGCAAAATAATCTCGACGTGACGAGGTTTCCTGCCAGCTTCGAGACGAGTTGCGATTTACCTAGACTACAATAGTAAGAACAAGTTTCTACACAGCAATCTTATGACTCCTGTCGGCGAGTCAAAGTTAGTTATCCAATACCCAGGGCCAGACCGACCGGCTCTAATATGCTGTGTACATGCCTGGTATGAGACCAAACGGCGAGCCGGGAAGCAAAGGTTACGAGGCAGAATCATGGAAACCCTCCCCCCCTCCCCCCCTCCCCCCCTTCCCCCCAGACATTGTTGCGGCCGAAGAGGTCGGAAGAAAGTGAATCTTGAGAGATCTCCGAACCACAAATTAGAGTTTGAATCCCGGAGAGATGAGCACACCATCTTCTCCACACCCAGTACTTGGACAAGCGGATGCGATCTATTAAACCGTCCATGCTTCTCTGCGTCTAAGGCGGTGCATCAGTCGAATAACATCCGGTCTCGTCTTGGCTGAAGCATGCCGATATGATGCCGCGAAACACTCGGCACCTGAGCTTCGCTACTTAGTCCTTTCTCAGCGCCATGGGCTGTTCAGTTTGGAATGGTTCAATTCATGATTACTCGTGCATGGAAACCACCGTCCGATGATGGAGATCCTTCTGCTTTCTAGAAGGTGCCCCGGTACTGGTGCCATCTCATGTGGAACCCATCAGCCCGGCGCACAGAGATGTGAGACCGGATCTTTTGCCTTGTTGCACTGTTGCGTTCAAGTCTGGAGACTGACGGCATGGCATTCGTTTTCGTATTATGAGCAACACATGACTATCCCCTTCGAAAATTTCTTTTCCTTCTTCGCCAGCCTCCGTATTGCTTGCTGATCAAGCAGCTCTGCGGTCAATATTACACAGCTCGGAGCTAACATACAGGACTGAAACTATTCTTTTGATAGTCACTCCCCAGAACAGAGCAGAGCTGTGGACTAAGTAAATCGTAGAAATGAGACTGGCTGATTCATGAACCCCTGCGTCCTGGTCCCTGGTTTGAAGTTGATGACAGGGCATGCCTAGACCCCAAACTTGTTCGCACAGGCCCCTTACGGACTTGATCCATGGATATTCCCCTATTGACATGCCCCTTGACTATGAGACGCGCATACCCAGAACACCTGATCAAACTTCATTGCAATCTGCCCTGTTGCTGTCGGTGAAAGAGCCTATATTTAGATATAGCACTGGAGACATGGACTCGAAACTGGCTCTGATCAGCCAACATCTCCCACTTTTCCATGTCCTGTGTCTTGCATATAGACAACCATATAATCACATGCTATTATTCGTTCGATGCGAACCATATCTTGTATATGTTAGTCACGGTCGACGATGTAATTGCCTTTCAAAAATTGAATGAGACGGACAAGAATGGCCATGTTGCTTGCCAATTGTTGACAAGATCAAACCATTGCGCATGGCCATGCGAGAAGCTCAGCTAACCCCTTTTCTACAGACTTGATATGGCTAGCAATTCATAAGCGTCTTGCTTCTACCAGAAAAAATCCCTCTTTTCTCGATACACATGTCATGCACACGAGTTACTCCACAGTACCTGATACCAAGAAGAACCAGGGTTCGGTCATATAGCGACTTACAGTAGAGTTTCACGCGCAGGTCTCCAGATCAGACCACCTCCTTCAATCTACAAAGTTCCCATCTCGTCGACATTGTGCACTCACCTTTTGTCCTTTTTTAAATAAGTTCAACTTCCATCACCACTCTTATTGTCTCGAGGAAGTCTCCTTTCTGCTCGGTCCTGCAAGAGCAGGTCGGTCTTACTCACTTCATCATGGCTTCGACTTCAACCGAAAACGATGCCTGGATCGCTCTCCTCGTCGTTATCCTCCTCATGTCATTGACGTCTATCGTCGTTGGTCTTCGGATATATACAAGACTTGCTATAATCAAGAAGCTCGGTTGGGATGATTACTGCGTGATCCTAACATGGGTAGGTTGACCTCAATGTCACTGGGCGGCCTGTCTCAATAATCCGCTGACATTGAACACAGATAGTTGCTTTAGCAGACGGTGCGACCATCTCGTCAAGTATGTTCATCAGACGCCATTATCAAGACATTTGTTGGACAAAGAGAACTGACAGAACCTAGCTGTTCCCTACGGCCTTGGGAGGCATACGGCAACACTCGACCAGTCTTTGCTCCCATCGTACCTAAGAGTGAGCTTCTCTCTTTTGTGGAAGACGGCCTTACTTTGTTCAAAGCCAGCTAATTCCCTGGCAGAATTTCTATTTTTCTATCGTCCTCTATAACCTCACCCTGAGCCTCATCAAACTCACTTTTATGATTCAATACTATCGAGTGCTATCAGTTCACAAGATGAAGATGATCATTTGGGCACTCGGAACTGTGATCATGTTGTGGGCGCTGTCACAGCTACTTGTCTCGATCTTCACCTGCTTTCCGTTGCAGAAGTTCTGGGAGACAGATCTGCCAGGCCGTTGTATGCCTGACCTGCCGTTCTGGTACATCAACGCGGCCGGCAACATAATTACAGATGTTGCGATCTTCATATTGCCACTACCGGTGCTACACAATTTGCACCTACACAAGAAGCAAAAGTACTTTTTATTGGGCATTTTCAGCCTTGGATTCTTGTACGTATCAGAGACAAACCCGAATCCTGCTGCGGCTCAGGGCCTCATGAGCCTCACTCTTCTACCGCTGGAATCCAACCATGCAATAATATTGGATGCTGCTGACACTGTCTCTCTGACTTTAGCACCTGCGCCATGTCTCTTATCCGTCTAGCATACCTCAAGCAGGGTTCCGACTTCACCTTCGACAACATCCCTACGTCATGTTGGTCCATGGCCGAGCTGGCCTGCGGTATCACGTGCGCATGCCTACCGACACTCCGACCGTTGATGTCAAAGATCAAGCCGTCATGGATGACAGGCTCCACGAACCGACGTGCGCGACAAGGAGGCTATGGGAACGGCACATCTGGCAATGCGATCGACACCAAAGGTGCACGCGGCACGCACAGCAACAATATTCACACCCTCTCGACGCTGAACAAGAACTACAGCAGACTGACGGATGAAGAGATCGAGATAGCCATGGGGGAACCGGCTCCCCTGAGCCAGGCATATGGGTCCGGTGGGAAGCGAGGCGACACAACCTCGTCTAACAACGCAGCGGAGACGTTTATGAACGGCTCTGGGGATGACGGCCTCCAGCTGCAGAACCTCTCATCAAAGGCCAGGCAGAATGCAAAGGCGCAAGAGGTTCTGGGGTTGGGCATGACTGGGATGGGCGTGACTGCGCATGTTGTTGGCGGGAGTCGGACGTCCTACTCGGCAACACATAAGCTGAACGAATCGCTATCGGGTATCGAGGTGAAGCGTCAAGTGATTGTCACAACGACTGAAGGGTAGCTAGGGGGTTCGGGGGAGCCACTAGCATCGCGATTATAAGGGACACGGTTTGGGTTGGGTTGGTTACAGAGATATTGCCTTGGCGCAGTGAGGTACTGGTTTTTTTGGTTTTCTTTTCCTTGTTTGCGCCACAAGATACCCCGGCGACGTGTAATGCGTCTTTTAGATACTTCAATATGTAATACAAAGATCCACTGGCATGGATATTATGTAAATCACTTTTGCGGTTTCAATGCTTTGATTAGGTTTGTGAATAAATACTGGTAAGTATATGCTGACCAAGTACTAGCGAATGAGCTGCCATCAACATATGTGCGCTCGTTATATATACGGCCACGGCCGATTGCCCTTCTGGATAGTAAGTAGATGCTATACTCAGTAACTCATTCATGAGAATACTTGCGGATATCGATCTCTAGAAAATACCCAAGACAGAGAAGTTGAAGGGCATGAGAAATAGCTGAGTAATACTCTGCTTCTCTTCTGCGTACCGACCTGAAGATTTTACAATTCTGAATGTAATTCTGAAAATTAATTCATTGATCTTAACGAAGGCAGTCGATGTGAGAATGATTTAGGGAGACGAAAACACTCAACCTCGGAGCCTCGACCACATGATGAGATAACGAGGAGCGAACGTAACAGAAATGAGCACTCTTTGTAGGTTGAGATTTGTAAAGCATGTAACGTCGCTAAGTTGTGGAGAGGGTCATTATCAGTGCATGGTTGGAAATCACAACGAAAGCATTCGAGGTTGTCTATCCCGTATATCTCACAGTGTCCAGGCATGCCGGACGGATTATCTTCAGGGTTCTCCGTACAGGGTATATTCAGAGGCAGAGTAGCCTCCCTACTTGAATTTTGTTGTAGGAAATTGTGTCTTACTCCATCTTGCGTGGTTGAGGCCATGGTGTGGGAAGGGGACTTGGAAAATTTTACCTGGAGTGCTCCTCTGGGGACTGAAACAATTGAATGCCCCAGAACACTCGCTGCTTTGCCCCCCCAAAACATGCAACTTGCCAACCTCAGGGCACCAGTCTGATGCCATATGAGCCCCTCGGACCAGGGTTACAGGATGAGATGCTTCGTCAGGCTTAGCGCAGCGATCCCGTTGGCGGCTCATAAAGAAGCCCTGTAACTTTAGCGCGCCCCTGTTGTGTTCGAGACGTCACTTATTGTCGCCGCATAACTGGCTCAGTCATCCTGGCGCCGCAGATCAAACGTGGCAGCGCTGAAGTGACATTAGCCGAAACCCGAAAAACCCCCCAGTGTCTTCATCTGGAATTCACAACGTCCTCAACCCTCATAGGGGCATTCATCCAATTTGTGTGGGGATTTTGAGAGGGGACATGAACATCAATGGAGTGATAGGCAACTTAGGATGAACACCAGGATTGCAGGCTTCTAATGGTAATGTTTGCCTTGGCGTTGCTTTGGTGCTTGGCAGCATTCAATCATGCTACGAACAGACATCGTGGATGAATGAATATAATCGAGGCCAGGCATCGCAGCAGCATTGCCTGAGCCGAACCCCCTTCTCACTTTCAAACCGGGGTTTAAACTCAAGCATGACCGATGGCGCCTTACGATCTAGCTGTTCCTACCGGCCGGACACGCTTGCACAACTTCACGGGGCTGATTGATCTGCGCAGGGTCCATCATACAAGGGCGGCAAGACTATCCGTGTTAATCACATACGAAGACACGCAATGAGACCTCAACTCAAGCGCAGCCACATGAAATTATTTAAAAGGAGACACGATCGTCCTGTCAGTCTTGGCATTCTATCCTTCACCTTCAACCAAACTAAATTCGTTCTTTACTGTTCCGAGGTGAGAGCTACACACTTGGCTACTCTGTTTCCACTTTCTCATTCGTCAAGTGCTCATACTAATTCAAGCCATCATGCAGCTGTGCTCATCACATTCACTTCATCTACAATTCTTGTCCCGGAGACGACTCTGATACCAATAATCAAAATGAAGTTCACCCTCGCTACTATCGTCCTTTTGGTCGGCCTTGCTGTTGGCGCGCCGGCGGGCAATGGCCAGCTGAGCTCCTCTCAGGATGCTTCTGACGCCACCACTGCGGCCGGCAACAAGGCCAACAGCAACGTGAATGTTGCTGCCAACGACGGCTCAACCGTATGGTTCACACCGTGTCATCCTGCTAGAGGCCTTAGAAATTGTGACTGACATGCTGTGTCATAGGGTGTCAAGGCTGCTGATACGGCTGAGGCTGCTATCCTCCTCAATGACAACGGTGATGGTATGTCTACGTTCCCTCAGTCACAACGTAGATTGCTCATACAATTCCATGACTCTATATCATGCTAACATCAGATTCCTCTAGCCGGTGCTGCATCGTCAGGTGCGGCATTTGATGCTGCTGTGCAGGCAATCAAGAACTCTGGTAACCAGGATGAGATCGATGTTTTGACAGGTGCTGGTATTGATGTCAACGCCGCGGGAAACTAAACTAGTATTCCATTTTTAATCAGGATAGGAAGTCAATGATTAGATGAAGTGATAATGGACTGGGTGACACCTTTCTCCGCTGTGCATTGCTGTTGCGTGAGACCATGTGGCTTACCTGCATTTTGAGTGTGATTCCACGTGTAGATGCAATTTTCCTCAGGGAGATAGCAGTGGGTTTTTCTTTTGGGGGGGGGTTTTTTTTTTAATTCAATAGCCTTTGAACACAGATTCTACATTCTTCTATCTCGAAACACAGGCAAACATTTTTCCGTCTGATATCGAGGAAACGTCTTGCCTGAAGCAGATCAAAACGATTATATGATCTCATACAAGCATTGCACAAAGACCATCTGATGCGGGAAAAACCTCGGAATTTGAGTCTCTACATCTTGTAATCCCGCAGCAAGCCTGACAATATGAAAGCTGTCAAGGATGCTACCAATGACACAACGTGGCTGTACCACAGCCCATCGACATACGACGCGACGATGGCATTCGCGATATCTCCCTTGGCCTTGTAGACATACTCGATATTCGCAACAGCTTTTTCGATGATCTGGGGAAACAGGTCAGAGGAGAAAAGCCCTTTTTATACCCGCTACTGGTGAGAGACTTACCTCGCTCCGCAGGTCAGCATCAAGATGCATCTGCAACAAACGGCTTTCCAAGGTGGCCCTCAGGCCAGCTTGGGTTGCAGCACTAGCAGCAGCCAGGCCCAGGACGCAACCCAATCCATTGAACAGGTAAAGAGTTGAGACGGCTGGCGCAACATGCGCTTTATCCACAGAGACTTGCACGGCAATGAACACAGCGCTGTAGGCCATCCCAATCGAGAAGCCACTGTATGAATTGAGGGGTTAGAACAAGTCGTCTCATCCTTAAGATGTCCAATCATGCAAAGACTTACCCTGGGGCAATGTACAGGGTCTCCCACCAGCTTGTGTTGCCGTGCCATCTTAGTAGGAGTAGCGTATAGGAACAAGCTGACAATAAAGAGGCCAGGGAAATCAACCACCGATATTTGCCAGTGCTAAATAAAACAAAATGAGGTGGAGGCTCTGTTAGTGCGAGTCTCTACCTTTAAGGTGGGTGGACAATTGATATGACTCACTTCCGTATCAAGTATCCGGTAATGATGCCGCCAATAGCATTGCCAATGACTGCTGGAAGCAGGCGAGTACCAGCTGCAGTATTGCTCATCATCTGAGTGACTTGAAAGTAAAGCGGGACAGAGAACATCATCTGATCACAAGACGGTCAGTCAATACAGTAATGACAGCGGACGCTCCTGTAAACCTTACTCCAAGCTGAGCTGCGCACTGCAGGGCCATTATGATGAACGACGCGACTGTGTGCCTGTTGTAGAACATATCGAGAGGCACAAGCGGGTTGACAACCCAAGACTTCTCGGCCAGAATGAAGAGGCCGAGTGAAACCGCAGCTCCAGCGAGAGAGATAAATATCATCGGATCTGTCCACTCAAGCTTGCTTCCTCCGAGCTCCAAGGGAAGGAGCAAGAGAAGCAGGAAGGCTGCGAGGAGGAAAGAACCCAGAAAGTCTACTCTCCGAAGGTTGCTGGACTTGGACTCGCCGAGTCGCTGGTTCGGATGAGTATTCGGCAAGGACATCCAGGCGAGAACGATTGCGATCAGGAACAACGGTGCTTGCCCAATGAAAGACCTGGAGACAGTTAGGACTGCAACGCTCACAGGTGCGATGTGTGAGTTGGAGACGAGGAAACTGTGAGAGCTCACAAACGCCAGCCGATCACATCGGCGAGCCAGCCTCCTAGAGGCCCACCGACGCATCGCCCCAATACTCCTATGACACTGACATATGACCTCCAGGTCGCAACCTCTCGCATTGGGAGGATGTCTGTGATGACCAGAGAGACCAGAACGCTGGTCCCAGCACTGACAGAGCCCGAGAGGACCCTTCCAAGGATTGCCGTCGTCATCGAGCCAGCGACGCCACTAGAGTTCACTTTCGTCAGAAGACCGCATATGTTTGAGTCGTCTTGAGGCGAACTCACACAATGAGGCTGTCATAACATATTCATATTAGCAAGTTGATGTTCGGTCAGACCTTTTGAAGGGCGAGCTCAGTAGCCACTTACCAACCCAGAGCAAAAACCAAGTAAGCTACCATGATCAACGGCTTGCGTCCATATATCTCACTAAGCTGGCCAAAGGATGTTTGAGTCACAGTAGATGCGAGCATGAAGCCAGTAAACAGCCAGCTCGAAGACTCGAGTGCCATGAACTCAGAAGAGATGATTGCATGAGTTGCCATCACAATTGTGGCATCAGCATTGCTGATAAACACCGCTGAGTGCAACTTGTTAGACGAGTCGTTTTGCAATGAAAACTTGCTGAGTAAGCTCAAAAAAAGAACGAAAGGAAAAAGACCAACCTAAAAGCAACGGCAAGACAATCCATAGTATGGTCTTGTTACTCAAGGTCGGCCTGGCAGGGTCCGTAGAAGTAGGCGAGGCGATGAGCGCCTCTTCATCCTGGGCTCTTGAACTCGAAGATCCATCATCGCTGGCTTCGTCACTTGTGCTTGGAGAAGGGGACTTGACTCCGTATGAGACAACGGAGTCGGAATGCTTCGTCAGTGCAGACCGCTCCGAGACATCCGGATCGCGCTCGGGATCAGCACTTGTCCTTCTCTCGATTGTTGGATCCGTCATGCTGGAGGATACGCTGGAATAACAAGACAAGACTTTGCGTTACATGTGATCAATTTTGGAAAAGAAAAATGACGATGGTCTTGTCAGATTTTTGATAATTATGTTCAAAACGTAGAATCGGGTACTAGTTCTAGGTTTGGAGAATTTTCCGCAAATCCTTCTGCGGCGGCTTTAAAAGTCAAGACCCAGGATCAATGCGCCTCTGCATCTCTATTCTAGCTCTGTGGGGCAAGTCTTGTTTGTCTAATCCTCGTAACGCTCGGCCTCTCAAGTGTCTGGCTGAATACCATCCATCCCACATACACCGCTGGCTTGGCCGGTGGCCGGTTATCGCTGAGGCGACGATTGCGCCATACCGGACGGGAATCACCCACAGCGAAAGATATGGGCCAGTCAGTCAAAAAAGAGCTGTACTTCAGCTTGGCGTTCGGAGGCGAACTAGAACTTGAAAGCGTTACATCCGGCGCAGTTCGTCTGATCATGCAGAAAATTTGATAAGATTTATGCATGATTGGATCAATAGATCGATTTACATTGAATTGGAATACTGCTTGGTGTTAGCCCCAGCCTTTCCCATCATGGAAATGCATCTACACCTCGGTGGAAAATGGAGAAGGAAAAAACGCACAAGCTACTACCGTACAAGATTCATGCTCCACATGCATGGTTCCTTTTTGTTTCCACAACGCCGGTGCTGCTGTTTCTATACGGCCCAAAGACTTGCGCAAAAAGAAGCTGAGAACTGGCAGGAACTTTGACAACCGCATTCTACACCCACTCGTGCCACGGTATGCCCTGTCGGTACACATAGCCGTCCTTCTCAAATTGCGGCCCTTCAGAGCCCACAATGTACCCCATAGCACAGTGGTCATACTCGATCCGTCGCTGCTGGATGTAGAACTGGTCGAATTTGGACGAGAGCGCATCCTTGAGATTCCCAACATTGCCTTGGGGGTGAAGAGCGTGCCACGGCTTCACACAGGTCTGTCCCTTGCATGATTTGAGCACAAACAAGAGCGAGTCGAGCCTGTCAACAACCTTCCCCATTGGCACGCCGAGAAGTTGCGTGGGTGCGAACGCCTGCTCGTCCTCATGTAGGAGGTTATGCATTTGATATGGATCAGTCTGCCCAGGTGGCACGCTTTAGCGTCAGATATTGTCATCATGAATTGAGAGGACCAAGGCCGCCAACTTACCGTGAGGTCGTAGAGCTCGTGCTCGTTTGTGCACCAAACGGTGTAAAGCAAGTTGTACGAATCGCTAATGATGCGAACGGCTTTATAAGTATTGTTGACAATCAAAATATCATCCGTGAAATTTTTGACGCCTTCGAACACGGCGATGCCCCAGAACTCGACAGTGACGTGCTCGTGGCGGGTGGTCTCGGCGTCTTTCAGGCCCTCCGAGGTCAGCGGGACAGCTTCTCCGTCGAAAGTGCTCCTCAGTGGAGCGCCGGCAAGGCCCAGAATGGTAGGGGCTAGATCAATGTGTGTGGTGACGATTTCGCTGACCTCGCCCTGTGGGACGTTTGGACCCCGAACGATGAGCGGAACGTTGATATCCTCTTCGAAACTGCACTCCTTCCCAGGCTGAAGACGGTGTTGGCTAAGATGAAACCCGTTGTCCGTGGTATAGAAGATATAAGTGTTGTCCAAGAGGTCGTACGCCGCCAGTTTCTGGAAGAGACCATCGACGAGCTCGTCCACAGACTGCAGGGCTCGAAGACGCTCGCGGTAGAAGTGATCAATGAAATCCACATTCTCTTGTGTCAGCTGCTCTCGCTGCCTGATCCAGTTGGCACCGGAGGGCTGGTCAGGGTTGAAATTGGGGGTGCGAGGGACTTGAGCATCCTTGAAAAGATGTCTGTGACGCTCTGCTGGGATAGGAGGCGTGATCTCGAGCAGGCCCACGTCTGTATTGTTGTTCAGATCGCCTTTGCCATCTTTCAGATGGAGGTTGCTGTGGGGAGCCACCGGAGCGATACCAAGGAAGAACGGCTTGTCTTGTTTCACGGCGTCATCCAACAGTCCGTACGACTTGGCCGTCAATACGTCGATGGTGTGTTGCCCTTCATGGCTGACTGGCGCATCTCGGTTCCGCTGGTAGGTGGCATTGAGGTAGTCGTACGTGTGTGGGTCCAGTAAGAAGTCAGACTGGTTCCAGCCAGCTGCGTAGGGGCTGTTGTAGTTCTCTACGTTGTGTGCATTGAAGAGCTTGCCGGTATAGTAAGTGTTGTATCCAGCTTCCTGTAGCCAGAGCGGCAGGTAATTCTCATTCAAGCCTTGAGAGAGGAATTTCGGGTACCCCCCTGTTCGACCAAATGTTTATGGGATCAATATATATAAATGATTGTCCGATGTAGTACGAACGAGGAATCACGTACCGTACGGAGGGTTGACATCGGTGACATTCGTATTGTGAGCAAGCATTCCGGTCCAGAGTGATACACTGATATGACCCTGTCGTCAACATGCCGGCGCTTCATTTGGATCACCCTCCCCCGGGCCAACAAAGACAATTGGTTTGGAACAATGAGGAGAAATATCTACGAAGACGTACCGAGAGGGGCAGCAGATTGCCGTAGTACAAAAGTGTCTTTTGAAGGACGTGCCTTTGTGGATGAGGTGCTCTTGGAGATACGGCATATAATTGAGCGAGTCCATGTGAAGATCCTGGTCGTCGGTGAGAATGAATATGATGTTGGGCTGCGTACTGCTGCCCGTCGGTTCGGCAGATGGCCCTATGAGAACATGTTGACCGTGCGAGTCCGCATCGTAATCGGCGGCAGCAAATGAACCAAAAAGCAGAGAGGCAACGATCCCAGCTCGAGAGTACATTTTGCCGTGCTGATGTTGATATAAAAGGGTGTATTCCAAGAACTTTACGTCCATCAAGTTGAACGGTCAATGGCAAAACATGCTTCGACGTGTTCTTGCTAGTATTCCCCTCGAAAATGCGAGATATGGAAAAAATAATTCAGATCATAGCATCGATCTATAATAGTCATAGTGATGAGATCCCCATTCGGTAGCCCAGCGATAGCCGGTGGCGGCGATGGCGCCATCTATGGGATCGTGGCAACACCTGCGGAGGCTCAACCCAAGTTGAAGACAGACGGTGACCCTGCTTTGGACTCCACAATGAACAGAATATCGCATACAAAGGCATGAGTCTACAGTATTATCCACCTTCGGAATCTTGAAAGACTTGAATGACAAGGCCCCTACGATCGTATGGGGAAAAGTAATGATTATCCGCCCGTACCCTTCCCAATAACGACGAAAAGAAGAACCACCCTTTTCCTCTCTTCATGTTGAGGCGGTTGAAGAACTTAACCGTCAATAGGCAAGTCTAATTGTACAATAAGCTGAGACGAATCAAATACCGGACATTTGTCATTCACCGGTCATCACTATTACAGCCAGCCTCTGCATATAATTATACTTTGCAGTATAACACCCGCAACTCAGAATTTCTATACTGCTTCAAACAATCATGAGATCAATAGAAGTTCTATATCGTAAAGAGGCTATATCGATTCTTTATTATTACTACCATAGAAGCTGCGACAGAAGAAGAAAAAAGAAGAAAAAGAAGAGAGGAAGTGCAGAGTTCAGACCAGCTCCATCGACCCGTCTTACTTGGTATTTACGAAAGCAAATATCCCTAAGTACAATCCTCCGGGAGACGAAGTTATAGCATCATCAATTCTTCAAATCCTCCGCGAACGGCCAGTCATTATACCCTTCATCAATGTTCTCCAGATTCGGAGTGTAGTAGACTGCGGGACCGCGATTGTTGGTGGCGAACGGTAGACCGTGTCGAATACGAGTGATGAGATCCTGACAAATCACGTATTAGCAACAACCCCTTTATTGTTAAGTTCTTGGCGTGTAATGTCTCTCACCGGGTTAAAGATGAAAGGCCGGCCAAGCTGCACAAGATCGAGTTTCCCATCCCGCACCAGTCCAGCGGCCTCCTCGATCTCGTACTCGCACGATACCGTGAGCGCGGTGCGGCTCTCAGGTTTCTTGATCATGGGGCCGAACTGATGCAGTGGCTCCCAATCTGGTGGGAGCAACATGTTTGCTGGACGAGGGTCCCGGGGCCTGAGTATCTCCTTGTCACTTCCGCGGCGGTTGACGTGGATGTAAGCGAGGTCCCGAGCCATCAGCTCATGGATGAAGTACTCGTAGGTCTCGGACAACTCGGTATAAGACTGTGTTGCGTTGGCCCAGTCGTCACTCGGGCTGAATTTGATCCCAACACGTCGCGAGGTTCCCCAGGCTTTGATAATGGCATCTATGACCTCAAGTCCGAGACGACAACGGTTCTGGACAGGGTGGTAGGAGTAGTTGTCACTGCGGCTGTTGTAAAAGCTGTTGCCCGGCAAGGTCGAACAATTAGTAAAGCACTATCACATACTAGTTTCAGCCTTTTGTTGTTGTATAATACTCACTTGATCATGAACTGATGGATCAAATATGCTCTGGTCACGTAATGTCAGTTGAATATTTATTTTGTCTTCATTGGTCACCCCAGAAAACTAGGCTCTTGGTCACTTACCCGCCTGCCAGCAGCTCTACACCATCAAAGCCTGCCCGCTTAGCCAAGCTCACCGCATTTGTGTACTCTCCGATAATGTCGTCAAGCCGCTCGAACTCAGCCACATTCCCAGTGCTAGGCGCGTTTCCAGGGCTGCCGGAGGGGCCGACATGCCACGGCTGGAAGAAGATCTTGCCCCCCTCGCGGTGCACGGCATCCGTTACCTTCCGCCACGCTTCCGCGTGATCCTCGCGGAACATGACAGGGGCATGTGTGAAGGCGGTCGTGTTGGGCCCTAGAAAGGTCCCCTCTGCGATGATCAGGCCGACGCCGTCTCTGGCGCGCATGGCGTAGTGTTCGATGACGGCTGCACCAGGTTTACCGTCTTCCACGCAGCGACATCGCGTCATTGAAGCCATCACGACTCGGTTGCGAAGCTGAAGATCGTCTCCGATCTTGATGGGTTCAAGAAGTAATTTTTCCATTTTTACTGGGTGGTGGTAAAAGTGGTTGGTGAATGAGCGTTTGATTGTGTATCAGTTGATTGCAGTGCATCTACATGACCATGAGACCGGCCGGAATCTCACAACGGACAACAAAGTCTCTATTTATTTTGTGCATTCTCGCAAGCAACTTGGGTGGACCAGAGGACATCCGGTGCCGTACATGTGAGTGCATTGCTAATGACTCCTAGAATTTTGCAGGCTCATAGTCACGATCTATCTTGAAAGTCTCGGACAAGAGAGGTGTTTCATTGCGAATTGATCATCAACCACAGGTCAAAAGAGTGGCACTGCTTTGAGTTTGGTCCGCGTGCCGAGACAGTCCTACTTGTTGAATACACTGCTTTTCAATTCAGGTCTGGTGGGTAGCCTGACTGCCAGCCTCATGCGGTCGAGGACCTCGGAGCAATGTCAGACCGCCCCTGATAAATCAGGACCATGGGTCTGGATATTGGCAATCTGCATGAGGTCCTGACCCCTTCCTTGATGCCGGAGAGATTCGGCCTCGTGGAAGACGCCGGGACATTGCCGGAGAAAGATGCACATTTTGCAGGAATAACAGGCCCACATATGCAAGCCAAGTTGGAATTCAATGCCATCCTTCATGTGGCTTGCTCCATGTCTTCGGGACTATGTTGATTGGAAGAATGACTAATTTCCCCAAAATAACTTTCGACTACCTTGTGACAATATTATACCGTGTTAATCAATTAATCACTTAAGGACACAAGACTCACAAGTTTCCCAACCGGTATACTTTCATTCGCATCGAAAAGAAGATGGATTTCTTTCTCTTTCTTTTTTTTTCTTTGAGCGGTAATACCCATTATTTAAGGTCTTCCTACTTTGTTTCTCTACTTAAGTAGTCTATCTTCTAGAATATTAGCTACACTAAACATTCACTCGAACGGCAAGGTTGGTCTGTTGTATTCGTCTTAAGCTGGTAGAAACAAAAGTGCGACTGGAGTAGATGGCTTCTCGAAACTGTTGTCCAAGTACTTATAAGCTTTCATCCTGTCCATTCCGAATACCGAAAGCAATCAAGACTGTACTGTACATCCTGCTCCTGTAATCTTTGGTCACAGACCCTATAGATATGTTCTTCCTCGCCACCTAACTGATTCAGATACTCTTTCCCACAGCAGCAGCTCTACGTCCAGAAAACCTTCACCTCCCAATCTTCTCCCACACCTCCCAAGTATGCCCTCCCGGATCAATAAACGTAACCGCCCTTCTCCCCAGCCCCGTCTTCGTCGGCCTACTAAGCCCCTCCATCCCCCTGATTGCCCCTTTGGCCTGAAGCCGTCGCCACACGTCATCCACACTGCCCACCAGCACGCTCAGCATAACCCTCTTGCCATTACTCCTACTCGTGCCCGTGCCTGCTAGGCCTTCTACCTTTCCGCGACCCACGTCCACGCCAGGCCCAAACGCACTCTTCTCGCGCGCCTCGTGGCCGTCGAGGAGTACAACCAGCAGCTGCCCGCCGTTGAACTCGTACGTGGCTGACACGGCATCCTCGTGCACGAGCGCGGACATCGTGAAGACTTGGTCGTAGAACTCGATTGTGCCGTGGAGGTCCTCGGTGAGGAGGGTGATGGTGGTGATCTGGGGCAAGGGGTTGTCGTCGTCGTTGTCAGGGCCGCGGCGGTGGCGGAGGGACCGTGGTAGGAGGGCAGATGGGAGGAGGGGGCGAGCTTGGTTGGGGCTGGTGGCTGCTGGGGGTGGTGAGATGGGTGGTATGTTGATCATCTCTACTGGTGCAACTATCACTGGTGGTGGGCGCGGGTGGTCTTGGAGTGCTGATGGTGGTTTGGGCCCATGGGTAATATCCGCTTTAGATTGTGGTCCTGACGCAGCAGCGTCTTCTGTGCCTGGAGGATGAAAGGCACTTTTAGAAGACTCTGCTTTGGGGGCCAGAAACCACCTTGTCAGACCCAACACCGACGCTTTCAGAGAAGCAGAAGGAGACAACGTTGATATCGAGGTTACTTTTTCAAGTCCAGGCATCGCAGTGGGCGGTGTACTGGGGCAGACTGTTCTTTGCTCACTCCGCGCTTCTCTCTCGCTTCTCGTTGCTACCGGTCCCATCGGAGTCGCGATGATACTCTCCTCACTCGAGGAATCGCTTGCGGTGCCCAGGCCTGAACCTCCACTCCTCAGCCCTGTCTCCTTCCCATCTTCGACCGTAGCCCTAGCCCAGTGCAGAGGCCGACCTGATTTGCCCAACTGCAAGTAGTTGCGTCCCTCCACATCCTCAAAGTACCTTGCCTCTTCCTCCCATTGCTCACGAGCCACCGGGCTTCGCGCCTCTCTCTCCAGTCCAGACGATCCCCCAGGCCCACGGCGTCTGTCAGTTCTCCCGGCCCCGTCATCTCGCACGTCCAGAGCGTCAAACACATCGACCAGCACCGACTCCTCGGCAGCAGGTATCGACGGCGCGCTCAAGGCCGAGAGAAGAAGGCTTCTCCCCCGGCTCCCGGCTGTGCTCTCACCGTGCCCGTTTTGTATCTGGATCAGGCACTGCTGGGTGGTGAGGTAGAGCTGCTGGTCGATGGTGCGTGAAAGATCGACAACCATCTATCCAATTGTGTAATTTGTCGTGTTGGTAGAAAAGAAAAAGAATGGTGATAAGATTTGTGATGATAGGACGACAGAGACAGCCAACTCTAAGCCTCTCCCTTGTGAATATAGAAAAAGAGAGAATCTAGAAACGAATACGGAAGAGTTGCTACATTCGGTGCCAAAACAAAAAGAGAGAATAATTACCAGTGAGCCCTTGAGGACCCTGGGTCTGGAAAGGTCGTCAACGTAGACCTGGTCAGTAGACAGCACAATGCAGGGAAATTCGAAAGCGGTGCGAGAAACAACTCTTGATCACAAGGCCGTCGAGCCATTCAACCACCAAATTGTATTGTTTATGAGTAGGAAATAAAGACAATAGGGAAGTCCGTCGCGGGAACTAAGCCCCGTCCGGCGGTTTGCTTCGTTCTTTTGAGTCTTCCATATTCGGAACCGTTGTTCTTCTTAACAGTAGGGAGAGGTCATTAAGGGCCGCCGTGACAGTTGGCAACAAAGAGGTCATATAATGATGTCAAAGAGTCTGTTGATCATACACGGCCCTTTGAGCGCAAGTTGGTGCAGACGGCGGACCGCCGAAATAAATAATGGCGCGGGCCATAATCAAAACCACTGCCATGCCAGAAACCTGTATCTCCATTTATTGGTGGAAATTCCAGCGTAGATATGCTTATATATTTATCTGTATTAATAATTTCTGCCCATTCGAGCCACGTGTTTCCCAGCTTGAGCACCTTACCAGGTTTTAAAATGAATGATCCCTCCATCCACTCTGCCGCAATGGATATGTGCCCGTGGTGTTTCTCCATGTAGTACAGTAAGTATGCTGTAGTGAACCCATGCTTGCCACATGAAGCATGTTCAGCCGATTTCTCCGTATACATGCGGATGTCAGGACTTGCGCCCAGATCTTGTTGTCAAATCTTCACGTCCCTGATCTATGTATGAGAATCTTCCTTTCTCACATCCATTCCAGTTCTAAAGGCCTGTGCTTTGACTGAGATAACAACTGTTCGTGCTCAGGGTATAATTTGAGTTCTTTGATAGTTGATCCGCCATGAAGTATCCACCGGTCTGACTGAGTGTCACCTTGTGATACAGTCAAGAGTTAAGAGCCAGTGGTGGCGGACTGTTGCGCAATTCTATTGTGGTGGCCATGTCATCATCCCTCGAAGCTCATCCTCCTAGCACACGGATTAATCCGACATGCCCTCCCCTGGATCCGTGGTATCTTGCTCATCATCTGCAAGCGCGGCCGCGGATGGTGAATTGGCCCGACTGCGGCCGTCCGCCACGGCAACATCATAAGGGAGCCCGTCTGACTGATTCGCCTTGGAAGGTGCGGCACCCTCATCCACGAGAGATAGTTGCGAGTACGGGTCCAGGTCAGAGATGCTATCGTCGGTGTGGGAGTCGCTGGTATGAAGGTCCGATGTGTCTAGATCGCCTGTCGTCGGCGAGGTAAACTCAAGCCGTGATGGAGGCGTTGAATTCGGCTGCGGGGAAGATCGAGAGAAGACGACTGGCGACTCCTTTAAATGAAACTCCTCGGTCGACGCCCGGGCTGCAGCTGTAGCCGAGTGAATAGTCGGTTTAGACGGCGGTTTCAAGGGCTTTGAAAAATCAAACTCGCTGTGGTCGTCGCCGCTGGTACCCGCCGGAAATGGATTTGTCAGAGGACCGATGTTACTCAGCACGACTGGCTGTAACCCCTTGAGAGAGCCTTTCCTAAATCTTGGCCTGTTGGACAAGCTGCTTCGGCTGGGCAGCGATGTATTGGTGCCACTTCTCCGCAGGCCCAGCTCAAGACGTTCCTCTACTTCGGTATCATCGTCTGTGATGTCGTCCTCCATGTCAAGCAGCTGCTTTGGATGCTTGGAGAGCAGTTGAAGGCTGCTTCCGGATGCTCTGCGAGACCGCTTCTGCAGCCTAGCATGGTCTGCAAGGGACTGTGTCTGGGCATGAGCAGATTGAGGGAGACCATGCATGTACAGGCCGTGAGCAAAAGTCGTCCTAGGTCCAAGGTTCTTTGCGTCTGTAACGAGCCGGCGCAGGTTGACTTGGCTCTGGCTGAAGAGACATCTGGCCCGCAGAGTCTGGATGGACCGATCGATCGCCAGCTCCACTGCACATCTATCTCTTATCCGGCTGAGTTTTGGCCAGGTAGCTCGCTCGCCGGAAAGCGTCGCCCGTTCCATGAAATCAACAGTGGGATTTTTGAGGATCCGAGGTAAATCGTTCACGTTGTGCTCGGGAAGGATGGTAATGTCTCCAGAGTACTTTTGGCTCAGCACGCTGCGCAGCTTGGTGACAGCTGTCGGTATGATGCCCAACTCAGCTAGGAAGTGAAGCCGGTGCAGAGCTTCATCCTTGGCCAGCCTGGTGAGTGTGGCCGTAAAGCTTGCATTGTGTGATGTGCCAAAGAACTCGGCTCGAGAGCCGTCATGTTCCGAGAAGAGCCTGTCGTCCTTGGCCAGGAACGGGACAACATGAGGATTGACCTGTGAGACGATGAAGTGGTTGACGTTGAACATCTCGGCCAGCCGCGTCATGGGCAGGTCATTGTCCACGGACCCGTCGACCCATTTCTGAGGGGTTGGATTCCAGGGCATGTGCTCGCCCGTCTGTGGGTCCTTGACAAGCAGGTGTGCACCGCTAAAGATGAAGGGTACAGAGCATGATGCAGCCACCGCCGACCAGATCATAACGTTGGGCGCAGTGATGTAGTTCAACAGCCGCGGTAGCTCGTAGATGGACTCGGTGGAGACGGAGATGTTGCAGATCTTCCTCGTCCGATTGTAGGCTTCCTGAAAGGTCATGTCGCCGAGCATACCACGCATCACCCGCTTGAGATGCTTGATATCTGACCAGGAGCCCTCGGTGAAGAGTCTCTTCACGTGGTCAAGGACAGACTCCTGCTTGCCCTCTTCGCCAAACACCGCCAGGTCGCCATATGGAAAGGCTTCGATGACACCGGGGACCTCATCGCGTGTCCTGGTACAGAAGACGGCACAGACGATGGAGCCAGCCGAGGCCCCAGAGATGATGCGAGGAAGCACATCCGCCTCGAACATAGCCTTCAAGACCCCTGCGTGCATCATCCCGAAAGTACCTCCCCCACTGAGCAGCAGGGCGGACCGGCCGAAACTCTGCCGGGCCTGGACCAATGCCCCGAGGATATCCTTGTGGTCCAAATCGTCTGGTAGTACGCCAGGGTATCCGCTCTTTTCTACCAGATCCTCGATCGTCTTCACTGCAGATTGGACATACTGCTCAATCAGGTCTTTTGTCCCAACGTATGAATGCCTGTACAAATCGATGTTGCCCATGCCGCCCAGATCACGCGAGAGAGCAGTCCTGACCAGATGTAACATGCGGTGGATGTCGCAGCTCGTTCGAGCGTCGTCGAGGTCACGCATGCGGGCGCGAATGAAGTCCGGCCGGTAGATGCCATCGACGCCCCCCAGCTCCGACTTCCAGATGTTGTTACCCTCGAGAAGATCGAGTTCTTGGGCAGCCGCGGACCATTGTGACGCCGAGGTAGCCTGTGAGTGAATTCAATCAGGAATTGTCCCACACGATCGCATAGGGAGTCTATCTTCTTCCAGTGCGGACCTACATTTTTCATGCGCAGGCCTAGGATCTGCTTGCGCTCCTCAAGCCCACGCGCCTCCTCATGTTTCGACCCGGCCTGGCCATTCTTGCGCGGCGAGAGAAGTCTATTGGCCTCTCGGACGAGCCTTGACAGTGTCTGCACAGGCAGTGAGCCTGTCGCGCGGCTCTCTTTAGAAGCAGTCTTCTTAGGATCGTCGTTCAACTCGGCGGAAGGAGGCGCAGCTGGAGTTGTTTGGCCGAGATTGAGAGATGGTAAGATTTGTAAACAATCGGTCATGGCGACGGGGTGCGTTTCAGGAGAGAAATAGGCATGGACACGACATTGACACAGGCTTGAGCGGTGTGTGTGGTTGTGAGGTTCTCGAGAGCTCTGAACAGGGTCTCTCTGAAGGGGTCTGAAGGAGGTTCCTTTCTCTGCTTCTCGTGTTCTCGATCAATCAGGGACTCGATGTATAGATCTAGCGTTAAGACTTGGAGTGTCAAGGGGCGGTCGTTTTGTTGCTCGTGAGGCGGATGGTTCGCAAGGATCGAGGGCAGTCCGTAGGTTTCAAGGTAGGTATTCTTTAGGCAAGAGGAGAAGGTGTAGGCGGTAGGAAAATATTTATTAAATAGGAGTGGGAATCATATAAAAACCAGCAACATGGAAAACGACTTGATACCTCGCAAGGGAAAAGAGTAAGAACGTATGGCGTGAGGTTTCGTAGCGAATAACTTCGGCGGAGGGACCAGACAAGAAGTCGGTATTGACATGACATCTCTGGGGTACATATGCTTAAAAAGCCCAACCCCATGACTGTCATTGGCCGCTGGGGCAGGGAGGGAGGGGGCCCTGCCAGGGGAGAAGCACTGCTGTGTGGGGTGTACAACGTCACCTGCAGCGTGGCCCCTGTAAACGGAAGTCGCGGAAAAGAATACCCCATATTCCCCATCCCCTCAAGATCTACTGCTACAGCGCTCTAAATAGCATGCTACCCCGTACTTTTACTTTCTACCTGCTTCTCCAGGACACAGCAGGTACCTATTCCCGCATCGATCTGAGCATTGTGACCCTTTCGAGGTCAGCTGGAGATGTGTACAAGGCGATCCCCGAAACTATGCATTGCACCACCAACCACCACTCTCAGCACAACAGGCGAGTCAGACGCGTCTGTCGGTAACGGTAAGCGAAAGCAATTCCGTCCGAGAGGGCGTCAGTCACGTCCCCAACGAGTGGCCCTCTGACATCGGGCTGTCAACCAATAATCGCGGTATCATGTCTTCGAACAGCTTCTTGTGGGGTCTCATGACTATGTACTAAGTACGCCTTGAATCTGATCCATCGACAGAAGGAGGGAGGGAGGGAGCTTTTAAGGTTAGGACATGGCTCAGCTGTTATCTTTTCAGCAAGGCGTCTCTATGTTCGTTTCGCGTACTCCACCGTGTTCATCCATCACCACAATGCACTTCCAAGGCTCGTTCCTCTATGAATCCTACACGACCTGGGACAAAAAATTGAGCTCAGCTTTTATTTTTTATTTTTTTTGTTATGCCTCACAGGACCACCTGTATTACCCAACCTCAGAACAACCCGTTCGACTAGACTTTGCATTCTCAACCGTCGTGGACTCGCCGTTGGTGGGCCCAGTGACCTAGCCTGCCAGGGTCACAAGCAAGGAACCACGCTCTAGAGGCTGCCTCCCCCCTCTCCAGCGGGATGGGATGGCTAGGGACCTTGGCTGATTACTGTGTAGGTAAATCGCTGTTCGATCCTGACATGTGAAGGTCGGCCAAAACCCCGGCCGTTTAAGATCTACTTTCGTGGCCACCTGCTGTTCTTACTTTGGGTTCGAACATCAGTTGCTCCTTGTTTTATCGATAGCAAATGGGAAGCAGGACATGTTCGCTTCCAGGGTTTTTCTGACGCCGCGAAGATATGTTCTTGTCAGTTAATAACTTGGCAGATCAGCAGTGTATAGTTGCGAAACAAGAAAGTGGTATTTGCGTAGTTATCCGCACAAGTAGGGTATCAAGTCTAAAGAATCATCCATCAAGCCGTTGGGTGGCGCTGCCTAGTAACTCCCCCGAAAATTCTCTCACCGCATCTGCAAGCCTCTGCATCGTGCCCTCTTCGATATAAAAGTGACCTGCCGTCGACACCTCGTGTGCTCTGAACATGGATCCAGGGGCAGACTGCAGCTTTGATGTCCACTCTCGAAACTTCTTTACGGCGACGAAGACGTCAGCGTCGCCGTACACAGCGAGAGTGGGGTTTTCTATCAGCTTCTGTTGCTCCGGGCGAGCAGTCGAGTCCCCAGTGTCTAGGTCGCCCACGTCTGCCGTCGTCACATCTTTAGTCTTGGATGGCTTCGTGTGCTTCCCAAAGAGGCCACCAAGGTTCATAGTCATCAGGCTGGTAGCCCACCCGACAGGCGGAGACACCAACAGGTAGGCCACCCGCGGCGTGATCAACCCATTGACTGGTGGCAGACTGTCTGCTACCTTGTGCTCCTCGGCTCCTGCATCCTTGGAAGCCGCTGGCGTGCCGTCACTCTTTTGCTCCGCATTCTTCTTTTTGTGATGATGGAGCTGGTGACTCTTTGCCTTCTGCATAAGGTCCGCCACGCCCTTGCGTATCTTTTCTTCGGTGTCGGCGGAAAAGCTACGGCGACTGTGCTCCTGGCTCCGGCGCTGGTCCTCGTCCCCGCCCACCCGCATCCCAAACGCTGCCTTTCTGGGCGACATGGGGCCCTCTGTGAGCACTACACGCGCACTGCCCAGAATGAGGTTCTGTTTCTCTGCAAGGTGCTGGGCCCGCAGCCGTATGTCTGCTGCCGCGGAGGCTACTTTTGGGGCGATAAAGGGCTCGAGGGTGGCATCGAGAGTTGGGAGGAGCTTGGTGATCATGGCGCCGTAGGAATACCCACACAAGAGAAAGACCGGGACGTCTGTGAGCTCACCCTGTGGCTTGAACGGGTCCAAGTAATGCACATAGTAGTACACAAATGCGGCAAAAGACATGTAATCGCTCCTCTCGGCCTTGGAAGTCCACGAGGTCCTGCCAGTGGACTTCCCCGCCCCGCGGAAGTTGAATGTGCCCACTACGAATCCCTGTCTCAACAGGACTGCTGCCACCGTCTCGACGACCGCATCGTCATAGCACCCACCTAGAGGCGCATAAGGATGTGCGACGACGGCGGCGTGCTTGCGCCACGGCGGGGCGCGGGGGTTGGGCGTCAGGGAGTGGGGATGGTAGATGCGGCATTCGAGCGTTGTCGAACCGTCATGAATGCTAGGAATCGTGAAGGATAAGGCTGGCTCAGGAAGCATTGTTCCACCTGAAGAAGAAGAGGAGACGTGGTGGTGGAAGCTGGATTTGGGGTTCTGGCGAGGCATTGGGAGGAGATGGCGGGTGGAGGTTCACTGCCCCTCATCGTCAGCGCGGGGCTGGATTGCGGTGGTTGGAATTCGGTCAGGGCTGGCACATGATGAGGCTAGGATGCATGCATGAGAGGGTTTATGGGGCACCCCAAACAGTAACAAAAAAAGAAGAAAAGGTTGTGATGGGAAGGAAAAGATGGGAATCACGAGGAGTAAGAAGGTGGTAGAGCATGAGAAGGATTTGTTGTCGAAAAGGGAGAGAGAGAGAGAGAGGGTCTCAAAGCTCTCTAGCAATTCGCCCTTGACGTCAAGGTCTGGACCCTGGATCGAGTACACTAACATGCAGTATACAACACTAATTGATAGTGGTGTATAGCAACCCTCACTTAGTCCTTGCATCCCTGAACAGAATCTAATCTACTTAAGAACTTAACTAACCTCGACAGTGTCTTCGTTTTTGAGTTCCAAATCCTCATTTGTGAATTCAAATGCCCCTTTAGAAGTAAGTGTAAGTCAGTTGAGGCCAAGAACTTGACAACATGCAACTTTTCAGAATTGATCCTTTCATAGGGAAAAACAATGAATCAGTCAACATCCAAGCAGAGAGACGTGAGGGCTGAAAGCGAGCCATTCTGATCGAATGGGAATTATGCACCGTATAAAGTGCCCGTTTTGCTGTGCAAGTATATTGATTTTGGGAAAATATATTTGTTTTCATTGTGCTCCTTTCCGACCTGTCAACGAAATAATTTTTCCCCATTCCTCATTCTATGGCGCAATTTTCATGGCGCTGTGTCCCGTCGGCGCTCGTTTATGCAGAACAAGTGGAGCAGGCTACAAGTGGGCGTTGCAAGCCTTTGCCCGTCAGATTTTGTCACGAGGAAGAGTCATCGCCCGCGAAGAGGGGGTCTGATGACCCCTCTGCCTATTTTTATTTTATTTTATTTTCTTCTGCTTTTTATTGCGCAGGTCTTGATTCGTCAGTCTTGCTTTGATTTTTAATCGTCTCCTTCGTGCTCATACTCTTTTTCGCTTGTGTTGGGCGTGAAGTTGTCACTGTTGTCTCAAATTTGACTGCGACTTTCCCTGATTGCTATTATACCTTTTTGTGTATCTCCAGCCCCACCAAAAGTCGGTCTGTCTCTCGTCCCAAGCCACCTTGGAATATGGCATCTAGTCAGGAAAACCGGACTGGCTCACCTCGAGCTGAGGACGATACCGATCTCGAATATCATGAGCGAAGTGTCTGGCGAGCGATATGGGAGGACAATAAGGGCGCCCTCCTCATTTTACTAGCCGAAGTCTTTGGATCATCCATGGACGCCACCGTACGGTACCTACAGCAACAACAAGGCGGACCGGGTTTTCACCTTCTCCAGGTATATTTCCAGCCATCAAGTCACCTGTTGACTCTGAAGTTTGCTTTTAATTAATCGGTCTCTCCCTCCAGATCGTCGTCTTCCGCATGGGCATAACATGCATACTGAGCTCAACGTATATGTGGTGGACTCGAGTCCCTCATTTTCCACTAGGAGATCCTGAGGTGAGAGGCTGGCTTGTCCTCCGGGCCCTCTTTGGATTTGTGGGTCTATTCACACTCTATTGTACGTCGACGACCCTCCTCTGCAATAAGAAGAAGAAAAGAAAGAAGATGAAAAGAGAAGAAGACGCACGTACTCACACACCCTCTAAGATTCCCTTCACTATCTCCCCCTCGCTGAGGCCACTGTCCTGCGCTTCCTCATCCCTCTCGTCACCGCCTGGGCCTGCCACATCTTCCTCGGCCAGTCCTTCACCAGCAATCAGCTCACCGCCGGCCTCATCGCCCTGGTCGGCGTGGTGATCATCGCACACCCAGAAGCCCTGTTCGGCAAGGTCGACGACATCGTCGAGAACACCACCGCCACCGCCTCCGGTGACCTCGACACCGTCACCTCCTCCCAGCGCCTCCTCGCCATCGGCGTGTCCCTCATCGGCATCTTCGGAGGCTCAGGTGCCTACACCGTGATCCGCGTCATCGGCAACCGCGCACACGCCCTCGTATCAGTCAACTACTTCGCCTTCATCTCCACCGTAGGCTCTGCCGCCGCCCTCCTCGCCCTGCCCGGCGTCGGCTTCATCATGCCGCGCTCTGCCAAGGAGTGGCTCCTGCTCGGCGCCATGGGCCTGCTGGGCTTCGCGCTGCAGTTCCTCCTGACGACGGGCTTGCAGCTGGACAGGAGCCCCAAGGCGACGTCGATGCTGTACACACAGATCCTCTTTGCTCTCGTCTTCGACTGGGCCATCTGGGGTGTGCTGCCGAGCGGCTGGAGCTGGGTCGGCGGGGCGATCGTCGTGGCTAGCACGCTGTGGTCTGCGCTGCAGAAGACGCCACCTGTGTCGCCCAGAGAGGCGGCGAGGAAGGCGGTGGTGGACGAGGAGACGGCGTTGCTTGGGGCACATAGGCCCGGGACGGATGGGGAGGACAGCAGTCCTACGACCACGTAGTAGTAAGTATCGGACAACTGCAAAGTTGTGCCAAGGATTTTGAGATAATTTCCAGTATCTCAGAAAGTCGACTACCGCCGCCAGAAAGGGGGAGCAATTTCCCAGTCCTCAGGGTTTCCTCCTGTGACACAATGGCATTTACACTCCAATATTTCAACCACAACAAACGTGCAAGTCTGCCCAACCTGGCTTTCCTCCTACACTTGCAGCTTCTGATTCTTTCATCCTACCCTCGACCATCCGCTTACCGCCACTTTGACGGTCCTCCCAAACGCCTCATGCCATGTGTTTTGCTACGGGCCTTGAAGCCAAAGCATTAAAGTATGTCGCGCCGGAAGTCACAAGTCTCGGGCGTCGGGGTGACGGTACTACCAGAACAACGTTCGGATTTCGTGCTGCGGAGACCTTCGTTCCCGCTGATTTCCTGCGACACGATATGCGTCCTCGCCAGTATGGCGGGTGTCTTGGTTGGTTCACTGGTTTTTACATGCAGCCAAGTTGACATCGCCCTGGCCGAGGCTAGCGGGGAGACTGAATTTACTGAATATAACGGACTTATGGTCAACCGGGCAGTATAGCGTTAGGCATACAGACTGTCTTCAGTGGAGCAATGTTTGTTGAGTTTCTGCCTCTGTATAGTGGCTATTGGGTAACATGTGAGGATTTTTATAAGGGACTGAAACCTCATGGCTACCATGTGTAGGGACCAATCGGCGAATGAGGAAGGCATCTGACAATACAATACGGCCTCATGTAGTTGACGCACGGGTTGAATCGAGCAGCGGCCGCCACTAGGTGATTAATTGCCTGTCCTTGTGTTGTATGATTCGCAAGGAATCCTTACCTTGGATATCTCGACAAGTGCGTTGGAATTGCATAAATGTATTGCGTGGCTGGACATACAAAACAGGAAATGGGCTTCATTCTAAAGAAATCTGGTATTCCGGACAATCTTAATACAGGCTCAGCTTCTATTCAATTGATTCCTCACTTGTCGTATTAGACAGCACAGATGAAGAACCTCAAAAGACTATGGAAGTCCGGATAGAGGACAAGGACCTGAGGTAGAGATCTCGTCGCTCGAGCTGTTACAACACAGCCGCCGCAAGCAGAGTACGCATTTCTGAGTCTCTGGGGCGTCCTGTGTTCGGCTGTTGCCTGAATGAGCAAAAAGGATCTCTGTGGAGACAGAAGTAGCGCTTAGGAGGTTGTGACGCGTTCTCCCAGACACATCGAGGAAACTCAATACGGGGTTCCATCTCAAGGGCGGCTAATGAAATGAAAAGTAAAAGTAAAGATATAAAAGAGTTGGTATGTGAGAGGGACAATGGTGGGGGCGGAGCACCAGCGGCCCGGGGAGCATCGGCTGACCGGGGGCCCCTGACAAGTACCAAGTATTCTTTCACCGCTCGTTGATGTTCTCAAGTATGACGGGAAAGATAAGTGATTTAATTAATACCAGTTTCTCAAGACATAGGAATTACAGAATCGGGTGTAATTTCCTGGCGTTTGGGTAAACTCTAGACTGTATTCAAAATCTTCCATGAATTACTGTTCATTCCCTCAGACATGCAACGCATGATAACTACTATTGATGAAGAAGCTTCGGAGAAGCTCATGATATGTGCATGGTTGTCCTGATGTATGGTGTGATTTTGGGGATCTGTATGCAAAGTGAAACTGCTCCTGCATATGCCGTGCATGAATTGGAGAGGCCCTTGATCGCATCAGGCATTTACAGCTCACCACGTAGCCGAAAATCTGGTTGCCTGACGATACTTGGCTTAGACATTTCGGGTCTTTCTCTCTTTCAGACCTACAGCATGCATATGTATCCTGCAAGAAACCCGGGCTGAGACCAAAAGTGCTGTTTTTTACAGGCTGTCCATATCCCATCGCTTCTGCATGTCATTCCCCGGGCCGTTGCGCTATCTGGAGAGCACAGGTGCGCTTTGATAATGAACGCAGCTGTAGACATCACTACCAGGTGCCGATTACTACAATGGGTGGATGCTCATTTTATTCTCACTGCAGTGGCATTATAGTATATGATGACTTCTTATTTAAGAGGCTGAAGAGGGCACCCACTCAGACTGGATTACCTAGGTATATGCAGGCATTCGTAGGCTTGTACGGTGCTTCACGAAGATTTTCGACTACCAATTGATACTTCAACCTCCTGATTATAAGAGTCCAATAACTCTGTTGCAAAGCTCTCCTCTACTATATTATTTACTCGAACTTTACACACACACTCTCTCTTCCTTTTTGTTTGTCTTTTTTGTTTCTCTCATCCTCCTCCTCCCTATATACTGCAGCACTCTATCAGAGACTATCTGAGAATTATCAACTGTTCATTCAAAGTATGATGAACCATCCACAACACTCTCAACTAGAAAAGGGCCGCTTTGAGAGCCGGAATCGTGGACCAACAACACAATTGGAAACGAGGATGGCTTTCAGTCATCCTCATGGTACAACAATGCAGGCTGCGTCATCAGCAGCGCCTTCGCCATCAGTGGGAAAGCTGGTTCAGGGTAATGCGAAACTTGAAAACACTCAAGACTCTGGATATAATAGTTTCCAAAGCAGTTTTGTATTACCAGATCTATGTATGAAGATTCCAACATCCCTCGTTGACGTCCTGCTCTCTGACCTTCTCCACAGCAACAGAGCAGCAGCAGCACCACAATACGGATCGCCAGAGAGAAATAAGAGAGCTACAGATACGGCTCTCTTCCGGGAAGGAATTTCTCCACTTGACCTCAAAAGCACTTGCTGACCATGACGCTGCGATGACGCGACAATCCGAGGCCCTCAAAAGCTGTCACTCAGTGGCGGAGAACATCAATATGGATCAATCAACATCCTTTATTCCTGAATCTAAGCCTCGTGTTGAGCGCACAAAAGAATATGGCCAAACTGGACCCTCCGAGGCCATCGATACTATCCAATCTCGAACAGATCAATCACGACAGCGCCAGGCTCCCGCCTATATGGCCGGTGACAGTACCCTTCTGGATAATCGCAAACCCTCGCTATCACCCGTGGCTGTCGAATACAAGACCTTTTCGAACGGCATTCATGAGAACGCAAGACGACAGAACAAGCAAGAACCTGCAATTTCAACGACGCCGGGCAATGTCCGCCCTGTCGAGCCACATGACCCTGACCAAAGCCGATTGTCAATATGCACTAAGTCTCTTTCGCTTGGAGACCCGGCGGACGTTGAGGAGCACTCGTCTGACAACCTCCACGGCAATTGCTTGCTTTCCAATCGTGTCCAAGACCCGGCGGGGTTTCCAGAACAAGGTGAAAGACGGCTGCAGAGATGGTCAAGGCTGCGCATCAAAGATCTCACTTTGATGGCTCTGTTTCCCATCCTGGATTTCATACGACACGGCATCGTTGGCCAGTATATCGGATGCAACGGAAGCAGCGACACTCGATCCAATTCTGCCCCGCAAAGGCAGGACAAGCGGACACAAAAGAGTACCGGCTCCAAGAAGCGACTTCGCAGCTCTAAAGCCTCCAAGCCACCGGGTGAGGACAGCGATGATGAGCAGTCCGATAATGACGAGGGCCCCTCTAAGAAGCATCGACGCACCGAGAGCGATTCGCTACAATTTGCCTGCCCATACCTGAAAAAGGACCCCGTCAAGTACACTGGTCCTAGATGGAAATGCCACACTCGTGAGCTCTCCAGAATCCGCGACGTCAAACAGCATCTCTATCGCAGACATGAGCCTGCGGAATACTTCTGTCCACGATGTAGTGGTATATTCCGCAACCGGGAGGCCTTTGATGATCATACTCTGTCTGACTTCCACTGTACACCACGTATTCCACGCGTCGAGCCTGACGGAATTACCTCTACAATGAGAGCGCAGCTGAACAAGAGATCACCAGGCACCAGTGAGGAACAATGGTACACAATGTTCGCCATCGTGTGTCCAGACCAGCCACGGCCCTTGTCACCGTATAACGATGTGGCTCTTCTAGAGAATGTCCCTGAGTTCTGGAGTTTTATGGAAACGCAAAGCCTCCAAGAACTCTCTGTGATCATAATGCGAAATGGCACAGTACCGCAACAAGATGTCCAAGCTCTGCTATCAGCCTTTCAAACGGCCCAGGAGAGGCTTTGTCGCGAATGGATGATGTCGGGCAATGTTGGCTCCTCAATGCCAGCCTCAGCCTTAAGTCCAGTCCAAGGTATTATGACGACCTCCACCGACCAGCAAGATCAAGCCGCCGAGTCCGACACATCCCCAGAGTCTCGGAGACAGGCAGCGAACGGGACGCTTTCTAGCCGCGATGAAGATGCTTTTGAAGTCAACACATACGATACCGTGGAAAGTGTAGCAACTACATTTGGCACTCCTGGCATTTCCCCACAGTCGATAGCTCGGGCTGAAGGCCTGTCGAGTTTCACAGGCCATGAGCCAGCCTCAAGCGGCGAAGGCGCGACATACTCTTTTCCCCAGTTCGCTAATGACGATGCCGTGGGTGACACTTGGCTTCGGCATGGGAATTCGGGGACAATAGATTACAACGGAAACCCCCATACCGATTGTGCTGTTGAGTGGTGGTGAAGGCTTTTTGTCAGAAAGCGTGGAACTTACACGATGGCCCTGTGTTCCTGTTTGGACTTGGTAAGCTTGCTGTTGACCAGCAATGATGAGGTGCTCATACTTGTTGAGTGCTCAGTACTGGTAAAGGGGAAGCAAATGACAACAGTGCGATGTGGATCTCGGTTGGGGGTTTGAGGAACTGGATTGCAATGGATTCTATGTTGAATCATGTTGGGAGAATTGTCTGAAGGCTTTTCTTTGGTGTTGTTGGTGAAGCCGAAGCATGTGCAGGGGTCAGGGATGGGGACGCAGAATCTGTCGACTAGGGTTCCTAAAAGCTAAAAAGTCCTTAGTCATCTCAGCCTCAAAATTGATCTTTCCACTCTTTAACACTGCTGCATCAAAGCTGTTGTGAATTTGCCTCTCTGACTTTCGATTTTTCTTTCTTTTCTTTTTCCTATTCTTCGATCCTGAAATGATTGTGCCCAAATAGCGTAGTCGCCACCAACCGCATCACCTTCTCTCAGTATTCTACCCAACACGACACACCAGCAATATGACAGCCATCAAGGACCACTTCATAGACCTGGAACGTCATCGCCGCCAGCTAGAAGACAATGTCACAAAGCTACAGACAGCCCTACAGCACTGGCGGATGAGCGATGCAGAGTATGAACAGCTCAAGGATGAGGTCGAAGCGATACCTGAACCTGCAAGTCGTGATGATCTGGAGAGGATCAGGGAGGAATTTGATGGCGAGGTCGTAACGGACAAGGAGGTTGAGGAACTGTTTGGCAAGTCAAACGAGAAGCCACCGGCACAGATCATCAATCTTCTCTCGAGGAGAATCGACTACGTCTCGAAAAATATAGAAACATTGGAGAAGCAGGTCGAGGCTGCGGAGGAGAAACTCGCGGCCGCAACCATTGTCGTCAACCCTGACGTGCGGGATGAAGAAGGCCTGCCGATTACGGATATCATTGAGCAGCTTGATGATGACGATAATGTTACAACGTACCGACTTCAACGGCCTGGAGATCTGCAACCGCAGATACAAGAAGCCCTTGCCAAGGCTGGGATCAAGGAATTACCCGAAGGAGGCGAAAAAACCGAGTCGAGAGATGAGGAGAATGCGCCTGTGGACGCTATTGAAGGCGATGAACATGAAATCTCCAAAATAAAGGGCAAACAGCGTGCAGAGGACGAGGGGAAGTCGCAACCAGAATCTGAGGTACTTCATCAGTCGCCCCCGTCACCGGCCGTTAAAAAAGGCGTCTCCTTTACGGAAGACACGAAAGCGGGTCATGACCCCGCCACAAGCGAGGAGCAGCCCAAAACGAGAACCGCGCAGCGCTTGGAGGAGATTATGGAACAGGCTCAACAGCAAGCAGCGCCTTTAGACAATCCAGTGATACCCCAGAACGAGTCGGCAGAAGACGCGGCGCTACGCCGGGAGATGTTGAGATATGGCATGGAGGAAATTGCGCCGATTGTCGCCGAGCTTGAAATCGACGAGGAAGGGGAGTCGGACTTTGACGACGCATACGAGGACGAGGACGACGACGACGATTATGATGAAGAGGACGAGGATGAACACGGGCGATACAAGTACCGTGTTGTTGGAGACGATTATCGGGCCAGGATGGAGGAGCTCCAGAAGAAGCTGGGTTTCAAGACGACCCGAGAGCTTGAAACTGGGGATGAACTACAGCATAATGAGGAGGAGGAGAGAGCCGAGGGCAGAGTACCCGACGAGGGCATCGCCCGGATTGCAGTCCAACCACCGCCTCAAGCTCAATCTGCTATGAAATCGGAGAACCAGGCTGCGGACGCCAAACCCGCCAAGAAGGAGGTCAGATTCGCCAGCGCCCTGGATGTCGCCGAGTCTGACTCGATGAATGACCCTCCCGCGACTGTTCCAGAACCCGAGCAGCCTTTTGTTGACCCTATGAAGGCCATGATTGTGGAGCGGAGCCCAGCACCGCAGCCGGCCGCCCCAGTGTCAACTGAGCCCAAGAAGCTCTCTCGATTCAAGAAAGCCAAGACCGCCCGCGGTACCAACGCACTGCCCATCAGACAAGCCCCCATCGCTCCCAAGGGCCCAGCGGAGGCACCAACATGGTTTCTCGGCCAGGAAGATGTGCGGACAGCCCCCACCGGACCGGAGGGTAAGACACTTGCTGGAACCGTCCTAGAGCGAGATACTCCGGCCGAGGTGAGAGAGCCAGACGAGTTCGATGCTGCATTGCTGCACCAGGAGGCTGCGACCGAGTACCACCGCATGCGGAATCGCATGATTCTGAAAGACGGCGGCTTCATGAAGGACAAGGAAGCGCCGATCGAATACCCAGAAGAGGAAGAGAGCGGGAAGCGTGTCAGCCGGTTCAAAGCCGCCAGACTGGCGAGGCAGTGATTCCTTGCAGCAAAATTGATCTGGAAGGAAGACGAGGCCATATTCACGGCACGAAAGATTCTGATTGCGTCCTTGCTGTGATATGTTGCCGTGTCCATGGTCGTCAAGGAGCTCTAGCGAATTGCTTCGAATTTCTGGTCAACAAAACCACTTCCTACGACATACAACGGTGGGTTCCACCACACCAACCTTTCTGGGAATAATTATCTGGTGGTATCTGTGACATGTTACGGAACCCTCATCGTCTTCGGACAATGTAAAGTAACAGAGACCTCTACCTGCTTACTTTTCAAGGGCAATTCCAAGATCAATCACTTTGTTGGGCTTATCTGACCCCTGACCTGCGGAGTGTGTATACATGTATGCACATACACTCTGCCTTGTGGTCTAGGCGTTTCGTTTCACCCATTACATATCTACGAGCAGTTATCTCCTCTGTCTTGCGGAAGTGATGCTTCGCAAAGCGATATCATGATTGTACGCCTGTAAACTCCAATCTAAAGTAATTTTTTGCCCTCTCTCTCAACAAATACTCCACCTAGCCACAAACGCTCTCTCCTTCTCTCTCTTCAATTCATCTTGGCATTGCTAAAGTCCATCTCGGGGTGCTGCTCCTGGAACTTCTTGAGGATATCCAACTTCTTCTGCTCGTCGCTGGAGGGCAGCCCTGCCTCCTTCTGGCGCTGGTCGTACATCATCTTCTCGACCATGCCGCGCGTTTCCCCATCCAGGTCGGACAGCTTGCTGTTCTCGGGCGTGATCTTGGTCACGTCGATCTTGGGCGCGTCCGTGACCACGTGGGGCCACCATTCCATCTTGTTCACCTTGTCCAGGTGGATCTCGATGGTCTTGGTGCCGTCGGGCGCGGTGACCAGCGTCCAGGTGGAATCGTCGACGTGGATGGGGTGGGGGAGGTCGCCCTGTAGCAAGCAGCAAGCAAGTCAGCCCTGTGTTCTAAAGAAGCCTGGGAAACCTTTCGATCTCTTTGCGGGAAGAGCAAAGGTGTGGCGTCGTAGGGTCCTCACCTGGATCACAGGGTCCTTGCCCTTCACGCCGGCCGCCAGCTTCTGCTTCTTGATGTCCACGACCAGGTCTCTGCCCTTGAAGTTGCCCGGTATGCCAGTGATGGTGATGTCCACATCTCCAATTGTCTGCGTCCAGCCGTATGGGAGGGCATCCTGCTCGGCCTTCTCCTTTTGGCGGGCGGCCGCCTCTTCAGCTGCGGTGGGTTCTAACAGGAGGGGGAACGTTTTGTTAGTCACTGGTAAGATATTTTATTGATAATGCGATTGTGTAAAGTTGAAAAGAAAGCCCTGTTCCATGGAGGCCTTTTGCTTTGAAAGTGCTTTTGAGTACTGAAATGAAAGGGCTGGATCAGACATACCTTTGTCAGTCATTTTCCTCTGGTGTTTGTGAAGCTTGCCAGACAGTGTACAAGTACTTGCAGAAGGTCATGGAAGGCGAGGAAGGCTGAATAGAAATCCATAGTGCCATGGCGGGGCATCGTCTCAGTGGAGCTTACTGCTACCCCACAGCAGCTCGAGTACTAATCTAGGCCCGCCCTAGTACCAACCAATCGTGTTCTAGTGGCTTTGTGGTAGTGGTTCAGGGTGCCTGTGCTTTGTAAAACCGACACCCCCACGTCACTTCGGGCCAGAGTTCGAGGTCCTCCCTTTTTGTCAGCCTTGTCCACTTCATCAACTCTCCAAAGCCAACAGTTTGGGTGCCTGCCGGCCTGGCTTTGTGTACACTCTCAACCGCCAAAATTCTTTGAGAGCAAGAAAGAAGAATACGAAAGGAAACGAAGAAAAAACACACCACTCATGCCTCCCTCGAAATCATCTTCAACCCCCACGTCTTCGATGCGACGCTCTTTACGGTAACTTCTCAGCAACCCAGCCTTCTCCCCTGTGTGGGAAAGCCCTAGACTTCCATTTCCCGTGGGAACAGCTTTGAGAGTTTACCCCCCGCTCCACCATGTCGAGACCCTCAACCTCCCGCAGCGGAGGTGGCGGTCCCACGGCAGCGCCCGTGACGACGATGACCAACGCCGACGGAGAGGAGCAGTGCCCGATCTGCAAGACCCTACGATACATGAACCGCAACCTCATCTTCCTCATCAACCCCGAGTGCTACCACCCGCTCTGCAACAACTGCGTCGACCGCCTCTTCGAGAACGGGCCCAACCAGTGCCCCTACATTGGCTGCCACAAGACGCTACGGAAGAAGGGCTTCCGCGAGCCCAAGTTTGGCGACCTCAACGTCGAGCGCGAGGTCGACATCCGCAAGCGCGTCGCCGCCATCTTCAACAAGGGCGAGGAGGACTTTGAAGACCTCAAGGCCTACAACGACTACCTCGACATGGTCGAGACGCTGACCATGGACCTGGTCTACGGTTCCGAGAAGGAGCAAGACGCTGCCAGCCAGCGGCTCCTGGCGTGGGAGTACGAGCACCGCCTCGAGATCGAGAAGAACCGCAAGCACGGCGAAAGGCTCCGCGAGCAGACCCGCAAGCAGTTCGCCGCCGAGCAAAAGGCCGCCGCCCAGCGCCGAGCCGACGCCGCGCGCCAGGAGGAGGAGGAGCGCCTGCGCAAGGCCCGCCAGCGCGAGGAGGACCTGGACATGCTCGCCAGCGCGCCCACCGGCGCCGCGAGCAAGATCATGCTCAAGAAGCGCGGGCAGAACCGCAGGGAGGCCGTGGCGGAGAGCGAGGCCGCGGCCATGCGGGCGGCCCAGCACGCCGCTGCCAACGGGGGTCTTGCGATCAAGGGCCTGAAGAGGAAGCCCAACGCGGCCGCGTCTGCCGCCGCCGAGGACACGGGGCCCTACGATCCCCTTGGCAAGCTGGACCTGCGGCCCTCGCGCTACGTGCTCCAGCCGACGTACAAGAACGAGTTTCTCGACACCCTGCTGCAGGACCCCAAGCTCCAGGCGGGCGGCTACAATGTGCAGGAGTACTACTCCCGCGCCCTGTTTGAGGCCTTTGCCGGCTTGGCGGTGTTTGTGAGCGACGAGAAGGAGACGGGCGGCGTAGGGATGGACCATCGCGGTGTGGCCACGCAGGGGGCCAGCATGGCTGCCAACAGCGAACCCGGGACCATCGCCTCCTTTGCCGGGTCTCGGCGGCAGCAGAACAACTCTGGCGACGTAATCAAGAAGAGCAGCAGCAACAGCAGCAGCCAGAGACGCGGCGCGGACGCCACGAGGCGAGCTGTTTCTGGTGGTCTGGGTGGGTTCGATGGCACCCCGCCACTACCCGCCGGAGTCACGAGCGAGGACGGAGATGTGCAGATGCGCGACTACGTAAAGCCCGAGCCGTCGCCCCCCGTGGTTAAGATGGAGGTGGACAACTTCTAGCGGAAGGATTCACCTCACCGGCTGGCAGGCGCGCGATGGTTGAAATGTAGCGGGTGTGGACGGTGTGAGGCGTGTCTCAAACGGCGCTTCTACATGGATCTGGACTGATGAGAGGTAAGGGGGGGGGGGGGGGGTTCGGACGATGTGGATGGGACTGCATGCATGCATAGCAAGGCGTTTTGTTTCATGGACTAAATTATGGCGCTGAGAGTGGCTCACTCTGTTAGACTCACTTGGGTAAAGAAGGGCCGGGCGCGGGGAAGGGTGCGTTTTTAATGATCACGATTGATCTTTCTGAGGCGTTACAGGTATTACAGAAACGGGTCATATGAAAACCGAACTGCGGACGCAGGGAAAAAGAGATTCAGAGCCCACCCGTCGCGTCGTTTTGCACCCGGACAAGAGGCGTGTTGATCTGCCCCAGGCCAAGGCAGACAGACCAGCATGATCATTACGGGATCAATAATAATTCTACTCAATTACTTTTCACACGTTCAGTCTTGCATTTGCCACTTTGGTCCATTAAGCCTACCGCCTACAGCTACAGACTTCAATTGTGCCGGCCTTTTCCTTCACTCCTTCTCAGCCCCCCTTTCTTCACCCTTGCCTGATAAAGCATCGTCAAGCTCAACTTTCATGTGCGATACATGGGCAAGAGACCAAGGGCGCCGTCTGGTCCTACTCATCTAAGGTTCCCTCCGCCCACCAGATCCACCGCACTCCGTTTCTCATCCACACGCAAGTAGAAAAAATGCCCGTCCAATATGTGATAACGCACGCCGGTACCCAACGCCACGCTCTGTAAAACACAGAACCAGGGATTAAAGACTAAATGATAAAAAAGCATGTTTGCACACACAACAAGCCAAGTATCAATGAGAGGGCGGCGATGCTTTTTTTCCTGGATTTCTTTTTCGTCTTGTTTTTGTGTTCTCTCTTCTTGATGACTTGTTGGTGCGTTATCAATAAAAAAATAATTTTATTGCTGCCAAGGGCTTTGTTGTGCCGGTCGAGGGAAGACAGAGACCGTCTGCAGGGAGTCAAGCCCGCCGCCCATAGGCTGCTGGTTATGTTGCCAGCCCATGCCCGTATTATGGTTGACAAACTGCGACTGGCGGAAGGGATTTGTCGTCCCCGTAGGCTGAGGAAGCAGACCGGCGCTTGTGGCTGGCCGCTGCTGCTGCTGCGGTTGAGGAGTACCAAAGTTCTTGGCAAATGGGTTCGTCCCAGTCTGCATGGGCTGCAGTGGCCCTGCCTGTTGTGGTGGTGTTGGCTGGAACGTGGGTGGATTAGACTGCGACGCCGGCCGGGCGAAGGGATTCGTAGATGTCTGCTGCGGTTGTAGGGCCGTAGGCGGGCTCGTTGGGGCCGAGTGCGTTGTCATGCCGGTGGGCATGGGGTTCTGACCCGTCGCCATCATGGACACTCGGAATGGGTTGGTAGTCTGCTGTTGCGCTTGGAGGTTGGGCATGGATACGTTGCCCTGCTGGAACGATGCGACTGAGTCCTGCGGTATCGGAGCCAACGAGCTCTGGAAGCCGGCCTGCGACATGAATCCACCAAATCCTGCGCCTGCGTAGGGCGGCTGGAGCTGCTGTTGAGGAACCTGCTGCTGCTGCTGCTGCTGCTGCTGCTGCTGTTGTGGGAAACCTGTCATCTGTTGCTGGAAGGGGTTCGTTCCCTGGAACCCAGTCTGCTGCGGCACGAACCCGTTCTGGAACTGCTCGGTAGGTTGAGCCTGGAAGCCTGGGTTTCCCCAGGGCGATGCTCCCACTTGCGGCTGTGCGGACGGGGGTGCGCCCAGCGTGGTCTGGTTCTGCTCTATCGAATCGAAGAAGTCGATCAGATCCGCATCCGGGCCCTTGGCCGGCTTGGACTCCGATGCGGACGAGCTCGCAGCGCCATTAACATTGGGAAACGAGCTGCTCGCCGCCGCCGCCGACTTGCTCGCCGCCTCGCTCTTGAAGACTGGTGGTAGCGGGTTGGCTCCCGAGCCGCCCTTGCTCTTCTTGGCCTCCAGCTCGGCCAGATATTGTCGCCTGTGAATCTCAAAGTCCGGGTCGTTGAGGTAGTCCTCCAGCTGCCTTCCAAGGTTGACAGGAGCGTGCTTCAACTTTGGGACCTCAACTCTCGTGTGGTGTTCGTACTGGCGGGCCATGCTCAGATACTGAACCACCATGTCTGTCTGCCTGATGAACCCGCGATAGACCTCCATAGCTCTCTCCGCGTCGACCTTGGACATCTCGAAGAAATGACCTGTTCACCACTGTTAACAAAGCACCAGCAGAGGATATCCGGCCTTGGCGATCAATAGTACGTACCCAGGATGTTGATCAATGCATGGTTGAGCACCTGGAACAGCGCCAACAGGTCCAGAACCAGTAACCGGAAGACGGTGATGGTGATCTCATTCTCCGGTTCATTGTCCATGACCTAGTATTCCCGTCAGCTCAGCAACTTGTCTTCATGAGGCAGTACCGGGGGAGGGGGCACGGACGTCACATTTCAGGAGGGCTGTCAGTTGGTGCTGTACAGACTCCGTCTCCCTTAGCAGCCCCTTTTCCACAGTCAGTTTCTCCAGCCTGTTGTCTCTACCGCGCACCCAGTCGATCTTTGTATCGCGATACGCTCGTGCTCGCTCGGAGAGGTAGTTGGCGTAATGTCGTATGTTCCGTCCCTGTGTCTGGGCTGTTTCGTTGGGAGTCAGCATCTTTCCACCCCGCCAGGACGAGGACTGGACTGACCGTCAGAGAACATGCTCACGGCAAGCATGTTTCGGTGTTTTGCCAGATACCCCAGCGTGACATCAGGGGAGCCCTCCCTGATCATCAGGTGGACGGTGATCAAGCTCTTGAAGACGACGGTCCATGTTGAGTCCCTGAGCCGGTGCTGCAGCGCCCTGAAGACCTCTCCTACTCCCGCCTCTCCAGAGTGTGTCGCGATGAGGATGTGTTCGATGTACTTCGTCTTGGGAGGCGCGGCCTAGCAGCGAGTGGTCATGTTAGCAGTGCTGCCCAACCTCGATAGCGACACGCCTCGGCCGAGACGGACCTTGATCTTGGTGGCGCCCTTGACGGACTTCTCGAAGGAGCTGGCCATCGTAATAAGCCTGTTGGTCCCAAGGGCCGCGAAGGAGTCGACGGGTTGATTTGTAAATCAAGATATTTCGCGTGCGACGGGTTTGCGAGCCTCGATGCGACGAGACACACGGCCGTGCTGGTGAGTTTCTCGGCGGAGATTAATGGGGCTTGGGCTCGTCGCGGGTGCGCGGCCCTGGCTGCGGGTCTGCAAGGACCTCTTTTTCAGCGACTCGCCCAGTCGGCGATGACGAGGCGGGCTGGCGGTCGACCCGGGAAGTCCGGTAGGGTTCTGAGGGGAAATCACCAGGCGCAAATAGAGGATACGGGTGGTCCCAGGACAAATTGATCAATTGTCTGGCGAGGGGCAGGGGGAATCAAGCGGCAGGTTCATCGGGCAGCCATCACAATGACGACGAGTCGAACGGGCTTCCTGGGGGGTTCGGGTGTCCAGGGATCGACGTTGGGTAAGTGGCTGAGGGCAAATGTTGGCCCTGGCGCTGCGCGGTAATTGAACGGGAGATGGGTAATAATTTCTCAAATGGGATAATGATATCTGAGGCTTGTCCTACGCCTCGTTCGTATGCGCACCAGACGGGCAGACGAGGCAAACAAACCTGCGTTGACCTATTGTTGCACGGGTATCCTTTGGTGGGTAGCAAGAAGGACGACGATCGAGACGGTGTGTGATGGTGCTTGAGATTGCAGCAGGGTGAGTAGAGCCTGGGGGCTGGGGGTTTGGGGGGTGGGGGCCTTCAGATCCTCTCTCTTGGGTAACCAGCTTCTGTGGTGCAAGTAAGCACCGAGCAGCACACTAGCTTAGCTCCTCCCGCTCCGGTGAGGGGCCACTTGCTTGACTTCAGGTGAGGCAAGCACCGCTGTTACAGAAGGAGCCCCCGGCAGACATACAGCCTAAGCACTACACTATAGAGAGGACTGTGGTACTGCTACAGTGGACTGCACGACAACTTCAGAGTACTGTCATCACCCAAGAGGCCAGATCAAAGCAAAGTTGCAAAGGGGGCACTTTCTCGTCACCTTTTTGTCACCAAAGTATTTTTGAAACATCTTTTTGTGATTCATCATGTCATTGTGACTATGCTACAAACTAATGGATCAAGCAGAGCTTCCCTAGGCAATGTTTCTTGAAACGAAACAGGAGTTCTTCTGTACCCTTGTACCGCAAAGAGGGAGGGATAATCCATTCCAGATGATGAACCATCTGCTTTGGCAGGAAAATTGCATAGCAAGAGACCAAGGCCATATGCCTCCTCCTGGAGAACCTGGAACCCCACACAGACAGACAATAGTACCGACTCTCAGAACTACGGAGGAGGTCGTATTAGGGGCCCTGCTGAACCGAGGTTTCGCCCTATGTTCTGCTGCAGCTGTTGGTGAAACCACAAAGGACTGACAACTGCTTCTGGTACCAAGCCAGCAAGCCAGTGCAACCATACCAAGCAACAAACACACGCACAGGACTGCCAAAAGCGCTGTGGCGGAATGACGGAGACGGCTGCACACGCACACACGAAAAAAGAAAGAAGAAAAAAACAGAGGGGGAATTCCTTCCGAACTTCAAAAGTGGGTCAGAGATGCCGTACAGCGTCCGATAGTAAACAAGGTCGAGTTGTGTCGAACGCTTATTTCATAATTCCGGATCTCCTCGTCATAACCAACGCCGCTTGAGCCCACGAGGGGAGAGCCTGGCTACGACGGAGGAGGGGAATTAATCATAGGAACACGCTGGCTTTCATCATCTGTTGGACATTGTTAGAGAAACTGTAATCTCAAGTTGGATAGGGTTTTGCAGAGTGTGGTGACATACATTGTTTTGAATGGAAGGATGGAGAGGAAAAAAAGAGAAAATTCGAAAAGGCGCCCCTCGAACGCGCACTGAAAAGATATTGATGGTTCCTGCAGATCGCGGCGGACCCACTCCAAAGCGTGACAGGCCCAATCAAAATCTCTCGCTTAGGCGGATCGGCACCACCTTAGGCCCGGCCGCCCAGCAGCCTCAAGGTACAAGGGCGATGTACCTTTCTCTCTATCAAACTCACCCGTCAGTTGTGTAGAGTCTCATGACATATTTTGTTTCGAGCTGCTCCATCGCCGCTCTCTAGTGCGATCGATGCCACACTCTCTGTCATGATATTGCCTTTGAATAGAGGCCTGCTGCTGTCTGGCAGGTCTCTGAAGAGGCAATATGTCATGAATGCAGTGTCATCTAGACGAGGCAGGTCTGGTGAGCCCGCTCTTGCTGGTCTTGTCACTCAACAACCATGGACTCGACCAACGTCAGGTCTCATTTTATGCCAGAGGCGATTCCTGCACAACGACGATGCGGGAAACCAAAGGCAGCTTTCACCAAACCAAACTATTAGCAACGAGCTCTCGGCAAAAGTGAATGGACTCAAAAGCTTCTGTACGTACACACGCCATTCAGGTGTTTCTATTTGGACTATGTATTGATCCTGTTGCGCAGTCGACTTCCCGCCTCAGTCACCCGCCAAGGATTTCGAAGAAGGACAGCTTATCACTGTTCATGGCTTCTTGTCCAAACGGAGGGATCTCTCTAAAAAGATGACCTTTGTGGATCTGCTCGTGGATGCAGGCCCGTCGTTCCAGTTCAAATCAGCATGGGAGGAGAAGGAATCTCCTGAGCACGAGGCACACAAGACCCTCAGGTCCTTCTCTGCCTGGAGTCCTGTCGCTTTGACCGGGAGGATAGACAAGTACAGGACAGTTTCCTCGGGCATGTTCAGTCCAGACTTCCCGGCAGGCCGCGACAAATATGAGCTCACTCTCCAAGGCCAACCCCGCCTTCTCAACCACTTCCCTCAGAACATCATCATATCCGAGGGTGCTCTCTTCCCGCCACAGTCTCGACATCTTCAGCTGAGATTCGACAAGGTCCTGCAGGATCGGCTCAAGTTTCGTGATCAATTGGTGTCGGAAGCCCAGGACTTTCTCAGACAAGCTGGCTTCCTCCACGTAGAGACTCCGATCCTCTTCAAATCCACCCCCGAGGGCGCCAGAGAATTCCTGGTGCCTACTCGAAGACCGGGCTATGCATATGCGCTACCACAAAGCCCACAACAGTACAAGCAGATGCTTATGGCGTCAGGTGTCCGCAGGTATTTCCAGCTTGCAAGATGCTTTCGCGACGAGGATCTTCGCGCCGATCGACAACCCGAGTTCACACAGGTCAGCTCAGCTCAGCTCTTCTTCCTTCCTCTCAGAAGCACCTTTGTCCCTGTTACTACCACCCCCTTATATAATCCGCAACTAACGAAAAAATGCCAGTTGGATTTGGAAATGTCATTTGCGACTGGCAAAGATGTGATGCAGCTCATAGAGAGCCTAGTCAAAAGCTTATATGCATTCATAAGGCGCAACTGGCGCACATTTGAGGTCAACGGACAGATGGGGGTCACCTCGAGGATGCCCGATGCTGTTGACAGCTCCTCAGACATTATTATAGGCCAGTTCCCGTCCCTGAGCTCAGAGGACGGGTATGAAGGGGGAAAACCCTTCCCTCGAATTACATATCATGAGGCCATGTCCCTTTACGGCTCCGACAAGCCGGATCTCAGGATACCCAACAAGGTAGGTCGACTCTGTTAAACATAGCTTGATATAGACCAGACGCAAAGAACAGAAAAAGACTAATAAGTCACAGATTCAACGAGTCGATCACCTCCTCTCGCCCGCCTTCGTCTCCATGATCTCAGATCTAGAGGACCCCATAGTGGAAGCCTGCGTCTTCCGCTTCCAAGACACTCCCGACGTGACGATCCCCGACTTCGTCACATCCGTGTGGGACAAGTTGCCCAAACCCCTAGGCAAGAACCCAGACGGCCAACCCGTGCCCATCATCATCGACTCGCGCAGGCCCCTCTCAGGACTCTCCTCCCTCGGCCACGAAGCAGCAGCAGAGCTCCTCGCGTCAGACCTCCCGCCCCCTCTCGGAGGGCCCCTCCAAGAAGGCGACGTCCTCGTCATCCAAGCCCGGCCCAACAAGCCCTTCTCCGGCGGCTCGACCGCCCTCGGCACGCTGCGCAACCACATCTACCAGCTCGCCGTCCAAAAACACCTCCTCCCCTTCGACCCTACCTTCCAATTCCTCTGGGTCACCGACTTCCCCCTCTTCACGCCCACAGACCCGGCGACCACCTCGGACCCAGGCCAGGGCGGCGCCGCCGGCTTCTCCTCCACCCATCACCCCTTCACCGCGCCCCTCCACCCCGAAGACTTCGACCTCCTCCACACCAACCCGCTGCGGGCCAGAGCCGACCACTACGACCTCGTCGTCAACGGCGTCGAGCTCGGCGGCGGCAGCAGGCGGATCCACGTCGCCGCCGTGCAGGAGTACGTGTTCCGCGAGGTGCTCCAGATGGACGGCGCCGGGATCGAGCACTTTAGCCACCTGCTCGAGGCCCTGCGGGCCGGGTGTCCGCCGCACGCCGGGTTTGCCATCGGCTGGGACAGGCTGGTGGCTACGCTGAGCTATACGGGGAGTGTACGGGATGTCATTGCTTTCCCCAAGAGTAAGCAGGGCGACGAGCCTGTTGCTAGGTGTCCTGGGAAGGTGGGCAGGGAGGAGTGGGAGGTGTATCATCTGCAGCCTAGGGAGAAGAAGGATGTGGAAGGATGAAAAAAAAAGCAAAAGAGAGGTTGTGCTTATGCTTGTGTGTGTGTGTAGGTGTGTGTGTGTGTGTGTGCGACACGCTCATACATCTCCACTCAACAGGGTGACTTCAAAATGTATTAGACTAGACGATCCGTGTCCCATCCAGTGGCTTTTAGCGACTTTCTAAAATTGTACTGTAGGCGATAGAATAGAAGTTGGTTGAAGGAGACAACTTCCACTCATCATCTCCAAGCCAGCTGGTGCACAGCTTCGAGCGGTTCAAATATATATATATATATATATATAGCATGATGAGCCCAGCCATGTGTTATTGCACTGCCCGTGAGGTGTATACATAGTCACTAGCACACAAAAGCAGCATCAAGACACACAACACAGTACGCCAGAACGAAAGAAGCTTCTTTTCTTCCCCGAGGGAGGAAACGTGAAAGCTGTATTCTCTCCATCAGCCCCTCTCTTCCCTTTATCTACTTCCTCCAATCTTCCCCGTAGGCAACCTCCAATTACACTACACATAAAAAGACATGATCGTGTAGAATGACACGTTATGCACTACTAGACTTAAGCCAGCTTCGGTTTCCACTCATCGGACAAATCTAGCCATTTGGCCCTCCCTTTCTGCCTAATAGACCAAGGTCTCTCGAAATTCGTCCGTCCACCTTGCCAAGCGGGATTGACTTGCCAGCTAACTCCCAAACGCCCTTCGCTGTTTTTCTGTGCTGAAATGACCAACAAATAAATGATCCAACAAAAATACAAGAATCAGAAAGCAAATTTCCCCCAAACCACAGAATAGAAGCCAACAGATCCATTTGTCTCTCCCTGAGCAAGAAATGGGGGGGGGGGGGGACCTGAAAAATAATATAGTGCAGGTAACAATATATGATGCCTCGCTGGATGATACTGCACTTAATGTCTTCCTCCAAACTTCCAAAAAGGGACTGATAAAAACCTCGACGTTGTTCGCACCACGCTGGCTTGGTGGTAATCAGCCTAACAACCCGGCCGTCTGCTCGATTTGCGTCTTTAAAAAGAATTGATATATAGTGATATATATGCTGAGAGGTCGTATTTCGTCGTGAGACAGGTGTAAGCAGACAAGGCATATGCGAGGTGACATGTGTGTGTGTGTGTGTGTGTGTGTAAAGGCGTGACGTTCAACGGTCATCAGGAAGGCCGTCCATCGGCTGCCCCAGATCCGTTTTTTTGACGTTTCATCTCCCCCCTGCCATCTGATTATTTCCTGTCAAGCAATTCGCTTGCCATCCAGATACCTCGGGCTATGCCCTTGCCCGGGCATCTGATACTGGTAATAATTAGCTGGCTGCGCACGCCGCCTGGCCTCAAAGGCAGCGCGCTCCTCCTCGTCGAGCGAGAAGGCCTTCTTAAGCCAGCCGAACGCGCTGCGCTTCTTCTTGACAGTGCGCGTACTTCCCGCCTTGGTGCTCGCGCCCTCCTGCATCGTCGTCACGTTGCTCAGCATGCTCATAGCCATCTGCGAAGGGGCGCCGCGATGGCCAGGACGGTGGTTATTGCTGCTGCTGCCACCGACCACGGTGCCTGCTGTATGTGGGCGCTGCTGCAGTGGCGAGTGCGGGCTGGCTTGAACGGGGCGGAAGTGCTGGCGCTCCGAGGCTGGGGACGAGATGAGGTTGGGAAACTGCGGGCGGGAGAATTCGAGGTTTGTGGTGTGGTGCTTGGCCATGTTGTTGGTGTTGTGGTGGTGGTGATGTTGGCTATGGTGTGTGTGGTTGTTGCTGGTGGTGTAATTCCGGGAGCGGTCCGATTCGGTGCCGTGGGAGGAGGACGGCGCGCGCTGGGCCGCCCGTGGTGACTGCTGCGGTGTTGGATACCGAGGTCGCTGGATCTCGTACGCATGGACCGGCGGGACGTGGATGGCCGTGGGGAGCTCGCCCTTGAGGGAGACCCGTTCCCTCAGGGACGTCTTGTGCCCGAGGACCACCTCCTTGTCAGACGACCGTGACTGTCTATGCACGGGTTGTATCTGCAGGATCTTGGGCTGTGCGCGCATGCTGGTGGGTACGGCTGTCCGTCTCCTCTCAGCTTGGTGTGGGATGGTCAGGACGGTCTCGCACACGTCGTCGTCTGGTGATTGTGGCATGTCCTCCTCGGCCTCGATGTGAATGCTGAGCTCATCCGGCGTGCCCCTGTTCGCCCCGCGTGGTTCGACCCTCAATCTCGGCGGCTCAGCTAATGTCTTTGGAGGCTGCTCTACTTTCGGGGAGGCCCTGGGGGATGGTATTGGTGCTGGAGGAACAGGCGTGTATGTTCTCGGCTGGAGGAGGAATAGAACGTTCTCGTCCTCGTTCTGCTCATTGACGATATCGTCGTCGTCATCCTCTTCTTCTTCCTTGGACGATGCTGTCGACTCGCTTGTCTGGGACTCGGCGACCGATCCAGATTCTTCGGCTTCCCCGTCTGTCTGAGAACCGTCATCAACAACGACCTCGGGTATCTTTTTCGAGCTCTCGGGAGGGGTGTATGTGTGGTTGGGGAGCATGGTGTTCCGCAGGGTATCCGAGTCTTTTGTAATGCGTTGTCTGGCTCTCACAGGGATGTCTGGGATGTCGAGGCCGGGACTTTCAGGCGCAGCGAGGAACGAACCCAAGGAATGGCCAAAGTCCAGAGTCCGGATGCGAGGTGTGGCGGATGAAACCGATGTGGGCGGTGATGGCGGCGGCGTGGCGTGCGAGGTGCTGTCTTCGGAACGAGGTCCTGAACGACTATCTGGTTCAGAGTACGGTTCGAGCGTGAACTATGATTTCCCCCACCCCTCGCACGTCAATATGGACAGACAAAGACAAATCTCCATTTTACAAGACTGGCGTTTCCCGAGACTTCAGGTTGGGCTGGACTGTACTTATGACTTACCCTTGTCCGACGGCTCACTTCGCCCGCCTTTTTGTCTATATCGACAACCACAGAACTGAGCTGGACGAGGAGCCCGCTGAGCATGGTGCTGCTGGACTCGAGAGTGGTAAACTCCTTCATCCAGCCCTCTGTGTTGCCCTTCATCGCGTCGAAGACGTCCACCACGTCAGGCCGGTTCTGCCGCCATGTTCCCCTGTCATTGTCCCTCAGGTACTCGGAGAATTGTTTGACGGCCCGCAGGCCCTCGGCTACGTCGCGAATCGTCTGGGTGTGGGCGGTCGAGGTGCGCGAAAGGATATGTTCGATCTTGATGTTGCCCTCAACGATCTGCAGCCGGAACTTCCTGTTCTCCAGCATCTGTTCAAAGACTTCCATGTTCGTCATAGGCACCTTTAGAAAGTCCAGGCGGTCTTTCAGGTCCGTGGTCGCCATCCTGACATCCTCCATGGCCGTCTCGAGAAACTCGTCCACCTCGTCGATGTGGCCCTGCAGGATGGTAAGGACCTGGGCGTTGTTGTTGGCCATGCCCTTGATGAGCAGCTCAATGCCAAACGAGATCTGGGCGATCAGCTTCCGCAGCTCGTGACATTTCTGCCCGGACCGAAACCGCCATAGCCGGTTGGGGGGGCCTCTGGACTTGTCCTCGTCGAGCAGCTTCTCCCGCCTTGCTTTGGCGTCCTGCTCCCTCAGCTTTGGCTTCTGGCTCAAGCCTGCCCTGGTGGCCTCTTCGAGAGACTCGGCAAAGGCCTCCTGCATGGACGAGATGGGGTGCAGGGGGATGTGCGAGTGGCCACCAGCCCCCGAGGTGGTGGTCGGGGTCTGCAGCTCCCGCTCGTCGTCGAACAGAATGGTGCTGTAGCTGTCGTCATCTTCTTCATCCTCGTCGCCCTCGTCAGAGTCGTCAAAGTGGCTGAGGGTGGTTCGTGCCCCTCTCCTGTCGGCCAGCTCTCGGGCGGTCCCCGGAGACAGGTGAATCGCGAGTCGTTCCTCGGGGTCCATGGGGCGCAGGACGGCGCCGGTCGTGGCCATGGCCATGGTTGCACAGCAGGGAAGGATGACTCGCTTCTATGGCAGCCTAGACCAGCTTGTGTCTGTGACCATCGGCAAAAAAAGAAAAGAGGCGCTGGGCCCTTTGACTTGGTACTTTTTTTTCGGGAGGAAGGGGGGGGGGTTGAGAAGTGATCGGCAGGCGGTGATCGTCGGGGTCGTATAAGGTGGTAGCCGGGCTTGGTAGGTTGGTTGTCGTGTCTTGGAGTGGGCACAGCAGCACAGCAGCAGCCCCAGGGCTCAAGCCAAAGAAACGAGAAGAGGCGGGGAAAGAGGAGGAGGGAAAAAAAAGACAAGAGCCCACGCAGCCAGCCGCCGGTACAGGGTCCCGTCGAGGACGAAAAGGTTGGAGGAGGAGGACAATGACTAGGAGGAAGGAGCAAGTGGTGGTGGCAGTAGTAGTGTTAGGAAACAGCAGTAGCGATGGTCGGCCTGGGTATGGTGGCAGTAAGACAAGACCAGTGACAAGTCGGAAGGTTTGTCGCACAAATCGAGAGTGTCCAGGCTCAGCTGTGCGCTGTACTGATCCGGGCTTGTCCTCCCTTGCGGCACCAACGGCGCATGAGCATGTGAATCGCACTGCGTCGGGCTGGGCTGGGCTGGGCTGGGGGCCGAGAGAGATTGAGGAGTAGAGAGAGTGGTATGAGGAACGGGTCAAGCGTTGGCGTCCAAAAAGACCACGGGAGACATTCTCTGTGTCTGACTATAGCTCCGATGAAGATGGAAGAAAGTTCGTCGATGGTGAATTAAGTTTGTCGTCGTCAACATGGACAACGGGAAGCCGACCTCCTGATTGCCTAAGCACACGTGGACGGCTTCTCGGTATCCACAGCTCTCTCACTCTGTCTGATTTTCTCCTGACGAAGGAGGAGGGGAAGAAAAAAAAAAAAGGAAACCAAAAAACAACAACAACAATTGAATTGGCAGTTTTTTTTTCTTCGAGCAGTCAGAGAATAAGAGAATGTGACAGGGACGACGACGGGGGTGTGAGTGAGGGTTTGATGACCAGAGGTGGGTTCAGAACCGATAGTGCGGCGGCGAGGAGGCTAAGGGGAGGCTGAGGAGATTAAAGTTTGTATTGGACCGGGGCCGCTAAGAGGGGAGAACGAGGAACCAAATTGAAGTGCCCGGTCTTTGCTTCCGTGGACGGCACTGAAGAGCGCGAAGCGAGAAGAATGATATAACGACGGTAATTGATGACGGCGGAGGATGAGGTGGAGGAGAGCTCAGAAGGGGACAGGTCCGGTATTGGAAAGAATAGTAGGCGGTGGTGAAAGAAGGGGGTGGGACAGAGAATGAGGGGAGACAGGAGAGAAAGACCAGCAAGTAAAGGGTAAAGTGATCAATCAATCAGGCAATAAATCAATTCATCCACTCCGCAGAGTAGTAGTAATAGTAGTAGTATAGTAGTATGGGAGATAGGAGGTCGCCTGACGGGAAACAAGGCCATAGAGAGGGAGAGAGGGACATGGAGGGGGGGCTGGTCCGCGCCGTATAGTTGCAGTGTCATGGGACGTGTACCATAGTTTGCTTGGGCGGATGAACACAATGGGTGGATGGATGGGTGGATGGATGGTCTTATCCTGCAGATGCAGATAATTCAATAGCCCGGATGCAAGCTGCACACGGACGCAACGCCGTTTTCTGTGTGCCTCGCCATTTCTCTCTTCCTCCCTCTCTTTTTTCCTTCCTTTCCCCCTTTTTCACCGATATGATACGAGCAAGATTCAAGTAAATGTGCGCATACAAGATCCTACACTCTATGGAGTGCGAGTTGGCTTGGTAATTCAGTAAAAAGACAGACTGCCTGCCAGCCTGTGTATCAAATTACGATGTAGTGTAACCATTGTGGTGAGTGATAGAGTATGGAGCCCGAGCCAGATCGAATCAAGGATGTGGAGGGCTGAAGTTGAAGGGCGTGCATGGGTTTGGTGTCTGTGTGCTTTCTCGGTTACATTCTGCTACTATAGCCTCTATTTTCTCTCTCTCTTTTTTCCTTCTCTTTTTCTTTTTTCCTTTTCCGCCTTCTTTCGCAGTCTCTGCAGGGTGAACTGTCTGATAACTCGCCCGGTGCCTGGCCTAGGCCTCTGCCATGTCTAGAGTGTTCTAGCGCTGGAACCAGAGAAACACATCTTTGGGTGACTGCCGTGTCAATCCCTACCTAAAAAGTACAAGGAGACAAGAGGCCAGGGAGACTTAGATTCCATAATCCTCGTGCCCTGATCCTGCCCACTTGCTCTACACTGCCCCGTCTTTTGGCAATGCAGCACATACTCCACCACACACACGTTTGCTCTCTGTCTGCAAACACACTGCACAGAGCTGGGTTGCACAGGGCGGCCGCGGCCTGGGTCTTGGCTACCGTTCAAGGTAAAAATCTCATCCAAGCCGTTGAGATGGTTCTGACAGTAATTACCCCAGGGACCTAGAAGAGGACAAGTTTCTCAAAAGGCGCTTCCCCTTCGGGCTCCCCCCCCCCCCTTTCCCACGTGTACCCAAGAAGGGCAGCTCCAAAGGTAGCTCCTCTAAAAGGGCAGCAGCCACAGCAGGATTGCGTAAACGCTGGGCCAGGAAACAGGCCAGAATTTGATTTCTTGACGACGACCCGAGGAACTTGGAAGAAATGAATGAATGAATAAGGAAAAATAACCAAATCTGAGATGCACGACAACTCGCCTGCACACTCTTCATTCTAAAAACCCACTTCTACCTTCTCCCTCCCCCCCCCCTAACCACCTCAAAAATTGTACCGTAGTACTATAATACATAGCAGTAGTAAGCGTTCGAATCCATCGATCTCGCTAAAGGTCTTCCGTACTTGGAATTCCCTGTGACTTTTTTCCCCCACAGAATCTCCGCCCGGTAGGACATGGGATTGAGGCTGGAACCAGGGGAGCAAAAGGGGACCCGTTGGATCCCTAAGTGGAGATCTCGCGGGCCTGTCGATCCTTTCATCCAGGCCCTCAGGGCAAGGGGGGAGGGGGCGCTGGCAGAAACTGGAGGGGAAGGGGGAAGAAGAAAAGCACAAAACGCTTTTTGGTGGAAAAAACCTTCAACATTACGACGTTGATATCATGCAGATTAGATACAGGTTTCACCCTCCTCGTGTTGGGAGGGGTTTAAAGGGTGAAAGAGCGACGGTTCCAAGCCAGCTTACTCATGAGACCAGCTAAGCTTGTCGGGCTGATAAGTGCGACGCCTCGTTGTGAGGAAGAAGAAGAAAAGCGAAGGAAAAAAACAGATTCAACCCTTCCACCCAGAGGCCTCTTGGGTAGTCAACCCGGGTTCATCCTCGCAGCGCCTCAAAGAGTAGGACCCTTTTTCGATTCGACCTCGGCAGGTTGAGCTTATAGAAAAAGAAGAAAATAGAAAATCAAGAGACCCAGACAAGCATTGGCGGGTCTCGAGCGTATCCCAAGACCCTTGCCCAGGAACTGGGGCCGTAGTACTATATATGTAGTAATTTTTTCTCTCTCTGCTGTGATGTTGCGCATCATAATGAACATCCCCCTTGCTCTGGCCTGGGCCCTTTTCGACGGGACCGAGACATGAGCTCCGGAGCTCCATCAAGGCCCGGATATCGGCGTGGAGAATTGCTGTCTGTCTGGTCTGCCTGTTCTGCATAACGTGCTCTTCAAATTGGTCCACCCTAAAATATTGGTTGGAGGGAGTACTGATCTCAGCCAGCCTCGGACTTGCGCACTGGTTGGCCCATCGCATGATCCATCGCATTCCATCCCATCCATCTCAGGTCCGGTCGTCCTCCTCGGATGATGATGATGATGATGACTGAACCAGGTGGGCCACGCACGCACACCAGCGCTTGACGGAAAAGGTGCGATTCGGCCGAGGCTAGACGGCGCCACCCTGCCCGGCGACGACAATAGCGGTTGTGTTTTCCCCTCCTTCTCTCCCTCTCTTTTCTCTCCCTTCCTCGAGGCCGGTTCACACCAAGCGGGAACGCTGGGCCGGGGTATGTAATTGCTGTACTAAGTATGTATGTAAGCATGTCAATAGATGATTCGGGCTCGTGCAGTGCTGAACAATATTGGGCGGTCATCATTAAGCCACACACACACACACACTCACACACACAGCCTCGTCAGGTAAAAGGGTGCAGTTCAGTTCAAGTCAGATCTCTCGTGTGCTTCGCATCGCCCAAAGGGCTCGCCTGGCAAAGTTCGCCAAGATCCCTCGAGAGGAATGGACGGGGAAGGGGAGGCTCAGTCACCCAGCGCCTCTAACTCTCCTGAAGGCTGACTGCATGAAGGTGGCAACCCAAAATTCGTAATGGTCTCTGATCGTGTGCGGGTCCTCTTACGAAAGGGATCATACTCATTCTTACCCCTCCATCCCATCTTCCTATAGGCCTCGCTGCCTGCAGGACCTTGACAGCGCTCTCTCTTTCTCTATACCCCTCTCACCGAGCTGCCGCCAATGCAGTAGAGAGACATAGATAGAGCATGTCTTGGTCAATCCTCCGAGACACACGACCCGCACAGTTTTCTTGTATATCTCCTAGAAAAAAGAGGCAGATGAACAAATGATTGAATGCAATACATATTCACCTCTTGTTGGCAGGACAGGAAAGAGGATGAAGCCGAGAATGGCCAGAGGAGAACGGGGCGTGCAGCCAGGTCCCAGGCTATGTGCACTGGCCTTCCTCTTTCTGCCAAGGACCGCCATCAACACTGGACGTCCCACGTCCCTTGGGCAAGGCTTGGAGTGGCTGGCATCCTGTCTAAGTCAGGAGGGTTGACTTCTCGTGCGCCCTAGCCGTGCCGCCATTGCCCACCCAGCCTTAGCTAGTCCAGACCAGCAGACTGCCGTCCTGACGAGATGCAAAGCACGGCTCCGGTACCGATGATTGCTTACTAGCCGAGATACAACAACACTATCATGGCATATATGTAAGCAGCCGCTTCATCATTTCCTCATCACGTACATATGTGTCATGTATGATATACGCCATGTATACGCAAATCCCTCGCATGGACGGGGTCGGCACTAACTCCCACCGACGCTGTTCTCGTTCTCGAGTGCCAAGGACAGCAGCAGAACAGTGCCCAGAAGAAAGGCAGACCCGTAAGACCCTCTGACGGCTTTGCACCGCAAGTCGCAAGTCGCAAGAGGGGTGAGTGGACTCGTTTTGGCGGGGTCATTGATGACCACCAACATGTCGCGCCATTCTCGACCTCATCTGCACCATGTTTAAGTACGCACGACCTGCCCTTCCTCGATCGCCAGTAAGAAAGGCGTGGTGAGGTTGCAGTCAAGGGACGCCCCCTCCCTGCTCGTGCCACGCGAATGGGGCGGGGCACAAGAGAGAGGCGTGGGTGTGTGGACCTGGGTGTAAGCCGACATACTGTATATGACATACATAGTGGAAGATAGGCGATGATGGTGTTGGTGATGGTGGTGGTGGTGGATGTCTGTGTGTTTGTGTGTGTGCATCTGCCCCCGCCCTGTTGCTGACCTGCAGTTCCCTTCTGTACGCCTTGTTCGTTTTGGTGCTAGCCCCAGGCTCATCGTCGCGTGGCAGAAGGAAGGGGGGGAGAAAGAAAAACCCCCGAGCGGAGAGGAGCTCGTCTGTTCCCACTGGCACCTTCTCCAAAGAGTTGGGCATGGGTCATGGGCCATGAACATGGCAGGCGCAGGGCACGGCATAGTCAAGACGGCCTTGTCCGTTTTGTGTGGGCCCCTTTAGGCTTCTTGGTGGCCCTGTCCCACCCTCCGACCTACGTTGGTTGCGTGGTTCCGCTGCTGCAGATGCTGCACATCGGCGGATAAGGCATGCCGCGTGTCTTGATCCCTGTCCCGTCCCTTTTCCCTTCTCCCCTCTTGTTTCTTTGTTCCTCTTACTTCTCTTGCCTCATTTTCTTTTTAATGGCCCATTCTTAGGGCCCGTGTCCCGTCCTGTTGGAACTGAGCCTGACCTGATCTGGTCTGGCTGCCCTCGTGGTTCGATGATCTTGCCGCTCTGGTAGCCACGCACACGCGACCACTCGAATGCGTGGCATCCATGTAGATATCTAGTGCGCTACACTACATTTACACTAGGATGTAGCAGACGCCAGGTGGATGCCATTATCCTCATCAGTCAAGGTCTCGGAAAGTGGGCGATAACTTTGGTGTTTAGGTCACGACAGGCTGAAGAAGAAGAAAACTCAATTAAGAGGGGATGGAAAGAGAAGAAAAACGCCGAAGAAGAAAAATAGGCCATGTTTTCGTATTCTCCATCTCCGTTGGTCATTATGCCCATGGGTTCTTGTTCTTATGTTGCGACTCTTCTCCAGCGCTCTGCATATTGCATGTCACCCAAATCCATAATTTTTCCTCTTTCTGCCTCTCTTCCCAGTTTTCCCCTTCGCTTTTCCTGCCTTGACTCGTCCCCCTGCTTCGGCTTTACGCCGTCATTCTCTCTCTTTTCTCACTTTGCTCTCTTTATCTCTCTCCTACGTGCAGCGGCTCTGCACACAAAAACACCTCCACCCACCCACCCTCAGCCGTAACCAGGCACCGTCTCAGGGGCTTGGCATTTTCGTCTCAAGTCTTCGTGAGAGGGACCCTTGGATCATTTACCAAAGTTTATCGTCCATCTCATCAAGGGGTAGAACGGCAACTTATCTCGATCGTCGTCCTTCCCTTCAAGCACCTTTCCCCAGAATTCTCTCTTTAATCCAACATTTTTTTTTTCTAGTCGCTCATTTGGCTACCTGCATCTGGGACGAAATTGAGAACACCCAGTTGACGCAAACCTTTCGCCCCCCCCCCCCCACTCCCGCGCCCGCCTTTTGGCCTCACTCTCTCCGCGTCCGACGGGCGGACGAATTTTTTGGAGGGTCGACGACACACCTAAATCACCAACGGCGCGTCTGAGGGGGTGTGTTTGAAGAAAAAGAAAAAGAAAGCAAGTAAAGGAAGGATCAAGAACAGAAGAAGGAAAAGCAAGTTTCAAGATGGTGCAGTTTCGATTAGAAAATCCCCTCAAGTTCGGCAAGGACCTTTGGGATCCTTCGCATCGTTATGAGACATCTTGGCTTCTGCCGCCTTATGCTCTGTGCGCAATACGCGCCACTCTCGTAAGTTTGAACTACATCTATTCCTTGTCTCTTTTCTATGTCTTGCCGCGTCTCTGCCCAGATGGAGGAATGGAGTTGTCTTGCCCGGCCAGACCAGACCCGACGAGGATCACGTCGATCATCACCAACGACAAGTGGCCCGTGGGCAAAGACAGAAAAAAAGAAAAAAGAAAAGAAAACAGTACCCATCCCGCACTTCGTTCCAGGCCGCTTGCCACGAACGCTTTGGAGTCTTACTTCTCCATTCCACGCTCCAGCCGCGCATGGCCTCGGGGAGGCAGGGAAGCAGGGGCAATGGATGGCACATGAGCATAATGATGGACAGATAGGAGTCGTCAAGAGACGTCGTCGCGACGCGCCTTAAGGAGGGGCAGAATTGGGCTGACTCTGTTCTCACGCACAACACACAGGGCTTCTACGGTATCCTCGTCAACCTCATCCAGGTCGGCTGGTACTGCACCCACAAGGCCACCTGGGGCGGGTGCGCCGTGTCAGGCGACGAGTTCTCCTACTTCACCGTCCTGACCTACTGGGGTCTCGCCTTCTACAACCTCACGGCCGCCGTGCACACCCTCACCTACGCGCGCACGGGACGTCCCCTCCTCGACCGTTTCCCCCGCCCCCTGCAGGCCCTCCACGCCTTCTACTACACCACCATCACCGTCTACCCGTTCATCGTCACCGCCGTCTACTGGGCCATCATCTACCCGGGCTACTGGTTCCCCCGCGAGTTCGACGCCTTCAGCAACCTGAGCCAGCACGCCCTCAACTCCGTCTTTGCCCTGTTCGAGATCGTCGTGCCGCGCACCCCGGCCCCGCCCTGGATCCACGCCTGGTGGCTCGTCTTCGTCCTCGCCCTGTACCTCTCCCTCGCCTACGTCACCTACTACACCAAGCACTTCTACACCTACAGCTTCCTCGACATCCAGACACAGGGCAGCGCCCGCACTGCCGTCTACATCATCTGCATCGCCGTCGGCGCTGTCGTCCTCTTCGCCATCGTCAAGGGCCTGATTCACCTCAGGCTGTGGCTTACCGAGCATAAAGCTGGTATGGACGGTCGCTTCGCTGGTGAGCCCCTCGGCAGCCGCGGTCACGACGGCACGGGAAGGGTTGTGCAGGCGGATGGTGATACGGATGTGGAGATGGCCAGGGTACAGGTGTCTCAGAAGAGCGAGAGCCCTGTGAGCGGTGTGAGCCCGCATCATTTATGATAAAATAAAAGAATGAGGGAGGGAGAGAGGGAGAGAGAAAGTTAGAGGAAGACGAGAGGAATTTCTTTTATTTCTTTTATTTTATAATTTTCATCTCTGGGAAGATGGAGAGAGCACGGAAAGAGTGGATGATGGATGCATGATGTAGTATGTGGTATCTTGGGCCGATCTTGGAGTGGCTCGCGCGTGTCTTAATTCTTGCGCATCTGTTCCCTTTCTCTCAAACCCGTTCTTGATTATATACCCCGGGTTCATGTCACAACGGCTATATCATCATGAAAGTTTGCATCAGGCATGGCATAGCATGGTATGGCGAATAGGGTTCTCTCGATATGTAGAACGATAATCACAAAGACGTACGACCAAGTTAGCTTTTTGTTTTTTTTCCCCTCTTCTTATTTTTTCTTTTAAAATAACCATATCATATCGCCGGTGACTGCTGCCTATAGATGGGTGCCGTCTTCAACATTTCAGGTTCACACCCTTCCTCCGCTCCGATTCTCTAATCTCAAACATGACCTGAACACCTACAAAAAGCGTTGCACATGCCGTGATGAAGAACATGACACCTAGAGGCGAGTTAGCCGACCATACATACGACCCATGTAGGAGCAGGGCAAGGAGTGGTGGGATTGGATAGGTTTGCATACCGGAAAAGTCTTGGAAGATCCCCCTCACAATGCTTTGTAACCCATCGAGCCCAAACGCGAAGCCCACAAGGTTACCAGCCATCAGCATGAGGATGTTCCCCACGGCGCCCACACAGCATAGCATCCGGTACTGCGTCTCCCTCCCCTCAAAATTCCGCCTGGGGAACGCCAGGTTCGCGAGGACCTCGGGGAGGATGAACAGCACGATCAGCCACGCCCACAGCAGCAGCCTGAGCTTGATATCGTGCCATAGTGCGACAAATGTGAAGATCATGAGATACTTGATCGCGGACTTCACAGCCGAGGCGGCCGTTCGGAAGTCGGCGCCGCCCAGCGGGATCCAGAGGTATCGCACCAGCCACTTGTTGTAACTGCGGTGCCACCCTCGCCAGAAGGACAGGACACTGAAGTTGTCGCTCACGCAGCGCACCATGTTCTCGGGCGGGTCGATCCCGTCCAGGAGCGACCACAGCCGGAAGAGCCGCCACGGGATGAGCAGCTTCAGCCAGATGATGATGAGGTTGTGATAGCTAAGCAGGCTCAGCTGCGCAGGGGTGTACGACGCCCAGTCTGGGCCGGCCTTGGTGATGGCCCCGACGTAGACGGTGTGCAGTAGAGCTTCCATGCAGAGCAGACAGAGGAGGAAGCGCACAGCATACCGTGCCGTGCGTGGTGTTTCGATACTGAGCGGCCGGAACCGCAGCTGAGAGATGTAGTCGTTGAAGGTGAGAATGGGCCCTGTAAGGTAGAGCGGTGCGTATACGGCGTAGGCGAGGTAGTTTCGAAACGTGAAATCGCGAGCAGCCGCCGGTATGTTGACCCGGTCACGCTCCGAGAGGGCCGTGGGGTCGAGTTGTTTCTTCTTAGGCTTGTCAGTTTTTTGTGTCTCAGTATTCTCGGCAGCCGCCGAAAAGGCGTTGTTTGGGAGGGCACGTACCTCGATGGGGCTTGCGCTCCGGTAATTCAGACTCCAATAGTAATCCATATTGAAGCTGATCAGCCGGAGAACCGTGATGTTGAACAAGATCTCCCACCGCGACATGATGCCGCCCCAGCTGTCCATCCAGGCGCCCCAGGCCATCAGCGTGCCCTCCACGGGCGATGTCCTCACTAGATATGGCGAGGTGCCCGACAGCAGGGCCGCAGCGTCTCTATAGCTGTAGCCGTCGCACAACTCGTTGGCGAACAATACACCAATATTGAACACCCACGTCGCGGTGGGGACCCAGCTCCTCGGTAGGTTCGTCGCCATGTTATAATTGAGATATAGAATCGCCAGCACCTTGAACATGGAGAATCCATGGAGAGCGGCCAGGAAGACCAAAGCAAAGGCGTAGTCGAAGGAAGCGCGCTGCTCGAGCCTGGCTTCTGCTGTGTCGAGCGGCGTCTTGCCCGGAGGCAGGGGGCGGTAGAACTTGTTCCATGCTTTTCTGCAGAGAGGATGGAAAATGAGGAGGAGCGTCATGTACGGGATGTTCTTTCGAAAGTTATAATACTGCGCATCGGTATTGTCCTGATGTGACAGACTGTCAGCCCTAGCCTCGAGGGTGTAAAGAAGAACAGCAGCTTACAATCTTCCGGCCAAGTATCCATCCCTGAGTCAGCCAAGGTTCATATTTATGGTATCTCGGGTCGGAAGCTTTCGCCAGCCTGTTAGCGGTCCCGAAGAAAAAAGAAAGTCCAAGCTGAGGTGGGATCGCATACGTCTTGACACGGTATATGGAATCCAGATCATCAAGGGCACGCAAATGGCGAAGACGAGGTAATAGAGGTAGAACTCTGGCGTTTTCCATCTTGCTGGAGACGCCCTGCTGGAAACCTTCTCCTTTTGTGCACCCCTCGCTCCTGAGTCGCCGCGTGAGTCTATGACGGTCCGATACGAGGAGGTGGAGGACGTGGTGAACCGGGTGTCGAGGGTGTCGAGAGTGTAGACACTCCGGAGAAAGGAGAGTGGGCTCATGGCGGAGTGGCGGCGGATTTGGGAAGACACAAGCACAGATAACTCAGGTCATGGCTGGCGATCGTGGCGATCGTGAAGGTCCTGAGAGATCTAGGTGTAGTTCTTATACCTGTGCCATAGTGAGGGAGGTGTGGATCATGGTCGTCGTAAGTGAAGACAGGATACGAAGTTTAGCAGTACAACAGTCCCTGGCAGCAGTAGCGAAATGCGGCTGTATGCGGCTTGGCGGCAGGTCCAGGGGCCACAGGGGTGGTTAGGCGTCAGCTGCCAGTACTACCACGGTATGCAGCTACTAGTACAGTGGCTGCCCCTATTTCCAGAACACGCCAGGTCTGGAATTGGCCTATCCTGATTGGAAGGTTTGTCAGGGTCCTACGCCTGACCCACTAATGAAACTTTAGGCCTTGCAGCTTTGAACCACATCAACACCATAGCAATTGGTACCTGTCACTACACAATAGTATGGCAGTCTACCTTGAGCCCATCAGTGTGCCCATAGGATGTGGCATCCGCATCTCGCAAACCATTTTGAGTCCCGAGCTGGTAATGACGACATCCTCATGCGCCTCTCTACTCCGTGGCCAGTCACCTACTTTTGGACACCTCCTGGAGTTCTGTTTCTGGGCGGGTTTAGTCTCGGTGCCGTGTTGAGGGTAGGCTGACGGGTTGAGCTGCTCTTCTAGAAAGACTTTCGCTACTGGGTTGCATGTCTCCTAGCAGCGTCCGAGCCTCAAGGTGGCCCGATCTCTCAAGGATCTTAGCTCCCCTACCAAGTATTTTAATGCCATCCATGTGCAGGTCATGTCGTGCATATCTTCGAGTAGGGAATATGTATGAGGTAATTCGTTCTCCCCAGAACGGGTTATTTGAGTGTTTCCTATAAAATGGAATGAGTCTCTCTGTTTGTGGATCCTCTTCGAATCAGTAGGAGGTTGAACTTCTGCTTTGATGTCGGAGAGGACAGCAGTTTGCTGGTGCGATGGTATATCTCAACATAAACTACACCATTCATCAGAATGACATCACACTCGAGTTTGTGTTGCGTCTGTATGCAAAATGAATTGAGTAAGCTTGTTCAAAATTGAAAATGATGGCCTCTGCATGTTTGCTACGTGTAAAACCCTATTCATGGTCAATCGAGGCAAGAAATAGCAGGAAAGGTAAGTAGAGAAAGTGAGAAGGAGAAGGAAAGAGGGGGAAAATTTTATTCTAAGAACGAAAGAACAGAATTGGGAAAGAAAAAAAGAAGACAAATAGAAACAATAGTTTTGGCCTGATTTTTGTTGTTTCTTCTTTCTGCAATGTACTGATACCCTAAGGAGAGATCTACAATAGGTGGGCAAGGCGCGCTAGCACTCTTTCTGGGGTGCATCGTTCCCTGTCCATGTATGTTCCTTGTCCAACGCACGTGCCAGCTGCGATACATCCCTGTCTCCCTTTCTTATAGATCCGCATCATATCTGATCGGGCTTCTAGAGCCAAGCCATCCAACTTTCTCCAGATCTGTTTGTTCCCTCCCCCTCCTCACCAATTCACCCTACCACCACGCCTCGACGCCCTCCTCTCGACGTCTCTACATCGCACAGTAGCGTCGACAGTCTCCTCTAGAGACGTTCCTTTGCGTTTCGCCGGCTCCACTCGCGAACCAGCTCACCCCGCAACTGTCCCCTCCTTGAGGCCCATCTCGATCTGCGCCGAGCGGTCCCCAATTCGTCACCACACCCCGCTTCAGCTATCTCTTGCGCCGCGCAGCTGTCGCATCCATAATCCCAATACCACCACGTCACTCTCGAGAAGCCGTCAAGATGGATCAGAAGAAGCTCAAGGATCAGATCGACAATCTGAAGCTAGCCCTCCAGAAGAAAGAGCCTCCCTCCACCATCGTCGCGATCCTTAAGGGCCTCGAGAAGGCAGATTCCCCTAGCGAGGATGTCCTCCGGGTAAGCCTGGGCTACTTATGAACCTCGAGAGCGAATCCCCAGAGAGGATCGCCAACCAATCCCCCTCAAAATCGCGGCGCATCCCATTTTCTTCCAGGCCCTCACATCGCCCTCACCTCGCATTGCCCACCCCGAATCCCTGCACTGTACTTGGATGCAGCTGCTGACTTTCTCTCTCTGTGCGTCTCTCTTGACGACAACAGTCTACCAAGGCAGGTCAGCACATCGGGAAGCTCCGCCATGATCCGAGCGTGGCCGAGGAGATCCGGGGCGCCGCCAAGCGGGTTGTCGACAAGTGGAAGCAGGCCGTTCAGAGCAAGAAGCACAAGGGCATACCCTCGGTTCCTACTCGCACCAGCACCCCGTCTACTACCGCCTCGCCCGCTCCTCCTCCCACTCCCTCTGCGAGCAAACCATACCAGGGTGATGCCGAGAAGCGCAACCACAGGGTCGACAACCCCAAGACCGACGTGACCGATTCCCTTGTCCGCAACAACTGCATCATCGTCATGTACAATGGCATCTGCTATCAGAATCCTGACTCTGTCGAGACGGTGTTGGCCAAGGCGGTCGAAGTCGAGGCCGCCGCCTTCAAGCACTTTGGCGGCGAGAACGCCGAGTACCGGGCCAAGATGAGGTCTCTGTTCCAGAACCTCAAGGTCAAGAGCAATACGGAGCTGCGCCGCAAGGTGCGGCTGGGCGAGATTGCCGCTACCGACTTCATCAAGATGACCCAGGACGAGCTCAAGAGCCAGGAGCACAAGGAGCGCGACAAGGCCTTGGAGAAGGAGAATCTTAACAATGCGCAGGTGGCCCAGCCCGAGAAGAGTATCAGCGATGCCCTCACGTGCGGCAAGTGCGGCCAGAAGAAGGTCAGCTACACGCAGGCCCAGACCCGCAGCGCTGATGAGCCCATGACCACGTTCTGCGAGTGTCTGAATTGCGGTAACCGCTGGAAGGTATGTCATCTAACCGAACTTGGAGCGTCCGTTGAATGCTTATCGTGCTAACTATTTGGGTTTTCTTTTTTCTTTCCCACCCGGATTCAGTTCTCCTGAGAAGCGCAGGCAAGCTTTTGTGTGCGAAATTGCTGCTTCCACAGAGCTGGTTGTGGTTGCGAGAACATTGTTCTGGGCCCTGGCCCTGATTCAGCTCTCCCCCACATCTCTCTGTCGGACATTTCTGATATTCGCCTCGTCGAGAAAATTCAATCAAAAAGAAGGTGTTGGCGGCGTAATGGACAAAGGGAGGGAGCAGGATAGCTGGGACATCCAGCAGGGGGGGGGGGGGGGTATTTGACTTCTGCACGAGTGAAATTGTTCACTTTTTCTGTGATTGCGCGACCATGTAACGTCGTCCTCTCACGTCCACTCGGGAGGGTAGCCACGAGGTTTGTCATGAGCCTGGAGGGTTATGCACTTATGCACTTTTCTCTTCATAGATTTTTTTATTTCAACTTTCTGCGATCTTCATTTCTGAAGAGAGGTTATGCGATTGAGGGAGAGAGTTAGACCCCTCGACGAGGAGGTCCTATTTGGTCATGGACGTACCCGTCTTCTCGATACCGAGCAGGGCAAACAAATCTAGAGACTCGTGCTGTTCCTCCAGTCCCATGTCCGCGATCCGCTTGTAGAACTTGCTCAGGTGCCTCTGGCCGGAATCGCACAGGATGGTGACCACCTGGCTGCCCTCGGGCAGCTTCATGGCCGTGACCACGGCGGCCACCAGGTTGACAGCACTGCTGCTCCCAGCAAACACACCCTCGTTCTCCACCAACCACCGCGCCATCCTGCACGCCTGGTCATCCGTCACCTTGACCGCATCGTCGATCAGCTCCCGGCCCGCCTCGAAGTTCTCCGTGATGCGCGTGATGCCGATCCCCTCGACGATGGTGTCGACCTGCTGCCGCCGCCTCGTGCCCTCCTTCTCTGTGGGCGAGTACATGACGCCGTACTTGACCTTGTTATATAACCCGCTGCCCTGAGGGTCGGCGAGGACCACCTTGACATCATCACCAAGCCCTGCGACCTCCTTGAGATACCGCGCGATGCCGGAGATGGTACCCCCCGTGCCGGCGCCGGCAACGAAGGCAGCAATGTCCCCACCGGTCTGGGCGAAGATCTCAGGTCCCGTGGAGTGCAGGTGGGCGCCCCAGTTCGCAGGGCTCTCGAACTGATCAGCAAAGAAGCCGACGCTGCCGTCGTCGCGGTGCAGGGTGGCGTGCTCGCGCGCGCGCCTCCGCGCCAGGTTGACAAAGTGAGCCGGGCTGGTGATGGGTGCGAGCTCGACACGCTCGACCTCGGCGCCGAGCTGGCGCAGCAAGTCAGACTTCTCGATGGCCACATCGGCGGGCATGCAGATGTGGCAGCGGTAGCCGCGGGCACGGGCCAGGGTGGCCAGCGAGATGCCCGTGCTGCCGACGGTGCCCTCGTAGATGGTGTCGCCGCGGCCTGGGACCAGCAGGCCTTGTTTCTCGGCGGCGAGGATCATGGACAGGGCGACGCGGTCCTTGGGGGAGCCGCCGCAGCCATTGAGGAACTCGGCCTTGGCGAGGATCGTGCGTCCTGTGAGCCGGGATAGGGCTTTGAGGCGGATGAGGGGCGTGTGGCCGATGGTGGACTCGATGCCTTCTGAGACGACGGGGGCGCCTGCGCTGGCGGGATCGCCTACGAGGCCATCGTCGGACTCGTGGTCTTCGAGCTGGAGCGGTGGGCCAAAGAAGAGGCTGCTGCGACGCGGGTCTGAGGTGAGTATCGACCCGACGGAGTAACGACGGTTGGTGCTGGCCCTGGTGTGAGCTGCGCTGCCTTTCTTGGTGGAGGATCTGTACCGCCTCTCAAGGTCTGGGTACAGGTCCTTGAAGCCGAGGGTGACGAGGATGCCAGCGAGAAAGGTGATGGTGAGGGCGGCGGTGCCATAGACCCTGGAGTGGTCGCTTAGGTGGCTGCTGAGAGTCATGGTAGGTTTGCTAATATGCCTTCAACAATCTCTTCATAACATCGTGGTGGTGTTGTGCTTTTCTTCCTTTCTTTTCCTCTTTTCCTTCTCCTCGCTGTTCTTCTTTCTATATCAGCCAGACTTTATTCTTTTTATTTCCAGAATCCGTCTTAAAGAAAATAAGTACACAATTTGGGAAAATTCAAAAAGAAGCGATGGAGAAAATAATTGTATTGACCTTGTAAGATCTCATCTACTGAGCATTGATGTCATGCACAGGAAAAAGCTTCAAGCCTCGAGTCTGAAATACTTGTGCAGCTACTAACTACGTAGTGTAGTACGAGTCACTCAGTGGTACATGCTGATCCCGGTTGGAGGGGTCGGGTCTCAGAGCTCTGACCAATGATGTGCCCCTCCCCACCATCTTTTGTCTCAGTGGACCCTCTACTGTACCGTTCTTGTGGGAGAGCTCCAACTGCTTTAGAACCAAAGTACTACAACCACCAACCGACCTCTCATATACTGTCCTCCTCCTCTCCCTTCTTCTCCTTCTCACCTTCCCCTCACCACCCTCACCCTCACCGCCACATATGGACTCGCCCATAGTGACCCAGCTGTTCAGACAGCTCTTTCGTCACCGTCACCCTGCCTGCCACGCCCGTCGAAACCTCTCCAATCTCGCAGCCGCCCTTCATCACGGCCGCCAGCTCCAACAGTCGCGTGCCTTGTCTTCTGGGAGTGGCAGAGGTCCCCCCATCTCGACGGCAGAGAAGGAGCGCGGGTGGCAGCAGAGGAACCATGTGCTCCCCAAGGACAGGTCAGAGGAGGCGCAGCGGTATCCCCTCGTCACCTCGAGGGAGCTGAGAAGGTCCACTGAAAGGCCGAGGAGGGTCAAGATGTTGATGCGAGATTTCATCGAAGGTTAGTCAGTCACTCAGTTACTTACTCGCCCAGTCACCCATCACGTCCTCGTGTGGCTCGATACATGCCAGTGTCTCTTTGCTGACAGGAGAGAGACGTCAACAGACAGCCTCTACAACCCCCACTACGGCTACTTCTCCAAACAGGTCGTCATCTTTACACCAGGCGAGCCTTTCGACTTCCCCCTCATACGTGACGAGCTCGAGTTCCACTCCCTCCTCTCGCGGCGCTACACTGAGTTCGAGGACGCCCTTGACGTCGACAACCCCTCCGAAACCCGCCAGCTCTGGTACACGCCCACCGAGCTGTTCCGCCCTTACTATGGCGAGGCCATCGCCCGCTACCTCTGCGAGAACTATAAGCACACCAGCTTCCCCTACCACGATCTGATCATATACGAGATGGGCGCGGGCAGGGGCACGTTGATGCTGAACATCTTGGACTACATCCGCGATGTCGAGCCCGAGGTCTACGAGCGAACGCGGTACAGGATTATCGAGATCTCGAGCAACCTCGCCGGCGTCCAGCAGGCCTCCCTGGCTGCTACCGCCGAGTCCAGAGGCCACAGGGGCAAGGTCGACATCATCAACAGGTCCATCTTCGACTGGCGCGATCGTGTGCCCGAGCCCTGCTTCTTCCTGGCCTTTGAGGTCTTCGACAACTTTGCTCACGACGTGCTTCGCTATGACCTTGCTACCGAGGAGCCTCTGCAGGGCACAGTACTCATCGACGAAGAGGGCGACTTTTACGAGTTCTTCTCGCCCGTGACCGACCCCACCATCGCACGCTTCCTGCGCCTCCGTCACATCGCCACAGAGGGCATCTATCCCCTCCCTTATCACAGCCGCTCCGGCCGCGGCATTCCCAAACAGGAGCCGTTGTGGGCGAGTGGCCTGCGGAGGGCGCGAGAGGGCCTGAGGCGCAGGAGTGGCGACGACCTGTCGGAACCCGAGTACATTCCCACCCGTCTGATGGCATTCTTCGAGGTGCTGGACCAGTACTTCCCAAACCACCAGCTGGTCACCAGCGACTTTCACTCCCTGCCGGATGCCATCAAGGGGCTGAATGCTCCCATTGTGCAGACCAGGTACCAGCGGACCCCTGTGCCGGTCAGCACACCTCTGGTAAGTCTTGTTTTCCTTTCTTCCCCTTCTGTCCCCCCTGAGGCTTGATGGCCCTACAACGAAAGAAACTAACTGGAGCGTGGTGGCGGGATTAGGTCCATCAAGGCTACTTCGACATCATGTTTCCTACCGACTTCACCACCATGGAAGCCGTGTACCGCTCCATCACGGGCAAACTGAGTCGCGTCTGGTCGCACGAGGATTTTATGCGCAGCTGGGCCTTTGTCGAGGACTGCGAGACCCGGAACGGCGAGAACCCGCTGCTCAGCTGGTACAAGAATGCCAGCGTCATGATGACGTGGAATTATAGGAAGATGTAAATAAAAACCACAAGACGTGTGGATAGGAGGGAGACGTGTGCAACGCTGGTTTTCTTTCGGAACTCATGGTAAAAGAGACAGGGAAAGAGAGGAACATGATACCCCTTATGACGCTTTTTTTTCTTTGCCTCGCATCGTAGACGCTGTTTGGATAGACCAGGTGATGCATACCACGCATGGCCTAGAAAAATTTCACAAAATTACACATCCAAGATATTCATATATGATACGTTGTGAACCGATAAGCGCAACATCTATAGAGCTCCCTATGATACCACCAATTTCCCACCATGCCATACATTTGATGTGTCCTCCTTTCATTCTTTTCTCTCCTGGTTTCAATTGCAACCCCCCCCCCCTCCCCCTTTTTTTCCCTTCCTTTTTTTTTATGGAATAACCGAAGAGAAAGAAAAAAAAAATCAGATCTTCAGCTTCTCCATCTCCTCGGTCAGCCACTTCTCCGCCGTCGCGACCGCCTCCTCGATCCTCTCGGGCTGGGTGCCCGAGCCCTGGCGCGTCGGCTCCTTACCGCCCGCCTTGCCGCCGATGACCTCCGAGACGGTGGTGGACCACTTCTCGGCGGTGATGCCCTTGGAGGCGAGGTCCTGTCATCACAGGTCGATTAGTACGGATGGGGTCTTTCTCTTTGTTTGTGTGTATTTGAAAAAACAGTGACGAAAATGACTTACAGTGCCGACATAAACGCCATGCACAACACCGCCCTCCTTGCTGCCTCCAAAGACATAGACGCTCTTGGTCTTGTCCTTGCTCTTGAAGTGCGCCATGACATCCGAGATGGCCTTCATGTTGGCGCTGATGGGCAGCTGGCCGACAAACCACTTGCTGTTCTTGTTCTCCGGCTTGGAGAAGTGGCTCGTCACCGTGTCCAGCGCCGTCTTGCTCTCCGCCTTCTGGCGCTTCTTCTGCTCGTCCACGACTGTCTTTTGGATCTTGGCGAACGTCTGCCTCAGGTCTTCCTTCTCCAGCACCGAGAGCGTCAGCTGGCCCAGCTCGACGCCCGTCCGCTTGACCTGCTCTTCCTTCTCGGGGCCAAAGGGCAGCTTCTCGAGCTCCTGCAGCCTGTTGGCAAACTCCTTGGCGAGCCGCTGTACCTCATGTGCGGCGTCGCCCGTGTATGCGACCATTCGCCTGATGCCCTTGGCAATACCGCTCTCCTCCACGACCACCATGTCCTTGATGATGCCAGTCTGGTCGACGTGAGTACCGCCGCAAAACTCGACGCTCACCTTGCGCCATTCGGGGTTCTTGGGGTTCTCGAGGAGCATGTCCACGTCGATGCCGACCGAGACCACACGCACAGGGTTGGGATATGTCTCACCGAACACGGCACGCACACCCTCAATCTCTCGGGCGGCGTCGAGCTCCACGTCCTTGTAATAGACCTGGGCATTCTGCTTGATGTACGCGTTGGACAGGTCCTCGATCTTCTTCAGCTCCTCGTTCGTCACGCCTGTCTTGTGCGAGAAGTCGAAGCGCAGCTTGTCTTCATCGACGAGCGAGCCCTTCTGGTTGACGTCGTCACCCAGCACCTCGCGCAGAGAGTGGTTGAGGATGTGCGTGCCGGTGTGGTTGTTGCGAATGGGCTGCCGTCGCAGCTCGTCGTATTCGCAGATCACCTTATCGCCCGAGCTCAACGAGCCATGGGCAAAGTAACCAATATGCACGACGTAGCCTCCATACTCCTGCACGTCCTCGACCTTGAACTCGGCAACGTCGTCGTCCACAAGGATCCGACCCTTGTCCGCGATCTGGCCACCAGACTCAGCGTAGAAGTTGGTCTTGTCGAGTATGAGGCCGAGAGGGGTCTCCACCGGTATATCCTTAGACGATTCGACAAACTTCTCGCCCGTGAAGATCAGCTGAATGTTCGCGGTGATATCGCCCTTTCCGTATTTTGGCTCCGAGTCTGGTCTTGGTATCTTGTGTTGGTTCTCCAGCTCCGCAATCTGGTGCACGTTCAACTTGGGGAACTCCTGAGCCTTATCCTTGACCTTCTTACTAGCCTCGCGCGCCTCTTCCCTCGCCTTGGAAATATCATCCTCATCCGTAGGTTCCATGCCGCGCTCCTCGCTCATCAGCTTGGTCAAGTCCTCAGGGAAACCATACGTGTCGTATAATCTCCAGACCTGCAGGCCAGACAACTTCTTCTCGCCCTTCTTTTGCACATCCGCAACGAACTTTTCGAACTGCTTCTCGCCGCGATCGAGGGTCTTCGCGAAGGCCTCCTCCTCCTCGTCAAGAATCTCAGCGATATCCTTCTGCTTCTTGACGATCTCGGGGAACTGCTCGCCCATCTGCTCGACGAGCGCAGGCAGGATCTTGGAGAAGAAGGACCCGATCTCCACGTTGAAGTACTTGCGAGCATACCGCGAACCTCTCCGGAGCACTCTGCGCACCACGTAGCCTCTTCCTTCATTGTTCGGGACCGCCCCGTCTGCCATGGAAAAGGTAAGCAGCCTGATGTGATCGGCCACCACACGGTACGCCGTGTCTACACCGTCAGCATCGTCTTTACCATACTTGTCGGTGTATGGACGAGCATTGGTGACCTCTTGTATCTTGTTGAACAGCGGGGTGAACACGTCGGTGGCGTAGTTGGATTCCTTGTCCTGCAGCGCGGAGACGAGACGCTCGTAGCCCATGCCGGTATCGATGTGCTTGGCAGGGAGCGACTTCAGGGACTTGTCCTTTTGCCTGTCGAACTGGATGAACACGTTGTTCCAGATCTCCACCACCAAGGGATCGTCCTGGTTGACAAGGTGCGCGGCATTGCGGCCGCCGACCTTATCGTAGTGCACCTCACTACAAGGACCGCATGGGCCCTGGTCGCCCATCTCCCAGAAGTTGTCCTTCATGTTGCCTGGCAGGATGTGGTCGTCCGCCACGCCCACAGACTGCCACAGCTCCTTGGCCTCCAGATCGGGGTCCAGACCCATGGCGGGGTTGCCCTCGAAATATGTGACATAGAGTCTGGAGGGATCCAGTCCGTAGACCTTTGTCAGCAGCTCCCACGACATGCTGATGGCCTCCTTCTTGAAGTAGTCTCCAAAGGACCAATTGCCCAGCATCTCGAAAAAAGTGTGGTGGTAGGAGTCCTTGCCGACATCGTCGAGGTCGTTATGCTTCCCGCCCGCGCGGATACACTTCTGCGTATCGGTAGCGCGCTTGAGAGAGGCCATGTCGTCGGACTTGTTGACCGTGCCGAGGAAAATGGGCTTGAACTGGTTCATCCCGGCATTTGTGAAGAGGAGGGTCGGGTCATTGTGAGGGACGACGGAGGAGGAGGGCACTGTAAGATGGACAAGCCGTCAACTCGATGACTCAGTTCTACACACGCGCACACACATACACATGGCACTCCATTGAAGCACTCTGTGTTTGCAAAGAATTCCCTGACGAGAGAGAAATTTGCAATCATGTTCTGGATGTTATCGTACCTATTGTGTGTCCTCTCTCGGCAAAGTACTCAAGAAAGGTCTTGCGGACCGTGAGGGCGGTCCACTTGCCCTCGTACATGTTGGGCAGAGGGGTTGGCGGGGTTGACCGTCGTTGCGAGAAGTTTCGAATGGAGTATCTAGTTGGCAAGATCGCTCTCGATCTGGCCAGCAATCCAATTCTCGACGATGGTAGCAGCAATGGTGCGACTTTGCTGGCGCTGATAGTAGTGGTGGCGGCGATGGTGGTATTAGTAGTGCCGGCAGGAGGAGAAGGACGAGGAGTATTATGGCTGCTGATAGAGATGTTGTTGGTGGGGCAGATTGCTCGGCTGGGCAGTGACAAAGGGTAGCTCGAGGGTGGACGCGGGGTGTCGAGATCGGTCCCTGGGGCGGATTCTATAGCCCTGTAGAGCTTTCTGGAATTGCTGCTGGGATGAGTCAAGGACCCTACAAAAGGCACCCAGTTCCTCTCCGTCAGCCTCAGCTCGGCACTCCCCAAATTCGACCCTGGCCAGGAAACAGTAGCAGCAGGAGCACCTCCACCACTGAGCCTCAGACCACGAATTCGCTTCTGCATCAATTGCATCGATCCCTCCTCCAGAGACCCTTGAAACAAAAAAAAAAAAACCACAAATAAACGCAGGTCCCTCAGTCTCGATCCACAGAAGCCCTGGCCACGGAGCACGGAACAGACACGCTTGACCACCAATCCGAACAGAATCCCACGCCGAAGAGGAGGCAGAACCTTGTGTGTCTTGCTTGACTCAAAGGTTTCTGCTGACCCCCCCTTTTTTTCTCCCCTCGACTAATTGATGGTCTGTCCGATTGGAAGGGGTAACCGTAACCCGCTGACTGCATATGCAGTAAGAGAGGAAGGGAGAAGAAGAAAGGAAAGGGGAAAAAAGCAAATCAGATTTGTTGAAGGGATCACTGTGGGAAGATGATGCTTGGTCAGCCCCAAACACACATGCCTGCCACCTACATCTCCACCCCATACCAGAACATGGAGGGGTATTATCCAACCCTAGCGACTGCACCCACTACCGGCAGCTCGTTAGAAAACCAACAACAGCATCAGCACTTGCAGCCGCAGCAGCATCCGCCACCACGTATGCGCCGAAAAAGAAAGGCAGACAGTCAGGATGCCAACAACGAGAGGCTGACCAAGCGCATGAGTTTGTTGAACATAGGTATGGCCTCCTTTTTCCCTTTTGATCCTTTCTCCCTTTCCTTCATCCTTGCGAATCCTAGTCGCGTCTCGTTCTTGTCGGCTCTCTGACATCATCGCAGAACAAAATGGCTCCAGACTCTATGTTCCCGTCGAGCAGCCACCGCCAGGACCCTCTCTGGCTGCCAGCGATGCCGCAGCCGCTGGTCTTCCCTCTCTAGAGGAGGAGCACATGCAGCTCGACGACACGAAACACAAGGTCTACATTTATAACCTGGATGACGAGATCTCCTCTGACAACGAGTCCGAGCCCGAACAGGGTCGCCTCGTCTTCCTGCCCGATATCGAGAAGCACCTGCGCGCAAACCGCATCCCCGTGCCCAGGCCCATCCTTCCGAACAAGGACGGGGAGCTAGCCGGCATGCAGCTGGTCCTGTACTCGGACGGCCCCAGCTCCATCACCGTGCCAGAGGACCAGGACAGCGTTCGCAAGGCGGTTCTCGAGGCACGTGCAAGGGTGAGGCAGAAGCAGGCCGAGCAGCGGGGACAGAGCCCGACAACCACAACGACAACCACGACGACGTTGCCCACCAAGAAGTCATTCGCGACGCCTGTGGTAGTCAGGCCTTCGGCCCAGGCGATGGTCCAGCCAATGGCCCAGCCGAGCACGGAGGCGGGTCCTGCACAGGATGCAATGCTTCCCGACTATGATGCGGACGCGATGGACATTGATTGATCAAAGGACGCGAGGCGATTCTCTAGATGTTTATGATACCCGATTGAAAGCTTACAGGACTTACATGACTAGCAACGTATAAGCGATGATTTTCTGAAATACATACTTAGGAGGCAAAGGCGCAGAAGCGAGAGATATGATCAGTTTTTTTCTTCTTTTTTTCTTTTCTTTTTCTTCGAGCATTAATTCAAGTTATGTTGTCTGGCTAATAGTACAGACTGCTCTACAATTCCTCCAGGGAAAAAAGAAGCTTGTGCTTGGTGATTGATCGACTTTCGATCCGCTCAAAATCAGTGTGCAATACTTTGGGTCTATTTGTCAGACCCCCTCAGCCTTATGCTCGTCACGGCCAGCTCAGTAAGCCTCATCCATCTTGGGGCCACATAGGTGCATGCATCTAGATGCTCTTTGTCAGCCACCAACTCCTCCCGCCCCTCCCCTTTTACAGCCGGTAAGGATTCGAAGACCCTGTGCCCTGCGGCGCAACAGGCGAGGCTGCGGTATGCGCAGGCGGGGGCCCCTCGGGAGAGCCGTACTCCTCGTCCGCGGGGCGGGGCGTCGGTCCTTGCGTCCACTGCGAGGGGGCCGTCTTAGTGCCTCCTACAGGACCATCATAGATGGGCGGACGGCCGGCAGGATCGTACATGGGCGGTGGCGGCGGCATGTTAGGCTGCATGTTGTAATACTGCCCCTGGTAATCAGGCCGGTAGGTTGTGTAGGAGGACTGCGGGTAGGCGTAGCGCGGATCGACGCGTGCCAGTTCGGCGCGAGAGATGAGCCACTAGAGGAATGGTCAATACGACGAGGCAGACAGAGGAGGAGAGAGAGAGGCGTTGGTGAGGCTTCGGAGCCACGTACCCTATGGTATGCCAATGGTGGGAGGCCCTTTCTTATCCTCCTCTTGGCGTGCATATAGCCGACCGTCGAGTACACCGCTAGGATGACGATGAGGCCAAGAAAGACTGACCATTTGATGATGAGGCCCGTCTGTGTATGACATGGTCAGCTTTTCATTTCTTTTTTTGCTCTCGGTAGTCCGAGCCAAGCCTCGTTGAGAGTGCGCTCTTCACAAATAAAAAGGGCTGGGTCACTTGCCCTCGAATACCAAAAGGGAACTAAACGTCCATTCTCCTCCACAAAGCCTTCAGGAACATCTGTCGCTCTGACCTGCATCTGTACCAAAGTTGGTGCGTCCATTTTGAATAATGAATGTGTCCAGTGCACACGACTCTGGTGGATTACGTGTGTGTGTGTGCGTGTGTGGCGTTCAGCTCAAGGGCCACAAGCGGGTTCCAGGGTCAAAGGTTTGCAAAGCAACGATGGATATGTTCGTGGTCGACACGAATGAAAAGAAGATGTAAAAGAGAGACAACAGGCAGTTCGTTGATTCAACCGTCAAGAAAAATTGAAGCAGAAAAAGGAGGAAAGGGAAGCAAAATGCCAAGCCGTCCACTTTATTGGGAAAGCATGAGACGGACGGCCACAATTTACGATGTCGTCCCTTCTTCGACCAGCCCAGGCGACGAAGGGACAGGGTGGCTGTCTAACGCCGTGTTCACCAGCGAATAATACGATAATTGGGAGGCCAACACAGGGGGGGAGCGGGTGCTGGCTGGGCTGTGCACCGGGCGACTCGTCACCCATTTGGACGACCCCCAATGACGGAACCTTGCCCAATCGTTCATGTCTCGAACGGATATGAAACCGTGCTGCGACAGTGATCCGGTAACACCCACAACGGCTTGCTGCACCGCCGGTCACTGAACAAGCGCTCTGTCTCGGTATTCTCTGTCGTGTTGGATATCCCCTTCTTCTTTGACTATTTTCTTACTGCTCAGCCTCAATGATCTCTCCACCTGAGATTTTTGATTGACGCTTTTGTTACGGGTTTTTCGTGCCAGTCTTCAGATTGTTCGTGCCAGTCGCCAGCCGTGTTCTTGTGGCTGACGGGAGGAAAGACTGGCTTTGTGGCCTTGTCTAGCCTCCCAGCATTCCACTGGCACGAGTATAAATCACCTCGAAGATGATTCGGCATGTGAGATAGGTTACGTGAGCGCAGCTGTATCGAGCAGTGGACAATTACAGGCTTACGGTCATCCTATCGCGACGCCTTCAGGGTTGTCTCGCCCGTACAGGTGTTTCAACTCACATCCCTTCAGATGTACCTTAAGTAAGACATTCTGCCAGTAGCCCTGTCTACCGTTGTTAATGAGTCCTCAATACAGCAGCGCACCATGTATCACTTGCGATAGTCTGCTGACATCAATTCGGCCTGAAATTGGTCAAAACTCTCCCAGCATGATCATTTGGTACACCTAGACTTATACAAGCTCCTAACCCTGGGCTTGGGACCCCATGCCAAGATCATAACATTCAGCCACGCGGCCATTAATTAAATTTCGGCATGTAAATTTCCATGCGCGTTTCCGTACAAAAGGTGCCAGGAGCAAGACTTGCATTTGATTCTCATAGAGAAATTAAATCTTTGTCATGGCCGATCAAGTGAGTCCGTTCGCGCAATCTCCGACGTGTAGGTGAAACCACGCTGCCATCTGGGCACACATCCCGCTTCTCTGCTCTCATCCGGCCGACCACACAGGTCCAGATGCCCCACACCAAAGGCACGAACTACATGAATGACATTTTTGCAAATCGAAGCATGGTCAGATGGCCGAGCGGTTATGGCGTCAGGTTAAGGTCAGCTTAACACAACTTCCTGATGGAGCAATCCTCCTGGGTTCGAGTCCCAGTCTGATCAAAACATTTTCTTTTGTTAATTTGCGAAAGTTTATTTTTATTTTGTTTATTTGACAAGGGCATTGTTTTCTCTTATCGACCCTTTTTATTTAAAGAACTACTTTATTATTACTGCAAATCATAATCCAGGGACGTTCCGTCATTCCCAACCTATCTTCAATTACGCCGGTACAAAATCGGCACCGGACGCTGCATGTGGTGGCAAATAAAATTCAAATTCCGGGATTTAGTAATGTTAAGGTTTCTGCAGGATACTCGCTGCCTGTACTGAAGATGGATGCCATCGACTATTTGGGCAGATAACAGTCTGAGTATTTCAATGTCTGAGCCAGCCTAAATTGCTAAGGAATTTCATGCACAGCGGCCAGCACCTCCGACCCTCTGCATAGCGTAATCTGCGCTGATTGTAGTATCGTTAAACGCATACGTACATCTTAGTGAGCAGTACCCGTGTCGGCATATCCGTTACAACCGGAAAATATACTAATCAGCAGCCATTCCTTACGGCTCAGGACGATTGATCAAAGGAACAAGACCTGGGAGCAATTTCCATCCTCGAACCCATGCAGGACCTAATGCTCGGCACTGCAGTAGTGGTCATTAGTAGTTCGAACTCATTGTATGAAGCAAGGGCCAGTTTCTCATTGACGAGATGATTATTATAGGTCTAGACTGCTGACAGATTCACTCAGTGGGTGTTCTTCAATTCTATGCAGGATGCCTCAACCCACATCCTCTCTAGTTTATTTGTAATGAGCGTAAACGTCACCTCTCATTCATTCTGCACTAACGATCCCATATGAAGGAAAAAGGCCAAAGTAGATTATTGCAATTTACTCGCCAGGGAATCAGGTCACGACTTGCAAGGCCAATAAGCCGGATGAATTCGCAGACCTGTGACAAATGTCTTCTGGGAATCCTCGCACAGTAGTAGTAATAGTTGAATCCTTCAGCTACCTAGTTGTCCTGGAACTGTTGCTCCTTGATTCACCGCCCCAGGTTTCCGACACTCTGCATATCCAAGTCAATAATAAGCTGCTGTTACGGAACAACGGAAGCGGGTTGGGGGCCATGATGATGCATGCGTGGTCAGATTCTCGCCTTCCAACGGCTTATTGGTTGTGATTCCGATTACTAATTGTCATGCTTCAAGGTGAGTCTCATGGCTCGCCAGTGAAAATGTCACCTTGTATTTTTTATTTTCTTTTCTTTTCTTCCCTTCTTGTTCTGACCGCCACCGTTTCCGCACACTCCCACCTCGCCGCCACGTTATTGGCGCTGCCATGGTAGGACTGAAACGGATCAAGACCTCTGACGCGAGCATTGTGATGACACAGGAAGAGATAAACGGCCATCTTCGTCCAATCCCTGAGCAAGGGCACGGCCAAATGGTTCAGAGGCGCTAACCCGATCTCATGCTTTCTCTCACTTTGAATCGAATCAATCTTCTAGAACAATGTCTTGTGCGTAGTCATACGACCAGTTGCCGATGAGTACTCGAACTGCCTCGTGGCTATAATTATGCTACGAAATGGCGATGATGACAATGGCTCCCCAGCAGCTCGGTCAAAATAGCACATCTACTGCTTCGTTTATACAGATACAGCACGGATGAGCGTGGTCCGACCCAACAAAGGTCTCATTTGGCAAATCTCTCACTCTTTAAAATCGTCAACGTCTTTCGAAAGCTCGAGACGGCCCTCGTGTCGAGCAAGTAAGCAATTTAAGCATCTCCATGAAATCAAATCGAACTGGGCTACGCAAATCTAGGCCTATACGGTCAGTATAATTCATCGAGGACCATGGGGAGCAATAGCAGTGAAAAAAGTAAGCACTCGAGAGTGTGTAATTCACCAGTTGTGTGCTAGCATCCTTGAGTAGCTGAGTCTCGTAATTTTATCCTATCCTATCACTACAGGTGAGGAAAACGGCACGGCCTTATCCTCTTTGAGACCATGCTTCCATCTGCTTCACTCAGGGATCACTGCCTCGCTAGCAGGGACTCCAGCCTTCCAATGGTACTTTGATGCCACGTGCTCGTCCAGAGGCACCTTCTGGCCCTTGATACCATAAAAGTTCTCCCGGTATGTCCCACCCTCGACATACCCGTCCCAGAACAGTCCCCTAGCCTTAAGCTCCGGCAGCAAGAGCTCGATGATGTCCTTGAACGAGCCAGGAAACAGCGCATAGGCCTTGACATCTGTTAATAAAACTGCCTCGAGCAACAGTCGCCATGAGTCTGGCCGGAAATGTTTCACTCACAAAGTTGAATCCATCAACATCTGCCTCGTCGACCCATTTCTGCAGATTGTCGGCCACCTGGGCAGGGGTTCCGACCATGATCGGGCCGTTTCCTCCTAAGGCGACATGCTCCGCTACCGTGTGCTTGGTCCATTTGGAGTTTTCGGGAGCAAACTTGGCGTATCCCTCGACGGTGGACCTGAGAAGGGTTTTGTCTGTCAGTGTGCGAGTTCCGCATCGCTATCGAGTGGTTGCGATGTGTGATGAGTTGCAAGTTGTTGTATCACTTACCGAACGGCGTTGCTTTCCACCTGCCGAAGTTCCTCATCGTCACCGTACTTGCTCAAATCGATCCCAGTCCAGCCAGCGAAGAGAGCCAGGGCACCTTCAGTGGATGCGTATTGCCTGTAGTCCTTCAGCTTGGCCTGAGCCTCTTCTTCCGTCCTCCCAAGAATGGGCGTCACAAGAGCGAGGACTTTAATGTTGTCCGGGTTCCGGCCATATTCCTCCTGCGCCATCTTTCGCACCTCGGCGATGCTCTTTGCGCACACTTGAGGGCTGTGTGCGGAAGTAAAAATGGCCTGCGGTCATTTTCGTTTTCTATTTTAGCATCAAGGCTTCATCGTACTGGCAAATGAGCATCTCGGTGTGAGGGGACTGACCTCGGCATGTTGCGCGGCAAAAATCTTGCCTTGCTTCGAAGTCCCTGCCTGGAGTAGGAGGGGGGTGCGTTGAGGGCTCGGCTGGACGATATGCGGGCCAGGCACAGTGAAGAACTTGCCATTGTGATCGATGGGCCGTACGCGGTCTGGTGAGGTGTAAACACCCTTCTCACGGTCAAGGACCACGGCATCATCCCGCCAGGAGGACTGGAATAGCTTGTACATCACGGTCATGTACTCCTCGGCCTGCGCATATCGATCATCGTGCTGTGGCTGCTCTGCGCGGCCCATGTTCCGAGCAGCCGAGTCCAGATAGCTCGTGACAATCTTTTCTCATCAATCAGCCAATAATTCCCCAAGTGGTTATCTCAAATAGATCAGCTTACATTCCAGCCGAGTCTGGGTTAAAGAAATATTTCAGTCCTACATGATTCTCAAAATGAGGAGGATAGGAAGAAGAAAGGAAACACGGGGGGAATTCCCGATCATACTCACCGGCCCTTTGTCAAGTGGTCCACCGTGCTCAGTCGCCGAGCAAGATGATAAGGCTGCTCATAAGTTGTGGAAACAGTCACGCCGAAGCCGATGTTGCTTGTTGCAGCAGCCATTGCCGACACAACGGACAGCGGCTCATTGACAGGCCCTGCATCCTCATAATTCAGCCTCTCTCGATCGCTAGACACCTTCTAGACCTCTTGAATGGGACATAAAACTTACACTGAGCGCCGGTGATAACTGCTGGATCAAGGGATCCCTTATACACATCGTATCCTCCCAAGACGTCGGCTATGAAGATGCCATGGAACTTGGCCTGCTCGAGCAGCTTGGCCAATTCGACCCAGTGATCGACGTCTGTGAACTTCCAGGACTGGTCCTCTGGATGTCTCCAGAGGCCTGGAGACTGATGTCCACTGCCTGAAGCCCTTGTCAGTATGGCGGATTACCTCCACTCGGAAGACGACAGGTAAGCATGTCGATAGGTACTTACACATCTCCACAAAAGCGTTCACGATGAGACGCTTTTGCTTTTTCTCGCCATTCTGGGTAGCCATCTTGCTGGAAAGGATTCAGGTAGCCTTGCCGCACGCGTTGTGTGTGTGTGTTTTCCTACCAGGGCTGTAGGTTGAGATTTGTGTTCAACCTTTCACAAAGACTCGAAAGCATCAAACAACTCCTCCTAACTATATTTTAGCACACCCGAAAATCGAATATCCTACCGGCCCGATGATCATCATTCTCCGTGTCTCCGGCAAGTCGCCAAGGGTAGCTACCGTTTGGGACGTCTTGGAAGGCGTGCTTCCTAGCGGGGGGATCGATATTGCGCCATACGAGCGTCGATGGTGTGCCACCGACACGCCGTATACTGCAGACCTACACAGAGTGAACGACGAAAATTGCTGTCAGAACTTCTCCACCTGGCTGCCATTTGTTTCGGGAATCCTCGCCAAGTTCAATCAGAGGAGCGCGTATGTTTAGCAGGTCCGGGTGGGTTTGCGGCGAGGCGTGGGGCCTTGGAAACCTTGCTGAGATGATGAAGTATGCAGAGCTGCTTGCGCCATACCTCGCTGCTGGGCATCGGGTGTCGCCCTCTTTCCTATCTGCGACACCCCGCCCACCCCGTCGGTGCAATGTCGTTATCTAGGATGCTGCTGATTTGTAAAAGAAACATACAGTCCACCCGTATTACTTAGCACTTCCTGCGTGCGTTCATTATTCAGGGTCTGAGTCGTGGCGCAAGGCCAAGGGAACTTCTTAAGGCTACAACTTAAACAAGCGGCACGTCATCCCAGTAGCAATACAAGCGATCACGACCTGTAAAGTCAAAAATACTTTTTGTGGACAACGACATTTCTATCATGCGCAAATGGACGTTACTTCGCAAGCTGTCAAGTAAAGTCAGAAGCAAACAATTTACCAAGGACCCCGTCGCCGGCGCCGCCACCACCACCAACCCAGGCGTGATTGATGCCATCACGCCGCCGCCGTCAGCCACAATGTCATCACCAGCTACCGTCCCCGAGACACAACGTGTTCTGCTGCTTTACGGTCCGAGACAGCCCTACAAAGTTGTCCAAGATTATCCGGTTCCAAGACTCCAAGGAGATGCCGAGATCCTAGTGAAAACAAATACCATCGGCCTCAACCCTATAGATTGGAAAGCACCGTGAGTTGTCGTCCTTGCATTGATGGAAGCCTTGAGTGCATTAGTTTCTGGAGCCATGCTGATCATTCACTTTTCCTGGGAATAAAGCGACTTCAATTTTGCCATACCAGAGCTTCCCTATCTTTCTGGAAGGGAACTCTCTGGCGACGTATGTCAACTTTCCAGTGACTCGTCGAGGTTCAAAGTGGGAGACAGAGTGCGTTTCCTCCCACCTCTTACCTGAATCGTATTCATTCTTCCTTTTGAAAGGCCCGAGTTCTCATCATCCGATTAGGTCATTGCTATTTCCACCGACTACCGGGACCCTCGCAAGGCAGCATATCAGGAATATGTAGTTACTTTCGACTTCAACGCAGTCCGCCTACCTCCTCAACTATCTTATGAAGAGGGCTCGACACTGGGTGTCGCCTTTGTGGCCGCTGCACTCGCACTAGGGATATGTATGGGCGTCGATTTCAGCGAGATCGCGGACGGGCCGGACCTGTTGAAGATCGTCAAGGAAGTTGCCCCTGAATCAATCCCTGAGGATATTCGAGCCGAGTCTCTGAACGGTATCCCTGAGCACGAGCGCGCAAGACCTGGGGACTGGCTTGCGGTCTGGGGAGGTGAGTGGCGTGGACCAATTCTTGAACGGGTGATTATGAACGCTGCTGACGAACGCAATAAAAGGTTCTGCCACGTCGGCAAACCTGACGGTCCAGCTTGCACGGCTAGCAGGGCTCAAAGTCGCCACGATCGTGGACAGTGCCAAGCACGGCCTGCGTATATCTAACCACAAGTTCATCCGGCCTGACCTGCTCATTGACAGCCATGATCCTCAGCGGGCCATCCAGGTCCTCCAGCGCAACGTTGGGGATGAGATCCGGTTCGGCATCGACACAAGAGGCAAGGACACCGCCGCCATGCTCCTCGAGGGCCTGACCAAGAGTCGGTCGGGAACCATCAACGCGGAGCCGCCTTCTCCTCCAGCTACGCCGCGCACCAGCCCCTCGTTCTCGGCCCACCTCATCGGGCTGACTGGGCTGCCCAAGGGAGTCGCAGCCGACGGGATTGCGCTGCACGCAGTGCCCATCAAATTGTTCCATGAGGTGCCGGCCGTGGGCCACGCTATGGTCACATGGCTGGAGCGGCTGCTTGAGCAAGGGCTTGTGTCCCCGCCGGAGATTATAGATATCGAGGAAGGCCTCGAGAATGTGAACACTGGACTGGATAGGATGCGAAAAGGAGAGATTAGCGGCGGGAAGCTGGTTGTCAGGATAAGCGAGGAGTGATGGGCGTTTCTTGTGAAGAGCGAGACCTCAGGGCAGCGCATACAAAAGAGATAGAAGTTACGCCCGCCCAGTATGTGTAGATGATTTCATACTAGATTCCTCTGAGAACATATCATAGCGAGATAATTTTTAGGAGATGGGGGGAACCAAGATTACAAAATTTCTATCAAAAGAAGGGAAATATCCTTACGATGGGCTGTGGACAAGTTCTTGCTGTCAGGATCATGCCAAAGCGGACAGCATGTTTATTTTTTTCATTTTTTTTTTCATCCCATGCTGTTGATTTTCATACATTTTTTGTAAGAACGAAAGAGCAGAGAAGGGAAAAAGATAGACAATAGATCGACTTTCTGTTCACATAAACTGGTATCTAGGTAAAAGGTGTCTGTCTCAAGTCGATCGGAAGACCTGTCTCCTACTTTTCTACATACATACATATATTGAATTGAAATCAAAACCTCTCACTACATGGAAGATAACATTTTGTTGGCGCAGAATTCAAGTGATCGGCAGCAAATTGTAAAAAGTAGATCATGCACATTTTGGCTAAACGTAAAGAACCGCATCAGATAGGAAGTCTCCGATGAGCGGCTCGGGAGATGGTGTCACGATAAGCGTTTTCGACGTGCTCTGACGTGCTCGGAAGCCGCACGTGGGGTCGTCTGCACAAGTGTTCCGACCTCTCTGAAAGATGTGCCACTTCATAGGCTAGATGTGTCGTGCTCGGTAATGTGAACCTCATGCTTGGATGGGTGGAATTTCTGTATAAACATGGGGATAATATGAATAAGTGGCGTCGTAGTAATGATACAGATTAATCAAAATTTGGGCCGTGACGATTGAGACCGGCCGCATTACTCACCAATTTTTGGAAGAAAGAGAAAAGAACAACGGCTATTTGGCTTTTGTCTATTCTAGATTATCTTTTACCATCCCTGTTGCTTCACAATTATGGCGGCGAAAGTGAATGGCCATGAAGCAGCACAGCCTGCCACCACAGGCGATGCTCCCGTTTTAGGCAATGGGGAGGAGAGCATCTTGGCCTACGAGGTGACCAACCACGTCAAAAAAGCCAGATCCCTCGCCAGCTCTGATGATGCCACACTATTGACGAGCGGTTCGACAAAGCCAGTCCCATACCCCAAAGCTCGGTTCGATCTCATCAACCGGTTCGTGGACGAGCCTCGAAAACTACGCGTCGTCATTGTCGGTGGAGGTCTCGCAGGAATTCTGAGCGGCTGTCTGCTACCCGCCAAGGTACCGGGCATTGAGCTTGTTATCTACGAGAAGAATCCGGATTTTGTGAGTAACAATGAAGCAGAGAGAAGGCTGACACTTATTGTTGGTGAACGCTTGCTGAGTAAATATTCACGATGCAGGGCGGGACGTGGTTTGAGAACATATATCCAGGTGAGCCCAATTATATCTTTGGGGTGTCAAGTGTGTTTCTTGCGGAACAGTCGCTGACGATTCTCCAGGCGTACGCTGTGATATTCCGTCACACGTCTACCAGTCTACATTCTCTCCGAAAACTGACTGGAGCGATGAATTTGCGCCTGGAGCCGAAATTCGCGACTATTGGCAGTCCGTGGCCAAGAAGTATAATGTCTACCAGTACGCCAAATTCCAGCACCGGGTCGACGAGGCCAGCTGGGACGGCGAAAACTGGCGCCTGGCAGTCACCAACCTTGAGACTGGAGAGGTCGTTCACGACAAGGCAGATTTCGTGCTCACGTGTATTGGGCGATTCAACGCCTGGAAACTGCCGAGTTATCCCGGCATGTCGGAGTACAAGGGGATCTTGCGCCACGCTTCTCACTGGAATGCCGACTTTGATCCCAGTGGGAAGAAAGTAGCAGTCATTGGCAACGGTGCCAGTGGCATTCAGCTCGTGTCTAATTTGCAGCGCAGCGTGGCAAGGCTGGATCATTATGCCAGGAACAAGACCTGGATCGCAGCCTCCTGGGCGGGGGACGAAAGGACGCTCGGTCCTCAACCCATTCCAGAGGAGCAGAAGGACTCTTTCAAGGACCCAGAAACCTATCTGGCCTTCAGAAAAGGCATGGAGGACAAGTACTGGAGGAAATTCAACACTTTCCTGAAGGGCGAGGCCAACGACAAAATTCGACAGTTCTTTGCCGACACCATGAAGGCACGCCTGTCCAAAAAGCCAGAGCTTCTGGATGACCTGGTGCCAGACTTCTCCCCAAACTGTCGCCGCCTGACACCTGGTCCTGGATATCTGGAGGCGCTGCAGGAAGACAATGTCGACTTCATCCGCCAAGGAATCAAGCGGTTCACCCAGACGGGCATCGAGACTGTGGACGGGACGCATCGGGAGGTTGATGCGATATTTTGTGCGACTGGCGCCAATGGCGACATGATCCCGCCTTTCCCTATACGTGCGCTTGGCAAAGAGCTGTCCAACGTCTGGGCCCAAGACGGAGAATACGGTTTCCCCTACACATACCTCGGAGCAGCCACCCCGGGCTTTCCCAACCTGCTCTTCGTCCATGGCCCTCACGGAACAGGTCCCAGCGGTACGGTGCCGCATAGCGTCGAGGCACAACTGACCCACTATGCCAAGGTCCTCCGCAAGGTCTCCCGCGAGGGCATCAAGTCCATGACCCCCAAGAAAGCTGCCGCGGACGACTTTGTCGAGTACTGCGATGCTTTCTTTTCCACAACCGTCCTGACCAACTGCTCTAGCTGGTATAATGGGTCCGTTCCTGGGGGCAGAATTCATGGCATATGGCCTGGCAGTGCGCTACACTGCGCGATAGTGAGACGGGAGCCCAGATGGGAGGACTGGGACTACGAGCATTTAGACGTTGCCAAGGGAAACAGGTTTGCCTTTTACTTTGGTAATGGTGGCACGAAGAAGGAACAAGATGAAAAGTCGGACATGACGAGCTATCTCGACTTACCAGAGCGGATCGACCTGCGAGACGTTCATGAATCGTGGTGGCTTGTGCCATAGAAATCCGTCATTTCTCTAAAAATTCGGGATCCTCGACTGGGTAGACGGCCCGTGGCAGTAGTTCCTGTATGTCTGACAGGGAGGTAGTCAAAGCATGGATTTCGAAACCGCCGTTCCTGTCATATCTTGGGTAGCTAGTGATTAGTACTTGGATGTCTCAAATCACCAAGGATCGCACGTGGATGGCACGTGATATAGTAATGCTGTGGCAGGTTGCCTGGGTCTAGAACCATGGGAAACATGCGTACCCAAAAGGCTAGACACCTGGATACTCAAGTCGACAAGGTTTATGTACCCTGGCGTAGATGCTGTGCATATTTGAACAGATCAGATCCTCGGCTCTTGGCCTCAGCCGTTAGCAGTGCTCCCGACGAGTCTCAAACGCCCTGCTGCATTACTCGGCCCAGCTTTTGATGGCTGATCGTTTCTCCTATACACGTAAATCTGCACCCCTGGAACTCGTTATATTGTGGGTACCAGGTCGTGCGTGCTAGAGTTTGCGACCACTGATCAACTCTATCCCCTGCTCGCCCCTGCGGATGGCGTGCTCACATTACGGCAGTGTTGTCATATGCTTGAAGATTGCCTCATCAGTGGCTGCGCGAGCTGATTTGACTGCATGCCGGTACGGATCAAAGTCTTGACTTTGGGCTAGGCCGCAAAAAATTCTGGGTATCTGGTGTAACCTCGGGCGTCGAGATAGGGCTATATGGATCCATTTTCAATTTCTGGCTATTACCTGACCGCCTTCAAATGCTGGTCAGGAGTTTATAACATCTATAATCTGCATCCTACACGCCTTCGCCGTCGCCCTGGTTCAATTGAATCGGTGCCTCTTGTCTTCTGACTCTTGTTGTCGAAACAGTCAAGGCTGCTCTTCGCTCTCGCGTAGACTATTTCAAAGCGCTAGCTGAGCATCAGAGGACTGACAAGACAACGCAAGCTTCCCATCTTTGTTCAGTATTACGTCCCTGCCAGGATGACTACTACATCCAAGGATGCGGAACCACAGGTTTCCAGCGTCGACGACAATGGCGAACGTCCAGGTACGCATCGTTCGCAGGCATAACCGGGTCCGGATACTAACGAAGAAGCAGTTGTGCCAGAAGTAAAGTGGTACAGATCGACCTTTTACAACATCACCATTCTTGGTCTCTGCAATTTCGCCGCCCCCGGAATTTGGACGGCCATGAATTCTTTGGGCGCCGGAGGCACTGCGAGTCCGACACTGACCAATACGGCCAATGCCCTGACTTTCTGTCTCATGGTCCTTTCGTGCTTCTTCTCGAGCGCGCTTGTCCATTATATTGGTATCAAAGGTATGTTGGGATCTCCAGAAGAAGGCCGTGGGGATGGTGTTGGCTTGTTCTTTGTTTAGTTCAGAGTACTAAATCATTATTACAACATAGGAGCTCTGATTTTCGGAACGTGAGTATTGTTGCCTCGTTCCCCTCGATCCCGCACCAGAGCCGCATGTTTCAGGGGCTGACGTGATATTGTTTGGACTTCTCTAGTATTGGATATGCGCCGTATGCAGCGGGTCTATACACGAACAGCAGATACGGCCTCGAATGGCTCGAGCTTTTTGGAGCAGCACTTTGCGGAATCTCGGCTGGTGTCTTCTGGATGTAAGAAACCCTTCGGAGTGTCACATTCGATGGTGTCTCTTTGAACTCATCTGACTCTTTTCTAAAATCTAGGGCTGAAGCAGCACTCTGCATCGCTTATCCCGAGCCTTGGAATAAGGGAAAAGCCTTGGGTTATTGGCTTACGTACAGGCTTTCAGGCCAGATCATCGGCGGTGCCGTCAACATCGGCCTCAACTCAAACAGGAACGAGGCAGGCTCGGTCTCATACAACGTCTACATTCTCTTCATCGCCCTGCAGGCAGCTGGGCCCTTCGTGGCACTCCTGCTGAACCGGCCGAGCAAGGTCCAACGGAAGGACGGAAAGAAAGTCGTCCTGGAGATTCTTCAACATCCCTGGTACGAGATGAAGAAGACTGCAAGACTGTTTTGCACCAAGAAATTCCTCCTCATCATACCCCTGATTGGGCAGGCAGTCTTCGCAGAAGCCGTATTCTTCACTTATCTGTCCCGTACGTATCTCCCCAGATCCTCGAGTTTGATGGATTTCGAGTGCAGTCGCCCGGCTGACAACTTTCTTCTTTCTTCCCCACAGTCTGGTTTAGTGTAAGAGCTCGTGCCCTGGGCTCTTTCCTGGGTGGAATAGCAGCAGTGACGGGAGGAAATATCCTTGGAGTGAGTTCAAACAACCCCCATCTTGTAGACTTTGTATCTTTGACCAACAATCTAATTTATCTCCACTCACAGTACTGGCTGGATAGAGTCAATGTGCCCCTGAAGCGGCGAGCACGTCTCACTTTTGCAGTCATCCTCACTCTACAGGGCGCATTCTGGCTTTGGGCCACGATCATCGTCACGATCTTCAAGAGGACCCAACCGACCTACGATTGGTCGGATGCAGGTTTCGGCAAGGGCTTTGCTGTTTTTGTCTTCCTCTCACTAGGATTTCAGTTGAACTATCTCTACCTGTAAGTCAACCGCCGTCTCTGCAGACGGGGAACTTTTGCCGTGAAGAGAGTGACCCACATGGATTCTAACGTCTATTTCTCTTCAGTTACTTTGTGATTCAGAATCTCGCCGGCCACGACGAGGCCCTGGTGATCCGCTATGCGGCATTGCTGCGTGGTACAGAAAGTGCTTGGCAGGCCCTGAGTTATGGTCTGGAGGCCCTCACGGTCTTCAGCGAGACGGGAGGCGTGTACATGAACTTCGGCTTGTGGGCTATTGCTATTGCTCCAGCGTGGCTCGTGATCCGACACTTTGGAGTCGATGAGGCATCGACGAGCACTGCGTTGCCCCCCGCTGAGCCTGTATCGGAAGACTCGGAGAAGAGCAACTGAGATGGTGGTATCGTCGCGTAGGCCAAGGTGAAGGCGGATAAAGGATTCAGAAACCTACTTTGAGCCGACTCTGATTAGTAGAGGCTCTATCTCCCATAGACAAGTTCTTGAATTTTCCTGCTCATAGACTACTGAATCAAATAGATATGTTTAGTACTAGAGATATCAGCCAGCGTTGGCTATCCTCACCCCCTCCTCACAGGTTATATTAGCCTTGAAGAGATCTCTCCTCAGGTGCTTCCGTATCGACGTATTGAAACACAGGAATTTTAGGGCGTTGACGATCTCCAACTGAGTATTTCAATTTCGATTCCGAGATGCTTTGCGCTCGAGATTCCAGAATACCGATTTTCTGGAGGACTAGTGCACCCCCCCCCCCGGTCCTATACCCATCGTGCCTTCCCTCGACAACAACGCTCCTTCCTACAATATGAAGATTTGTCTGAAGCTAGATAAAAGATTCGAGAGAGGCTGGAGCTCTGTCATAATTAAATTCTTTCATCTTACAAATGTGACTGCAGGTAATTTCGCACGAAGAAAGCACACCTACTCGACCATCTACTCGGCATCTACGAGAACTTAAACACTATTCTCTGTTCCTACTGTCAGTAAAACAACTAATCTCATTCAGAATGCATGGTCATCCTCGCTAATCCAGACATCCTGCACAGCTTCATCTCCTTCAATCTACAAGAATATCGTCATGGCGAGCAATCAGTCCCCATACCAGGCTGTCTCTGGTATGGAAATGTCCACTCTTCGCATGCATCTCTGGGCAAATGATCACTCAAGTGCATTCATTCCATCCCGCTTTGATCAGATATCTCAAGCTTCACAAAGCGTCTCACTTTCATGTGACCTTGTGTGTCTGTACTTTCACGTTCGTGCTGAACCGTCCTCTGACAATCCTAGACTGAATTCGCCATGTATCCGACAGTGAAGATGACTGGAACCCTTCCTCCTCTCAAGATGGCCCAAGTCCAGTAGCCTCGGCCTCTTAACCTCGTGGATCTAGAGCCAGCACCGTGCCAGACAGCGAGGACGACTGTAATGTTGTGGGTCGGGAGGACGAGGTTTTAGCTGATGACATAGATAAGGCAGACGAGATGGAGCCCTCAGTCTTGGAAAGAAAGAAGAAACTTTTGGACTGCGAAAACTTCCTAATACAAAAATTACCCGAATACCAAAGTAGCTTTGAATAAGACCATCGCTGTCAATCTTTTGTAGTTCCCTCCTTCTTTGACTCTTGCTTTGGTAAGAAGTTGGAAGCAAAAGTTTCCGTTTCCAAGGGAAAATGTTTCATGTTGTACTTGAGACAATAAAGAAAAGTTTTAATTTATCAATTTTTTTTTTCTCCCTCTTTCCCTCTTTCCCTCGTTCCCTCGTTCTCTTTCCCTTGTTCTTGTTCTTGTTCTTTTCTTCCTCAACGTATCTAAAACCCAGGAGCAATTTACATAGCCTAATATGAAGACTCTTAAGAATCCAAATGCCAATCAACGGGACACACAGACCTGAATGAGTACTCTCACTTTTACGCTCAATAAATGGTACCTCGTATTGATAAAAGGGCGAAAAGTCGAGTGCTATGACTATCCGTCAATTCAAATGGATATTAATGCCAAGTTTGTCAGCATCATGTTCAGCCTGTTATGTCCCTAGTCGCAATATACGGAAAATGTAAGGAAATTGTAAGAGCGGTGTCACGAATATCACAATAACCAGCTATCAGCCATGTGCTTTCATCAAACATCTGAAATAGTTTAAGAAGAACAAAGAATGATCAGACATGTCAAATTTTTTTTTTTCAAGCCTAGGCCTAAGGTGGAAGTTCTGTGAAGCTCTTAAAATGCTCTACGGAGTTGCGGTGGTCAAGTACTTTTGCGAAGGGATAAGGGGAACTAAGGCATTGCAATTTTTTTCTTTGGCAGCCTTATTGAGATATTTGGCTGAGAGTCACCCTTTAAGCAAAAGCCAATGAGTTACTAGCCCAGGGTGCAGAATTGCTGACCCAGGCAGTGCTCCAGACTGCCTCCAGTCCTTTCCCCTTTCTTTTCCTCCTTCCCTCCTGCCCTGCTTGCTTGTTCTTCTTCTTTCTTTCTTGCCCCTCTTCAACGCCATTGCAAGAGCGTCTGTTTCCCATACTCTTCACAAGCTACAATATCATGGCTCATACTATTTATATATACATGGTATATTAGCTTTCACAGATGATCATGATAAACCCGGATATGTTGCTTACAAAGCATTTCTCTGGGGTTTGATGTGACCAGTGTCCAAGTAGACCAAGGATGCAGGAAGAGTTATGGAGTTCCAAAGTTTAAAAACGAAAGCCAATTTGTAACATATGGAAAGATAAGAAGCATGGCTTAACTTCAATTCCGTTTCTTTAGAAGGGAGAATGACTGTAGCTAGTTGATATATACATGTACATATTTTGGCATTCAGTGGGAATTCATCTGGAAAGCGGCCTTGGGGTTTCATAACAGCCATCCCATTGCCAACTTGGCCGGCCATCTCTTGACAACGCCTTACCGTTTGCAATATGCGAATTACAAAACTTTAGTATCACTGCTTCCCATCATTTGCGCTTTCTCGCTGCCCCCGAGCCCTACCTGCCCACGGGCCTGTTCCTCGTCGCTCGTCTGCCCTTCGATGGGCTGCTCCACACCGTCGAGAGTCCAGATCGTCTCCGTCAGCAACGTCTGCTTGTCAGGAAATGCCCAGCTTAGAGCTGTATACAGAAAGATGGACGTTACGAAGCCGAACAGCCAGTTGAAGCTGTACAAGTTCCTGATCCCAGCGTCGGTCATGGCCTTGGGCGAGGGGGCGGCAGTTGAGCCACCGCTGACGATAGAAAGGGCAAGACCCGGAAGTAATGGCGTGACAGGGGTGATAAAGGCGATAAAGGCGCGCCAGTTGAACCCCGGTAGTGCTCCGGAGTAACGGTAACGGCCGTGAGGGTCGTAGAGGGCCGGAATGTCGTAGTGAGATTTCTTGACCAGCCAGTAGTCCGCCGCGAGTATTCCTGCAATTGGTGCGAGGAAGACCGAGTAGCCGGACATGAAGGAAAGGAACGTGGACGCGCTAGCCAGGATCTTCCAGGGAACCAAGACCCAGCCCGCAATAACGGCTGCAACCATACAGCCTCGCTTGATATTGATCCATCGTGGGAAGAGCACCGTCAGGTCGTTCGCCGCAGAGATCGAGTTCGCGGTTACGTTTGTACCAATCTGAGCTGCCAGCCACCCAAAAGCGGCGAAGAAGGCAGCGCATCTTCCTCCAGAACCGTAGTCTAGCCAGATGGAGATGATATCCAGCGGGTTCCAGATGTAAGTCCCATAGATCGTCTTGGTGCAAGAAGTGGTGACTATTCCCAAGACCCCACATGCAGTGAAGAAGATTGGAATGATCGCGACCTGGACATATTGACCTTTGGCTGATTTTGCGTATCTGGTGAAGTCTGGGATGTTACAGGCCAAAGTCGCCCACGATCCTGTGACCGATGTCATCTATTCCGCGAGAGATTAGTAAGCAATTCAAGAAGGCGAGGACAGTCGTCGTCAGGCGAGCGCTCCACGGCTACTACAATGCATATACTGATTGTAGTGGCCATTCTTTGACTTACGCAGCTCAACCAAAGCCAAGCGTACTGGCTTCCAGAAACTTCAGCTCTGAGACTCCAAATCTCGCCGCCGCCATGAGCCTTGTGTAAACACCATGCCATAGTAGCAATGGCAGTGGCAGGCGCAAGAGTAAGCTGATTTTGTATTAGCACCACTTTCTTTCCTCTCTTCTTTCGAAAAGCGTGGATATCATAGCAAACCTTGACAATAAACATCCACCGCAGTTTTGTAGGGTGGATCAGTAGGATAGGAAGCTGAATAATCCAGAAGAGAAAATATGAGCACATCCCCTGCGTTGTGATACCGGCATTTGCGGGCAGTCGATTTGGAATGTTGTTATAGCTTGGAGCCAATGCACGTAGCATGACAGTGATACACTGAGCGCCTGTTCCACATGATAGAGTCAATACTTGCCCTTGCCCTCCCGAAATTATCCCGGGTCTTAAAATATGAGGTATGATGTTGGCCATATCTTGGACGTTCTACATGAAAAGGCACATACCATTTGCGCCTTGAATTCCAAGCCAGAACATTGCCAGTATGCATCGTGAAACAATGCAGAAATAGCGGAAATAATATCCGAAACTCGATGTGGCGATGACGCTGAACTGTTGTCGTTGTTAAACTCGGCTCGAAAGGCTGTGGAATGGGATCACTATACCGGCACGTGCAGTTTCGCTCCAGCCGCGCCATTCAGTACCATGGCGATTGAGACACAGAGCGTCCCAACAACCCTGTGATTGCAAGAGAGGGGTATTGGTCAGCCAAGGAGCGTCATCTGAACAGCATACAGGGGCCCGCACAGCTCACGTACATGCACGGAATAGCCTCTCTCCAGGACAATCCGACAGCTAGGATCGAAGATGCCGTCTCAAACGTTCCGAGGTTTATCATGTCACTCCCCCACATCGCCGCGATTGTATAGATTGACCATGTCTGATCAACATCCGGCGTAGGCTGCATATCGCGGTTAACCCAGACATAGCTAGGTGCGATTGCTGAGCCCTCCCTCGGCAGCTCCCACTGCAGTTCCAAGTCAGCGTACATCGAAATAAGTTGAGCCTTAACCGCTGAGAGACCTAAACAATAGAATGAAAAAACCCGAACGCCCCCATCACTTACGGCATGCAACGTGGTCAGTTTTCCCTTCACCGCCTCCTTCTTCACGGCCATCATGCTAGATATCCTCTCCTGCGAGGAATGTGCAAAGCCTGACTACTTGTTTGGGATGCCAGATCGTGAGTAATTAACAAAGCGTCTCGTAATAATGATCCCGAGCTGTCAACCGCAGTCGAAGTCGAAATTTGACAAAAGCTGACAAGCAGTCGCGACGAAGGGACCTGACCAAATATGAGGCGAGGAAATGGTCAGCCGTCTCCAACGATAAGATAAAACCGCCGGTTAATATGAACTGAGATAAGCCTTCAATACATGCTCTCCGAACTCTGTTGTCCTCCTATCTTCTGCGGCGTGATAGACAGATAGTGAGCCTGTCTGCTTGCATGTCAGATTGTGGGTCTGTGGCTGCGTTCACCTAAATTTACGTTCACCCCATGCTCTATGCCTTACCAATGATGTCTTTCATGGTTATCTGCTTATCACGACGAACCATCCAGTTACCCATCGCCTGTTAAGACTTACAGTATATATATACTATGTAGTACTATGACCATAATCATCTCTCAAGCTTGGCATAATTACCACCCCTTGTTCGGACCAGCGCCTCTTTCTTTTTCGTTCTCTTTTTCACTTGGACCCTTTGGGCAGATCGGTTTTCATCTTTGCGCCGACTTGCTGACATCTCTAATTCCAAGCGAGTAGTGATAACAATTGGAATAGCCAGCACAGATAGTAGTGGGTGGACCGGCCCAATGATTGTCATACGTGACCCATACGACAAGACTGCAGGCATGTCAGAGCCCAGAAATCTCGTCCCAGGAAAACTGCCGATGACAACTCCTCATGAACCTTTCTCATTCCTCTACTGGTCTACTGCCTTGGTTGGCTTGGCCTGAAGCAGCCACGCATCCTTTCGTGCAGCGTAATAATTTCATGCAGCCAGCTGATATCCTGCATGGTCACCTTCCTAATCCAGTGAGGATTGAGATCTAATGAGAAGTAAGAAATGCGCTCATGGACTCGCAAGGGGAAAGTAACCTGCTCACCACACCTGAACATCTGCTTGTGGAAAAGAACATTCTTGGCCCAGTCAAGGAAATGTCGTTGTGGCTGAAGCACGGCCACGTGCACTCGAGATCATCGAACCCCACTTAAGGGCACAACCTGACGAATTGTTAACTAGTGTATGTGCGGCTCGAGCGACGAGAGTAACTACAAACATGATCTAATCGCCGGGAGGGTCGATGATATCGAACTTGCGAACGTGCTGTCCCAGCACCAACAGGTCCACAATAGTCCGCGTCGCGTCTCCGGGAGACACCTGGAGCGGCGGCATCTCTTTCAGAATCTCGAATGAGTCCTCTGTATACAGTCGAACGTAGAGACCAGGTTTCGTGCGTCCCGCACGCGCAGCCCTTTGAGTGGCGTTGGCCTTGGTGGTAGGAACCGTTTCGAGCCTGTGTGCCCGAAGGCGAGGGTTGCAAGACTTCACTTTGGCGAGTCCCGAATCCTAGAATAAGTGTTAGAGGCAGCCCACGTTAACAAAGATCACGAGAACAGGACGTGAGTTTTGCAAAAATGCCAATTATGTACCAACCTCGCAGACAATTCCGTCAACTATCACGGACGCCTTTGCAACGGTGGCCGAAACAATGCACCGACACCCGGTCTGGGCCACTTGGAGGGACAGTGCTTGCTTCTCTTGATCCTGACATACAGCACTGTACAACGGAAAGATGTATAGCGAAAGTTCTCCAGATCGCGGTCGCTTTTGAGCCCCTCGCGAAGACTGCCGTCGGTACAGTATGTCATGAAGATCTTGCTACTGCGCATTGTGAAGTACGTCGTGGTGAATGTAGGTGACCTCCTCATCGCAGATGGCACCTTGTGTAGCCACACACCGCTGGCGGCGAGCGTGACTTGGCCGGAGGCTTGGTGGGATGACATCTTGGATAGTTTCGTGAGATGTAAGAGATGGGTATTTGTCAATGGTGACGTGCATTCGTTTAGTTGGCTCGCTTTAACTTACACACGGTGGGGTATTAGTAGATCGCTGTTTAGTTGAGAAGGTGACAGCCCTGTGTAATCACGCCCCACCAAAGGAGGCCGTGAAAGTATTACGGACCCAAAACTTTTCCTGTGATTGGGGAATGAGTTATCCAGCCCCACCGCATCATTCTGCCTCGCATTTGCAACTCAGATGCCCTCTTCTACAAACACAAAAGTTTCGCGTTTTGATATACTCTGCAACTAACACCAACAAAATCCCAGGCCCAAAAGGACAAACACTTCATCAAGATAGATGAAGCACCTAGAACAACTCATCCCAAAAGCAGTTGTTCGTCTGGGGCTAATCAACACCAGATTTCACAGGACTAGCAAGGGCAAGGCTATCGGCTTGGACAACACCGGCCGGTCATGAGCTGGTTAGAAACTTTTGAAATTTGCACACCATGACCACGGGACTGTGTACAAGCACTATCTTTTCTAGGCGTTCAACAAGGAAGAGGAGGGTGAGGTCACGTGGATTGCCTTTTACGAGAAGATCAAGGCCAGCGGCATGACTTTCGATACTTTGGGCGCAGGGCGGCTCCAGCACGGCGCGGGACTTTGGAACTGGTAAATTCGTGTGATAGCTACTCACAGCGAGAGTGAGACTGATGGCAGCGCAGGCAGGACTCGCTGCGGCCCTGTTGACAATTGAACTCGCCAGAGTCCGCATGACGGTTCCAGCAGAGGAGACAGGCGACCTGGATCTGAACTGGGGGCTGAGCGTCCTCATCAGAGGAGCCGTCAAGAACCAGGAATTCACCAATGACATGGTGGCCCTGAGCCAGCGGGAGGGAGAAGACCGGAGAAGATGAGGTTGATCGTGCTCGCCTACATATTGCGCCACGCCTCCGCGAGCTGGCGGCCATTCAAGTACAGACCCAATGGCAGCTGTTCGAGGCGGCCCCTTTCGAGCAGCCTGACTGTCGGCCGGTCAAGATCATCCAAGAACAGACCCACCGTGGGCGACGGTCATGCCACGGAAGAGACGATCTTCTAATTCAAAGGGATCAACGATATGGAATTGATTCTATTGAAGCGTACGCTACAGCAAAAAAAGGAAGGACAGAAAATAAGCCAGCCAGCCAGCCAGCCAATAAGGAAGCGAGGCAGAAAGGGCGCATATTGCAAGAGCCCCAATAAAGAAGAGAGAAAGAAAGAACGACCAGCCAGGTAGACGAACTTGGTGAGACCATCTAAGGCCCTAGCCGTTGGCTAGCGGGCAGGGCCGTGCAACTAGCCCTCGTAAAAAGCTTCTTTGGCCAAAATCTTGAGGAGAACAACATTGTCGTGATCACATCAATTACCCAGCAGGGGTTAAATAAAGTCCAAATAAGATGACAGGCTATCATTGCCAGGGGCATAGTCAATTTCTGATGAAACAAGCTCGAATGGGACACCCGCCTATGAGCTGATTAGTTATTTCATTGATGACTTTCACATAGTGAACGCGGAAAACTCCGTAGGACGGTCTTATTAAGCCAACTTCGGGTGTCCTTTCTGGGTAGATTACATGCATTATGGACGAAGCAAACCATTGGCCGAAAAACAACTTGGCGATATACAGTATAGTTAGTGACTTGTTTTTGAGTTTTTCTCTTCTGAAGCTCTGCCATAGTACACTTTCCAAACGGAAAAACTCCCCCGAAACGATGGAAAGCGGCGGGGCAAAACTTGAGCCACGGTTTTGCAGGTGCAGCGTGAGCTTTCCCAATACTACGCGATTCTACAGTGTTCACATTACCTAAGTACTTACATAGGGCAAGTGGCAACAAATCCCCACCTTGTCACAGATTCAGCAGCAGATTTATGCATTGGCCCCTGATACGTACTTGACACGTTATTATTAGTTGTACAGAGTAGCTAGTAGCTATAGTATCTAGGCCTGCCAAGTGATCAACTGCTCAAGTACGCATCGTTGTCTGTCCTGATTAGTGCTCATGTCACCGTGCGCGAGTCTCGTCTTATTGAGCCAATAAACATCGTGATCACTACTGAACTCAATGCACCTCGGTGTTTAGCTACAAACTAAGGCATATATTTCTTCCTCTTATCTGACTTTACATGGCATGTTCCTGGTTCTTATCGTGTTCCATAGAATGCTGCGTGGTCACTAGCTTTGGCCCCCTCTTCAGCATCATCTGATCATCTAGGCTAACCGAACGGATCCATCCACCACCGGAGACTTGACCCGAAGAACTAAAGCGCCCCCCTCAGAACAGGGTCTGGAGCACGCCTCGAAAATATTCTGTGCTGTCAAGACCTAAAGTTGGTGGAAACCAAGGAGACGTCAACTGCAGACCCGGGCACGACCAAAACCTTTTTGGCGATGAGAATTAACAAAACATGTTAGCGACCCCGGCAATCTGGACTGGGATGGATGCCATAGCAAGAATGCTCCTTCCCCACCCCAAAATTTCGTTACCCACAAGTGCGGGCAGGTATGACCTAGCTAGTACGTTTCGATACAATATCAGCGAGATGAAAAGCTCCTTTTCACTGGGAGGAGGAGCGGGAGGGAGGCTGGAGCGTCAAGAATTCATTCTGCACGGAAGATTCGTCCCGAGGGCCGACCTGGCCTTGCCCTGCTGGCTCCTCATAAGGTTACTGCTACTTACTTTGTAAAGTTTGGGTATGTAAATATCTGACATCACAAGTCTTCACACAAAAACAAGAACACCAACGACAACATCGCCATCACCATCACCCCACCCACAGAGAGTGGCAGAAGAGAGTGTGGTTCATACAGGCACTCTGGACTAGGTCGTGCCGGTCCAGAAACAAAAGGATAACCAAAAACCTCGAAATGCAGGATCCGGGAAACCAGAGGAGGCCCAGTACGAGGTCACTTTCAGTCTCTAGGTCCGTAGGGTGCGGCTTCTCTGACGCAGACAGCGTCAGAACCGCCGTGACATCTGCCGGTTCAAGCCAATCAACAATCATGGGAGGCAGGCCGCCCATGTTCTTCCACGAGATCAATCCTTACGCGCCCGAGACGATTGTCTTGCTCCACGTCCTCTTCAGCTGCTCGCTCGAGTGGAAGCAGGTGGCTCCCAAGCTGACCGAGTATCACCTCCTCATCCCGGATCTGCCCTGCCACTCGGCCAGCAAGGACACCTGCCGGAAGGATGACTTTTCCCTGGAGCTTGCTGCGGACCACGTGGCGAATATGATCCGGCAGAAAGCGCACGATGGCCGGGCCCACCTCGTTGGGCTATCCACGGGCGGATTCGTGTCGCTGGAACTGATCAGGAAGTATCCGGATCTCGTCAATTCCGTCTTCATATCCGGAGCATGGCCCTTCACAGGCGTTCGCGCCGCAGTCGCAAAAACGCCCCGCCTGACGTACTCGGCCGTATGGGCATTGCTGCACTCACCAGGATACCTCTTCTTCAGGGCCTCTGGGTTCAAGAGCGAGTACCAAAACGAGGAGTTGTTGACCGAGATCAAGAAGAACGGCAGCTCACGGCTCATCAAGGGTTGCAACACAGGTATCTGGGACGAGCAGAGACTGATCGAGGTCGCCAGGGCCGATAAACGAATATGTCTCGTTGTGGGCGGGAAGGGCCATGATCATATGGGGGAGGCAATACAGGCGGCCAACACGCTGAGGGCACACAGCAAGGGCGGTCCCGGTTCTGAATGTCGCGTCTTTCTGGTTCGTGACGCCATCCACGCCTGGAATCTCTCCCTGCCAAAAACTTTTGCCGGCGGTATCCAGGCATGGCTCCGATACCAGCAAATGCCGGATGAGTTCGAAAGGATACCCATTTAAGAAGACCTGTGCTGAGGCTTGCAGTAGCCACAGCCACCGCACTACCGTCTCTCCGTCCATATGGTGAGAGACCCATCTCTCTGACGTCTATTCGCCCAATGATCCCACCTTTGTCGGTTGACGAGAAAGACATGCTTCTTATTTCACTTATTTCACTTATTTTCTCTTTCTTTTTTGCCTCGCCAAAATCACTGGTACCCAGAGAGATCGAACAGAGCACCCTGCCCCTGTCTTATTCCAGGTCCACGATCAATTGTCGCTTGGAGACACGCGAAGGGAAGACGGGTATAGGTCCAACTGGACACCCATCCAGGGTCCTTACCAAGGAAGGAAGATTGGCCGTCAAACTTTGGAGCCCATGGATAATGGATACAAGGACATCCAACCGAGATATCGTATCAGCCATGGCTGATGTGAACCACCGGCGTTTGGCTGCGGACTTAGTGGAGACCCCACACCTTGCTTCATGGATTTTATAAACCGACGCAATGGCCCGGCGCTGGATTGATGCAGAGCCTTGTGGACCTACAGCTCATTTTTATGTGTCGAACGACAAGGACGACATTGACATCGACAGCTACCACCTGCAGACGGACGAAAATCAACTTATGCTATTGTGCACATCGGCAATCGTTATATCCAGCAGCGTGTTTCTCTCTCCTATGACTGAGACTTCGTGGCTCGTTCTTCCTCTTTCTTAGGTCGTGGCCATGTCTCGTCTACCTCCTATCGCCGTCGCACCTGATTCGCCGCTCGGTCGGCATCGTCAGCTGTCGCCCTCTGCGGCCATCCGGGTATCACCAATTTGCCTAGGAGCAATGAACTTTGGCGAAGTTAGCAAGGAGGCCATGGGGGAGTGCACAAAGGAAACAGCTTTCAGCATCCTGGACTATTTCTGTATGTTCTCCACCATCCCCAACCTATCTCCCGGGATGGATGATGTAGTACTGGCTCGAAGTGTCACGAGCCAGACCTACCCATACCTGTTATTAACGATGCGGAACGACACAGACTCTCAGGGCGGCAATTTTATCGACACCGCCAACGCGTACCAGGATGGGGAGTCCGAAGAGTGGCTCGGCGAGTGGATGACCGCGCGCGACAACCGCGATGAGATGGTGATTGCCACCAAATTCACGGGCCCGTTTGTTGGCCCACAGGTCAACAAGAAGGGCATCATCAAGAGCAACCTGGGAGGAAATTCCACCAAGTCGATGAAATTGTCGCTTGAGTACTCGCTGAAGAGGCTGAGGACGACCTACATAGACGTGTTCTACGTCCACTGGTGGGATTATACGACCACAGTCGAGGAGCTCATGCACAGCCTGAATGATCTGGTCGTCGCGGGGAAAGTCCTGTATCTGGGCATCTCGGACACGCCGGCATGGGTGGTGTCAAAGGCAAATCAGTATGCTCGTATGGCGGGGCTGAGACAATTTTCCGTTTATCAAGGTGAGTTTGTCACTCTTTTATCGTGCAACTCCCTCCGAGAAGATTGTGCAAGCTGACAACATCATCAGGCCACTGGAGCGCAGCACTGCGTGACATGGAAAGAGATATCATCCCCATGTGCCTTGATGAGAAGATGGGCATCTGTCCGTATGGCGTCTTGGGACAGGGGCGTTTCCAATCGGCAGACGTTTACAAGCAGCGCGAAGAGGTGGGCGAAGGAAGGACCATAGGTATGCCCATCTCGCAACAGGACCGAAACGTGTCTGCCGCGCTGGAGAAGATCGCTAGAGCAAAGGGCGAGAAGACAACGCTGCACCACGTCGCTATAGCGTATGTGATGCAGAAGTTTCCCTACGTGGTCCCACTGCTCGGGGCAAGGAAGCTGGAGTATATCGAAAAGAGCATCCCAGGTTTGCAGGTCGCGCTCACAGAAGCCGACATAGACGAGATCGAGTCGGCATATCCTTTCAATGCCGGGTTCCCGCATACTTTCCTCAGCGGAGGCATTTTCCAGGGGAGCGATGTGCCGGCCAAAGGTGCTTTTGGATCAGACCAAGTGGTGCTGACCAAAATGACCTGTGGGTATGTTGACTTTGTCGACAGGCCCAAACCAATCAAGCCAGCCTGAGCGGGAACTTCTTGCTAGTAAATTCCGAGATTGGGAATTCTCATCACTCCGAGGGTCGACTCGCTCTTCTTTCCCGCCGTTCGCACTTGTTGAGAAGATATTGGGATTATTGGCCAGAGATTGACCAAAGCCTTGACTATGATGAGCGTGCATGTGGAACACGAGAGCGTAGAGCTGGTCAAATTTCGATTCTCTTGCTATGTTGGCAAGATCACAGAGGGAGAGAAGTCAAATATGGGTCTGTGAGATTATAAAACAGAAGAAGACTTTGAGGAGTCCGATCCAGAAATCCCAGAGGCATCCTCGTTCCCAAAGTACCTAACATGCAACCAAGGCCCCATGAGTAAAGCCAAATATGACCCCAGAGTGACCCCAGAGAACCCACAGAGGGGGAGAGTATAAGGATCATGAAGTAGAGAGGATTACTCAGCCGACCGCCCGAAATAACGTCTTGCATCAAGGAAAGGATCGACCAAGACCTGAAGAGCATGAGCTGAGCTGAAAGGCGAGTGGGTGGGTCAAGTTACGTACTCAGCACTATGTACCATCGTACCCGCCATCACTACCTGTGACAGCACTGAGAGCTGATTATATAATACTTGGGGGGTGCAGGTTGACTGGGGATGTTGTGGGGTCGGGTGCTGCACCGCGTGATGGTCCGTGCATTCCGCGCCAACCGAGGGGAAGGAACACCCCCCAAAAAAACTCCAAGAATATTAGCTGGGTAGCTTATGCTCTAGTACTGCTGTAACATTAGTAACTACTCAAATACAGGACATCAGCCCACCCCTCCTCGTCTCCTCGATGCAAGCCGTGTTCGGCCCACCTGACCTCTCCGTACCAGGATAGGACAGCTTTATATCATCTTATCTTCTTGGTGGTGGTGACGACGAAGAGAGAGGAAGGAGAACAACGGCAATGATGTTGTAGGTGGGACCTTTTTGGCGAATCGACCATGCGACCAATTGGGCTTCCTACTTCCCTCTCGACGACACCTGGGAACCTTTGTTGGCAGTGCAGTCGTCGTCTTGGCAGCCTCGCCGCCGTCGAGCCCTCCTCCCGACCTTGGCCTCCGTTATTTCGACCTCAGCAGCCGCTCGTGCGATCCGGGCGATGCTTCTCTAGAACGTCTCTGCCGCGTGCGAGCATCCCGATCACATCTTCACCTGCCCTCAAAGCTGGCTACTTCAGCTCCAATACCCTGTCCGACCAGCTCGATGTCGCCCACAAGAGAAGAGCTGCCGTGTCAGAGGCGGCAGCCTCCAATACCTCGACGACACCCACAGCCTCATCCGGCCTAGCAGCTGCTCACTCACACCTCCCGCATCGTCGGCGACAAGCAGCACGGAGGGCCGCCGCCGCCTCCGCTACCTCTTCAACAACAACAACAACAGCCACACCACCCAACGACCCAACGGCCGCCCTCCCTCAGAATGCCTCCGACATTCTCACCAGCGTCGCCGCCTCCCAGCCCGCCCACTCCTTACGCCGGCACCTCTCCGCCTTCCTCTCTCTCGCCAAGCCGCGCCTGACCGTCCTCGTCGTCCTCACAGCCATGGTACCCTACGCCGCGTACCCGGTCCCCGCCTTCCTCTCCCCGCTCGTCGAGACGCCCTCCCTCTCGCCCCTTACCCTCCTCTTCCTCACCACGGGCACGACCCTGTGCTCGGCCTCCGCCAACGCCCTCAACATGCTCTACGAGCTCTCCACAGACGCAAAGATGTCGCGGACGCGCAACAGACCTCTGGTCCGCAACCTCCTGTCGACCCGCGCCGCCGTCCTCTTCGCCCTCGGCTGTGGGGCTATCGGCATTGCGGCGCTATACTGGGGTGTCAACCCTACCGTCGCCTTCTTAGGCGCCGCTAATATCGCGCTCTACGCCGGTGTATACACGCCGATGAAGCGGCTCCACTGGCTGAACACCTGGGTCGGCGCGCTGGTGGGCGCCATTCCACCCCTGATGGGCTGGGCTGCCGCGGCTGGGGAGTCTGCGACGGGCGACGGGACGTTCCGCGAGCTGCTGTTTGCCAGCGATGGCTCGAGCGTAGGCGGCTGGCTGATGGCGGCCCTGTTGTTCGCCTGGCAGTTCCCGCACTTCATGGCGCTGAGCTGGACCATACGCGAGGAATACAAGCAAGCCGGCCTGCGGATGCTGAGCTGGGTGGACCCTGCGCGGAACGCGAGGGTCGCGCTCCGGTACAGCCTGGTGTTTGTGCCGATCTGCATAGGGCTGTGCGCCGTGGGCGTGACCGAGTGGAGTTTCGCCGTCACAAGCCTGCCTGCGAACCTCTGGCTGGTTAGGGGGGCATGGAAGTTCTACAAGCACCAGGGCCACAAGGGCACCGCGAGGGTGTTGTTCTGGGCGAGCGTGTGGCACCTGCCCGCCGTCATGGGCCTGGCGCTGCTGCAGAAGAAGGGTATGTGGCAGAGGGTCTGGAGGAGTCTGTTTGGACCGTCCGAGGATGAGGACGAGTGGGAGGATGTTGAGGACGATGTTGACCTTGTGTCAGTCCCCATGCCAGTAGCTGTCAGGCCTCAGTCGGGCCCGTGATTAAAAGGGCTCCGTTAAGAAGGCGAAGACGTGACAGAGGCTCCATGCCAGGCCATTTATATCTCAAAAAAGAAAGTTTCACCACGACGGCGGCGGCAGCATCTTGGGATTGCAAGCCGTTTCTAGATCTTGTATACTACTTACTACATGTTGCTTAAGGACTCTTTTAACTCCAACTAGTAGAAGATTCAACCGTGTTTACTAGTCGGTCCATCTTCTGAACGCCAAGGCTCAGTTACTACCCAATTTACTTTTCCGTTCTGCTGTAGTCATGAGAATTTGACGCATAAAACAGTGCTGTGTGGCTGTCCGTCCACGTTGCCCTCCTACCCAGATTTACTTCATCTTTGGGTGCTTCATATATATATAGACTCTTGCTGGTGGGGGCGACCTGGGGTCGGAATCAGTACGAGTAGCGCTGAGGTGATATTAGAAGAAACAAACAAACAAAACGCACAACTGTGCTAGACGCCTCATGTGAATACTCAAATCGCAAGTAAACAGTAGCACAGACGACACGGGTACCGTTTGTGTGTGGAAAGAATGTCTTGTTGAAAGCCAGATAACATTTCATTTACTCAGTAGACAGAATAAGCCAAGCCAAACCAACCCCCTTAAAAAAGTACCAACACAAGCCAACCAAACAACCACCCTCCCCCCTCCCAATTATCGTTTGAAGAAAGAAACAATACACTCCCCAATGACAGGGAGGTCATCCATACTCATTCCTTCTTTTCGTGTTGGTCCTCTTTTTTTGCCCGTCATGGAACAAGAACGCATCTAGAATCTCCTTCGTAAACAAATGCCATGCTTGAGCCCCCGTTCCGCCCCAAAAAAAAAAATTTAAAAATTTGAACGCCTTTTGTGCCTCGGCCCCTTGAAGGGTGGGCTTGTTTCTCTCCTTCCCTTTGCCGTGAACGCCGTTTGTGTGTCGGGATAGTGCTGGTTCTTTGGGCCTCCGCAAGCCTTCCAATCATGTGAACATCGCTTAATGATGATGATGATGATGATAATGATGATCGACAAAAGAAAAATGATAAAACGATAGGAACAACGGTGGATGACCGTGATCGTATGTTATGGAGGCGCGCTGGCTATTATATTGTGGGGGGGGGGGGGGAAAGAAGGAAAGAAAAGAAGGTAGAAGCACGATGATGCGGAATGGAGGGGAGCGGAGGCAGAAAGAAAACAGGACGACGCCCGAACCGAGCAGAGAAGCCAATAATCAAGCAGGATATTACACCAGTCCGATGCCCGTCGTACCGATCGACCAACAAACTCATTGCACGGGACCGCCCTGCGCACCAGGGCGATTTATGATGGAGTCGATCCCCATATCCACATTGGCCATCCGCGGCACAGGCTCCATGTATGGGCTGGAGGACTGGCTGTGGGCCTGGCCGTCATGTCCGTACCCTGCCGTGGAGCTGCTCACGCTGCTCGAGTAGCTGTGGCCGCCGTGTGAAGGGTATCCCTGAGGGTGCAGACCATAGGAGTGTGTAGGGTAGGACTGAGAGCCGACCGAGGTGGATCGGCGGTCGGGCGAGCCGTAGGGATCCTCAGGGCCGAACTCGTCGACGGGCGTCAGGTCCATGCTGATTCCGCTGTCGTCGTTGTAGTGGTCCGTTGGTGGGAGGCCCTGTTCCATGCGCTCCCGGCGGGCGGCGGCGCGGGCGTGGCCCTGAAGGTTCTTCAGACCATTTGCCATGCACTATGAATGTGAGACCTCGTGTCAGCAAATATTTATTTCATTGAATGAAGCAACGGGTGTGTGATTCCGTTTTTGTTCTTTTCTTCCTTACCTTCTGCTCAACAACGTTCCACTTCTCACCGGTCCTCTGGGCCAGTGGGGCCCAAATCTCCTTGCGCAGAGCCATGTACTCCTTGGCCATGATCTCCAACTTCCTGTTGTCCCAGTCGTCGGCCCCCTTACGCTCCATCAGGCGCTCGTGGCGCTTGCGGCATGCGTTGGGCGTCTTAGACGGGAAGTAGTTCTGCTGGATCTGGGCCCAGTTCTGGCCGCCGGCACGGGCTCCCAGGAGGGTCTGGTCGTCGGTCGGGTTCCATGCGCCCGAGGACGCGCGGTGCTGGGCCGGCAGGGCCGAGGCAGGGATACGGGTCGTTGGGTCGGGCGTCAGGTGGTGGTAGCCAGACGAGATAGAACTGTGGTGGCTGTGGTGTGGGTGATGAGAGGACGAGCCGATGGGTGGCTGCATGGTGAGAGGAGCCACGGCATAGGGCTCATAAGGTGCTGTTGCCAAGGACGTGGCCATGGGGCCTGCGGTAGTGGTCAAACTCCCATAGTAGTCGCTGGTGGTCGGCATCTGCCGGGGGCTGTAGTAGGCCACGCGCGGGGCTGTAGGGAGAATAGATGGCATCTGAGGCATTTCGTTTTCCTTTGAATTATCTCTTGTAGTTGATACTCGGCTCACTCAAACGCTGATTGTCCAGAATCGATCGAGAGTGTCGAAAAATTAAACGATGAGACTTGTCGTGATATCGTAACGAAAGGAAGAGCCAGCAAGGAAGAAAAAAAACCCGAGGAGATTCACGATTTGTTCTGAGCAGACGGACCAAGAGAACGAAAAGAGAAATAGTAGGAAAAGGAAAGAGACCTAGGAAAGAGAAGAAGGAAAAAAAGGAAAAAAAAAGAAAAAAAAAGGAAAGAGATACGAAATAGTGTGATGCTGTTCAAGGCAGAGATGCTTGGACTCAATGAAAAGAAGAAAAAGAGAAGCCAAGACACGAGACAGATATCGGGATGGCTGTCCTTACTTATAAAAATATATACATAGGATCAGTTGACAGGATGACAGGCCAGAATTGGCATCGAGTCGAGACCAGGTGAGATGACAAGACCTGATCTGGGGAACGGGGGGCCCTTGGTGGTGGAGCACAGAGAGGTTACTGGGGGGCCCAGCAACGGAATCCCTTGCAAAGGACCAAGCGGCAGACAGGAGGATGGGTCGAGGTGTAGGCGGCGAGAAGGAGGGGGGCCTCTTGTCGGTCCACGACGGAATTGGTACATTGTAGTCCACATGAAACCAGGGTTGATGTTGGCGGCGGCTGCGGTCATGAAACGGTGATGGTGTATCTGCTGGCAGCTGTGGAGCATCAGAGGGCCGCCAACATTGGCTGGCAGGTTTCGAATACGGCGTCTGTCTGATATCGGGCGGCTAGAATGGGCCAAGACTGCTACCGCAAGGGTCCTCGCATGAAGAGGCGGTACAAAGTGCTGTATGCATGTCTCGCGGTTGAACGAGCTGTCGAGCCGCGGAGGGGGGCGGCTAAAGGCTCAGCGTATGCAGGTACACGGCGGAGGCGCGAGAATGTGGATGCTACATTGCCCACCCACCAGGTTCAGCGTCGTCCAGGGGGTCCCCCGTCCGTGCTGTACTTCCCTGTTGTGCTATGTTTGTGTTGGGTGTCATCGGATGCCACAGCAACACAAGTAACAAAAAGGGCAAAACGGCAGGAATAGAGTCAAAGTCGGCCCAACTTGGTAAGAACAGAAAAATTAAGTGCACAACTCTCTGCGCGGCCGCCTGTTGTATTGTGTCATTGTGGAGCTCGAGCCTGGAGCCACTGGCAAGCCCAGGGCAGTAGGAAACGGTAGGATGCGACACCGATGACTGAGCATGAACAGCCGAGATGGGAATAGACATTTTGAGCATCCCAAAGGGGAGTCCATGGCGTGCAGTACCCAGTAACTCCACACCCTCGCTGCCCGTAAGCTTGCGGCCTGTGCGTAGTACAGAGAAACACGCACACACACAGAGAGAGAGAGAGAGACCTTCCTGGAAGCATCCTTCGCCAAAGATGGGTCCGGGGAGATTGAGATGACTGGGAGGATCTTTTGTTTTTGGTGACTTAGTCTGGGTGGGCCCTGTCATGCCCCAACTTGGTTTAGATCAGGTGAGGCTGCTACTGCAAAAGGACAGCGGCAGGCGAGGCTGGGGGCTTTGAGAGGAACCGGATTGGATCAAAAATAGCAGACAGATCTGATCTGAGAGAGAGAGATAAGCTCACCGAGTATGAGAGAGCAGGGAAATGAGCATTTTGTAACCGCCCCGCCACGGCCCCCTCCTCCATGGATAGCACACAAAATGTGCACACACTCACTGTTGCAGTAGAAGAAACTTTAAGACGAAGACCCAACGACGTTGTAGAAACCGTGGGGCGGAGCGTCAAGTGTAACAGCCGCCGGGCGTCTATTGAGATTGCAGGCGATAGGCGGGTGAAGAGAGCCCCGAGATATTGCAGTGTTGTGGCGGCATCGACCCGCGGCTAAACAGCAGCGAGGGGTGAACAGCAGATGGGGGGGAGGGGTCAGTCGACATGCATGGCCTCCTGAGTGGCCGCCCTTGGGAAACATTGTTTCACTGATGGTCCGAAGGTGGTCGAGGTGTGCGTCGATGGCCTTGACCCATCATTCATGGGAGGAACCCATGAGACCGACCCGTGGGACGGATGCACGGAACGAGTACCATCGTACCCACTGTAGTATCGTACCGCAGCAGCAGCAGCAGTAGCAGCAGTAGCATGCCATCACATCGCGTGAGACGGTGCTCAGCTGGTGGGGCAGGACCAGCACCTATCGGATGGACTGCGAGGTCCGATCGAGGGGAGTCGAGACAAAAACGGCGCTTGAGTGGGCAGGGCTCTAAGCTCCGTTACACCCGTTGACCCTGACGCCCTGAGGCGTATCGCGAAGCTGTGCCAGAATGATGCATGGCGAGATGAGATGCGGATCAAAGCTTTAATTGCATGCCTGTGGTGTTTTCGACACTATGGATCGGGCGAGGAATCTCAGGATCTGCGCCAGAGCGGAGGCGCCGGATCCAACTCTCTTCAGGACATATCAGTCGAACCTCTGTCGACCCTCCTCTTTCTCTGCCTCACTCTTTCGCGTCTTCTAGAGAAGCGCGAACTTTGACATTGTGGTGGATGCGCGCACAGCGCACGGATGGGGGGGGGGGAGACAGTTGCCTGGGGCCAAGTGGACCTGGGTCAAGAACCTGGACCTGAAGCTGGACCTTGGAGCCGCCGTGGTACCGAGAACGACCTCGGGGAACTTGCTGAGTGGGGCAAGTATGCGTCTGCTGCAGCCAGTGCCATGCTGTGTGGTTCGAATAACCGCTGAACAGGACAGGCTATGTCGTAGTGAGATGTGGGACGGTCGATCCATGCTACAGGTCCCTTTCGTTGTCGGCTTGGCAAAACGGTAGCAAAACGGTGCACAGAGAGAAGAGCAGGTCTGGAGCTACACAGCCTCGATTCAATTTTGAAACAACAACAAAAAAAGACAACAAATAACGTGGATGATGGATCTTGGATTAGGTAAACCAATCTGCACTTTTGGACCTCGTGTCCATTTTTTGGTCTTGTACGGTGTGCAATTTTGTTGATGGCAGCAACTGTGTGAGCTTACGACAGTAACATCATCTCACCTCCTTCCCATCCATCGCTCCAGGGGAAAACAAGCTTAGAAAGCTACTAAGCTACCCCGGTTCCAGCAGGGGTCTGTTTGGTACAGGCATCGCTGTACAAATGGCAGGCGCGCGTCTATAAATTGCCGGTACAGTCTGCGCTAGGCTAGCCACAGCTTAGTGCAGTCATATTTTTATGACGGCAGCAGCGTTGGGCAGTGGTAGATGAATCCACATCAGATTAATGCCTTCCTTCTATTATGCCTTCTCCAGGCCGAATTACTAAGAAAAAACTCCCGAAAAGTATGGCAAGCACCATCTTACCCAGTATTGGGGCGAGGATACCTGGTATCTCCTCCTTCCTCTCATCCATGCTTACCAACACTGTTTATTTGTTGTTTTTTTTAATTACCTCTTTTGTTTCTTTCTCTTTTCCTTAGCTTCTGTGGCTTGCCTGGTGAAATCCATCGTCTGCAATCCCTCCTCCGCCCACACAACCCTTTACCCATGCCTAGCCCAACAACACCCTCACCACTACAGACATCATCGTCACCGCGACTGACAGCAGGAGCAGAAAAGTTCATGCGGGTGGCTGCATGTTGGTCAGAAACCCCAGATTACATGCTGCACCATGCAAACACGAGAAAGAAACAAGCCATATAGAGTGACACGATATCTTGGCGGATTATGAAGACAGAAGGGAAAAACGTCGAGGTGGGAAGCAATGGCTGCCGGAAAGGCCCGCCATCTTTCTCGTCCAGGCCCATGCACCGTGTGGCTCGGCCTGGCCAGATGTCTAGCAACATGGCAACCAAGAGCCGTTCCCCGAGAGAGTCTTCTCGACAGCGATGGGCTCGATGTCCCTCCTCTCCACCCCACAGGTATACTCTATACAGCACACCATGGAGCCCGGCCAGTGGGCTAGACGGGCTCTCTGTCTATTCACGACAGTTCTGTGCAATTGCGTAATTTGGACTCTATTTCCATTTCTAGGCACCCGTTCTCTCATCTCTGGATCGTAACCTCAGATCAACTAGGACCCGATCTGGAAACAAGGTTCTTTGGAGGGAGGATGACAAGCTGCATGAGCTGATGAAACCCCTGTCTCCCTCCACTACGACACCCACTACTGCGTATAGACACGCTCATACGCATGTCCATGTCCATGGCTCATCCTTTCATGCTCATCAGCGTTCCCGCTGTCGCACCAGATCTCAGGTGCCACACTCTAGACCGTTTACTTGGGCCTAGGGACATCCTACAATCTGCGATCTGCATCGGGACAATTTTGATGACGGCTTCATGCTTGTTGCTTGGTGTTCCTCATCCTACACACCAACGCTCGGTCCTGGTTAGTCACCGAATTGGGCAACAGAAGCGCGACGTCTCAGACTGCATCCAGAAACCTGTTCCGGAGGCTGATGTTGTGGGATTTGTCTGAAGAGGTTCTGGACGTTCGCATGGATGACGTGGGCAGCAGATCTTGCTCGGAAAGGCCCCACTGCACGGTCATGGCCTACAGATCTCGACCCTCTTTGTCTCGGCCGGGAGACCCGCTCATCCTCCGGCTTTCTTTAGCAACAAACACGACACAAATGTTTGTTTGTTTGTTTTCCCTTCATCTGTTTCTGCAACTTCACGGCAAGGCAGGTTGTGGTTTCGGCCGGGACCCAGAATATGATGATCGGCTGCATCCTGCCTGCCCACCCACCCCTTCAACAACCTAATCATGGTGGCCGCCTCTCTGGGACTGTCTCGTCTGATCCCGCATTCTATTCGCCTGGAAACGACCTTTTAGGTGACCACTTCTATTCAAGGCTTCGCCAGCATCCACAACGTCCTATTACTATGGCCTGGGCTGAACAAGGATTGGTCAAAATCCCAGGTAAAGAGACCCACAGTGGTTGTCTACAAGTGCAAATCTCTGATGCTTTTTTGGTCTCAGCAGGCGGCGCACACACAACATCGTAAAGGCCACTTGTGAGCCTCCTCTCTCTGGAGGCCATCATTCGAGTCGAGTGTTAGATGGCGGGCGACGCTGGAGCGCCAGGAGAAGGGCGACAGCCTGCGTCCATCGGAAATTGGCGTAATCCTCCGCCTAGTAAGTGATCTCATCCTACCTCACTCACCTCTCTTCCCTCGCTTTCCTCCCCCCCCCCTTTCACATTGCTTTTGTATGCAATTCTCAACAATGGCTAGCTTTCAAGCGCATCTGCCTTTCTTTGATGTTATGGGTCTCCCTTGGTCGCCAGTCCCGCGAGCTGGAGTACGTCTGGAGAGCTATGGGCCCAAGTTGGTCCTGGCAGACGAGGCTGGATGGTTTGGTCGTGGGCACCCGTGCGGACCGCCTGGCTACATCGTCCCGGAGTCTCCTATCTCGGTTGTCATCACTTTGGTCAAAGCTGGCTTGCCCAAGGCCTTTGTTGTCCATCGCGAACGACCATCAGAGGCCATGGCTTGTAGGCCCGCCTTGGAGCTTGGATCGAGCATGGTTGCGATATAAAGCTGGCTGTCGCCCAAGCATGAACCACACGGTAGGAAACCAGTCTGGATTCGCCTTTTGCTGCTGCATTGATCGAGTGGTGCTGAATAACGCTGTCACTGCGACGTCGTATCACTGCAACGTTCAGCAAAAGGCTAGACCACATGATTCCCAATGCAAGAACACCAGAATCCTGCTGCAAGTATGAGTCTCACGCCCCCGACATTGGCGCCGCCAGCCGCACCCAAGCCCCGAGGGTTTCAGGGCAGAAGCTTGGTTGGTAGAGAACGTCACGCCCAAGGGCACAGAGCGACCGAAATTGCGTTTTCTTTTTATACCCAGAAGCGCAGTTCCTTTTATACGAGAGAACTCGCCATCGAAATCTGAAGATTGGGGTCAGATGCGTCTGTTCAGCTTCTGCATGAGACTGTTCTTTGGGGGGGGGGGGGTAATCACCGCGCTACGGGAGCTCAGCCCCAGTTGGATTGTACGGCCAATCACTCTGCAGGTGTGTAACAGTGTCACGAGAGAATGACCTCGGCTACTCAGCAGCGCATCGCTGTTTGCTGCTTATTTTGCTGGACCAGAAATAGCTGCGACAAATAAGATACTCGTTGCTCTGGTGTTTCAATATGATCAAAAACTGATAGATGGTCAAGGCTAGTAAGTAGTCAGCCCCAGAAAGCCGCAGCACGACGGCGATACCGGCTAAAAAAGAAACATGTCTTGAGCACCGGCCGAGGTCTCAGTCGACATCTCAAGCCACCAGACAGTTCTACCCGGAGAACAAAGCGATCCATCAAGAGATCCAGGGCTTTAGCTGCCAGACGCAGCCATAGCAACCTGCCAATCTCCCAATGGAACACCTTGATAGTATCACTTGATATTATCCACCTAGCGCCGATACAGAACAAAAGGGCCGAAAGAGATGGTGTCACGCGTCCCGCCACTTGCTATGTGCTCTTCCGAGCTCACCGTAGGGTTCTAACGCATTATCTCGAGGCACCCGAACCCAGGACAACGGCAACACTCTCAGGACCCGCGTCTATGTAATGAGTTGATTAACCGCAAGCGCGCTGTGTGCGCCGAGATCATTATGGGGTCAGCCTGGGGAAATTTAGGCTAAATGCTGCCCCAGACATATTGAGCCCGGCTAAGAGCTTCCATGTGCCACGAAAATGCTCCGCACCCAGTCAGTATGCCCCACCACAGGTCCTTGGCGGAGGCTCTTTGGCGAAGACTCGACAGTTGGCATTGACCGATATCTTGCTGGACTCCTGAGGACCAGTGATCCCTAGAGAGGGAGGACATGAGAGTCCTATCTGGGCAGCGAGGAAGAGCTGATTGCTATTTGTCCTCTCTGTCTCTCTGTCTCTCTCTTCTTCTCGAAGTCGAACCTCAACAAAAAGTGTTGATCTCTTGGCTCGTGTGCTGTTGTGTAGTAAGCCTTTGGGTTGCATTCAGGCCAAGCGGGAAACATGCATGCAGATCTCAAGAAACGCCAGCCAGGACTCCTGTCAGTGGGTCCGGGAGAATAGCATCGGATACGCTTCGCACTTTACCCCTCACCCTTGTAGGGACCGAGACAAGCCTGCCTCGTCAGCGTGTGATCGTACGACTGGATGGCACTTGACGGTCTGGCCTCTGAATAGCAGGGGATGATGTGGAAAGGCGCCGAGGATGGCGAGGGGCTCACCTCTCCATCAAGAGCTTCCATGGCCTGTGCGGGTGGCACTCAAGCTCTGTCTGTAGAGGAGTCAGTCGTGACGCCGGTCTAATTATTACCCCCGATATCATTATTGCGTCGAGTATATGCTACCATCCTCGGTAGAAGATCCGGATATACGACGAGGGCACAGCTACTGAGTGACATAAAATCAGACACACGGCCTTTCTTTTTTGGAGAAAGAGATCATCGCTGCTCTGCTGGCTCCTCCTCTTGTCGGCCCTTCTCGTCAACGCATATCATTGTGCGCGCTGTCTTGTCCCCCGCGATTCTGAGTCGAGCAAGTCTACACGGCTTCCAACCACTCACTTACCATAGAACATCCCTTGTGTATCAAGATGGTAGCTGGTGGTGACACCGCCGCCGTTTACGATGCGGCTCTGTCGCGGCGTCAGGCCCTTATGGGCGCCTCTGGGCCCAGGGCTTTGGTGAAGAATGGACGTGTCTTTGCCATCACTGCATTTGCTTGCATCGGAGGTGTTCTCTACGGTTACAATCAGGGAATGTTCTCGGGTGTTCTCGCCATGCCCTCCTTCAAAGAGCGTGGGTTACTCACTATCCTTTTTTCCTTTTCCTTCCTCTTCAAGCGTGTGTGTTCTGCTTGATCAATTCAACGACCTGCTGACACAATATTTTTGGACTCGATAGATATGGGCGCCTATGACCCACTGGACGACAATGCTCCCCAAACCCTCAAGGGCTGGCTGACGTCGATTCTCGAACTGGGCGCTTGGCTGGGCACCCTCCTGTCCGGCTTCCTCGCCGAGTCCATTTCTCGCAAGTACGGAATCCTCGTCGCTGTCACGGTCTTTGTCGTTGGTGTCATTATCCAGGCGACCGCCATCACCTCGGCAGGCCACAACTCGATCCTTGCGGGCCGCTTTATCACCGGTATGGGCGTTGGTTCTATGGCCATGATCGTGCCCATCTACAACTCCGAGGTCGCGCCGCCTGAAGTCCGTGGCGCGCTCGTGGCGCTGCAGCAGCTTGCCATCTGCTTCGGCATCATGATCTCGTTCTGGATCGACTACGGCACAAACTACATTGGCGGCACCTCGCTGGCCACGCAGAGCGACGCCGCGTGGCTGGTCCCCATCTGTCTGCAAATTGCCCCCGCGCTGGTCCTCTTCTTCGGCATGCTATTCATGCCCTTTTCTCCAAGATGGCTCGTCCACCACGACCGCGAGGCCGAGGCCCGCAAGGTCCTCGCCACCCTCCGCGGCCTGCCGCAGGACCACGAGCTGGTGGAGCTCGAGTTCCTCGAGATCAAGGCTCAGAGCCTGTTCGAGAAGAGGACTGTCGCCGAGCACTTTCCGCACCTGCGCGAACAGACGGCGTGGAACACGTTCAAGCTGCAGTTTGTGGCCATCGGCGCGCTTTTCAAGACGAGGCCCATGTTCAGGAGGGTCATTGTGGCTACTGTCACCATGTTCTTCCAGCAGTGGACGGGTATCAATGCCGTGCTGTACTATGCCCCTACTATCTTTAGTGATCTGGGGCTGGGGAGCACCGAGACAAGTTTGTTGGCTACCGGCGTGGTTGGCATTGTGATGTTGTGAGTTTATTCCAAGCAGTGGATGTTTCTGCTTTGTTGGTGTGTTCTGGGCTGACTCGGTTCTTCTTTCTTTCTTTTTAATACAGCATCGCAACGATTCCGGCTGTTCTTTGGGTTGACCGTGTCGGTCGACGACCCGTCCTCACTGTTGGTGCTATTGGCAGTAAGTTAGACCCTCTTATCTCTACTAATCCTTATTATGAGAATATATGCCAGTAACTAACTTGTTTCTCTTTAGTGGCTGTAAGTCTGTCCCAGAGGGAGACCCTTGATCACATTGTGTTAAAACTATTAAAAACTCTGTTACGTATATGACTGATCTTGCTCGGCCAGACCTGCCATATCATCATCGCCATCATTGTCGCAAAGAACATGGACCAATGGGCCTCCCAGCCAGCTGCTGGATGGGCTGCAGCTGCCATGGTCTGGCTCTTCGTCGTGTTCTTCGGGTTCTCCTTCGGACCCTGCGCTTGGATTGTCAGTCTACCCATCCCTCTTCCCCTTTCCGAATTATGTCGAAATATTCTGACAGATGTGTTGTATTCAATAGCTCGTTGCCGAGATCTGGCCCCTCAGCACGCGACCTTATGGTGTCTCTCTGGGTGCTTCCAGCAACTGGATGTAAGGGTTTTCTTCTAATTTCCGTCTGCGTACTCGCGTCATTGAAGGCAATTTCGAGACTGTCTGAGAGACTTGAGATCTCTTATTAATCGTCACAACAGGAACAATTTCATTGTCGGCCAAGTCACGCCTGATATGCTCGAAGCGATGCCGTATGGGACGTATATCCTGTTCGGCGTGCTCACCTTCATCGGCGCTGGATTCATCTGGTTCTTCGTCCCTGAGACCAAGAGATTGACTCTTGAGGAGATGGTGAGTGGTCATATAGCTATCATTGCCCTCTTTCCCTCTTTCTTCTTCCAACTTGGCATCCCAAACCCTTTCCCCTCACAAGGGTCTGGTGTGGTCACCAAGAAAGCTGTCTACCACCAGAAGGAAAGAAAAAGAACTGTCTACTAACCACCCCTATTCTTGTAGGACGTCATCTTCGGATCAGAAGGTACGGCCCAGGCAGACTACGAGCGCATGGAGGAGATCAACCAGGAGATCGGACTCAACCAGATGCTGCGTGGGTCGCCTCACGGTGTGCCTGGTAGCGGCAGCGATCTTGGGGACGGCGAAAAGGTCAAGCTTGGCGAGCATACGGAGGAAAAGCTCAACTAAGGACCGTCAAAGACGTCTTGGCTGGGGTGAAAAGGGCGGTCTCAAAGAGAGATGGCCGTTTGTGATAAGTCATGGTAGTGGCTTAAGCTGTGTGTATTTGGGAGCATGAAGATTATAGGATTCATTGCCTCTCTCTCGCTCAGGAAAACGTCAATACATAAATGCTGAAGTTTTCACTGAAGCTCCTGAACATTGTGCTTGATCAGCAACTGGTGAATGCAAAGTAAAATAGTCGGGTAATCAGCCGAAACTACTAAAGTAATAGGGCTTGTCAAGGTAGTGTGAACAAAACTAATTATTCTTCATTGCATTTCTTTTTGCTCAAGTACGCATCTGCACATATCATGTGCGAGGATAAAATACTTGCAAGCTTCCTTTGATCACATGCCAGCCTAAGGCGCAAGGGTCTTGTGGCCACACCCTTGACAACCGCCCCCTGTCCCCCAAGCCACCTCAAGAAACCATTGACTTGGACGCTGCCAAGCACATATGTCTCTCTGTATATATCTGACCAGTCTTTTTTCTGTTATGAATTAGCATCAAAGGATTCTTGCATCACTTTGCACGTCTTAAAGCGTTGTCACTGTAGGTGCTTTTTTGGGCGGAGATTCTCATTCATGACTTTGACAGTGGCATATCAAGCGCATGTCCATCCATGCAATCAATGGCAATTCTGCATGCCAAAGTAGGCCTACACTAGTACTTGTAATCTATGGGCTATGACAACATTGTATTCATAGTTCTTGAGATTTATCAATGATTTTACCATAAGTTTGTTCCTTGAACATCTCTGCAATCAGCATTCTCTTCAGTGCTCAGCATATATCCCTAGTTGCTTGGGGAAAAGGCACGGAAGATTAGTACGATAGAAGCTGGCTATTCTTGTCCACACCACTCTTCTGGTGCATTCTGGCAATATAGTGTGGTACTAGATTGATCTAAATATCATTGGTCCAGCTGGTGCACGCTTATGCGAGTATGCCTTCATATCAAACAGCCCAAGATGATTTAGTATAGTATATGTGAGATAGTCAGTGAGTCACTGGCTCAGGGCCGTGCAGAACTTGCCAGCCAACTAACAACTAGACTTGTAGGTAGCCTCAGATATTTCAGGTCTATGGCTTGTCTTTCCTTTCTTCTTCGTTCCGCAGTGCCCAGCACTATGGGCCTTTTCTGCCCATGCAAATTTCAGATTTTTCTCAGCCAAAGCGAAGACTGACTAAATGAGATCAGCTTCTACTGAGCTCCAAACTAAGCCCTATAGTTATTTCCAGCTCAAGCTATTCCCTAAGCTCCAAAACACTTCACTATGCTGCTACTTATATGTGTGCTACCATAAGGGATAGCAGTAGTGATAATCAGTACTAATCAAGTCTGTCTGGAAGCACCAGCCTGGCAGGCAATAATTCATATTGCATGCTTGATATTCAAATGTTGTGTGAGATCCACATGAAATGCCTCAAGATGAGCAGACAAAGAAAAGCCTTCAGTCGTTAGATGTTTAAACATGATGATAATGAAAAAGATTCATTAGCAGAGGGAATGATGAATCAGTGTTGGTTGAAAAATCCCTTTTTGCTCGATTTTTTCGAGTCTTTGCTATGGACTAAAATTCATCAAACGTAATAATTCATATTCTAGAACTGACTAAACAATGGCTGTTTGATTCTATTGTTGATCCAATAAGTGGAGTTTTTTTCCGTTTGGGCAGAAAGCTAAAGACGTGAATGGAAACTGTAGTGGTCTGCCCTACTTTCTATATAACAAGTCTGCCCTCACCTGCACCTGCCATTATTTCTCCTGCTTCTGACCTCGAAACATTTGGCATTTGGCAAACCATATCTGTCAGACTGACGCAATCTGTTTCTTGCTTGCTGAGCACGCAAAGTAACACACATTCTACTTCTAAGAATCAGTTTCACTCCCTTTGAAACGTCTCTTTTCTTTCATCTCCCTCTCCTCTCTCACTCTCACCCTCCCATACAGACCGTACAACCGCCAATGATAGCCTCTCAGGATGCGGTCAGCCAGCCTCAAGGCTTCCCATACTTCCCTCTGCTCCCACGCGAGATACAGGTCATGATCTGGAAAAATGCCATCGACAAGCCCGGCATCCACTTCCTCGGCGTGACACTGAAGCGGCCCAGGAAGGAAGATCCTCGCGGTCTCAGCTCAGACCCAGGAGCATACACCGCCGATTGGGAGAGCGTCATGAGGAGTCGACCCGGTCAACCATCTTGGTACTGGAATCCTCCAGGCAGCGAGTTCCGCGAAAAGGCTTGGGTTCCTATGCATACATGGGACACGCCCAGTCGCCTATGTCTGATCGATTACCAGCCTCCCTCCACCAGCTCGTCCGCCGGCTGTTCTTCCTCCTTCTACACCTTTGAGAATGCCTCGAAGATGTCGGGCTTACCTGTGAAAGAACTGCGTGGCCTTCTTAAGAAGCCAACCGACATCGACCTCGGCGACGACCTCTACAACAACAAGTACAACAAGCACAACAAGACCATCACGATGGATGGGGCGAACGACGTCGTCTACCTCAAGTTCTCAGCCCGCGACGACGAGAACTCGTGGTCCAAATTGCCCACGTTCCTGCTCGATCTGGACAAAGAGCGACGTGCCAACGAGCACAGCTTTAACCGCATCACGAAGATCGCCGTCGAGGTGGACTTTCTTTTCGCCACCACGGAGGAAGTTCATTCTAAAATTTGCGATACCTTTGGTGGATACCACAGCAATGCAAGCCGGTGCATCGTCCCTCGGCCCTTCCTCGAGCACGATTCTCTCGCATCTGGCCGGGGATACACCTGCGCATTTTGCGATGAGTCTCCAGTCGAGCACGGTTCCGAGGACTGGTACCTCCAGCGTTTCGCAAATTTCTTACACGCCTTCCCAAACCTGAAGGAGGTGTTCCTCGTGGTCCCCGGTGACGTTGACAACGACGATGACGAGGAGCAGCAGAGCCAGACGGAGGGACACCACCACCAGAAGAGCGCCGACAAGAAGTTCTACAGCGCCAAAGGGCCTGTGGCGCGGACTGTCTCGGAGTGGAGAGAGCGCCAATTCTCTCCGCCGCAGGTCGAGGTCGCCCCTCAGCCTGAGGCACCGGCGGTCCCTCGGCCCAAGCTCAAGTCCTCCTGGCGGATCGTCAAGAAGGACCTGGGCAGGGGAAGGAGGACATTCTGGTGCCCTGGAGGTGTGCTCAGGGAGCCCAGAGAGGAGACCGTGTCCCGCAGGCTGGCGACGGTGGTGGATACGTTTCATTGGTGGTATGTGAACGAGAGGCCGGAGCGGGAAGGTCAGTCTGGGGTGTTGGCTCTGGAGGCGGCAGAGGAGGTCCAGTTCCGAGCTCTATCTTGGAGTTAGGAAGAGGTGACCGAGCAAGTACATAACGAGTGGCAGAGATATACGGGAAGGGGGGAGCAATGAAGAGGACTAGGTGTGTTGAGATTTGGTCAAGTTGTCAAGACACATGGTAACAGCATGGCCATATCATTATTTACATGAGAATGGTCTCAAAGCCCATGATTCGTTATCCATAATAAGGACTTGGAACGTTTAGTATTCGCAAATTCGATCTCCATTCCAAACAAATCATAAGTATGAAATGTTTTCTTCCTCCCCTCGGTCTTAACCACAGTGCCTTGAGAACGTACTCCTGTCTCCTGTAGAAAACAAAAGACCAGAGAAATAGCCAGAAAATAATTATTACAATGATGGCTTGTCCCAACACTGGCTGCACCATGATAAATCTATCACATCATCCAACCCCGCCTGCTCGCCCTCCTCGTCGCTGTCTATCTTGATGTCATCCTCGATCGAATCCCCAACATACCTTCCCCGTTACACAGGATGCTATGCACCCACCCCGTCACGCGCAACCGGGGCCAGGCCATGCACATCGCCCTGACCCTGGCGCTGCGAGATAGAGCTCCTCCCGCCTCTCCTCGCCTCGGAGGAGGGCAAGATGTTATTCACCCAGCTTGTCGTCGCGAAACTGCTCGGCCAGTGTCCCGGGCCAGAGCTACCGCGCCTGGTTGGAGTAGTTAAGCAGCAGGGTCATGCTATTGGGAACAAGGAGGTCTGCGAATCACTAGCTCTCGAATCGCAACAGCTGCATAGAAGGCCAGTCTATTCGGGAGGTATATGAAAGAGGAAAGATGAAGAGAGAAGAAGAGAGAGAGAGAGAGAGAGTGGAGGAGAGGAGAGGAGGCTAGCTAGCGGTGGCTATATGTGTAAGGCCCTAATAGTAGTCCCTGGTTGCTTAAGTATGTAAGATAAATAGGACGCCTCTGAGGTCCTATCACATGCGGTGGAAGAACTCGACGACGAGATCCTCGGACAGGTTGGCCAGCTCTGCACGGCGGTGGGCGTCAGACACACCCTCGACGAACTCGAGGTCGATCATATCCAGAATGGTCTTGTGGACCGGGGAGGTGGCTGGGCACTTGGTGTACATAACACGAGCTCGATCATCTCGATGGGTATGGCGTCGCGGTTGAGGAGCACCTCGCCTTGGACCAAGGCGTGTCCATGACCTTGTTGAAGAAGTCTTGTTTAAATATTCAAAATAAAATGGAAGTACTAATGTTGTCGCTCTGCTGGTGGGGGTGAAAAAGAAGGATGGTTTGGACGTGATTACCTCCCAGCAATAGATCTCGGCCAAGACCATGGCCTTGAGAAGGACCAGCTGATACTGGGCAGCGTGGAGCTCTACAGGCCTTGGGGGCTTTTCAGATGCAACAAATCCGATAGGCTGCCTAGACTGTAAAGAGTTCAGAAATCCTACAGCCTGGCCATGCGGTTGTACATTCCGGTCACAACCAGACCTTCTCCATCGTACGACCCTCCTATGTGCGGCTGACCCACCACTTGACCCATGCCTGGATACATCATTTGTAGTCCCGGTGCCACATGTACTTTTGTAGGCGGGATGGCGTGGTAACCCTGCTGACAGTTGATGCATGAGAATGCACCTGTGCTATTGGCGACTTGGTACGGTGGTTGGTCTGGGTGAGCGAAAGGCAGCGAGTGAGTGAACTTGTTGAAAAGTGAAGAAGAAAGAAGGACAAGAAGAAACAGATAATGTTGGAGGCTACTTTTATAATTACTCCTTGCCTGCACGGCGACTACCATCTGCCTGAGGTTTTGACACGTACCGCGGCACCATGCTTGTATAGATGGAAGCAGAGAATGCAAAACAGCAGATCTTCTCTCGGTGAGACACGTTACACACACATACATATATACTGGGTACACTGCCCAACACACGTGGCTGGTTGGAGACCCACCAACTTGGTGTTGCTATCCTTTTAAAGGAGCATTGGACGGGCAGTTGCATGTGTGTTGTGAGACATGGCTTATAAGTTACCCGCTGGGTTATATAACAGTTGGCCCGTAGCCCTCCCTGCTTTCAGCTCGAGGTCTTCTATTCGAAACGACGAGATGAAGGTGCAGAGCTCTGTTCTTGCGCGGGGATCAGGACATCAAGTGAACTCGATGCTTCAGTGTTGAGAAAGCGACATCTTTCTGCGAGTGAGAGAAAGAGAAAGAGGGTGTCACTGTTCCATCAGAAGAATTGATGTAATACATGTAAATTTACATACAGTAGGGAGCGTTGGCTCGTCTTTGTACATTTATTTGCAGCACGTATGATCATCTCATGCGATACACGTGCAATATCCCCCCTCACTCCCCTGTACGTACATGTGCAATGAGCAGGAGCTTTCGTTCGACATGGTTCGTCATTAATATGCACCACTTTAGTGGCGACCAGGACTCGTCCTCGGCGTGCCGGGCGGCATAGGCCACGCCTCTGGAGAGAAAGCATCGCTGCTGGCGATGCTGGAAGCGCCTGTGCTTGCATGGCTCACTCTGTTCTGCGTCAAACTGCGCGCGGCTGCCGCATTTCCACTTCCCAGCATGGGTCGATATGCCTTATAACCTCCGTTCAGCTCGGCGACCGGCGCATGCGAAGCCATCATGGTGGGATATTTGTTGATCGACAGAGGGGGCGGCCTGAGGTCTTCTGACCCGTCAGTCCACTGAGCAGGATGCCGGTAAGATCCTCCTCCTCTGCCGCCAGCCGATGATCTAGATGGCCTTCGCGCGGGGTTCCGCCGGCTTGGACCCCTCGTACTGCTAGGCACTACCGCCGCTCTGGTAGAGGGAGGCCCTCGCATGGGTGGTGGCCGCCACTCTGCCGCTGGGACAGCGTCACCACCCACACCACTACCACCGTCGCCTAAGACCCTTGACTGCCGAGCTGGTATGCTGACGATACGGGCCTCCGAGCCGGCGACGCTGATCGCCGTTCCCGGCTCGGGATTCGAGATTGGTGATGGCTGTTGAAGGGGAAACATCGTCGGATCAGGCGAGACGGGAGACACGTCCGACGCTGCGCTGCGACTCTGAGGTGAGATGGGTGAGACTGGCCAGACCGAGCGGCCCTGGAGATGATTGGTATCGACGGTAAGGTTGTTGGGATTTGCGCTCGTGGTTGCTGCTCCTACCGGTCCCATGGCGCGCATATTGCTGGTACCAATCAGCGTCTCGCCTGTCATGTTGGGCGCGGTACCGTCGTCCTTCTCCATGTGGTAATAAGGCCCGATATGGCTGCTGCTGTCCCTACTGCCCTTTCTGAAGGGAGCGAGGGCGCGTTGCATGAAAGGCGACCTCCTGAATCTGTAGACAAGGAAGCCGATGATGGCCAGCAGGGCCACGGCAACTAGAATGCAGGCATTAGCAGGTCAGGTTGATGCTAGGAGATAGATGGAATGTCTGGCTTACCCACAACGCCAGCGATGACTCCAGCGTTGGAGTGTGAGCTGGACTTGGTCGCATCGCTGGTGCTTGAAGAGAGGGAGGCAGATGCAGATGATGTCGCCGACGAAGAACTGCCGCTGGACGTAGTCTCTGAAGCCAAGGCTGTCGCCGTAGTTGCACTTGCTGTGCCTGTGCCTGTGAGATCCACTGCGGTGGTCTGTGACGACGGTGAGACCGCCGTGCCTGTCGACCCTCCTGCTGACTCTGCCGATCCATTGGACGTTGTCGAGGAGGCCCCATCGCCGGCAGTTTGGGCTGACGAGGTGTTGTCGTTCGAGGAGGCTGCCGAAGTCGTCTGGGCCGTGTCCGAGGTATTTGTTGAAGTCTCTATTTCCGTCGTCGCTGCTACTTCTGTCGTTGTTGGTGTCGTTGTTGTTGCTGCTGCCACCGTAGTCTCTGAGGATTCTGCAGGCGTTGTCGTTTCTGAGGTTGAAGATGTGGGAGTGTGATTGTGATGACCGCCATTGCCCCCTTGTCCGCGGTGATGATTATCTGTATCTCTACCTTCGTGCTGGCCAGGCCGTCCTCCGCTTCCCCTCAGCGCCAGGCGTGCCTTGTGGTAGAGCATGCCATGCATCTTGGCCAGCTCCACCACACCTCATAAGTATCTCCAGCTGCGGATTCTTTTGAGTTCCAGAACTCTCTCAGGCCGTAGCCCACTCACAACATGTTCGTTACTAGTTCCTCTATGGTTCCGATGTCTTCGATAGATAGATGGATAATTGCCAGAGGGACAATAATCAAAGCGTGAGTGAGCACCCAGATAGAAACAGTCAAGAGACAAAAGGGAAATGAGAGATAGACAGGCGTGGAGGGGGAATCCAATCCCAGACTAGCTGTGGCTGTTTGAGTCCCGGGGCTTCAGGATGAAGGATCACGTTTTTCGAAGACAAGGGCCCATGAACGACGAGCCATTGGACGGATTGGTTCCCTATTGCGACGAGGAGGACGAGGTGGGGGGGGGGGGTGGTATAACGGTTGCCCCTGCATGAGGTCGCATTGCCGCCCCGGAAAAGACAAGCTCTGACCGAGTACCCACCGCCATTCTATGTGCATCCTATATCATGCCACAGCGCTAGCCTGGTCCAGGCAGCCATTGGTAAGGCGGGAAGAGACTGCGAATTTCCGATGCGTCACACTTGCATCTTATCTGCAGTAGCCAGCCGTGTTGTTTCCGTCTCTCGTGGCTCATTCTTTTGTCATATGTGCATACATGCCTTCTGCGCTGCGGAGGAATCAGGAGCGCCAATCGAAACGCTCATACAAGACGCGTACACACACACACACACACACACACACACTCTCACTCACTCACTCACTCACATCCCCTTCCTCGGCTGCGTTCGCAGTGCATACAGAGGAGAGGGGAGAGGGAGCGAGAGAGAAAGTGCAAAACATGAGGGAGAAGGGTGGGTTGCATTTGCCGCAGATGAGGTCGTACCATAGTACGATGTAGAGCTTGTTGTTCGTTTCGAGCTCGTTGGATGTTTGGCATTTTGCACTGCCCTCTCAGCTCGTCCAGCCTGTAGCCTGGTTGACTGATTTGATTAATTGCCTGCCTGGCTTGGTGTTCCCGTGCATGCCCCGATACACCATCTTCTGGTGGTAGCGAGGTGGTGGGTAGTTTTGTAAGAGGTGGATCTCGGGCAATAAACAAGATCTCTCGGGCCTTCTCTCTGCCCTGATGTCTGTGTGAAACAGTGAAAGAGGATATGTTTCCGTAGAAAGCTCAGATGCTAAACTGTGGAGTGTGGTTCGCGAGCCTTACTAGTAAGTACCTCAGTACCAAAGTGGTTAGTTCGGACCCATCCGCGGAGGGAGCTCCACTGATTTGACTTGGCAACCACGCAGGAACCGTTCTTGCTGTACTACGGTAGTATAAGTGTTTGAAGGAAGGAAGTCACCTCGTACCTGCTATTCCGTACTTTTATTCCCGGTTGGGCTCCTTCCCTTCTCTCGACGCCTGCCCTTTTTTCCCCCATCCTTTTTATTCCTCTTCTTTTCTCACCCTTCGTTCCTGCCAAAGATCAATGGTGCGAGAACGCACTACCGTAGGGTAAGAAGGAAAGAGGGATTTAGGGCTGACAGGCAGGCCAACCGTCAGTAAATATCGTCAACAGCCGGGTGCACGGTGTCCTTGCTTCCTTGCCAGCATATGAGAGACCCACCAATATGCAACCAGACAGCCAGACATCTTTACGTACACTTCCTCCTCACAAGTCCGAATGTGTCTTTGCAACCACAATCTCAACTACTCGATACTTTTCGTGACCACCCGGAGGGGGAGGGGGGCATTGACTTTTACCTATCAAACTTACAATCAGTCAGACTCGCGCCCTCTCATCCACGTTGCTAAGATTTACCCCAAGGTCACATTCTCAGTTTCCTTTGCTAGACCATGCACACCAAAGCATGAAAAGATTTATGCAAAGTCGGGCTATATGATAAATATGATCTAGACTAATGGACAGCATGATCAATATGCCAGGGAAGGGATGTCTGATCATGTATGAATCTTCATCGCCCCGTCCTTGCTAGATCATCCAAATAGATGCTAATATCGATGACATGCAATGACTGACACACATGGAGAAGGGCAAAAATCATACATGTTTCTCGTTTGCATCAACTGAGGATGGCCCCCAAGGAGACATCAGAAATCAATAAGGAAGCGACATGACAACGCAAATTGCCGGTCCCTGCCCGGCCCCCAACATGAAGGCAGCCAGAAACCAGCCACCATTGGAACTCATAGAAAAGACCTTTGCAAGGTCCGTTTCAGAACGACGCCTCCATGACAACTCCCTTGGGCTATCACTTCACACCTCGACGTCAATGTCGTTTTCATCATTATCATCTGACGAGTGGCCCCTCCGAGCCCTGGCCCTCGACCTCGTCTGCATGATTGGACTACTGTGGGCTTGTTGACGACCACCACCACCGCCTGCACCACCACGCCGCCTCGGACTGCCAGACTGCGCCCTCTCCCCTCCTTTGCGAGGCGCCATGCCGATCTCAAACAGGGGCACCTCCGTCATCTCACCCCCTGGAAGGCTTTGATCTGCTGGGCTCCTCTCGGGCGCGTTCTTCACCGTGGCGGGACGAGGGCGAACCGCACTGCTCGAGCTGGCCGCCGAGGTCATCTGCTTGGGTCTCTTGACATGGCGGCTGGCCCCAGTGGGCGATTGTCGGCGCTTGCCCTTAGACTGATTGTCACTGAGAGCATCCTTTTTCTCATCTTCCTCTGGCTGTGGGCTGTTGGTCTCGTGCCTAACGGACTTTGACAATGGCCTAGTTGCTGACGGTTCCGTCGTCGACGCGGCTGAGGTACCGGATTCCTGTTGGGTCGATCCACCTACGCTGGTTGAGCCTGTGTCCTGTGCTTCTAGTACACTGCCTTTGCCTCCTGCCTCTGTGAATCGTCAGCTGATGAACTCGGCTCAAGTGTTCCTAACTACGTACTCAACCGTCTCTGCAGGGCCTTGACTTGTTGGTTGAGCTTGTTGACCGTGTGGTTCAGGGAAACGATCCGATCCTGTTTGCTTTCATTCCGCGCCTTGAGGCCTTCTATGAGCTCATGCAATGTCGCCTCATCATCTACATCGCGGGCTCTGAGCTTGTTCTGCACTGCCTCGGTATCAAGAGGACTGTCCATAGAACCACCAGTCGACATGTCGGTCGGGTTCTCGCCGGTGCGAGGCTTCTGACCGCACACCTCGAGATGGGTGTGCCGCTTTCTATAGGATTTTAGCTGCAGATCGATGCCGCACCACGGACACCACTTTACCCTGTCCCCACCATTGACACCTTTGCAGTGGAATAGGTGCTTCTGCGCGTACACCTTGGAGAACTTGTGCGTGGGCAGCGCGCAGCAGATACAGTATACGATCCTCTGATCAGCCTCCACGAAATTGCTCGAGACTGTACATTTGTGCTCTGGCGGTTGGTACAGCTGATTGGTATTACCCCGATCGCGTATGTTCTCGCCGCACTTGATACAGAACTCATCGGCGATCGCGGTGGACCTTGCCTGGGGATAGCAGATGTTGTCGTGCTGGGCACGGTCGGCCTTATTGATCAGGATGGTGTGATCGCGGCCGCAGCGGGCGCAGAAGTTCCACGCCTCCTCCCTCTTGTGCGTGAGGCCGTTGTTCTTGATGTGAACAGAGTTGTCCTGGAGGACATCGCCCCGCCTGCTGAAGAGGTCTGCATGATTGTCAAGGAAGTGAGCCTTCCTCTGGCGGTCACTCCAGTGAGCGAAGAGTGTCTCGGTGCAGAACGGACAGTTGGTCCCGACGTGTCTGTGCTTGAGATGGCGCCGGAAGGACTGCATGCCCTCCTGGTCCACCTCGAAATATTCCCTGCAGCCCTCGTAGGGACATGGCTGGGCACGGTTCAGTGCAAAGGTACGCATCTCAAAGAACGCCTCCTGCAGGCGACGTTGCTCCGAGGGGGTCATCACACATGTGCTCACGATGGGCACGGTATCGACAGGAAGGCCGGCCGCGTTGGGTGTCTTGAGGATCTGATCCAAAGGCGGCGCGTTAATGGGAATCGAGGGGTGTTGCCCTTCCATGATGATGGACAGAGGTCGGCTGTAAGACCATTCGCGGAGCGCCTTGCCCTTGGCAAAGTCGTCGAGGCGTTCTCCACGGTCTGGTAGCCGGCGGCTGTTGAATTCAAGAGGTTGTCGCTGCGCTGTGTCGCCACCCGAGAAGTCCATAGGGTCTTCTTCGACAAGGGACCGATACACCTCCTGCCTCTGTTTGGACGTATGCGAGAGACCAGCTACAGGAGCAATATCCTGCTCCATAAAGACGACCACATCTTCAGCAAGATCGTGACGGCCCCAGTAGAACTGGTCCTGCGTCTCGTCTGGCAAGGCACGAGGACTCGTACTAGCTGACTCCTCAACTCTCGCTCCAATCCCCAGAGGTTCCGCTGCTGGACCTGCGTGCATCACGAACATCCTGTGGCCTTGTCTGTGGTAGGCATCAACGAACCATTGCCAGATCTCAGGCGTGGGTCCTACGTCTGAATGAAACCAGTCCACTCCATTTTTCTTGGCGTTGTCTCCGGGAAGAGCGATCGATAGGAGGCAGGATGGTGGGGGCAGAGTACCCCTGGATCCTAAAGACCACTTCTCCTGCTCGTCGGTGTCAGGGTGGGAAAGGGTGCGCCACAGAGATCTGAACTTGTCTTGATATCGAAATACCGTCACCGCCGCCTTTGCGTCCATGCCATACTTCGGCATGAGCAAGTAGGCGAGATTGCCGTCCTCCTCCCCAGCCAACGAAAACTGTACCAGCTGTGTTTCCTTCTCCAAAGACGGCCTGTAGCTAAGGCCGTCCTGTACTTCCGAGAAGCGCACGTCCTGGGAGATCTGGCTGACGCAGATGTCGAACGTCTGGTCACTGTCGAGCTTGTCGTCGTAGTACTCGAGGGTCTCGAGCCACGTTTTGTAGAAGTTAAGCTCTTCATGCTCGGAGCGGCCCAGATAGCACTGATCGCTCGCGAGGAGAGTGCACGGCGAGCGCTGACCCTTGGGGTGGGAGAGGAGGGAGACTGTGATGCCAACACAGGCTGTCTCCGTGCTGCGTGTGCAGAGGCCGAGAACGCGATCGATGGCTGTAAAGAAGGATTTGGGATCCGAGTATGAAAAGAAAACCCTGCCTGAAAGGCTCCAAAGGCAGACCGCGTCGTCGTCTTCGTCGGTAGAGCCGCTGCCTCCACGTAGCCCAAGACGGTCGGTGACACGACTCGATTTCAAACCCGTGGACATAAAGAGGTTCTTGTCGCCAGCAATGTCTGCCATGGGTATGTCGTCTTCTTCATCCGACGAATTGGCCTCGCCACCACCGCGGATACCCAGCCTACTCTCGACTTGGTCGCTAGGCACAACCATTGGAATACCATAGTATAGCTCATAGGTCTGGTCAGGGCTCACTAACATGGTTTACATCAGTCGTCTGAGGTTGCAAAAGAAAAAAAGAAAGAAAAACAAGAGCGGGAGTAAATACTACTACTCACTGTGAGCATTGTCTTGTCCATACCCTCGCCTCTCGTAGTAGTTGAGAAACCGAAGCGGGCGCAGCTCCTCAGGAATGAGAGTCAGTTCTTCACCCGCCTGATCATCGCCGTCATCCCGGAAGGCCGACATGAAGCTCAAGCCGTTCAGCCCGCCCCCGTCGGATAGCAGCAGGTCCGTGAACCGCGCCGGCTCGACGGGAAGACCAAAGTACATCATAGCCAGCTTGAACTCGAGCGAAGCCTTGACATGCGCATCAAAGCTGCTGCGCCAAGGCTCCGTGGCCAGCCTGGCCGCGAAAGCAGCCGCGTGGGCTTTTTGTATCTCATAGAGCGCCGTCTTGGTCTTCTTGTCGACATAGCCCAGCTCGAACTTGTCGACCTCGTACTTGGAGAAGTTGGCCGCCAGGACGTCGTGGGGGCTCTTGCCCGGCGCGTGCAGCTCGTCTCGGAATCTCTGGAGCTGAGCCTTGAAGTCTGGATCTGTGGGCGTGATGGTGAGGTTCCAGCGGTTCATGGATCGTTCCCACTTCTGCCGGTCGGTGACAGGTTCCGAAGACCTTGGCTTTGATTTAATTAGAGGGGGTCTGGAGGTGCGGCCATTGCTGTCCTGGACAATGTCGGGTATTGAACCGTCCTGTCGAGCAGGATTACCGTCTCTGAATAGGCCACTCATCCTGACAACGTGATGCGTGACGGCTATAAGTATGATATGGTAGCAATTTTGAGGTTGGGGAGGCCAGTAGGAGAACTGCGGAGGGAGGTAAAGAAGCAAACTGAAACGAACAGATGGAAGAGAAGCCGGGCCATGCTTTGAAAAGACAAACCAGTTTGTCCGCAGAGGTAAAGTCCTCCACCCGAAAACGATCACAAACAAGAAGCTGGTGAACACAAAAGTCCCCTTTGATAAAAGCAAAAAAGCTACAATAAAAATGCTATCCATTTCCGGCAGCCGACCGGCCAACAGGGAGACAATGGGCTGAAGCGGGCAGACCGACCGAAACTTTTGTCCACAAAGACCTCGGATCGACTCTTTTTCTATATGAGAAAAAATATCCTTTATGGAACACAGTAATAGGCGTTAGAAATGCGTCTTCAGTCTGAACTTTATCAACAGGTCCCCGCATCCGGACAGCGTTGCACAATCATTACTTTCCAAAACAGCGGACTCCGTGATTAGAAGGGCGAATGCATTGTCTCCAAAAGACCACCTTCACATGACTGCCAGCTCCTCAAGGTAACCGAGGAAGACCTACATAAGACTAGGGATGACAGAGCTTGATGGTCGACTTGGGTATCGTACGGTAACATACCACTATGTATTGCTGGTGCTTGTGTGTGTAATTCAGTAGATAAAGGGTGTCTTGATCCGATGCTATGACGAATCAAGGCCTAGTAATCCCCAACTGCATTAAGAGGTTCCTCATTCCTGACAGGCCAGTTCATACATCACAAGAATGATGCAACGCCAGAAGAAAAGAAGAAAAAAGACCCGAAACACGCATAAGTACTTAAGTATATAATTTTGCTAGCCTGCAACTTTTCGTCGAATGAAGCGGATATTTTGGATCATAAAGATGTAACTATAAAGCATGAATCAGTTAGGCGCATTCGAGCAGACAAGCCAAGCAATTATACCTGAGCCAGTTTTGGCCGCTGAGTGCGGATTTCTCGAGGGTTGAGAATTTTGCGCCTCTCATTACTTGAGTAAGCATCAATAGACTAGTTTTACGTGTCGGATTCCTGAGCGCATAAATACAGTCCCTCTTTTGATACAGCTCAAGGTCTATGTTGACGTTGATGCCGCCCGCCCTACCATCTTCTATAGTAATATTGTACAAGGGCTCGGCAGACCAGATCTTACAGCTCCTCCTCCTCCTCATCATTATCGGTGAAATATTCAAATTCACCCGGAACTTGCGCCTCCTCGGCACCCTCCTCGTCCTCATCCAGGGCCGTCAGCACGCCTGCCGCGGCTCGCGCACCAATACCGCTGTCGCCGCCGCCAGGCAAAATGCCAATGCCACGGGCTTGGACAGACTGCCGCAGCATCTCGTTCAGCGCCACCCCGCCGCCTGCACCATCACGCATGGCTGCGCGAAGGGCATCGGCAAGAGCGTCATCGCCAACCTCTGGCGCTGTGAGTGGTTGGCGAAGACCCAGCCGGCTGGCACTGCCAGCACCACCAGTCGCCTGGTTGGCAAGGGGTGCCTTCTCCGTCGTGACCTTCTTCAACTTCTCCTCGATCAAGGCCTTGGGCTCCTGCGGCTGAGTGTCCTGAAGCAAGAGTGGTCCACCAGTAGGCTGTAAACAACATCAAAGTCAGTACAAATCAACTGAAGACACATTGCATCATCAACTTCAGCAAGCTACAACGCACCTTTTTGACGGGCTTGTACCGTCCTGCCGGGAAGCTGATGTACTTCAGCTGGCCAGGGAGGACACGCGACATGTTCTCAATCTCGAAGCCGACCTTCTCCTTCTCGGTCTTCTTCTTGGGGTCGGGCGTTGCCGAGGCCTCCTTTCCGCCTTCACCTTCCTTCTTCTCCTGGGACTCTTCGGCTGTCTTCTTGTTCTTGTCCTCATCGATGTCCATCTTGTCTGAAGAAGCCAGGGTCTTGGTGGCTGTGGGGGTGTCAATGTCCATGCTCTCGCGCCTGGCTGCCTTTTCCTTCTTTTGGGCACGCCTCTTGGCCTGGGCCGTAGTGGACAGAACCGCCGCAGTGACCAGAGTTGGGCCCTCCTCGGCCTTGACCTCTTGTTCTGGGGGGTATTCGAAGAGGCTCGGCCTCGTCGCACAGTGGAACTTGAAGCTAGGAATCTCCAGCTCATGATCCAAACCGATGACGGAGGTGGGAACAAAAGCCAGAGACAAGAAGTGGGTGAAGGGGAACCAGTACCAGTACTGCGTGAAGACAGCCATGCCCACAATAGCTGGCATGTTCAGGTTGCCCGTCTGCGTCTGCAGACCAATCGTGCAGTTGCGGCCACCAGCGTCAATGATACCCAGGGCAAGAGACGCGCCAAACTTGGTCATGGCATCCTCATGGCGATCGCCGACTACCTTCTTCAGCGTCTTGCGGATGGCCCCCACCTGAGGGTTCATCACCTCGTTCTGCTGCACCAGGATCATGGCGAGCGAGATGAGGGCACCCTGGCGGACAAAGTCGGTCGGGTCCTTCATCATCGGCTCGAGGAGGTCGATGGCCTCATCCAGCCCGGTACCAGCGCAAGAGATACCAAGAGCCATGGCAGAGCCGTAACGAACATGGGGGTTGTACGACTCGGAGAGCAGCTCAACCATCCGTGGCACACTGGCAGGCTTTCTGAACAGGATGAAGCCGAGGGACATGACAGCAATACGGCGGACGTCATCGTTAACGTCACTGACGGCGGTATGCAGCAGCTTGCGGATCGCCTTGTTGCTGCCGGTGCCGCAGTACGCCATGGCGATGGTCAGGATACCGCCGTAGCGGAGGGCAGGATCAGGATCGTGGAGAAGCCCCTCGATCATGACGTCGGCACCTTCTTGGCGGCCGAACATGATCAAGGCCATGCCGAGCGCACAGCCGCGGACAATCTTCTCGTGCGTCGTGTCGTGGGCATAGGTGTACATGACCTGCAGGGCGTTGGCGTTGCCGGTGCCCAGCATGATAAGACCCATGGCCAGACCGACGGCCTCGCCGTTGAGGGCAGAGTCAGCAAAGAGGACGTCTTTGAGGTTGTCGAAGATGGGCTCGGAGCCGGTCGCCATCCCCGCGATACCGAGACCAAGGGCACCGCCGTGCTGGATCACCTCCTGCTCGGCGCCTGTGAACTGATGACGGAGGTATTCCAATGCATCCGCACCGTGGTTGGCGTGAATGAGACCGTACGCATAGAGAGCTCCTCCTTGGCTGTAGATGGAGCCACTGTTGATGCCGCTACCACGCGGGAGGTAAGGCTCAAGAAGCTTCCGAGACTGCGTGAGGTTGCCACGATGTATGACGCCCAGCGCAGCGGTGGCAGTGAACTTGGACCAGTTGACAGCCTTGCCGAGCCACTCCAGGTTGTCACGGAAGAACTTGTCGTGTGTTGTTCCTGCGTTCATGAAGGCATTACAGAACGTGACAGCGGTATGGAAGATAGAGTTGCGGGCCTCCAGGCTGTCTCGGACCTTGTTCAATATGCTGAGATCGGTATGGTTGTTTCGGTACAGAAACTCCAAATTGAGCTGGATGCCCTTGCTGCCATCCAGAATAGAGCGAATATTCTTGTAGACCTTGGCCAGTTTCTCGGGTATCTCCTCCTGGGGCTGCTCCTCCTCCTTGAGGAGAGGCTCGCTCTCAGCGGCCGCCGGTTCCCCCTCCCCCTGCTGCTCGGTCTTCTTCACAGGCTCGCCAGATGGCAGCGCGGCAACGACCTTGCCCAGAAACTCCTGCGTGCCGTTGTCGTAGAGGTCGAACGCAATCTGGTACGCGTTGGCGGTGGATGTCGAGTCGTCCTTGTCCACGAGCTGGCGCAGCATCTTGGACACCTCCTCGTCCGAGTCCAGATAGACTGCGCACTTGGCAATGGCAAAGTAATCCGGATTTGGTATGTCGTTGAGCAGTTCGAGGATGAGACCCAGTATCTCGGTGCGCAGGCTGCGCTCCTGAACGATGTCCATGCAGATGCTCAGGGCGTAGTCCATGAGCTCCTCGGCAGGCCCCTGACCTGCGTCCTGTGACTTGCCCTTGGAACGCTTCTCATCTTCGCTGGCGCGCTTGATGACCCTCCTCAGAACGGAGAGGTTCTTAGCCTCGACGGCAATGCCCACGACCTGTCGGTAGCGACCATCATTGAGACAAGCCTCAAACAGGCGCTCGATGACGCGCTGGAGGGCCAACTCGGAGCTCTTGTCAGGCAGGGACGCGATGGAGCTTGACCTCGCCTCCTTGCCCGCCTGCTGGAAGGTGGGGTCGAGAATGGTGTTGTCGATGGAATCGCGCGAGAGCAGAGACTTGGAAGGCAGGACCGACTGGGAGAAGGGGGTGGTCGGGGAGACGATGGATGGCCCGTCGGGAAGGGCTGCGCCGAAAGTGGTCTCGAGGGCGGGAAGAGAGTCGTTCCTGGAATGCTTGGACGGGGTGTGGGCAGAGGAGGAGATGGCAATGTACTGGTCGATACACTTGGAGATGATGGTCTCCTCGAACTCGCCGGGCGCATCGAGCTTGAACAGGTCACCGGCGGCCAGGGCAAAGGTCATGCTCTCGTTGTAGGCCTGGAGGTGGTAGTAGACCTTGGCGAGAACCAGAGCCGCCAGCTGGCGCTCGGGGAAGGATTCTTCCTCGTAGAGAGCCTCACTGTTGATTTAGGAAGGCAGGTCGTCAGCCAGTCACTCGGGCAGAAAGGGACAGGAGGGTTTATAAAAGTAGCAGACAGCAAACAAAAGAGACGTACATCTGGCTCAATGCACCAGCGACCTCAGTCCAAACGGTGTCGATGTCATCGTTGAGGGTCTGCAGAGCAAAGACCTTGAGCTCAGGCTCCTCATCAGATAGGAAACCCAGCACTCCGGTTGCCGTGACCAAGCCGGGCATCGTTCGGGTGTTGGAGGAGAACAGAAGTTGATCCTTTGAGAGAAGGGTAGGTCGATGAAGAGGAGGTGAGAAGAGAAGTTGTGTCAACGAAGAATAAAGAGAAGAGAAAGCCCCGAATCGATGTTGATGGGGAAAGCAGTTGGGGGCGATCGAGACTCGTGTGTGTGGTTGATTATGAGAATGTACCTGAGGGAACACGGGACGTTTCCAGCTGCGGCGATGCTGTCTCAACCGAGAGCTTAGGTCTTTGCCTTGAGGTGGCCGGGGGGCAATGGCAGGCACTGGGCATCCAAGCACCACGTCAGTACCTCTGCCTGGCCTTCTCTGTGGTGTGCGGTGTGTTACGTAAGCATCACCTACCATGAATCTATGATGGTACCAGAGTACGCGCTCAGCTGTACCGTAGTACTATGACACATACTTTACCAGTTGCATGCTCCCGTGGTAGTGAGTGTGGTAAGGAGCTTGGGCCACTACATGTACTACTCTGGTATCTCCTTCCCCCTCTCTGTTCAGAGGCAAAAATAAGTATGTAGCCTCCATGCATATTTTGGTACTGTGATACTTTGCTTCCTCTACCCATTGAAGCTTATTTGACTGACGACTGACATGCAGCCAGCTGAATGCAGATGTCAAAGTAACTCTGACTGACCATATTTAATGGTATACATGTCGTTATGTTTTTTACCTCTTCTTTTCTCTCTCTCTCTCTCTCCCTTCTTACTTGAGTCTCTAGTAAATGGTCATTATGATCAGAAGAAGTAAAATTCCTAGCCCAGCCCTCATGTAATATTGAACTGCTGCACGCAGCAGTAGGAGGCGTCTTTTTGCCTTTTTCGTTTTTTCTCTTGTCTTTGGAAGGCGGGTTCTTTTGGCTGATGTTAGTGAGTTGTATGATGGCCGCTGCAGTTCGCTTAACATCTGCCGCCTGGCGCTTTCAGAAGGGAGCACCACACACACAGAGAGAGTAGTCACTCAATTTGCGTCGCGTGTGCCAAGTGAAGAAAGATGCACCTTAGACCAAGAAAGTATGGTACTTGCTGCACCCACACACGCCCACACTTGGCTCCCTTCACGTCCACGTCCACGCCCAACGCCCGCGCCTTGAACGACCAACCTCGTGTCCGTCTCGTCTCAGGGTATTAATTGGCCATTGACGCCGGTCTCGACCTCTCTACATTGGCTCTGGCTCTGGCTCTGGCAGCATCATTGTCGTCATCAGGCCTCAGCTTGCATCACAACCCAGTGGATTTTTCACATCCTAGAACTGATGGATGTGTAACCAGACCAATCTATCCAAACCCCCCACTGCGCTGCATTAGATCAGTGCTCTGACTCTTCTTTTTTGTTATTTTACTTTTTAATCATTACTTTTCCCTCGCATCCAGCCGTCTGGTCCTCGTCTCCCCGCTCGCGCGGGCCAGGTCGCAACACCCAATCCAGTCCCAGCCTCTTACTCGTCCTGGTCGTCCTCCTCCTCTTGTTTCGCGTATCCAGCTGAAGCTTCATAAAGTGAACTCCAAACACGCGAGTCAACCGTCCACGTCGGCACGTCGAGACACACACGAGGTCAGACATACGCACTGGACTGCTGGAGCTGCAGGCACATTGAGGCCGACGATGCGACTGTCGCTTCCGCTGTCGAAGTCGTCGCAGCAGCTGTAAAGAGAAAGAGGGAGAGGGAGGGAGGGACTCTTAACCTTTCCTTTCGTACATCCGCCGCTTGCCCAACCAGCCAACCTGACAAAGGCCAACCTCCCCTCTTTTTCCACTCCACCCACCAGCATCGCACGCGCATCTCTCGATCCAATAAGATTTGAAGCATGGAACATATATGATAGAGGATCTCAACCAAGAGACAAAACAGGGGGCCTGACTCGAGATCGCAACTGGAGGTTCGAGGGAAAAGATACTCTGCTGCTGCAGTCTGCGACGCGCGACAGCTTGCGCGCCCTTTGTTGCCCCTGCGTCTGCACGACCCACGCGCAACGTTTGCCTTCGCCTGATCCAAGCCAGCGCGCAGGTACAAGGGGGGAGGAATTGGAACAAGTTCGGTCTATATTATTCTTGCGACCATGGATCTGAGAATGATGTTGAACGAGGGCTCCGCCCCCGGAAAAGCCCAGCAGCCTCCTCCTCCGCCACTCCCACCACATCCGTCGCAACACACACCTCATCCACCACAACGACCAGGTTCACAACATCAGCACCCTCATCCGCAAGCACAGCAGCAGCATTCTCTGCCGTCGACACCCGTCCAGACCGTCCCGCCTCGTTCGTTCCACGACCAGCCACAACCGGGGCAGCCTGGGCCTCCTCCTCCACGGACCGCGTCGCGCGAATACCACGCCGGCCCCCAGGCTACATTCGCCTCTCCTCCGCCTCCACCTCCGACGTACGGCGGTCCGACGTCTTTTGCAGCTCCTGCCCGTCCGCAGCCACCCCCTCTGCAGCACCTGTCTGGTAGCGTAGACATGCGTTCGCCCAGCGTCGGCCCAGGCTCCATACCGTCCCCTTACTCTGCTATCTCCATGAGAGCAGACAGCGCCGGCTATCCCTTTCCTAGCCCAGGTCACCCGCATCCAGACTCTGCTAGCCCTGTCCAGCAGCACCGATACCCTCCCTCCGGCGCCCATCCGCCAAGGGACGGCTTCTCCCAGCACCAGCACCACCAGCAGCAGCAGCAACAGCAGCATGGTCCCGTCGCCAGCCCAAGGCAGATAGCTCATCCTCCGCCTCAAGGCTATTTTGGAGCGCAGCAGCAGCAGCAGCAACAACAGCACCCCATACCACAGACACCCCCGGCCAGCACACCAGGCGGCACTCATCCATATGCAGCCCAACAGCATTCACGGTCCGGCTCGGCGCAAAGTCACCCTCCATACCCCCCTCATTCCTTTGTGAGTCCCATCAACACGAACCACCCTCAGCCCCACCCCGACCATATGCGCCAGCCGTCACAGCCGCCGACGCCTCACGGCCCGCCTTTGTCGGCAGGACCAAGACAATCTGTTCCCCCAGGACCCTTTGCGCAACCACCAAGTCCATACCAGCAGCGTATGTCTTCTTCCTCCTCTGGAGGACACTGGGCACAGTATCCTCAGCATCTACAGCAGTCGCCACAACAGCAGCAGCAGCAGCAACTACCGCCGCCACCACCACCGCCGCCGCCGCCTCAGCAGCAGCAGCAGCAGCAGCAGCAGCAGCAACAGCAACAGCAACAGCAACAGCAACAGCAACAGCAACAGCAACAGCTCTCGCCCAACGTGCCTTCTCGCCCGCAGCCTTCTCCCCACCCTGCGGTTCAGAGACCGCCCAGTGCATACGACCAAGCTCCGGTCCATCGTCATTCGGTGGACCCACAGAGAAGCTCGCTGTCTCAGAGCGACCGCGAGCGGAGCGTCAGTGTCAGTCCCAAGACCCGCGTTCCCAGTCTGCCTTCCAGCGCTGGGCGCCACTCTCAAACCTCTTGTTCTGGGCCCTCCTCTGGTCAGCCAGCGGATTTCGAAACTCGCGATCCCCGCCAATTGCCTCCCGGTGCTGCTGCGCCGATGAGGGACGCGCCTGGGAAGCTCGAGCGCGAGGCTCCACCTCTGTCGTCCGCTATCAAACCCGAGCGCGCCACGACCCCTGCCAAGCGAAAGATGGATGACAGGGGTCTCAAGCCAGAGGATTTTGACCGACAAGAGCCACGACCACCACCGTTCCAAGCCAACGGCGGATATAGGCCTGGCAGTTCCTCGCGTACGACCGCCGCGCACCAATCCGACGCTCCAATGCTGGCACGGCGCAGGCCGAGACATGCCGCTCCTCCCCCCTGGGCGGTGCCTCTGGAAAGACAGCAGCTCAGGCACCCCAATCACCACCTGCGGAAGCCAGCTGCCCACAACGCCCACGTGAACGGCACCGCTGAACCTTCCTCGCATGGTGCTGCCGCCCGCCCGGGCCGGCCCAACAGTCGCCATGTCTCCCCAGAGGCATCTCGCGCCAGCGCCGCTGGTCCGCCCGTGAACAGGGCGTCTCCAGCACCGCCCGCGACCGCGAACCCCTCCAAGCCGAGGCTGCTGGGACCATGGGAGCCCACACTGGCCAACCAGGAACCCTTTGATGAGCTGTGCAAGACCGTTGCAGATTTCCTGTTCCTCAACGTGGTCAACCCGATCGAACTGAGGGATCTGCATGGCCGTCCTGGCATCAACTTCGAGATCGAGGCCAAGCTGGGCACCCTCATCGAGAGGGACTCGGCAGGCGAGAGGTTTCACCTGCCCGTCCAGTCTGAGGTAGCATTGGTGGTTACGCCGAATCCTCCTTACAACTTTTCAAGCAGCATGACCGAGGTGAGTTTCTGCTCAAGAGTAGCTGTTGTTCCCCCAAGCTTGAAGCATGACTGGAGTGTAACAAAGCAATTGGCTGACAAAATCTTTCCTCCCCTCTTTCTCCCAAAAAACAGTTGCAACACATGAAATACAACGAATATCTCAACTACTTGACGACCGAGACTAGCCTGCAAAATCCCAAGAACAAGAACTCTCCCGACCCACGCGTCCCGATCAATTATATCCACATCCGAGAAATGGACAGACATTACACACCTAGAGACGCCAGACAGGCTCTCCATCCCATATTACAGAATCTGATCGACGCCCGAGGGTCCAGGGCTCCCTCGGTGCGGGTGACTACGGATATGAAAAATGGAGGAACGGTCGTCGCCAAGATCATCAAGGTCAAGGTCGCGGATCTGCACATCTATTTCCCGCAGGTGGAGCTGGACTGCCGCATCAGCGTTAATGTCGAGGCAGACTACGATGGTTCTCTCGAGGCGTTGGAACAGTCCGCACAGGAGAGGCCAGGGTATCGTGCCAATGACAGGGTAGACCGACACAAGGATCGGCTGAGCTACACTCACGGCCTGTACAAGGTTGATCTCACGCAGGTCACCCAGCCAGATGCAGGCGGTCAGGTATGTCAAGCCATCTTCTTCTCTCAACCCCCCCCCCCCCCCCTCTTCCCCCCACATTGCATTCAAACTGCTGACACTGTCCTCTAGTCGACTGCAAGGAAGATTCACGAGCTGGAGATCGAATTGAATGCCGATGCTGTCATCGACCAAGGGCGTCGGGCCATGCAATCGCAGCCACACAACTACGACTTCCTGATCGAAGGCTTTGTAAACAACATACGCCTGCTTGCAAGGAAATCTCGAGACTTCCAACCTGCGCAGTGAAAAGAAAAGGAAAATTGGACGATATAATTCTCAGGCTGTCAGTGATACAACTCAGAGACGCCACATTTGGCCTGGAATATCATCACACAGAATACCAGCACCTTTTTTTTTTTTTCCCACTGAATATTTTTTATTTCTCAAGAACGATCAATGATTTCATTTTCACTTTTCTTCCCTCACCTTCAAAATTGCTACGGGTTCTCTCACTTTGGCATCTCTATCCAGGATCGGGTTGATACCAGGAGTCTTGAAGCTTGTTTTTTGATTGCCTCGGCATGTAGAAGACGGCGCAGGGAACGCAGGCTCGCGCTCAGAAATGGAGCGGAAGCGGAATCGGAAGGAAAAGGACCTGCCGCAAGGCTGATGGTCCGCATAGTGTGAGCCCAGTCTGGTGTGTTCAGGACATCGGCACGACACGCAGGATAGGATAATTACATGGGACCCAAGATATGCAAATATCCTTATCTGAATTCAATAACGTTATTCGAACGACGTCCTCGATCGCATGCAGGAGGTCCACTACTTTGTGCACTTGAGCTTGGAGCTGTCTCCCTGCTTTCTGCAGCCTCGCGTCTAGCTCAAAGCGTCCAGGATTTCCTTTGCGATCCAGGAGTGGGTATGCGTCGTCGGGCTTGATGGTGTGCCCCAAGAGTCAGCTCAAAACATGCACGACAAGGCAGCATTCGCACAACATTTCGGAGTCTTCTCGGAACACTTACTGATACTCGTCCCAGTACACCATATCCTGCACATGATCACACTGCGTGTACGTCCCGTTGGCCCCAGGGGCGCCCTCTCCATAGATGCCCACCAGACAGCTCCCATACTTACCCAGCGGGGCGAACCCATAGGACTGCGGCTGCCCATAGTACTCAAACGAGGCAAACAGGGCCCTGAGGTCGACGTGGTCCACGCCGGCGCTCAGGCGCGCCCCGTCGGCCAGCAGGGCGGCGAGGAGGTCCGTAAAGGACGTCAGCTGCGACCTGGTCAGCTCGTCGGCGTAGAAGCCGTACGGCAGGCGGGACAGGTCGGGCGAGGCGACGGTGAGGACGTGGCCGGCTGGGTAGGCGGCGAGCAGGCTGGCTGTCGCGGCGGCGATTTCTAGGTAGGACTGGGCGGCGCTGATGTTGGGGTTGAAGAAGATGTCGTTGGCGCCGGCCCAGACTACGAATAAAGGGGTGGTGAAGTCGCCGCCGGGTGACGATGACGAGGAGGAGGACGAGGAGGAGGCGTTGAGGGAGGTGCCCTGGGGGGACACGCCGGACAGGAACGAGGAGAGCTGGTCCGTCACGGCGGGCACGGGGATGGTGGACTCGGGGCCTGTGTAGCCCTGAATGAGGCTGTTGGATGTCGTGGCGCCGCCGGTGGCGTAGTCGTAGAGGGGGATGGAGAGGTTGGAGGCTAGGTATTGAGGCCAGACTGGACCGTTGGAGAAGTGCCCTTGGTAGCTTGAGCGATGATTATGTTCCCATGTTAGATGTCTTTGTTCTCTTCTTCTTTTAATTTTGAGCTCACGGAATTATGTGGATTCATCATGGCATGCTGAACGTCTCCCATAGGACCAGCTGGCATATGAAATACTTACTATGGAGGTACGAGCGGCCATGTCCCGTTGGAAATTCGGTATGAGCCATTACCTATGCCTTGAGGTCAGCCATGGCATCTCATTGTGATCGTGCGTAGCTTCAGAAAGATTATAGGTCACCATTATCACTGAATGAATCCCCAAATACAACAATCGAGGAGAAGGTGGACCCGCTGTCCGTTGACCGGCCCGTATGAAATGGCTTCGCGAGAGCGCCCGTTGCGGCCGAGGCCAGAATCGAGAATAGTGAGTGATGTCGGGCGAGCATTGTGGCTAATCTTCTTGAGGATCTCGTTTGTAGTACTTCTTGAACCACTTTGGGTCAGGGAGCATATAAGATATTATCACTCGTCCCCCGTCAAGTGCTTACTCAAACAGTATAAATATTAGGGTCGGCAATTCATTAGTCGTCGAACGGACCGAGGCTTCGCCTATGTCGGTCGATCACTAATAGAGACGCAAGCTAATTATCAATGACTACTTGCTGATAATGCTCGATACAGCACCGATTCAGCTGCGTAAAAGACGAATGCGGGCCATATAATTATGAGGCGATTGGCTGGAGTTGAATCGGACAGGCCGGTTCTATTGACATTTTATCAAAAGAGACTACCGCCTCTCCAGCCACCACTGCAGCATGGGTCGAGATAAGCTGTGGGTATTGATGCTTGGGCCTCCCACTAATGAGAATACGCTGGGAAATGTCCCACGAGAATGTCTGGATTTTCTTTCTTTCTTCTCCTTGGGGATTCTTCCCCTTATTGGCCATAGTAGAGACAAGTTGTCAAAGAAAGATTATAATTGCCAAGATCATCTGCGTGTTGTGCCGCTGTGGATACCAAGCTTGCATCAGTATTTTAAACGACTGGAGAAGATATGACATTGTGCGAGTATGCGACAATTAACTACTAATAATCGATATTCATGTGACTGCCCATGAGTTGGATGGAACATAAAAACGAAACGGATGGAGATGATATCTGAGGAACCTGCCCATGACACCTGCATCCAAGGTCTGTCCGCCTGCCTTGCAATAGTCAGATTTGAAGGCTCAGATCATGCCGTGTTCATCAAAATCCCCAGGTGCTCCTTGCGACAGAATCACCCTGGTGGACTGTGCGATGTAAATCTCTCTTGCTGGTGGCGGCCTCGGCGGTGGACTTGATGATTTCCTCATGTATTCGTCCTTCTGGCCGTGGCTCAGGACTGTGGTGAGATTTCCTCTTCTCTCGGTATCCTCATCCTTTATGTAGGAGCCTGCAGGTGGGCTATATGGCCTCGTCATCCTGGGACACGGCAGTAGGTCTGCACAATAACCATCGCCAGATACTTGACATCAGGCTGACAAATCAGCAAACATTCAAAATCTGTTGTTGAAAAAGAGTGTAGGCCATGAGAGAGATGATAAGAAGGAAAAAGAAAATCACAGCGCAGGCTCACATTCTCCTCTAGGGCTCCCTTGAGTATGTATGCCATAGAGACACATATCGCAGACCCCATGTCTCGTCTGTGTGAGCTCTCTGCAGAGGCACGAGTGTATTATGTCACTGCAGACGCACTCCTGGAGTTGTAGTGAAGCCTCGGGTCTTGACATGGTGTCGAGGCCAGATAGCCTCTCTGGGGAAGAAGCTGAGACTGCGCTTGACCGCCGCCGCCGTCTCCAGCTGGTCATTGGGGTTCGTGGCGACGATGCTGACTCGCGCCTGTGCGAGGAGATTGGGATGATTGATAGCAAAGGCAGCTTCATGATGTATAAAGTGATGATGTGGTTGTCTTAGTGAGGCCGAATGTAGTATGCTGTGTTTTCGAGACGCCCGCCGATGGGAGAAGGCTACGGTATAAGTGTTGCCGGCCGCTCAGGTATCTTTCTTTGTCCCACAAAGTATTTTCCGTGATTTGGGTAAATTCCCACGCGATATTATTGTTTTTCTTTCAGCAATGAAACTTTTGTTATGCTACTAGCTCTTAATTTGTCAGGCGGGGTCATTTGTCAAACTGGACACCCAAGAGGCTGGCAGTCATGGTAAGCAATGATCTGGAATTGGAGAATCGAAATTGAAATCAATCCGATTTAGTACTTGGAATTGATCGCTTCAAAAGTCCCATACGATCACATCGCGAAAGATATGGATGATTTCTCTATACGGCAATTCACCTACGCCAGTGCCCAATGCCTACTAATTGGCTTGCAAAATCTTCTGCACAATTTCAGATTTCGTCTGCACAGTTCATCTGCACCCCATCTTACAAAAGTACTTCTATCCAAATGCACAAGAGACCCCATCCTTACGTACGTACTGGAGTAATATCGAACTTGGTCTGCTGAGCTGCAGCTCAGTACTCACTGGCTGAAATCACACCAGATGCATTACATCGTTGCCAACACATGAAAACTTGCGGTGGCTTCTTCCATCGCTGTTCGGATGCACTAGCTGAAACTCTTCAGAACGAACTCGATATTGAACACATCAGGCTAACACATGACAGGACAATCATAGTTTACTGTGCGGCACCTGGCCATTGTCTCACACATGCTGCAAGATCAGCCCTACTGTCACACAGCAGAATAAAAGCTCCGGGGGGTTACGCCGCAAGTCTTGGCTTAGCGTAGGAGGATTTCGGTCTGGTGAGCAGTCTGATGGTTCTGGCGAGACTCGTAGTTTGCTGAGAGATGGATGCAATGGAGGGGAAGGGGGGGGGGGGTCAGGAGGGCAGAGTCGAGAAAAAGGGAGAGGGGATCCGAAAAAGGGCCCGGCAGGCAGGAAAATGAAAAGAATGGAATGGCATTGAGCATGATGAGCCCACGGTAATTACACCACTGTGGCTTCGATCATGTCATGTTGTAGACCCCTCTGAGCCTCGCCGTCAAGACTCTGCAACAAGGGGGGCTTGTGGCAAATTTGAAGCATTAACATGGCAGGCAAAACTTCTGTCCTGAAATTTGTGAACATGATCTGCCTGCCCTTGTTCTACACATTCCCGTACTTGGAGAGAAGCAACTTTACGCGGCTGGCCACGGAGGCCGATCATAGGGGAGAACTCGATTCCTGATATGGCACGGGGGCGGAACACTGCACATATCTGATTCCTGAAAAATACGACACATTCGTTGTGGTGAAGGGAGTGTTGGAAGGTTATGGTCTCGGACGCTTTTCCGGTGAGACAAAAGAGGTCGTCGAGGGATGAAAAGTCGACAACCCCCCCCCCCTCCCGGGGGCGCCTGTCGTCTGCTGGGAAGGCTGTTTTCGACGTTTGGGGCACCTAAACTCAAGTGACCAACAGCTGAGTCAGTTAATAAAAAAGGATCATCACATATGGCCTTCACGCTGGAATTTACTGTCTGGGAAGACCAGGCTCGAATAACTCCTTCTCGTCCAGTCGGCGACCCAAATGGCGAGGTCCACTCAGCCGGTGAGGATTTCGGCTGTCCTCCCTTCGCATGGAGAGAATGATTTTCATATAAATTATACCTCTGTTCCTTTGGAGATGAGTTGATGTCTTTTGAAGTTGCTGCAAGCTCCTCACACACACACACACTCCTTTAGATCTAACTTTGGCTTTCGAGCGCATGTCTATCTTTCAACTCATCTGATTTCTCTCTCTGGTCATCATCGTCGTGATACAATCACTACCGCAACCATGAAGCTTCAACTCGCGCTGGCTGTGTTGGCTGCAGTGGCATCAGGCCAACTGCTTCCGGGAGATGATAGTAAGTTTTCTGATGGACAAGTACACCATGGTAGTGTGAAGTATTATTTTCATTTTTACTAACATTCTTGCTTTCTCTAGATCCTCCATTCTCGGATTTTCCCCCTATCCCTCTCCCTACTACTATAGTGAGTCCCTCCCGCAACGTGAGAAGGTTTCTAGACTACTTCAAGTGGGAACAGAAGAAGAGAAGGAGAAAGGAAGAGAACATGAAAAAGAAAAGAAAAACCTGGGAACGATTCCTCGGGTCTTCATCATAGGGCTACTTTCTGACGCATCGTTGTTTGTCTCAAGGTCACTGCTCCGCCAGAGCCTTCGCTCCCCGGCGCCCCCGTGAATGTCTCCCTGGGGGTGCCCACCGCGAATGTCTCCCTGGGGGTGCCGACGACACTGTTGACCTCTGTCATCCCGGCGTTGCCCACGAGCCTCGAAAGCGCAGCGCCCGAGGAAAAGATCGGCATACCCGGCCTGCCGATCCCGATCCCTCTCCCTATACCCCCGCTTCCTATCTCCATTGGACTGCCGTCAATCCCGGTCGTCTCGATACTGTCAGCACTGCCTATTCCTACGTCGCTTCCAGGCGTCCCGGGCTTGACCGGCCTGCCTTTGTCTGTGCCTACGATCCCCGCCGGCCTTCCGAGCCTCTCTATCGTAGGCGTCCCAGGCCTGACAGGTCTGCCGCTCTCGCTTCCTACTCTTCCCTCCATTCCCCTTGGACTCCCCACCGGCGTCTCGGTCCCAGGCGTGCCAGGTCTGACAGGTCTGCCTCTCTCGCTTCCTACTCTTCCCACAATTCCCCTTGGTCTTCCTACCAGCCTCGGTGTTCCGGGTCTCTCTGGCCTACCTCTCTCGCTGCCCACGCTTCCCACTATCCCTGTTGGACTCCCCACCGGCCTCTCTATCCCTGGTGTTCCTGGCCTGACAGGTCTGCCTCTCTCGCTCCCTACTCTTCCCACCGTTCCCATCGGACTCCCCACTGGCCTCTCTGTCCCGGGCGTGCCAGGCCTCACAAACTTGCCGCCCGTCCCTGTTCCCACCATTCCCATCGGGCTCCCTGGGACCCTCACGGTCCCACGCGTTCCGGGACTGACCGGCCTACCGCTCTCTCTCCCTACCGTTGGCGTTCCTAGCCTCGGGGTTCCGCTGCCAGTAACCATTCCTGAAATCCTGACATTCTCGACAGTCGCCGTCCCTACCGTTCCACTCCCGACCATTATTGTCCCGGCGCCCTCGCCGGCCCAGCCTTCTCCGACCAACATTCCAGAGACTGCCGAGGGTGTTCTCACAGGACTCTTCAAAGAGATTCTGGCTATCTTGGGAATCAATATCTAGGTACGAACAGTCCTGCCAGGTCGGCTGCCTAGGAAAAGAAGGATGTGTTCAGCTAACAAAGAGTTCATTCTCAAGACACGTGGTTTGCCAGTAGCGGCGGAAGACTTGGGGTCTTTTTTTCTTCTATTCTTTTGTGGCGACTTGTATGATGGTTTTGTGTGACTGTGCGACGTCGCATTTGGGATCGAGAGATGGATATGTTGCGAAAGCCTGGTTTCTTCAGAATGTTGAGGCTCACGGTCGGTTTCGAGACTTGGCCTGCTTGCTAGCATCTTTTCTTTGCAAATTTTTTAGGGTACTTGGGTCTTATTCAATGACTTTTCTTGCAATCATTTGGGTACTGTGATGTCAGGAGATGTAGAAGAAAGGAATTAATCACCCACGGTCCACAGCATTCATCATGAGAAAATCGTAGTGAGACGTCGTGGTGTTTGTCTCGATAGGCAAGGAACAGGTAATGGCCGGCCCCTTGGCCACTAATGCATCCCTTGATTTTTCACTTTCTGGTAGGCTGAGGGGATTGTACTCTGGGCCGTTTGATCTAAATATTCATTAAGTGTTCTGATCAGTTAGAGACTTTGTATCCTTTTCCCATGATCATCTTTTTGTTTGAATTCAAGAAGAGAAAGAAAAAAAGGGGGGGGGGGGCTACCTGATTGTTTTCTATTCATTCAAGGACTGACGAGTAGAAGTGAAAGTGAAAAATTGAAACCGAAGTAGTATTATGTCAGAAAACAATAACATTTAAGTGAAGGTTCATTAGATTGCTAAAAATCGCAAAGTGTTTGGACGCTCGTTATACGTCAGAGGCCCGATGAGAGGTGGCCGAGGCCATGAGCACCTCGTATCAAGAGGATAAAACAGAGTCGATACGATTGCAGAACATGGTTGTAGTCATAATGGCAGCTGTGGGATCACTGGAAGAACGAGTGATGGTTGTCAAGTTTGGTAGTGTTCTCATCCATGACCTGGTGTGCGACCTGGAGGGTATCATGGTGCTGAAGTTCGGGTCTTGTCTCGCCCCCTTGCTCGTCAGGATGCTGTTCAATGAACAGGTCCTTGATGGTGCCTGCGCCAATGGCTCGCTGATACACAGCGAAGCTCGTGGCAAATTCTCGGTGCTGCCCGATGCGGATCTTGTCGAGAAGGTTGAGGGCGAAATTCTGGCAGTTGTTGTTGATGAGATTGTAGGCGGGTCGCTTCTCCCTCATATTGAAGATAACCATCTCGCCTTGACCCGACTCTGTCAGTACTTCGATGCACATCTCTATCTGCTCGCTCGAGCAGCTAGGCCGTGGGAGGATCAGCCAGAAGAGGGAGGGGAGGGACCTACCAGCCTGTCTGAGAGCCTCGTCGTTGAACCTCGTCTTGCCCACTTCATACGTATGCCACTCGTCCCGGTTGATTTTCTCGTTGATATACACCACATCGAGATGCTCGTCCTGTGTTCATCCACATCAGTCAGCCCTATCATCACCGCCACGCCCCGGTCCATGCCCTCTTCCTCCCTTGAGGTCCCGCGCGTGCGAATGGACCAATCGATTCAATCTCATTCTGCTTCAAATTGCTTTCAATTACGAACCATCCACAACTCATGAACGTAATCACCAACAAGCACAGCCCAGTGCTGGGTCGGGTCCGGTGACTTGTGAATCTCCTCGGTGATCAACTTGCCCAGCCTGGTCTGTTCGGCAAACCACTTCCCGGCAGGTCCTGCGACGGGATGCCAGCCGATCTCGACGGTGCGGGGCTCGCCGTCGATTTTGACCTCCCCTGGAGGGATGACGTTGGGCGTCTTGCCGAGCCCGAGCTCATGTTGGACCATGAGTTTGCCCTTGAGCAAATTATCCTTTCTGCAAGCCTGTCAGTCAGTCCCACTCAGCTCGATCAAAGGTAGAGAAGGGGGGGGGGGGGATCGCGAGTTAGCTTACAAGAACGAGCCCAACTTGCTGCCAGGCGATGTCCGGCCGGATTCTTCCTCATCCTGATGGTGCATTTTGCCCAGCGCAGTTTCGTAGGCTCGGAAGAAAGGAATAAGGAAAAGAAGAAAAGAAAAGAAACAAGATTGCTCTTTGACTCTATTTGGAAACGCCGCTCGTTATTGCTGGGCCAAGCAAGCACCTTCTTCTCGGAGGACCGTGACAACGTATGTTTGCACACAAAACAAGGAAGGAGGAGAGGTCGTAATATGTGCTAATTAGTCTGAAGATTTAGGCGGCGTTTAAGTAGCCCCAATCAGATCGCGAAATATTTATATTACAGTAGCGGGAGCTAAGAAGAATCGGGGTACAGAAGTAATTCCTTACCTAATCTAACCCACGGAAGCTGGGACGGTTTACAGTACCTGTTTATAGAGCCTCTTCTTGCCCTGGATAGTTTCTAAGCCTCTTCTTTTGTCTTTGCATTTGACTTGATCTGCCAAGGCGCGTCACAACCGTCAAAACTCACAACCACCCAACAAGATTTCGCCCCTTTCCTGATCATGGCAGAATTCCCACCACACGGCCTCAGAGAAGCCGCAGAATCCGTGGCCAAGCTCCTCCGTGACCGCGGCGAGACCCTCTCCGTCGCCGAGACCGCCGCCGGCGGGCTCATATCAGCGGCACTGCTGACCACGCCGGGAGCATCCAGAATCTACAAGGGCGGCGCGACTCTCTACACCTTGGAGTCACGCATTGCGTTTGCGGGCTGGACGCAGGCTGATATCGACAGCTACGACGGGCCCAACCCGGATCTGGTGGCTGGGCTTGCGAGGAATGTGAGGGCCACGCTAGGGTCGACGTATACTGTGGGTGAGGTACGTTGCCACGATAGTGATGATGATGATGATGACAATAACGACGATGGTGACGATGAGAATGATGATACTGGATCCCAACCATGATTATATATGCATGTGACTTGGGAGGCCAAGGCAAGTGAGAAAAGACGTGACGTCCCAGTGGCTCACAGCGCTTCCCTCCTGCAGAGCGGCACAGCTGGACCGACCGCCTCGAGAAAAGCCGCAAATGGACAGCCGTAAGTGAAGCTCTTGGGATCATCACCCCTACATCTCTCCCTCTTCCCCATCTGGCGGGCGCGGGTTGCTGATGCTCTCTCTATTGCAGTGGCTATGTTGCCCTGGCTGTGGTAAGTGAGAAAAAGACCCTGAGCAGAGACCTGAACACGGGTCTTGGAGGCGAGCGAGCCGGGAATATGGTGGCCTTTGCGACGTTGGCGTTGAAACTGGTTGAGGAATTCATTACGACGGGGGAGAGCCAGGGTGGGAAGATGTAGCCATACCCTCGTGGGCAGACATGCACCTAGACAGTACTGGTATAAGTCCAAGTGAGCCAAACCGTCTCGCTATGGTTGTTTAGGCGGCCCAATCCTAGTTCATTCTAGAATCAATGGAAAGAAATGAAATGGATATAGTCAAGGCTCAAGACCTCTATTAGAATGTTTCTATCTAAACATTGCCACGCCCGCTCATACAAAACAAAAGTCCCTTGGTCTCGTGTCTTATGTAGCCTTCTTCACCTTCCCAACTTCAGCCTTCTTCCTTTTCCTAGCGCGCCATGCCGCGAACTCGTTCAGTAGCCCCATGACTAGCGGCACTCCAACAGGCCCCAGGAGAGGCAGGTATACTGCGATCTTGTGCTCATCAGGGAAGTACAGCTGCCCGACCATACTCTTCTCAAAGAAGGCCCGCTCGGCGGCCGCCTCTGCAATCTGGGCGTGAATGAGCCCGTCTGGTGTGCCCAGTGATTCGCACGCCAGGCGAAGGTGGCGGATCGAGGTGCTCACGCCGTCAGCGACGGACTGGGGGATGGGGATGGACGGGAGGGCCCGAGAGAGGCGAGCCAGTGAGCCAAGTGTACTCGACGCACGGAGCAGCAGGTCGGCAGAGCGGACCCGGGAGAGGGTGGAGAGGCGGAGTGGCAGCGAGCCCGAGGTGGGTGTGCCAAGCAGCGAAAGCAGGTGCGTGGTGAAGGTGAGCAGGGGCTGCTTGAGATCTTCGTACTGCACATGCGCTGCTTTGTCGTCACCGCCTGCAAGGTTGAGAAGATACACGGTTCCCCACTGGGGGATCAGCCAGGAGTGTGAGGTCTCCGAGACCGCTGCCTCGCTGGCCTGCACATCGTTCAGAGTAGGCGACAGCTGGATGGTCTGCCTGCCCACGAAGACGATAAAGTTGACAGTAGGCGCGCCGCCAATGGACGGTGACAGAGGCCACTCGGCGGCATTGATGAAAGAGGATAGGTCGTCCTTGCTCAACGCTTGGGACTGGACGCCAGGAGTCGCGTACAGCTGGACCTGGGTATCGATGGTGAAGTTGTGGATGGGTCTTAGGACGTCCAGCACCGGCTGCATGTATTCGTCGATGGCCTTTTCGATATCCCAACTGCTCGGTGTAGGCCCATCGGTGAAGAGCGAGAAGGTGAGGTGATAGGTCGGGGCATATTTGAGAGAACGTGTCGGCCGCTTCGCGATGGTGTCGGCAGTGTCTGGCGCCAGGCCCTGCAGCCGGTGTTCTGGCTTGGCCGAAGACGTAGAGAGCAGGTAGGATATGACGGCCTGCTCTTCGGCAAAGGTGGATCGCAGCTCGCTCGCGACATACGTCGCCAGGGAGGAGGAAGAGGAACTCGGCGAGGGGATCGAGTTCGGGGTGTAGGTGATGTCAAGGATGGACTCGTATGGGTGGAGCGAGGCTGTCGTCGACTCTCCTGGCTGGAGCCTTATGACGAGAGCGACCTCGTCAGGGCTGGCAGTGCCATTTACGGTGCTGGCGCGAGGATCCAGCTGCAGCCGAAGATGGTGACCAGGAAAGTCGTTCAGGTCGTCGAGGGCGTGCTGCGTCAGGCGCAGGAGGTTCTGGGCCTCTTGCTCCTGCAGCTGATTGGCCTGGATGGAGATGCGCAGAGGGAAGACTGGGCGACAGGCCTAGGGGAGCCAACATTGCTGTCAGTGGTTGATAGCTCGGGGCCAGGTCTCATGCTTGCGGAGGGAGAGTTGGCATAAGGGGGAAGGGGTGGAGCGATGACCTACCTTACCATCCGCCCAGTCCATCATGTCATCTAGTGGCAAGTTCGCCCTTGAAATTGCGGTAGTATTCCACCATATAGGCAGGCCGACACATAACACGATGAGCCAGAAGGAGAAGATCACCTGGGACCGCCTTCGAATGTCTGAGGGCTTCTCAGGTGGAGGCTCCTTGCGGCGGCTGGTGGCATCGCGACTCGAGGCATCTCGGGGCAAGGCGTCACTGGTGTGGTTGGGCTCAGCCTCGGGACCAGGACCAGGAGCAGGATCCATTAGCCTGCTGGAGGCAGCCGTTGGAACGAGATTGGCCATGTCAACATCATGGACCGGTATTGCAGACATGGCAGATCGGGGCCCCCTTGCTACATCGCGTCGTGGTGTTGATGGTGCTGTCCAAAGGGCAGGCAAATAAGTGGTCAAGCCAGGTAGAGCCAGCCCCCTGTCCATAAGCCAGCTCCCGTAGTTCAGCGGGCCCGTAGTAGCCTACTGCGCACAAGCTACCAACCTAGCTGTACCAGGTGTGGTAAGGAACAGCTGGCTGTAAGTACGCCGATAAGATAAGGGGGTACTCTAGCGTGACCAGTCAGCATCGCTATAATACCGCCATTATGGTATCGTTACCACCTAATCACGGTAGTGTGTCTCCCTCAAAGACTTTCTGTCGGCTTCACATGCGAACAATTGCGCCTAGCACTGACAAAGTACCATAGTACTGTATAGATAACTGGCGGGCAATCTCTTTGCCCTCTCATATCCTCATCCTCCCTTTTCCTCTTTTTGAGGAAGGCTCCACCACGCATGACATGCCGAATCGGGCATGCAGAGTTCACATGACACTTCTCAAGCATACTACGGTGGTAGTAGAACAGACTACCACATCCGTGCTCATCATTTCCGCAACAAACCTTCGTGAAAGACAATAGATGCAGGCTGATGACAGTAGTTTTGCCTAATAGAGGAGCCACTGGCATGGAAGAAGGATGTGAGAATGCGTGTGAGAGAGGAAGGGAGAAAATGGAAGAGAATGAAACAGGATCGATTCCTACCTGACCTGGCTGAGGCCATCCTCGCTTGCCCTCCACTCGACACACAGTATTTGTCTCGCAGCGTGCTATGATGTTTAGGCGGTCAGGGTTGTTTGTGCGGGCGCGGTGTCCGCACCCCAACGTGCTGGGCCGTCTCGGGTTCCACGGCCCAGGGTCAACCCCGCTGCCCTTGTATAGTGCCCATACAGGAGTATACTCTGGTACAACCCCAGAACCCCCAACACCACTTTTCACGTAGCATGTACCGTACTTGGTTATGAACCCCTAGCTGTTTAAAGTACTTACAACAACAACTGCGCGACACTAACCCCACGCTCTTCAAACGGGAAGTTCCAGAAGCTTGAATCTCTTGCCCCGGCCGAGGCTTGTGAGCCGAGGCGCAAACCCAAGCCGCAACATCTGAAGTTCTGCTCATCTGCCTCCCTTTCCTTCACTTTTTGATACCACGCTGTCTTTGTCCTTGAGAGGGTTGGGCCTGAACTGCAAGTGTTGTTTGGAGGATAAGAGACAACCTCCTGGTCCTCGGAATATCCTTATCATTGGTCCTCATCTTGAATCCCTCTCGTGCTTATGTTGTTGCGTCTTTGCCGCCTGCGCAGTGAACCCCATTCTTTAATTTTCTTTTCTTTCTGCCCTGGGCCAGAGGCTGGTCCGCCACATCACCTCACATCACCTCACCTTCTCGTCGCCTCTTCACATCGGCCCACCCACTACTATTTTATATAATTTTCCCCCGGCTGAGGAGAGAATAGATTCTCTCCCCCTCATACTCCTCTGGTTAGCAATTTTCGCTACCCATCTCTGCATAAGCATTATTATATACAGACGGAAAGACGTTTCTTAGAGTCACTTATTCTCCTCCTCTTCCTCCTCCTTCTCCCTCTTCCGCTACACATATCGCCGTGCTGGACCAAACCCCCTTCTTGAGGACCACGTGCGCTACCTTTTACACCTTACCGGCTTGCTCGAACCCCATTGCTCGTCTCTGCGTGGCATTCTCAGTCGAGGCCAGGCCCATTGAACCACATTCAACCACGCCGCATACATATATATATTTTCCCGTGTCTCAATAATCTCCCGCTCTTGTGTTCCCCTCTAATCGAGATTTGCCCGTCTCTTATATTCCTGCGACTCAACTCTCGGCTCTCCACCCCCACTGTACCTCTCTTCTTTTGTGCTTGTGTCTCCCTTCTCATGTGTATCTTGGCACTTCGTCCAGGTCACACCAGCACACGTATAAGTCTACATAAAAGAAAAGAAATAAAGTAAAATAAAAATAAGATGCCCGGTAAGCCTCTTCCGCGCCTCGAGTGCCCCCCCCCCCCCCTCTCTTTCTCCCACAATACATACAAACACAAAGACGCACGCATCTCCCTGCTGCAGCAGCATTTATCCGCAGCCTCGTTCCTTCATGACCAGTCTGAGCAGCACCGATCCCAGCAGAAAAAGACAGGAAGAGGAAAGAAGAAGAAAAAGAACACAGAACCCCTTCGATGGCTGCTGCTAACAACCTACTCCTTATCCAACGCGTAGTCCCACTCGCCGTCGCTGTCCCAGCAGCGACAGCCGCCGCCGCTTACATCAATGCCAAGGCGCACGTGTGGTACGATCTCAAAATGCTCAAGTGCGCGGCGCCCATGGCCATCCAGATGATGTGGCGAGAGCGGACCGGCAAGCTGAGCCTGTTCTACGACCTGGAGTACTGGGCCCACAACTCCAAGACGGCAGACACGCCGTTCTTGCTGTTCGAGGACCGCTCATGGACGTACCGCCAGGCCCTCGAGCAGGCGCTCAAGCACGGCACCTGGCTGCGGGAGACATTCGGCATCAAGAAGGACGACATCGTCGCCATGGACTTCACCAACAGCGACACCTTTGTCTTCGTCTGGCTGGGCCTCTGGGCCGTGGGCGCAAAGCCGGCCTTTATTAACTACAACCTGGCCGGCCCTGCGCTCATCCACTGCGCCAGGGCCGCAGGCGCGGCCATCATGCTGGTCGACCCGGCTGTGGCGCACAACGTGGATGACTTTGTGCGCAGGGAGCTGGCCGGCGTGAGGCTGGAGGTTTTCTCTGCCGAGCACAGGCAGCAGGTGGCGGCTACCACACCCGTCAGGCTGCCGGACGAGCAGAGGGCGGACGAGGGCGTCTACAGTATGGCGAACCTCATCTACACGAGCGGGACCACTGGGCTGCCCAAGGCGGCCGTCGTGAGCTGGGGCAAGATGCATGCCGCCGGAGGGTTTTCTGCGAGGCTCATCGGCTCGCGGCCTGGTGAGATCTTCTACACGGTCAGTGATGGGAGAAAGGATGAACAAGCCCATATGACAACCTTGATATTCCTCTCCTCCTCCTCCTCCTCCTCTCCCTTCTTTCTACAGGATCTCGTGTATGTGTGCGCCCATGTATGTGAAACTGACATCATATCTGCAGTGCATGCCCCTCTACCACTCTTCGGGCGCGATCCTGTGCATCGCCAACGTGCTCCTGAGCGGCGCCACCGTCGCGCTGGGTTCCAAATTCTCGACCCACACGTTCTGGAGCGAGGTCCGCCGCCACGACGCGACCATGATCCAGTACGTCGGGGAGACGCTGCGGTACCTGCTCACGGCGCCCGTAGACAAGGATCCGGTGACGGGCGAGAATCTAGACAAGAGGCACCGGGTGCGAGTGGCGCTGGGCAACGGGCTGCGGCCCGACGTGTGGAACAAGTTCAAGCAGCGGTTCGGGGTCGAGTACATTGCCGAGTTCTACGGGGCGACCGAGGGCAGCTTCGCGACGTGGAACCTGAGCAGGAACGACTTCAGCATGGGCGCGGTCGGGCGGTCGGGCTGGATCTACTCGGTTTTCGTCGGGTCCGGTACCGTGCTGGTCGAGGTTGACTTCACAACGGACCTGCCGCGGCGGGACCCCAAAACGGGCTTCTGCAAGGTGACGAAACCAGGACAGCCGGGCGAGTTCCTGTTCAAGCTGCCCGAGAAGGAGCTCGAGAAGAGGTTCCAGGGCTACTACGGCGACAGGGCGGCGACGAACAAGAAGATCCTGCGGGACGTCTTCAAGAAGGGCGATGCGTGGTTCCGCACGGGCGACGTCATGCGCTGGGACGACGAGGGCCGCATCTTCTTCCACGACCGCATCGGCGACACGTTCCGCTGGAAGAGCGAGAACGTGTCGACGGCCGAGGTCAGCCAGGCGCTGGGCCACCACCCGGCCATCCACGAGGCCAACGTGTACGGCGTGCAGGTGCCGCACCACGACGGGCGGGCTGGGTGTGCAGCGATCGTCCTGAACGAGGGGGTGTTGACGAAGACGGCAAATGCCATGCCCGAGGTGCTGTCGAGCCTGGGCGAGCACATCCGAAAAGCACTGCCCAAATACGCGGCGCCCGTCTTTCTGCGCATCACACAGCCGGGCAAGATGCAGACCACGGGGACAAACAAGCAGCAGAAGCAGGACCTGCGGGCGGGAGGAGTAGACCCAGACAAGGCGGATGGAGATGAGTTGTACTGGCTTCAAGGTGGAAAGTATGTGCCCTTCACAAAGAGGGAGTGGGAAGCCGTGGAGGGCGGGAGGGTGAAACTGTGAGAGTACGTGTACATGTGCGTGCCAGAGTACATATCCATGTGTTTATGACATTCTCTTATATATGTATACACATATATATATAAGTATATAAGTATATAAATAGATGGCTAGAAAGACATTAGCTATGCACTCATTCCTCTTAAAATGTCGGCTGCATAAGGAATTCTCACCACGAAACCTCTCGAACCCAAAGTGCCCCCCACTATTAAAAGGAAATGATTACATAAGAAATCTTAAAATCAATCAATCAATAGCGCAGCACGTGGCAATCTCGCCAGGCCACACACCGTAACAGATCGCCGGGAGCAAGGAAAGGGCTGATGAGCTATTGGCCTGGTGTGATGGCGCACACTCACTTTATCAAGGCACGCAAGGTTCTTGGCACTCAAGGACCCTTGAACAATGCCAGATGAAGAAAGGAGAGGGTGACCATTGTACCATAGTCCCAAGTACTGCGCTACTACAATTCGCACGACTGCTGTTTAGTTCGATGTCCAAATAAAATAAAAAAGCTCCGGAAGCGGAGAGCAGAAAGCTTCCTACCCCCACAAAACAGCCCTAGGTTGCACAATCTAGCGAATCATTGAGCTCCGTGATGGCGACATCTCGTGGCAACCCCTCCACCCTTGCTCCCCCTGCTCTTTTTGGGTCCCCTACCTTTTCCTTGTGCTGACGAAATCGAAGCATCGCTGGGGAGGATGTAATTCCATCATCAGGAGACGGGCTTGCGCCTTTTGCGCCAAGATGATCTCAACAGAGCTTTGTCTGCCTGGCCTGAAGATAGAAGGGGTGGAGGGGGGGTCCTCTTCTGCTATTTGTCCTGCTGAGAGCCTCGAGAAGAAAAGAGGGAGAAGAAACGAGAGCCATATGTATCCAATACAACTGAAGGCAATAAAGGGCAATGACCGACACAGGAGGATGATCTGCAGTCGAAGGCATGTGACGAGCGTGGGAGGAGGAGCTCGGCAGCTGGGAAACCCGTCTCGCATGGTGCCTGACCCTGACTTGACTAATGCGACTTGTAAAAGTTTGAGCAGTCAATGACATATCAAAAGATGGGGAGGGGTGGGTGGGAAGGGTTGACAGCTCATGTTGCAAGACTATAGAGAGGAGAAGGGCAAGCCGCCGAGCCGTCTCCTTGAACTTATTTAGCTCGTCATAGCCCCTCCCCCGCCATCTGCAATAATACCAAGACAACTTCTCCTTCCCCTCCAAATTCTCTCCCTACGTACAATCAGCCACGATATACGCACGGTAACACATACATTGCCTTGAGACTCTTGCTACCATAACATACAATCCTTTTTTTTCCGAAGACACGATGGCTGAACAAAGAGCTGCTCCGTAAGTGTGCTATCCTACCATACACACCATGTCACCCCACAATGTCACTTGTCCTCCACAGGCTCTCCTCCACCTTGCCTTGCTGTCTCTTGATAGCCAGTCATACCTCAAGCCTCCATATCCCTTGAACAAGAGCAGGCAATGCTGACCAAGATCTCCTCCTGCCATGATAACAGTCTCCGCCTGGGCACCGTCGCCCCCAACTTCCAGGCCGACACCACCAAGGGTCCCATCGACCTGCACGAGTACATTGGTGACAACTGGGTCGTCTTCTTCTCCCACCCGGAGGACTACACTCCCGTGTGCACGACCGAGCTCGGCGAGATGGCCCGCCTCGAGCCCGAGTTCAACAAGCGCGGCGTCAAGCTGCTGGGCCTGAGCGCCAACACCGTCGACAGCCACGAGGGCTGGGCCAGCGACATCAAGGAGATCAGCGGCAACACCCTCAACTTCCCCATTGTGGCTGACAAGGGAAGGAAGGTCGCCTACCTCTATGACATGTACGTATACGTTTGAGGGAAAGAAGGGGATAAGAACCTCTCAGCCCTTCCGATCTGCTAGTCTCGAGCCTGCATCTGCATGCTTGTACTTGCTGCCGCCGACCTGGTTTTTATATTAACACCATTACGACAGGCTCGACTACCAGGATACCACCAACGTCGACGAGAAGGGCATCGCCTTCACTATTCGCTCCGTCTTCGTCATCGACCCTAAGAAGACCATCCGCACCATCCTGTCCTACCCTGCCTCCACCGGCCGCAACTCGGCTGAAATCCTGCGCATCGTCGACTCTCTGCAGACCGGCGACAAGAACAAGATCACCACCCCCGTCAACTGGGTTCCCGGTGACGATGTCATCGTCCACCCGTCCGTCAAGAACGAGCAGGCCAAGGAGCTGTTCCCTGACTTCCGCATCGTCAAGCCTTACCTGCGTTTCACCCCGCTGCCTAAGGAGAAGGCTACTGCTGGCAAATAGATGACGGGCGCTGCGGTAAAAGACAAGATGTGGAGATGAGGGTTCTCTTGAAAAAGTCATAAAATTAATCGAATAAAATAAAATAAAAATCAAAAGGGATAAAAGGATATTTCGGCTGTGCGTGCACAAAGAAAGTACCGTCGTGACAGCCTTGTGATGCACCCTTTCCGTCAGGGCGCGGTGTCACCACTGATTCAAGTCGTCAATGGTCCCAGGAAAAGCTCTCTTTGATCGCGCACATGCCGAATATCCCGACCGCAGTTCATTGCAGGGTCATGATTAGTCATCCGGGGTGTCGGCCCCGGCCCCCCCCCCCCCCCTCTCCTTCTCCTTTTCCAAGTTGTCGAAGGAATAAAACAGCAAACCAGTAGGCCGTCCGTGCATCCATCCCTCTTCCTGCGTCATGGCGAGGCTGTAAACCTGTCGACCTCATTCGATGATTTACGGCCTGCATCGACGATGTGCGTAGTGTGTGTCCGTGTACGCGTATGTGTGCGTGTGTTCTCAGGGAGACAAAATTGACAAATTTGTCCGTGTTACTGTCCAGCCATAACTAATTCCCATCTATCATTCGTCCGCACCTCCACGAGGGAATTACGTCTGCTGATGGCTGTAAGCCAGGGCCGACAAAAGCCCATACAGCTTTCTCTTTCTCTCTGATCTCCCACCAGTTTTGGACTATTGCTTTCCTGCCATGATAGAGGACGAGTAAGCCCAAATCCAGATCGGGCCGTCAGCCAGCCCAAAATACGAGTTGAGGTAGGACGAGAAAAGGGGGGGTTCGTTGGACGGGTGGCTCGCCAGTCTCTCCTTCTGCCCTCTCCCCTAGCATGAAGGGAGGGAGGGAGAGAGCATGTCCCAATCTGGTGTCGTGCTTATATCTCCTTATTCCTCCCAGTGTGATGAGATCGGATCACTCCGATGTACCACCGTAAGCCACAGGGAAAAGTATGGCGTTCCTTGGTGCAAAAATTTTCTTGCCGTGTCCATCTAATTTTTCTTCTCGAGAAACGGGTTATTGAATCAAGAAACAAATAAAAAGTACACTCTACGTTCCAGTTCTTCATTTCCCTCCTTTTTCCCCCTTCGGTTTGACGCCGCTCGTCTGACACTCCCGCTCAGCGACCTTGGAGAGGGTTCGGAGAATTCCCGGCCTTCATGAATAGGCACCCGAGAACCCGTGGTACTTGAACAAACGGCTCGACAACGATGCCCAAAGCTTATAATATCTCTATCGTGATTTTGGAAGAAAGGGGCCGGGGCCTGAACATCTTGCAGAGTCGCAAATGATGTGGACAGGACAGATCTGAACATACATACTATTACATAGTCCATGCCTACCAACCCCTCCATCCATGTACTATGAACTGTGGGTAAGGGCGGGCAAAACCCGCGCCCGAGCGCTGCGTGGAGCTGCAGGGACGGACATGGGCTCTTTCGTCCAAATTCATCAGTTTGAGAGTGACGCGACGGAAGGACGTGCAGGTCGCAGAAGGAATGCTGTGCTCGCTCTGCCCATCTGTCTGTTTGCAGTGTCATTCTTTCTTCCTTTTCCCTCTGCTTCTTTCCTCTCTTCCTCTTGGGAATAATGGATTGTGAGCTTGTGTACGGGGGTACATTACCCTTCATCCAACCATCTTTTGACCTGACCTTAAATCAAGTACCTATAGAAAGACCGGAGTATTTAGAGTAACCCATGATTCTTCCGTGGATCCCACCCGAGGTTCATCTATCTTGTACCACCAGCACGTCGTACGTTCCATAGTACAAACATAGTCAAAGTCGTCCCCGTTTCGATGGTACCCCCTGGGTCGCAAGTGGGGGAGGCCGAAGGGGGGGAGGGGTAAACTAAAGTGCTAAGGATACTTAGTGCCTTTGCTTGGTACAGTACAGCGTAAGCCTGAAAGGGGGCCAGGGAGGGTGGGGAAGCAGACCTGGAGGTTGGAGGGGTAAAAAAAGAGCTGCTAGAGCTACAATGATGATACCCATGGTAGTACTACGCAGTACTCTTGGCATAGGCAGATTCACAAAAACGCCATCTAGTACATACTTGTCTGTGGTATATGTACTATAGCACCATGCATAGTACTGGTAGTACCACGTCCATAAGTACTTAAGCAGGTAGCATTGGCTGTCCAGACCACACGTGCAGTGCACCAAACATACCCCCTCCCTCCCTCTCCCAAGGGCGCCAGTCCCGTCGCAGAAACCCTGAAGAGCCAATCCCATAAGCTGTACACCTATTCTCAAAACAGGTGCCTCGGGCACTCTATCTCTCACTGGGCAGATCCTACGCGCCCGAACTGCGAGGGCATATCGTAAGGAGGGGTCGACAGGGTCCTTTGGAGAGAGGATCCTCTCGACTGTCTCCACGAGGGGCAATTGCACCTGCTGCAGTAGTAGCACGTATCAAGTAGTACCACCACACTATGTAGCTAGCTTGCAGCTACAACTGGGAACTCGCGCGACTTGCGACTGCCACTATAGACTTTAGACCTAACTGCAACGCAAGCCCCAAGCAAGCGCACGACACGGGAAAAAAAACACCGCACAGGCTCCTCCCTTGGACGATATCAACCACCCAATCCTCTTCCTTCGCTCGGTTTCCCCTCCCCACAACCGCTGCACCTTGCTCACAGCGCCCGCAAAGTCGTGCACATGTGCAGCAGGCCCCTGGTCTTAGCACGACCCTCCCTCTCTGTCTCTTGTGTCTGTGTGTATCTCTATCTTTTTGCATAGCCTGTCTCTGTTGCTACATCAGTCCTGTTCCCAACCCACCTGGCTGAGAAGAAAGGTCTACGGCTCGGCCTCTGTTCCAAATTCTGACTATTCCACCGTACCTCGACCTTTTGTTCATATCCAACCAACAACCTCTCCGTCTGGGTTGGCTGCACTGAATAAGGAGAAGAGAAGAAAGAAAGAACAGGTCGGCACAAACTTCCGTCGAGGCGCAGGGGCACACTGATCAAGTTGTTGGTCAATTGATCAGCCAAGTATACTACTACAAAATACACAAGCAACACACGGGGAGGCACAGAAGTCGATCGATATCTGTGCTCAGTGCCCGCCAATCCACGCACGTCGAGCATCCACATCGATTACCACCTCCCTGGCCTCGCAGGTCAAGCCACAGCCAGACCAGGAGGGCCCGAAAAACAAGACAAAAAGCAGAGCAAGATAGAGAGAAGGAAAGAGAAGGAAGGAAAGAAAAAGAAAGAAAAAAGGGAAAAGGAGGAGTCAAAGTCAGAGCCAGTCAGCCAGAAGAGGATTGAGGATTATCCAGATGCCACCACACCTGCTGCATCCGCCTCGCAGAACCCCCCTCAGATCAGTCAATTCCGCTGCAGACTTCTTTCCTCTTTTGGACGCCGTTATTCCCCTCTCGACATTTTCTTTCTCGTGACATCGAATGCGACCGCTGCGATCTTCTCTCTTACACACCACACAACACACAAACAACCCCCGTGCCCGCGCGCCTGCCTTTCCGTATCGCTCACTTTTTGGGGGGAAAGATTGCGGGTGGAGGTCCTTGTCGATACGTACCGATGTGTACTGAACCCTAATTCACAATTACAGGCTACGAGGGTCATTATCTCCAATTGCGATCCGTCGTCGCCGCCGTCCTTGTCGTCGTCGTCGTGGCCTTCTGCACCCTACTCTAGTCGACTTCGCTCTTGTCTGCTTCGGACCATTCTGTTTCTGCCTCTCTGTCTTTCTCACTTTGTCACAGACAAGATTACTCAGGGGTCCTGTTCAAGCCCTCGAGAGCAACAATACCCTTTCGTTTCTTTTTTTCTCTTCTTCTTTTCATTCATTGGCCGTCTTCTCACCTCGAGGCCTTCGACCTCCTCTTCACAATTGACCACCCCGCGTCCGCGGAACACGGAGGTCTTGACGACTTGCAACAAAGCAGATCCGGGCACTGCCCACTCCACTCGGCTCTTGTCTGTGCGCCGATCCACTGCAGCGGCCCTTGGCCCCCTTCGAAGCGTCACGTTGGTGGAACATCTTGACAAACCATCACGAGCAGGAGCAGATCGGTCCTCTTTTTGTCGCCCTGACAAGGCCTGCGGTGATCAGCCGCATCCTGTTTTCGTTCTCTCTCCTCTACCCTGACTCACTCCTTCTCGGTCGAACGGGTCGCACAGGTTTCCGGTCACATCGACGTCTTGATCCTTCGCCACTCAGCCTCCTTATACCACACTCGCTTCGAGAGAGAGTGTGTGTGTGTGTGTGAGTCCAGGTGTGCGTGTGTCAGTGTGAGTAGATCGTCTGGCAGGCTTCCACGCCTTGTTCTGGAAGCCCCTCTAACGAGATTAATTCCTGCAGCGCCTGGCCCCACGGGTCCTTGCGCTGTGCCGAGAAAGGTATTGTTCCGAACCTGTCACACTAGCTTTTCTGCACCATCGGACATGATCTCACAAGACGCCTTGCCTTTCCCATCATGATGCCCCGGAATTCATTCACTCTGAGGATATTCTAGAGCCTGATTGAGGACGCCCGCGCTGCCCCCAACCCGCGCGGCCTGGCTTGACCTGGGCTGGGCTCTTCTCTGCTCTGTGCCGTGTACCTTCTCAAGGTTTCTCGGCGCCGCCCCGCCCTGTCGGCGTCGTCCAGCGACTTTGACTGGGTCGGGCCTTTGACACATACGAGATACCAAAGAAGAAATTCCACTCCTCCCCTCCCCCTCCTTCCGCCCCTTGTTCCCTCCCCTATGATTGTCCCGAGTGCCTCAAGTGCTGAGTGTCATCTCAGCCTCTTTTTTTTGTTCCCTCATCAGCCCTCCTCCTTCGTGTTGCCAACCCCCTGAATCCCACGTTCCTCGAGATACAGTATCTCCATCCCACACACACGCTTGCTGCACATGTTCCCACAGGCCGTCCATCCTGTCTGACCGGCTTGCCCGTTTTCCCCCAAGTGGCCGCCCCCAGCTGCTCGTCCTCCCGCACATCATCCTGGTCGCACGCGTGAGTCCCACCGTCGTGGGTCACCTCTCGACTCATCCGTCGTCGCTTGTCAACCACACATACATATGCCCCCTGTTCGCCTCGAGCCCCCCCTGTTCAACCCTATCCGGGCCAAGAAGTGTTTTCCTGCCCTTCGTTTCCCTCCCTCTCTCTCCCCACCGTGCCCCTTTCGAGGCGGTCTGCTATCAAACCTGTCTGTCGTTACCTCCTAAGAGAGCCACCAATGGCCACTTTAATAATATTGCCCTTCTTCACTTTGATACCCTGAATTTTTGGGTTGTGGTTATTTTATAGTGGTTTTTCTTTTGGTTCTTGTTTTTAGTGGTTATTGTTTCAATTCACATTTTTGTTTCTGGTTGTCATCACTGACGACCAGTTCTCCCGCCACATCCCTTCCACCACCCCTCCCTCCTGTCGAAAGTCTTTCGGTACCGCCAACGACGTGGGCAGGCTAAAGGCGTAGCGATATCGTCGTCTTGTCGCGCATTTGGGGCCGGCAGTCGTGCTGACGACGATGAACAATGCAGGCCATCAACAACAAAGGAGTCAAGGAGGCGACCTCTCCCGCTTCTCCGACTCTGAGAACGAGTTTGACGACTTTCGGGAGCGAGACCGAAACCAAGCGCAGCCAATCCCCAAGTCCCCCTCCGACATCCTAACCAGCTTCTCCCGAGGCTTCGCCAAGCTAAAACGCCAGCCATCGCAGCTCGCCCTGAAACACAACAGAGAGGTTTCTACGCCGACCCCGGACCCGACCACCTCCCCCGCCGCTGTGGTCCCGAATAGATCCCCCTCGGCCCCAACGCACCAGCATGCCCGCAGCCTAAGCTTTCAGACCAGCCTCTCGAAGCCGCTCCCAGAGCCTCCGCCACCCAGCCCCGGCATCCCTGTCGCCGCAAATCCTCCAGATCCATCTGGTATCTCTCAACAGCAGCAGCAGCAGCAGCAGCAGCAACACCACCACCACCACCATCAGCAGCAGGCCAGCATCTCCACCATCCTTGATCCAAACTCGTACAGCGACGTGCCCAGCGAATCTGAGACAGAGGCCAGCGCCAGCATCATGGACCCGAAACAGTCACAAAACTATGGGCTGGGGACGGCCAACAGCAGCCAGATCAGCCTGTCTGTCACGCGGCCCGACGGAGGCGACGATGCGCAGAACGATAACCTAACACCCAAGAGCGCCGGCCCCACCTCCGCAGGCCCATCGCCATCGGGCGCCCAGTCGAGGACGCCAGCCATGGGGGGCGCTGCAGGCCCCGGGCCGTCGCCGGCATCAGGCCTGCTGTGTAACGTGCACAGGACCACAGGCAGGGAGCCCCACCCATTGGTCGGCGCGACCACAACCATCGTGGGCGACAAGCTTTACGTCTTTGGTGGCAGGATATTATCGCGCAGCCGACCTACCCCGCTGACCTCGGACCTTTACGAACTGGACCTGATCAGGCGACATTGGACGAAACTGCAGGCCACGGGCGATATCCCACCGCCAAGATACTTCCACTCCATGTGCGCGCTGGGCGACACCAAGATGGTCTGCTACGGCGGCATGTCTCCTGCGCAGAATTCCGCTGGTGCGGTGGATGGTCAGGGCGACGTCACCGTGATGTCTGACATCTACATCTTCGATGCGCCGACGAGGAAATGGACTTATATCCCGACCTCGGATGCGCCGCAGGGTCGTTATGCGCACTGTGCCTGCATCCTGCCGTCCTCGGCTACCTTCTCGTCGCACAAGGCCCCATTGTCGGCCTTGCAACACAATCCGGCTACCGGCGCCAACGAGGGCCGTATAGGCATCAACATCGATGGCACAGGTGGCGCAGAGATGATCGTAGTAGGAGGTCAGGACGGCGCCAACCACTACATTGAACAGATCAGCGTCTTCAACCTTCGGTCGCTGAAATGGACATCGACACAACCCCTGGGCAAGTCCTGCGGTGCATATAGGAGTGTAGTCGCACCGCTGCCTCCGCTTGTGACTGCCAAGATCGGCAAGGCAAACGCGAATGGAACAGCACAGCGCCTAGAGGGAGGCATCAGCCAGGAGGCCAGGGAGCCTGGGTCCTCCATGCTGATCTATTCCAACTACAACTTTCTTGACGTGAAGCTGGAGCTGCAGATCCGGTCGAGCGACGGGGTGTTGAACGAGAAGCCCATGTCCAACACCTACTCGCCTCCCGGTCTCAGGTTCCCCAACGGCGGCGTCATCGACACGTATTTTGTCGTCAGCGGTACCTACCTGACTTCATCGAAACAAGAATACGCCCTCTGGGCGCTGGATCTGCGCACCCTGCAGTGGATGAGGATCGACGCCGGCGGCAGCGTCTTTAGAGACGGCAGCTGGAACCGCGGCGTCCTGTGGAGTCGACGCAATACCTTTGTCATCCTGGGCCACCGGAGACGCAGCTTGGTGGACGACTACAACCACCGCCGCATCAACTTCACTAATGTCTGTATGGTCGAGCTGGAGGCGTTCGGGTTCTACGACAACCCGCGCAAGGTCAGCCCCATGTCCGGGTTCATCTCCGCAAGCAGCCCCTACAATGGTCCCGGTCTCAGCCTGGCTCGCAAGGCCGGCGCAACAGCTGGCGGGCGCTTCCATTCTCGAGCAAGCGAGGAGCTCGGCGAGAAAGCGCTGAACATGCGCGAGCTGGCAGATATGGATATCCTCTGCATCGGTGGCGAGAGGATACCCATCAACTCGAGGATCATAGGACGAAGGTGGGGGCCGTACTTTGTCCAGCTGCTGCGTGAGGGTACAGCTATGCAGGACGGCAGCGATGCCATGACGTTGAGGTCGCTGGGTGGGGCTGGGCCGGGCGGCGTGAGGAGCTCCATGCTGACCATCACGCCCGCCACGAGGACTGGGACCAGGGATAGCGACATGTCAACGGCGACCACACTGGCTGGCTCGGGCGGCGGCGGAAGCTTCACAACCCCAGGGACTGCCACGTCTGGGCCCTCAAGCCAGGAACAGACGAATCCCAATGCCGCACCCACGCCGCGTAGCCTCGCGCCGAACTCGCGGCCCCGATGTCTTTACCTCCCACACACATACCTCACGGTCCAGGCACTCCTTCACTACCTCTACACCAGCAGCCTCCCTGCTCCGAGCTCACCGCTATGCACACCTCAAATTCTCTGCTCGTTGCTGCAGATCGCCCGGCCATACCGGATCGATGGCCTGCTAGAAGCCATCGTTGAGAGACTTCATACGCTTTTCGAGAACCGCAACGCAGCCGCCATCTTCAATGCCACCGCTATGGCGGCAGGAGGCGGTCGCGGCATAGACGGCACGCTGAACCCCAACTACTTCATGCTGGGCGGTCTCGACGGCACGACCGGCGAGCCATCGCTCAGGCCGCAGAATGGCACCTCGACGACCGACGAGCTGTATGCCAACGGTGGCAACAACAGGAATACGGCTATGCTGCGCATCAACACGGCCGTGCCTGGTCAGACAAGCAGGCCACCGAGCGATGAGATGTCGGCAACAACGAGCGTCAGCGGTAGCGAGTGGAGTACCAGCGAACTGGGTGACTCAGAGAGAGGCGTCCGGCGCGAAGTCTGGAGTGGCGAGTTCAGCAGCGTCATCGGGCTGCAGAAGCGGGGACTCAGAGGCCTGATGGAGGGGCGCAAGCTGCGAGAGCGCACCGGCACCGCGACAGGTGCTCCTCCAAACTCCAGAGTGGGGCTGGGCATTGCGGGTGGTGCAAGCTGAGCAATATTTTGGGAAGGTGATGACGCATTTCTCCCATCCGGGCCAGCGGGGGGAAGGGCCCTGTTACCGAAGGTCGCCTTCTTCGGATCCGTCGCAGATGAAACCGAACAGGAGGAGACCGGGGAGAAGAAGAGAAAACGGACGGTGCAGACGCGGCCCGGGACAGGGAAACCCCTTTCCCACCTGCTGAGATGGACGTTGAAGAAGGACGAAACGTGTGTAATAAGCAATCCGGGTCAGGTCGTTCGCTAGAAGGATATCCATTTTAGACGGCCCGGCGCACGCGCGAGAAAGGGCACACCAGCCGACTTGTGTAAAGCGATCTGCCCCGCCATCGACAGGGTCAGTCGGGGTCTTTGGGCAATTTTTCTGTACGACTGATTGGAGGATGATTAGATGTTGTACCTCAGCTATGGCAGGATCATTCATGTGTATACCAGAGCATTGCACATCTGGCGTTGGCTACTTTACACGAGGCGCCTTTAGTGGCAGACGAAGACTCGAATCTTTTATCGTGGGTGCTCCAAAGAAACGAGATGCTACAATTACATGTAAATAGGATCAATGCTTAACATGCCTCGGTTTCTTCTACAGGATATTGTTGTGCTGTTACTGAAGCAGGCCAACCTTGGGACACTGATTCTCCCTGACCACCAAGTGCTATAACTGATACTGGCTAGAACGATATGAGAAAAGTTATTCGTTGACTTCTATTCATTGTTTCGTTTGATTCATTACCACGAATGCTGCACGCGTCTTCCAAAACAAACAGCCACTCTGCATCTTCACTCCACTCGAATTCCATTCAGGTGCCATATTGCTCACTTCTTAACTGCCTCTTGCCACCCGAAACCGAAGGGACCTCTCCTTGAGTGATCACTGCTGGCCGTGGCGTTGTCGACACTAAGAATCAGGATTCGTCCTCACTTGCTGCTTTCCATCGGCTGGCCATCACTTCCAGCGGTGTGCGGCCCCTCTCTCGTCACTCATCCTCAATTCCCAGCTCCTGGTTTAGCTTCTGTAGTAACAGCCAGTAACAAGGACGGTTTTCCTCCTCGTCTTTCTCTCGGGGCTGCGCGTCTGCCTGGTGTCGCTCCCATCCTTGTCCGGACTCTGGAGCGCGCTGGTGCTCCTGCTTGTGCTTCTGCTCCGGTGCCTGCCAGCCTTGTGGTTAGTCTTCACTTCAGATGATCAGAATGGAAAGTAATTTTGCCGAGACAATTGGTTTATCTCTCCTCTCTCTCTCTCTCTCTCTCTCTCTCTCTCTCTCTCTCTCTCTCTCTCTGTGTGTGTGTGTGTGTGTGTGTATCTCACCTTCAAGATCTTCAAGTTATCGTTCGATGGTGAGGAACATGGCGAGGTCTCTGTTTTTGCGAGATGCCTACGGAGAAAGAGGCGCTGCGGCCTGAGTTTGTGCCGGCGGCGCGGGCGGCACGGACGACCTGACGATGTGCCTGTGAGCTTAAGGACATGGCGCAAGGAAGGGATGCTTCGGCCAAGGTATAGCTGGGTGTCGGGCGAAAGCTGGCGGGACGCGTTGGCACGGGTTGTGTGATACAGGCGGAGGGGCAATTGGCGACGTTGTTGCTTCGTTGGGGAGGAAGGAGACATGGTTCTTTTGCTCTTGCTTTTTTTTTCTTTGGAGGGGGATTGCTCGAGGTTGAGGGTGCTTGATCTTGGGATCAGGGTGGTTTTCTTTGGTGGTTTTTCTCTCTCTCTCTCTCTCTTCTTTTGCTTCTGGGACTGACAGATTCTGGAAGCAAGACGTGTGTGTAGCTTTCAGTGTTGTGATTTCCAGGCCAAAGTATGCGAAAGTATGAAAGTAGGGCGTGTGTTGATAGGAAAGGAGCGTTTCCCTTGTGAGTACTTATGGCCGCAGGTAATGCGTTGTTGGAGTGTGTACTGTCTGAGTTTCAACCAGAAATCTGTGGAAGCATCAGCATTTCTAGGCCCAGATCCGCGATGCAACAAGAATGGCATCACACACAATCACGTGAATCTGTTTGTTTACTTATTATGCAGGTGTTTTCTTAGGACGCAGCATGTCCAGGTGGCGGGCATAGAAGATCCCAAACGAGCAGGCACATACGATGCAGTTGAAACCCAATAGCTTTGTCCAAACCCCTATTCCCTGGGGATGAAAGAGGCTGTAAAGGAGAGAAACAAGTGTAATGATCGAGTTGCCTCAGCGTACATTTCAACGCCTCCAAAACCTCTCCCCCCGTTCAGATGGCAACACTCGATGTCGTTTCCCTGACTGATCTTACCCAAGCCCATGTAAGCTCCTGGTCATCGCTCTCATCAGATCAGGAAGAGCAAACCATCAATATGAAAGTCCTCATTTGTGCTGTACTAAGCGTTCTATCTTGTTGCCTGTCCCCTTTTGCTTTCCCAGTACGCGTCATTCCGTTCGATCGTCTCCAAACCTCTGCCACCATTCTGTCTTGTTGGCATAATTACCTGTTACAGAAAATGATGGTAATTAAAGATGTTCTTTATGCCTTTGTGAGGTAAGAATTTATCCTCTCTACACACTACAGCTGTATATACAGAAGCAAGATCCTTGGTAGGCTAAGCAGCATTTTGCCACTTCTGACAAACTCGTCTTTGGATGTCTGAATTTCTGTTTCTGATCCCAAACGTCTTACTTGATCAAGCGCAATCCCAAAGGTCATCATTGCGTTTAGCATCTCTCTCTCTCTCTGTCTCTCTCTCTTTGCTCTCCTTTTCCAAAAAGGGGAATCCACACTTACTCGAACAAGACTCGAACCTGATACATCCACACGAGCAGTCAAGTTAGTATCATTTACTTAAGTGACTAGATCAAAGACAGCAAGCTGAGAATTTTGATATACAGACATTGTTTCTTCAACGCTAAAGCATGACAGTCATTCTTCTGAGCCCACTACGTAGTAGGTCAAGGTTTAGAGAAGATTATTGAGGGCTGAGAGAAAGAGCAAAAAAACCCCTTCCCCCCCTCTAACATTGTATACTGTAGCATAGAAGGCACACTCTGCAGCTGAAAGATATAGATACTATGGCAACAAGTACAAGTTTCAGTGACGTGATAACCAGGTCTTAAATTCTCAAAGACTCGCCAATATTGAACAATAGGAGACAAGCAAAATAACTACCTAAGTTTTCTTGTGAAGACCGTCAGGAGAGGGGTTAACAAGACAAAGGCCATGTGAAGTTGAATTTGGTACCAAGCAAACTAATTATAGGGATCACTCGGTTCCTGCAACCGCCTTCTAGTTCTGCTGGGTGCACTGTAATGCTGACGGTAGCGCTAATAGCGTGTAGATACAGAGCTAAACCCCGCCGAAGCCATGTTGTTTGAGTGAGACGCTTCTTAAAATCGAGTCTCGATATGACCGTTGTCTCTGCTCTTGGTTCACAGTTCCCGCTGCGTCGACTCATCACAGATGACTTCAACACCCTGCTTCTCTTTCTTCACCAACAAGCTATTCTCGTGACAATCTGGTCCCATGTCCCTGGCGGGAGAAGGAGGACCATGGCGGACCTGATCAGAGAGACCGCTCCTCAACAACAGCCGCAATCACTACGGCGCAGGTGAGCCTAACACCGATGAGTTGCCCACGGACGTAGATGCAGGCTCGTCCAAAAGCTTGCTCGACCTTGAGATACAAGATGGGGTTCAGCAGGCAGATGCCGTCAACCTTGTGCAGACCAGATCTGCGCTCATTCTGGCGTGCTGGTTGACTTCGACGGTATGTTCCTCTTGTACGATTTCTCGAGAGAAAGAGAGGAGAGCAAGGCAGCTTACCTTTTTTCTCTCTAAGCCGTGGGTATTATTCTCGCTGGGGCAGGCCTGACGCTCGTTCTTCTCCCATCTGTGTCGCGGGCTCGGGTGAGAGCAGGTGGTCATCACCAACCATCCTCTGCATGCTTCTTTCTGGCTGTGTCCTGACTGCCGCGCCCGTCTTCTTCGAGGGGTACCACGCCCCAAGGCCATTTGTCCCATTCCAGATCTTGCTCTCGCTCAACTTCATGGGCTCTTTAGTCCTCTCAGCGACACTCTGTTTCGACTAGTTCTGTTGGGATGGCTGCTACACCTCCTACCTCCAAGCTGTTCACTAACTGCGTTAGTCTCAGGCCGGTTACTTGGCAAACATCTACACCATCGGGCTATCCTTCTGAGGCATCGTGATGAGATGGTTGATTAGCAAGACTGACCATTCTCGAACTGCAGCTGAGCTTTCTTGTCAGTGACCCTGTGAGGGAGGCCACTATGCAGGCCTATGCCATTGCACAACGCCGCATGATCCTAACCGGTCTCGTTGTCCTCTTCCTTGTCATGCCCTTGGTCGTCATCGGGAGGGATGTGAGAGTGTGGCAGTTCAGGCAGGTCAAGGATCACGTACTATGAGCACAATCAACAACTCGCCTTCCCTTCAAATATTGTACAAGCCAGTCTAGACGTTTCTGAGATTAAGGCCCACTCGACGCAAGACCCTCTTATTCACTGATCATGTATCCCATTCCGCTATACGCGTACTTATCGCTTAACTCGATATTGCATTCTCAAGTTTACCATTGCAGCCTCGGCCTGACTCGGTCCGCAATTTCCTTCCTCTTCAGCCTGCATCAAGCTTTTGGACTCGTGGTCGAAATTTCTCGCACCCCTTGTGCTCATGATTGAGTGTGGGTCCCACCATGCAAGCACAACCACCAGCATCCCAATGCAGCAGTGCTGACACACAAAAATCCGAGGTCGGGGACGTTGACGATGTCACTCGAGACGGAAGTTCGGAGGGATGGGGTCCAGAGGACAGGGATGGTGCCTGACAAAGGTGGGGGTGATGGCAAACAATCTGATGATCTGATAAGATTATGCGTTTTTGATCGAGCACATCATGGCTTGGCGCGTCCAGGGCCTGCATTGCTCTTACCCTATGGGAACGCAGTAGCCTGCACAAATGCCCACCTCATCCACCCTCCTGCCTAACGACATCGGGCAGCCAGTATGCGAGTTAAAACGGTAGTGGCAGCTGAAAGGGAAAAGGCAGCTCGCGTCCGTTGCTGTTCCGTCCGTCCAAGGTCCTCCCAAAACTACCACACCTGAATCAACGGCCCTGTCCAGGACCACCACCATCAACATGAAAACCTTGGATCCGGGGTGGGAACAGTGTGGCCCCATCCCACGAAAGTGGCGCAGGCAGGGTCATCTGCTGAGGCCCTGACCTCGGTCGAAGGCTCGGTTTTGCTGTTACTGCTGTTGTCGCCGCTGCGGCTGCTGTCGTGGCTTTCGCAGTAGTGCTAATTAGAAGTGGATCCTGGAAGTCCTCTGTCATTTTTTTTTTTCTCTTTCTTGCTGGGATGTTCTCTTTTGAGGCTATTCGAGCAGACCCCGACAGGAGAGTGGGGGGGGGGGGGGTCGTTGCTTTCACGAGGTTGAAGAGAGTGGCCATGATGGTGGCTCTTCTCGTTCCCTCTTCGAGAACGATTGATCATCATCAATCATCAGCATTATTCTGTCGAACGTCTATAGACGACAACAAACCGAAGACCAAGGCAATCCTGCGCCAAACAAACTTAAGACAGACTCGATAGTGAGGACGGCTCGCCATCAGCACCAGCTCGCTCAGCTGGCTCAGCTCTACCGAAAGCTCCAAGAAGCTTTCGCGCCTCTTCCTTCTCCCCCGATGGACGCACCGGCCCCCAGCTCAATCGTTGAGCAAAACCAGCCCACCAGGGGCACCACACGGCTCTCGATACTTCACGGGCCCGTCGACCCTCCTCTCGTCGACCTCACCCTTGGCGAGCTACTCGAGGTGCAATGCCAGGCCAACGGAGAGGCAGAGTGTATCAGCATTCCCTGGACGGGTGCCCGTTGGTCCTACGATGACCTCCGGCGACAGTCCAGCCTCATCGCCCGCGCTCTCCTCGCTGAGGGCATCCAGCATGGCGACAGGGTGGCCATCATGGCTGGAAACTGCGAGCAATACGCGGCCATCTTCTTTGCCGTGGTGAGAATCGGTGCCATCCTTGTGATCCTCAACAACACATACACACCGTCCGAGGCCATGTACGGAATCGAGTTTACGGCGTGCAAATTTCTCTTCACGACCAAGAAGATCGGCCGGTTGAACAACGAGCCCTTACTGGCGCAGCTGGCCGCCAAGGACGATGCGCCCAAAGTAGTAATCCTACGCGGCGACAGCGAGGGCTACAGGACATACGAGGAAATGCTGCTCAAGGGGACCAGAGAGAATCCACAAAAGATGTACAAGCACGAGACAAAAGTGTCCCCGTATGATGTGTGCAACCTGCAGTTCACAAGCGGCACGACCGGCCACCCCAAGGCTGCAATGCTCACACATCACAATATCGTCAACAACTCCCGCTTCATCGGCGACCGGATGCGCCTGACGACTGCAGATGTGCTGTGCTGCCCTCCTCCGCTCTTCCACTGCTTTGGCCTTGTGCTGGGCCTGCTGGCGGCCATCACCCACGGCGCCAAGATTGTCTACCCGGCCGAGGTGTTTGACGGCCCCGCGACAATCCGCGCTGTCCAGGAGGAGCAGTGCACGGCGCTGCATGGCGTGCCAGCCATGTTCGATACTCTCCTGTCGCTACCAGAGGCGGCTTCCCTTGAGGCGTCCAAGCTCAAGCTGCGGACAGGCATCATCGCGGGCGCGCCGGTGCCGCGGTACCTGATGGAGCAGCTGGTGGCGAAGCTAGGCATGACCGAGTTCACGTCGAGCTACGGGCTAACGGAGGCGAGTCCGACGTGCTTCAACGCCTTCACCGACGACCCGATCCACACGAGGCTGAGCACGGTGGGCACACTGATGCCGCACGCACATGCCAAGATTGTAGACCGCGACGGAAACGTACTTCCCATCGGCGAGAGGGGCGAGCTGTGGATGGGAGGCTATCAGCTGCAGGCCGGGTACTGGAACAACAGCGAGAAGACGGCGGAGGTGATGACACGGGACGAGAATGGGATCCTGTGGCTGCACACGGGCGACGAGGCCGTCTTTAATGAGCAGGGATACTGCAGCATCACAGGGCGGTTTAAGGACATTATCATCCGAGGTGAGTCGCGAACCCGCTTACCCCCTCTGCACTTGCGTTTATGTGTGTGAGATCTTATTTACTAAAAACTTCCTTCTCTCTAAACAGGCGGAGAGAACATCTACCCCCTCGAAATCGAAGAACGCCTCGTGGGCCATCCTTCCATCAGCCTCGCCGTCGTAGTGGGTCTCAAGGACGAGCATTACGGCGAGGTAGTCGCCGCATTCCTGGACGGCAAAAAGGAGGCTGGGTCGCACCTCTCCAAGACGGAGGTCCGGGACTGGGTCACTAAGAGACTGGGCAGGCACAAGGCCCCCGCTCATGTATTCTGGATGGGTGAGGGCGGCGTCCCGGCCACGGTACCACTGACAGGCAGCGGCAAGGTGCGCAAGTTTGAGCTGGCCAAGGTTGGGGAGGAGCTCTTGAAGAAGCAGGCAGGAACGGCGTCCAAGTTGTAGATGTGAAGAGGATTCTGAAGACAGCTGGTTTCTCTTTTTTGCATTACAAGAACTAGACTGTATGGATATATATTATTAAACTAATGTACATACATATACATACATATATCCTCGAGTCCTTCTATAGATCATGGGCGTCCAGAGAAGGACTGCAGAAATATAAATCACGAGAAATCCATTCAGAGTAGCATCACGTCCATCTCATGGACAGAGTTGCATGGGCAGGAGGAGTCAAGACAATGAATACAGAAAGACAGGCAGACGGGCAGGCAGGCGGGCAGGCAGGCGGGCAAGCAGTGGCTGCATGGATGAATGGATGGATCAACGGGGGTCAGGACGCAAAGAAATAAATGAGGAGGTGGGCAAAAAAAAAAAAAAAAAAAAACCCCCCCAAGCGCAAGCCCCCCGAAAGCAAGTCGAGAAAATTCTATCTGATCCGACACGGATTGCGAGATCGGCAGCCAAGACTGGTGAAATTTTTATCAGATCCGCAGGGTGGAGGGGAAAGAGGGTCCGACTAAAGTTATCAGATCCGTCCCTCGCGCAGTCACTTCCCTGTTTCTGCACCCCCCCCCCCTCCTTCTCTCCCTCCTTGCATGACCGAGCTGGATCCACGTCGTAATGACGACAGTTTTTTTTCTTCTTCTTTCTTTTCCCTCCCCACACTTTATACAGACAGAAGGAAGACCCGCTACAAGAGGCTTGACAGGATGGAGCAGGTCGGTCTTGGTCCTTGGAGAAAGGCTTGGAGAAAGGAGGGAGGGATAGTCCCTTTTTCTTTCCTTCCTCCGTGTTTTTTCTTTTCTTTTCTTAATGATGCTCTCGGCTTCTCGGCCTGATCGGACGGGGACGAAAAGAATGAGACCACCATGAGAAAGACCCTCTTCTACCCGCTCGTGTATACTATAGTAGCATACTATGTGCTATGGTACGTAGTAGTAGACGAGAGGGGGGTGGGGGAAGGCAAGGGCATGCATGCATGGGTAGTGGGATGGATGGATGGATGGATGGATGGATCATGATGGAGGGGGGGAGCAAGGAAGGAAGAGGGAAACATTATTCACTAAACGGGGGCCAACCAGGTAAGTTGATCCAAATTAGTGAGGAAGCAATGGAAGGGAAAGAAAAAGAAGAGAAAAAAGAAAGAAATGCCGACAAGTCGTCAAATAAAACTCATTGTACGCCTACAGGACCGTCAGTCTCCTTCTCGACACGGCCATACGTGAGAGACATTCAAGACAAGCCAACAAGACATGTCGCACGTCGTCGCGCTTGCAGACTGGCCCTCGTCGGAGCCAATCCTGCGGCTACCACACCCGTACCAGACTCCATACTATGCAGTCGCTGCTCCCTCGTCGTCATCGAGCAGTCCGACGGCATCAGCTTCCACCGCGCTGTACCAGCTGACGACAGCACCGTCGACGACAACCAAGACACCCCCTGAGCCCCTGCACAACGACAGCCTCTACTTCAGCGAGCCGACAGGCCTCAAGTCCAGTGAGCGCCCTGCCGAGTCCAACAACACAGCATGGGCGCGCGCCCGTCGATCACCAGCCGTCAGGGTCGAGTGGACCGCTGACCAAGCCCCTTCGCTTGCGCAGGCATGGCTCGTCGTCTACGCGCTCTTCACCATCCGGCACGAGGACGAGTTCATCCGCCTCTCCCTCTCCGGCACGGGTAAGGAGACGCTGTCAAGCCAGCTGCGGGCCTGCATGCTCGCCGTCCTCCACCCATCCTTCTCCAGTTCTTCTTCTCTCGACAATACCAACGGCCACGACACGGCAGCAATAACATCAACAACAGCAGCAAACCCTCCGCAACAACAGCAACAACAACAACAACAAGAAGAAGAAGAAGAAGAAGAAGAGCTCGTCCTCCTGCGCGCCTCCTTCTGGCAGGGCGCCGGCTCACCCTTTGGCGCACGCTCCGTCTGGGTGCCGACGGACGGACCCGGCACGACCTATGCTTCCCAGGGCGTGCCCGCGCTCGACTACATGCTAACCAACAACCCAGGCGTGTCGCTGGTCTGGCACCCACGGCGCGCGCCCAAGCCTCGGCCCGGGAGCACCCTGTACAGCCGCTGGATCCCGCACCTCAAGGAGAACTTCAGCATGGTGGCGCTGGACCACACGGACGAGGCGCACGTGGGGCTGTTCCACACATGGCTCAACGACCCGCGCGTGAGCCAAGGCTGGGACCAGGCGGGCACGCTGGAGGGGCACCGCGAGTACCTGCGGCGGATCCACGACGACCCGCACCAGTTTGCGGTGCTGGCGGCCTTTGACGGCGTCTTCTTTGCCTACTTTGAGATCTACTGGGCACGCGAGGACAAGCTGGGCGCCTACTACCGGGGCGAGGACTTTGACCGCGGCCGCCACTCGCTGGTGGGCGATGTCCGGTACCGCGGCGCCCACCGCGTCGGCGCCTGGTGGAGCAGCCTGATCCACTACCTGTTCCTGGACGACCCGCGCACCATGCAGGTCGTCGGCGAGCCCAAGTTCACCAACACCACCGTGCTGGCCTACGACCTCGTGCACGGCTTCGGCGTCGACAAGTTTGTGGACCTGCCCAGCAAGAGGAGCACCCTGATGAGGTGCTCCAGGGAGAGGTTCTTTCAGATCTGTCCGCTGGCAGAGGACGAGAGGGGGCGCAAGAGGGTTGTGGCTGGCACACAGGTTGGCTTGGTGCCGAAGCTGTAGTAGAGAGAAGAGAAAGATACAATGGCATTGTTTCTGCCGCGTATGTATATGTGTGTATGTATGTATGTATGTATATAGAAAGATATCTTTGCCGGAGGGGCAAAAAGGAAAGAGAAAAAGAAAAAGACAACTGATACATTGGGTCCATAATCAATCAATTTTAGAGTTCAAAACCTATGTTCTACTCTCAACAAATCTATACCAAGTTTGACGCCCTTTTATGCAGAAAATATATTGTAGATACTCATCGAGTCCATTTCCTTTTTTTTCCCAGGCCCTTTCTTCCTATTCCGCTGCTGGAATCTTCTTCCTCTTCTTCAACCATCTAGAACACCCCCTCTGGGCGTTCCAGTAGGTTCACCCAATTTCATGTAATTCCAACAAACTAAATGATTGTTCTTTGTCAGCCATCTCTAAGAAAAGAAGAAGAAGAAAAAACTCACTATCAAATCCGAGGTCATTCCCAAAGAATGCCTTCATGACATCCTCGCCAGACGCCACGCCCTGGGCAGGACTGTACGACATGGCCTTCTTGCCCACGGCCAGCCCGATCATGGGCGGGATCTCGTCCAGCTCCTGGAACTTGGGCGGTGGCTCGGCCCCGCCCCCTCGCTCCTTGTTCATCCTGTACAGGATACACTCGTGGATGTTGTGCGCCGCGAAGAAGCCCATGTGCATGGCGGCTCCGCACCGCTTGATGCCCGACCAGCGGATGGCGTCGCCCACGGCAAAGTGGCAGTCGGCATTCGGCAGGCCTGTGGCTGCGAACATGAGGTTCGGTCTGACTTTGATCAACCCTTTGTCGTCACCTTTATCGTTATCATCATCATCACCACCACCACCACCACCCACCAGCACTTCCTGTGGCAGAAACGCAGTCGACGGGATGCTCCTCGAGATGGCCATAATCACCACATTCGCATCCATCGTCTCCCCGTCCGTAAACACAATCTCCTTCACCGTCCTACCGCCGCCGCCGCTACCTCCTCCTTCTCCTTCTCCTCCTTCCTTCTTCTTCTCCTTCTCCCTCGTCTCCGCGACCCTCTTGCCCAGGAGCACCTCCACGCCAGCCTCCCTCACCAGCTCCAGCGCCCGCGCCTTGCACTCGTCCGGCAGCGGCTCCGAGCTCAGCAGCCGGTCGTGGCTGTGCACGAGCGTGACTTTGACTTCAGGCCGCACCAGCTTCAGCTCAGCCGCCATCTCGATGCCCACCGCCCCGCCGCCCACGACCACCACGCCCTCGTCGCCTGCGCCACCGCTGCCGCCCACCGCGTCGATGTGTGACCGGGCCTCGACGAGGTACTGCTTCCGCAGCAGCGACTGGGGCACCACGGGCCAGGCCCGCCGCAGGCCCGTGGCCACGGCGAGGTAGTCGTAGCTGAGGGCGCGGGCCTGCTGGGTCTCGGCGTCGAGGACGGTGGCGGTCTTGGTGGCTGGGTGGACGCTTTGGACGGTGCCGCGCAGCACGCTGATCTTGGGGCTGCTCTGGAGGGCGGTGATGTCGGTGTACTTGACCCAGGCTTTGGAGGCGTAGGCTTCATCTGCTAGGGCCAAGGGCGAACCGATGAGATGGTCTAGGGTTGGGGGAGAATGTTAGTTGGAGGAATATAAAGAATATATAATCTTACCAGACAGAAAAATGATCAAGACAAGGACAAGAAGTTGAACCCAGTTCTGCACTCATGGAAAAAAAGAAAAAGATAAAAGATGAAAGACGTACAGTAACCATCTCGTTCATCAACAATCGTCACTTCAAGAGGGATCTTGCCCTCATGGCCGGGAACGACTCCACCGCCTGTCCTCGCCGCCCGCCCTTCTGCCAGATCGACCAGACTCAGCGCTGTCGAAAGGCCTCCGTAAGAGCCGCCCAGGATCAAAACCCGGAACGGTGTTGCCGACTCGAATGAGGCATCAAAATGGGAACCCATGGTAGTGTCACGAGAAAAGAGTAGTCTTAAATATGTATATACAAGTAGATTTAGACGTGCAGAGAACGAATTGTGGTATCGTTGTGCTATGATATTATATATATACAAAAAAAAATCATACCATGAAGAGGTGACTCTTCGTTTTATGCATATACGGATTGTTACGGCCAAGACCCTTTGTGTGGAGATTTGTCGAAGAAGAACATTTGCACTCGTCGAAAGACTCCACGGCTAACACGACGATCATCCTTGCAGGTCCTAGCTATCTTGGCTATCAAGAGCCTGCTTTGCAGCCCACGCTTACGAATTATCGGATCGATCTGATTAGATGCATCTGATAGCCACCAACGGGTCCCTGCATTTCCTGCCATGTATGCTCAGGCATTCATTACCTAAACTTGGTGCTATATTATATAATATAAATTACGGCTGTATTGACCCGTTGTGCATAAGAGTACCTCAGCCTCGGTCTGGATGGGCGTGATTTCATACTCTAATGGTTTGACATACAAGCCGCAATCATTCCAGTACAGAAATGGCCCCCACCTGCAAGGCGCAGCAGCCCTTTGGTTATTTACTTACTGTATGTACAGACGTAGCCAAGGGGCTGATCCTGCCAAAGTTAGGGGGGGGGGGGGTGTTAAACTTTGCATGAACATCCGCTCCGTCTTGTCTCTATTCAGTATTTAGACTACGTATTAATTAACAATTAGCTAACATACTTTGGCTCGTTGTTTGTACGTCTTTAGTAAGCTCGCTGGACCAAACCTTCAAAGAAAGACTTAAACAATTTCATCACCAACTCATCTTCAGCGTGGACACAACGAATTGATTCTTTCGCAGTGACAGCCTTTGTCAGCTGAAGGATTCATTCCTTAGAAGCCGTATGGCTTACAACTTCATGCTCCGGCACAACTCTGCCACAGCTGCACTCTCTCGAAACTGCTCACCGAACAGAATTGTGCCGTGCACTGCCGAGTGCAATTGACCCAACATGTCTCTGTCTCTCTCACACACAAGCGAGATGTGTCAGCATCAGCTCTGGAGACTAAACTTCAGGCACATGTTATGTAGGCAGCTGTGCCCCCCCTTGAGGGACGTTTTTTCAAACCCAACATTGCAGGGGTGGACAGATCTTGAAACCTCTCAATACCGACCAAATTACTGGATTCGGAATGACAGCGGCCCCTGGAGGTCCAATTTATAGGTGCGGGCTACGCGTGGCGGATCCCACCGCCAACCTTCGATCCAACAGCACCTGAGAATCATGAGGCGTGTCTGGACATTGCCGTGAGAGGATTCGAAGGATGCCTGGAGAGTGTGGAACACAAAGTACGCGCAGGGCAATATAAAGTAATGAACATGGCATACCAGAATATGCTTTATAGAATCTTAACATTTGTAGACTTGCAATATGATAATCTGAGTAGCGAAGCACGATACCTTCTTTTTTGTTTCTGCTTCTCTCTCCTTCAGTAATAAAGCAATTGATCATCTTCATTTCGAATATTTTGTTCTCTCATCACTTACTCCTATTCTTTCTGCCTCTCTTGCTTCCAGTATGATTCGGCCGGCCGCCGCCTTGGCCCTCGCCTCCTTGACAGCCAGAGCCCTAAGCAGTACAGACGAAGTGGCGTTAGTAACAAGGCCAGCCTCGAGCCGCGAACTCAGGATCGATACACGGGGTGACTCTGTGCGTTTAAATAAAAGAGCAGAGTCTGAGACTCTGAATTTGAGCGTGTCATTGGAAAATAAAGTCATATTTGATGGGTGAGTGGTGGCCCTCGCGTAGCGTTCATTAATTATGTACATCATTACGTGGCACAAGCTTTCTTTTCCTCCTGTCATGACGCTTAACATGGCCGTTTTCTTTTTCTAATTATGAGTAGTAATTCCAATCTCTTCGGCATTGTACCAGCTGGTGAGGTCGGATTACCTCCAGTGACCGTAGTCTGCTCCAAATGCTGCGCATCCGGGAACATTACGGCTTCCATCCCTGACGTCGAAGGCATCGACGATGTCTTTCGCATTGACATGAAGGGGCTGTCAGCCTATATCGAGCTCGACGTCACAGCCAAAGGGGCCTCTACCTTTTCAATACCATTCTTTACCGCGCCGACGGACTTGCTGAGTGCAGTCATCGAAGGCTTCGACGTGGGGTTGACCTTCGAGATTGATCTCGTGCTCAGCCTTGCCGGAGCGATTGACGTCCAGGGAGGGTTCGCAGTTCAATTCCCAGAAGATGCATTTTTCGAAGCCAGTCTCCTTGACGGCGTGTTGGGTAACACCTCATTGTAAGAAGTCTCGCCGTTCTCATGCCAGGCACAAAAAAAAAAAATACTCATCATGACTGACCAAACCATCCCCCCCTCCTTTTCTACAGCGACGGCATCAAAACCCAGTCCTTGCCTTTCTCAGCCAGCCTGAACGGCACCCAAAAATTCCAAGCCGACCTTCGCATGAAAGCGTTTGCAGGCCTCAACGCGACAACAGACGTTCTGGGTGTCAGCGCCGGCGTTGGCGCCTACGCAAACCTCGTGGAGTTCATTGCGGACCTGGCCACCACGCCGCAATGCCAGCTGCAGGCCTCCGAGTCCGCCAATATGAACCTGGGCGTGTTTGGTGGTGCCGATGTCGAAGTGGACGGCATTGCGTTTGGCGCGGTGCCCACGGCTTCGACCACGCTGTTCTCCGCTGACATTGGCACACAGTGCCTGGTGGCCACGGGCGTCCCTCTCGCCTCTTCCAGGGCGACGGCAGCGGTGCTCCCAACGTCTTCGTGCGAGGCAGCAATGACGCCGGCGCCCTCGTCTTCTGCTCCCACTACTGCCTTGGGCTCGACAACAGTCGTGACGCTGACCAAGTGCGCGTCGGCCATCATCAACTGTCCCACGGATCTGATCTCTACATACGAGATCACATCGACCGTCTGCCCGTCCGCGTCCGCCGCCGCCGCCGCCGCCACTACAGCTGGGTTCTGTTTCGCGGCCGCGGCAAATGCGACCAGCCTCGTCTCCATGTCCAGTTTCGTCTCGACGGCGACCCAGGCCAGCGAAGCAGCGCCTTTGACCTCGTCTGGGTTGATCACAGCAACAGTAGCCTCCTCCTTCAGGACCACAAATGCCCCGCAGCCGACCGGTGCGGCCGCCAACAGCAGCCTGTCCAGTAATAGTACTTTGGCTTCTGTGCGGCCCACGGGCAACGGGATGATGAGCGTTCCCACAACGGCGTCTGCACCGTCGCCTCCCACGCCGACTTCGAGCAGCCTCACTTCGTCCAGTCCGGTGATCACGGCTGGGGCTGGACATGCCGCTCTGCAGCAGAGATGGAGCCTTTGTACCATTGCGCTTGCTACCGTTGCAGTGATCTTTATATGTGGACTATAGTCCCACCATGGAGATCTTCTTGGGGAGAGTGAAGGTCATCTTGTTGCTATGTTTGTTGCTGCCAGAAAAGGGGGGGGGGGGAGAGATTATCTGCTAGTAGATCTGTCGTTTCTTCGTTTTCCTTTTTCGTTTTCCTTTTTTCTTCTTTTCCTTCCAAAGTATCATGATACCCTAAAAAGTCCAAGTCCATGCTCTACAACTCACTGTTGGCAAGGAAGAAAAGACAAAGACAAAGACAAAGAGAGAGAGAGAGAAAGAGAGATAGAACGGTGATAAGTTTAAATAAGGGGTTTTCAAGCATTATTGTCGGAGAAAAGATAGAGTACCAGAAATGTATGCTTAAATATAAGCGAATATCAATATCAATGAATTCTACGTCGGAAGCATACCCTCATACTTGGCAAAAAGTGTCATTTCGTACAAAAGTCTTTGTTTCTTCACCGTGTTCTGTAATTTGCCCCAGACTTTCTGAACTGCACAGTTCTGCGAAAGGGTTATGAAACACTGCATGCTCAGTTTCTTGCCTCTTTCTCACGTAACACGTTGATAATATTAGTGACTCATGAGACAGAATGTGACAGTCGGTCTATTCTCTTACACGCAAGGGCTGCGGGCGATGGGAATCCCTAGCTGCATGTATGTAGACTGTCATTTATTTTCTGCATTGCTATATGACGGTGGCAAACCTTAAAGTTGCCAAGTTTGCCGCGCTATGCTATGCTATGCTATGCTATGCTATGCTATGCTATGCTATGCTATTACACCAATCAAAAGTAATAAGCCGTCAAGTGTTTTGCAGTGCACTTTTGTTGTTTATGGTTGTTCTTTTTGGAGAGGTCGCGTACACAAAACAGTACGTCAAGGCATCTCATATACCGAGTGCCTGCCCAGCCAAGTCGCCGTCCGTCCAGCTCGACTGGGTGGTGCCTCTCGGCTGTCCATCTCAGCAAGCCTTTCCGGTTCTTGACTATACTGGCTACTTGCGGACACTACGCCCTCAATTCCCCCTGCACGCATGACCACTGGTTTGAGCATTGATGGCATCATGCCTGAAGCGCTTGTGGCGCTGGCCATCGACTCGGGCCTCCTCAACATGACCATTGATGGCTCGCCATCCGCAGTCTGTACGGTCATACCACGATCGAGTCCACCCATCTGCTCCTGCCATTTCTGCTGCTGCTTCTTGTACATCCGCCGCCGGGCCCACAGGTACACCGATATTGCGACCAGCCCGGCGCCGGCTACAGATGCGCCCAAACCGATCCCCACAATCTTGCCCGTGCTGAGACCCGGTGGCATCATGTGAGGCAGTCCCGATGGCCATGAATCTTTTGATCCCACGTCACCCAGGTCCGAGTTCTCGGTCTCGCTCGTGCTTGGGACGGGAAGGGCGCCAGCGAATGCACTGGAGGCTGAAATGCTGCTGCTTGTAGAGCCTGCGGTCGAGGCCAAGGATGTCGAGGTCGCCGTGGGCAGACCGGTCGACACTACCAGGGTCTCACTGCTGCTGGTGGTGCTGGTACTGGTGAGTACCGATTGTGAGATCTGCGGTGTCTCCGCTGAGGCGATAGAAGTGGTCGGTGTTGAGGATGGCGTCGACGATGAAGTGATGGCAAGCGGCGGCGTCAGCACAGTGCGAGACAATGATGACGTGGTGACGGAGGAAGATGATTCGGTCGTTGAAATCGGAGGCGATTGTTGCGTCGAGGGTGGTGACCCGCCCCCAACTAAAGAAGAGGAAGAGGTGCAATCTTCAGGGCTGGATGCTTGTGGCTGTGGCACCGCCGCTGCAAGCAGTTCGAACTTGGCTGCAGGCTGATCACAACACTGCATACCCGCATCCACGTAGCCACAGCAGTACTGTGTAGCCGGCGCGGAGCTGGAGTCGTTACACTGCTGGATATGTACATTATTTTGAGTCCAGTGTAGGTTCAGCGTCGTGCTACTGAGGCCTTGTTCTAAATCGCCAATCTGGGTCAGCGCTATCAACCATTTTGAGGACCTAGGACACATGAAGGGAGAAGAAGAGAAGAAACAAAGGAGAGGTCTTACGGGGCACACAATAAGGTGGACATGCATCACTTGACCACGTCTGGTCCGTACATGTTGCTCTTACGAACTGAGCGGCCGATGTGCTGTTCGCAGAGGTATCTCTGCAGAGTCCTGAGGAGAGACAGGCGGCACTGCTGCTGCAGCACATGCTCGTCCCGGCCTCTGGATTGCATGGTATGTCGCTGCTCAGCTGGCCGCCTGGATAGTAACAGACGTCCTGCGCCCGTGCCAAAGCCGCCAGACACAGCGCCGTCAGACCAGCTGGCAGCCTAAGAAAGAGCATAATTAAGAATTAAGAAGAATAGAATAGGTGGTAGAAGGGAATCGAAGAGCGGGCAAGACACATGAAAGGCCAGCTTTCAAACTGGACGGCGACCTGTCCGTACCAGCAGAGCGTGAAGAGGCTACCTCGTCTGGACCGGAACTCGTGGGGGGTGTTGGTATAATTGAAAGCGGCGCCGTTGTAAGATGGCTTGAGAAGGAGTCCGGCGACTCGCTCCGGCGGTGAAGCTGCGACAAAGCCCAAACTATACGGGGGCTGGAGACAGTGAGAGATCAACGATGGGTCCCGGTTTTTGATGCTTCTTGCGGGATACCACGAGACGTAGGCGAGGTCAGCTGTACATCGCGTTGGCCCCGTAGGCACCACCACTGTAGTTCAGTTTGGTGACGTGAGTAGGTTGGGCAGACAAGCCTGTTGTTGAATTCCTTGTTTTTCTTCTTCTTCTTCCCCCCCCCCCCCTTCACTCTCCATCTTTCTTTCTTTTTTTTTTCCCCCCTCCTGAAAACCACGGAAAGTGATCTCACTTTTGGCGATCCGAGACCTCAATGGGTCGGCAATGTTGCATGGACTACCAAAGCGGCGGGAGGTGTGTGGGGTGTGTCAGGGGAGCATCGCAACAATCCCTGGTCGTTCCGTCTGTGATGTCTCGGGTCGCTCCGTACTCTTTGCACACCCGGCGTCCAGACGAGGCCATTCATTTCAGGTCACCCAGCTCGACCTCCACTATGCCAACCCAGCATTGGCAGAGAGAATTGTCTGCGGGGCGGTACAAGCAACAATCTTCTTGAATGCTGTGGCATATGTTACCAGGTTCGTGAGGGGTTTCGCAAGTTTGTTCGTTGAGGCTGACGATGCTCACGATCTAGCATGAAGCTGGGAAGGACGGGCCCCCTGGTTTCAGACACGTTAGGGGTCTCCACCCACAAATCCATGCGTCCAACCCGTGGGTGTGATTGTCGCAGGGAACAGCTCGAGGACATGCTGTAGAGAGGTGATCGCCTCATGATGCTCTTTGCCATTGCCAGGGCCATTGTCGGCTTGCTATCGTGTGCGCTGTAATATCGGAGAGCAGTAATTGCAAGCATAGCAATTCTCCGGCCAAGACCAGTCATAGGGCTGCAGGCTGCGGCGCGCTGGGTATTACGGTCGCTCTAGGCGATTCACAGCAATCTCAAACAGAGCACTGACTCGTATTAATCCCAGGCCAGGTTTGGATGATTTCAGAACGAAGCAATACTCTCCCTCCTTTTAGAGAACTACCTGAACGCCAGCCAATTAGCTAACAAATAGAGGATGGAAGTCCAGTGTCTTGTTCGTCATCAATATACCGTCCCATCCTGCCGCCAGAATGGCAGTTCTCGGCCTCATCACAGGATCGCGCGCGCGCGTGTGTGTGGGCGACCCATCCGATCTGCCTTGGAAGTTGACTGTGGCAAGATGTGCATTACGTTGAACGTCGTCACAGGTGATGTGGACATTTGGGACGCCATCAAGAACACAGCCTCTGCGCTGCCTTGCGACAGCTGGTGGTTTTTTTTCTTCTCTCATCCCCTTTCCCCATCGACGTCGTGCTTCCGGGAGCCGCATCGAACAGCGTGGAGACAAAATGTTGTTCCTAGCAGACGTTTCAAGGCCAGAACAGATTGGGCGTGTCAGCCTGGCAGAACCAGATGGTCGGCCAGACACGGTTGCTCAAGGAAGTGTGGTGCATTTCAAGACCTCAAGATGCTGGGAGGGTCGACAAATGGCTGGGGCAGTGCCAGCGAATTTACGGTAACGACGGGCACGTGGGCTTCGTCTGCCACCTGCCATCAGCATACGTGCATGAATAGGAAACTGGCAGGTTAGTGCATGCAGCAGAAAAACATACTTGGTTGAGCGGAGTCTCCTGAGCTTGGCTTGGTAGCGATGAAGACCTCATTGCGCAGTGGAAGTGGCTGGGTGTAAGAGGTCGGTGATAGTCTACTAGTAGGAGGAGATCGGAGAGGACCCCCGATCAGGGGTCGGCTCGAGGCCGATCTAAGCGATGGGCTGCTGGGCATTGTCGACTTCTGGAGCTTGTCAACGACCAGCTGGGAAACTCGTGGTTTCACTCGATCTCTCACAGCTCTCGTAGTAATTAGGACAAAGATAGGGGTACTGCCATGATATAATAGACGTGTTATGGTACAACGAGGTGAGGCCAAGGGTGTGAAGGTTGTGCCTTCGCCTAGGTAGGTAGGTGGGATGGTGAAACTACAGGCAGTAACTACTGTGTGGTAGGAGATGACACATAGTGTTGCTGTGTCATGAGGATGTGACCAATAAGCAGGTGTTCCTCGGGGTTGATCCCTGACCCATGTTAGCCCTCTCGTTATCGACGGCTTATCTAACCAACAGAGTGGAGATATCATGACCAATGAGGATGGTGACGGCCTGGGACTGACCCCGCTTTTACGACCCTCCCCCGCCTTTTTTTTTCTTCCTTTTTTTTTTTTTCTTTCCCTCTCTTTTCCCTGTTCTTCACCCGGTGGGCCGAGTTAACGACTCATCCGATGCACGTGGGTCAGTGATGGTTTTCTCATGAGAGAAACAGGACAGCAGTGCAAGCAGACCTCATCTCGCCCATACGGTGTTGGAATGAGTCAAAGAGCGATTGAGGTCTACCAGTGACTCGAACGAGTGAGAAGGAAAAGAATAGAAGGAACGAAGTAGACACAGCAGGTTATTCCTTCCTGGTGGTCAGGTGGCAACCCAGCAACAAACAACAGAAAGAGCCCAGCCTTTTGCCATCTCTGTCCTAGTTCCCCGTTCACCCTTCAACCGGTGTACTATGGTACATACTCCTCTTCTAATTTTTTTTTTGCTTGGACATTCATTCTCCATCTGCCTCAGTGATCGATCACTGGTTCTCCGGATTGCTGTCGTTCCTTCTTCGTTTTTTTTAATCTTTTCGTTTTCTAATTGGGTTTTATTCCCATTTTCATTCCCATTTGTTCTTCTCTTTTTTAAGTCTTTGACCAACCCACGCCCAGAACCTCCCTCGCCCCCTGTCCCACATACAAACCACAGGTCGACTCGGTTCTCCCAGCCCTGCCTGAGGCTTTTCTACCCCGCACCCTGCGATTTCGGCGCCCTGAACTTGTCATCCTCCACCACTTCTCTGCGCCAAACTCGAGCCCTCCCCTCGAGCCATCCAGTCTAACATACCCAACACCAAACAACCTTCGCGACACCGGCCCCGCCTAAGGTCCATTACGCTCTCGACCCCGATTCTCTATCTACAGTACATTGGAAGATCCCGTCTTCTTGTGGGTGCGACTGCCGCGACTGCGACTGCGGTCCACGGACCCGGCTACACATCCGTTGTCTTGTCCCTTGCTTTGTGCCTGCGATAGCGGAAAGTCGCGAGACAAGACAACACACTCGCCCCCCGCCCCCCTCTTCTTCTCCTCTGCTCTCGGCCAATTGTTCCCCCGTCTCAGTCCAGTTCAGCCTTGTGTATCGTGCATGGACGGCTCCTCCCTCACCGGAGCCGGCCCAGTCCCGGCAGGTCTCGGTCAGGCGCAGGTTCAGGCGCAGGCTCAGAATGGCGTGCCAGCCTCGTCCCTCAGCCCGACCAGCCCCATGTCCGTCCGGAGCCAGGTCTTTGGCTCGGCCCCCGGCGTCGGCTCCAATGGCGCCCCCAAAAGGAAGAGGAGCTCCGTTGCCATGATCGGCGACAGCCCTGGCAGTGTCGATGGCGATGACGACGGCGACGGAGACGGCACTGCAGAGCAACACGAGAAGAAGAGGCAGCCTGGTGTCAAGAGGGCTTGTAACGAGTGTCGGCAGCAAAAGGTGAATATTGTCCCATTCTCCTACCTACCGAGAACCCACTCTTGTCGTCCTGTCCTACCCCCTACGTCAAGCCGTTTACTTTTGTTCTTTTTCTTTCTTTTGCTTCAAACTCTCTACTCCTTCTCCTTCCCTCTTTCTTTCTTTTTGCTGACCAACGTGTCCTATACAGCTGCGTTGCGATGTCGTCCAGGACCCCTTCACGAGCTGCTCCCGCTGCGTGCGCCTCAAGCTTGAGTGCAAGATCGAGTCCAACTTCAAACGTGTCGGGAAGCGCAGCAAACACGCAGAGATGGAAAAGGAGATAGACAAGCTGCGGCGCAATGTCGCCAAGGCTAAGGCCCAGGGCTTCTTGCTCGACGAGGACGATGACATGCAGTCCCAGCTACAATCGCCTGTGGTCAACAGTGTCTATTCACACACTAGGAACCCATCCCTGATGGGCTCCGACGAGGCCGTCTCCTCCCTCCTGCACCTCAAGCGGGGTGGCTCGTACAGCGTGCCGCGCATATGTCGGGAGCTGGAAGATGTACGCCTGACCGAGGACGCCGAGTCCCAGCTATTCCACGAGTACTTCTCTCGCTACCACCAGTTCCTCCCCTTCCTCAACCCGTCTCAGCCGCCCGACCAGTACTATGCTCAGCACCCGTTGCTCTACTGGGTCGTCATCTCCGTCGCCGCCCGCCGCTACCACCCGGACCCGAACCTCCTTGGCACCCTGTCCGGGCCCCTCACCCGTCTGCTCTGGCAGACCATCGGAGATGTCCCCAGCAGCCATCACGTCGTCAAGGCCCTCTGTCTCCTCTGCACCTGGCCGCTTCCCACCAGCACCTCCTCGTCAGACCCCACACAGATCCTGTGTGGCGTCATGATGAAGATCTCCACCCTCATCGGTCTGCACCGGCCTCACCATATTAATGACTTCTCGCGCGTCATTATCGATCTCGACAATGAACAGCTGCACGACCGCGTGGTCACGTGGGCCGTATGCAACATTGTCGCCCAGACTATCGGCACCGGGTACGGACAGCCCGCCTCCACACTATACGATTGGACCCTCGCCATCCGCCCTGGCGAGTCTGGGCCCTTCCAGCTCTCGGCAGAACTGGAGGCGAGGCTGCAGATAGAACGCTTCTGCGATAAGGTGTCCAAAGAGATGTATAGCAACGCGAGTGATCCTCGCGGCGTAGCCGGTGACGAGCACCGTGCTATGCTCATGCGTGTCTACCGGCGTGATTTCGGCGAGCTGCAGGCCTCCATCCTGTCCCGAAACCTGTCTCGGGTAGTCAACCTGCATCTCAAAGCGGCCGGCCTCCACCTCCGTCTGGCAGGCTTCTTCGACTCCCACAACACCCCCGGCTACCTGGACGACCTCATGGGTCTGTGGAGGGCCACCTGCAATTTCCTCGACTACATCATGGAGAGCGAGGCGTCGTCACCCCTTGACCCCCACGCCGGTGGCGACCTGCTCAGGTTTGCCACCAACTACATCCAGCAGATGCTGGTCGCTGCCGGCTTCGCCCTGCTGAAGCTCGTGCGCTCCTTCTTCGTCAAGTCCATCGACTTCGAGCGTGGCCGCCTCCTGTTCCACCGGACCATCACAGCCATCAGGTCGACCAGTGTCGTGCAGAACGACCTCAACTGGAGGCTGGCCGAGCTCATGGTACAGATGTGGAACGGGGCTCGCGTCAACAAGAAGGACCAGGGCTACAGCGATGACGATTCCCTACACGACATCGACGACAGCCTGCAGCTGCGGGTACGCTGTAGACACAGCATGAGTCTTGTCTATGATTCCATCTGGCACTGGAGGGAGGAGTACCAAGCCCGGGGACGAGGCAACCTTGACTGTGAGTGAATAAAGCACTGTTCCACCATACCACCATCCCCTTTCCCAACCCCACCTACAGCCGTTCGCTAACGGTGAGGGCACAGCGCTAAAACAACCTACCAATCCAGATTCCGCAGATCAATCCTCGGCCTCATCGACAACGCACCTCGACCCTCCTCTCACGGCAGCGCACGGCCTGCCGACGAGCATTCTGGCGACTGCCAATGGGGCTCTTACGCCGAGCGGTGGGTCAGGCTTCGGCGGCGCGCACGCCAGTGGCCTTGGGGGCGCTGGCTACGAGCCAGCGAGTTACGACTTCTTTGACCCTCAACACTGGATGCTGGATGGGCTTCTCGATTTCAACTATGGCAGTGCCTTTGTCCAAGAGATGGGCGCCTAGAGCGGACCATAGTTTTGGAGACGAGATATGCATGGAGGCTCAAAAAGAAGGCACCGTGCGGCTGGGAGCTGACACACACTTCACAGCACAGACAGCCAGCTCTTTTCCGATTGATACATTTCTCTATATTTGCCAGTGTCACTTACACCCCATTGTGGATGGAACCAAATTGGTCCAGCTTAAGATTGGCATGCGATGACGGTCAGAGGAGGAGAGAGGGACAAAGACAGAAGACTTGTTTGAGAGGAGCGACTCGTACCTTGTGAGTACGACTCATTGTTATCGATTCATTGCTATCGGTGGGTATCTTGAAAATGCCAAGACGAAGCTTGATGACTATATGTCAGGATAAGACCGGTATGGGCGGTTTTCTGAGAATGTGCATTGCGTCGGAACGAGAAACAGGATTGGTTCTCCCCAGAACTTCGTACTGGTGGCCGGAATCATTCGATTCCCATTGCCTTGCTTTTGATTTTGCTACAAGTTTTATTTGCGTCGAATCTCGAAAACGGTGGAAGGCTCTGGAAGATTGTCATTCTATTTTAGCTATTGTCAACTCTGGGGTGTAAAAAAGATACCCCCCTCTGCTCCCTCTGTTGGGTACGAATACCTGCCGTGTGGAGGCCATCTGATGATGGTACATAGTTGCTATGGCCCGGTTGGTTTGTTCCCCTAGATGGGAAGACTGTGTGTGTTAATATCAAAAATAGCACATTTATCATATTTTCGGAATCAGATATTCTTCATGGACGAAGGGCTACAGGTGACGTTCAGTGTGCTCGCCTTCTTTCCCCCACAGGAGCTCAACATGCCGAGATGGCCTGTCTATATCGCAGCTGTGCCACAAGGTGGTCTTGGTTGTGGTTATGTCCTCGATTGGCCAGATCACGGTGCTTCGGTGAGCATGTACCGGCACCATCGACGACGTTGTTTGAGGCCTTCAGTGGGATACGCGTATGCTGTGGACGCGATCGCAGGCCGCCCGCGTCGTCTGCTACATTCATTCCGCACCATTGCGGAATAGCGGAACCGGGCGGAGTACCACTCTTCCTTCCCTTCCTTCCTTCGTTCCTACAACTCTGGCAGGGGATATACTTGCGGGCGGCTTCACACCTCCAACGCCACACTAGGTCGGCCGCCTCTGGAGGCCAGGATTGAGTGGGCTAGCACAAATAGGAAAGAGAGCATGGTGAAGGGGTCTCAAGGGGGGTCTGTGTGTCGGTTCTCAATCGACTACGGAGGTGTGTAGGCCATCGTTAGAAAGTGTGGTTTTGGGCTGAAGAATGCGCACGTGGAGTCATTAAGCGCGCTTGCTTATGGAGAAGCAGACACCGAATGACAGTAGCAGAAGAAGAAAGATCCAACATCAACGTGGTTACACGAAATCCACAACCCCGTAATGTTATTTCCACTTACTGATACTTCTCGCGGCACCTAGGATTGGCCAGCAAGTGGCTGCGTACACTGTGCCCCAGTCTCTCGTGTCTCAAGTGTGTTTATGTGACTAGACTTGATCACCAACAGCCCATTCGATCGTCAGCCCTACGAGGCTGTACATGTGGCTTGTCACGATCTCGAAGACCCCTAAGCTATCCTAGGTAAATAAGTAAGTAAACATGTAGACCAAGGTAGAGAAGTGTGGTCTCCGCCTCCAAGAAAATCTCTCCCATGTTTCTAGGCAGTATTTGATTGCAACGTTGCCTTTGTGGGTTGCAGGACTGATGTTGAAATTCTCCTGTCCACGCTGTCCCATAGAAAACAGTAACGAGGGATCGATCATATGGAATCCTTCGCGAGGCTTGCAAGCGCCTATGTTATGGTTATGCATTACAACTCTCATGGGAAAGCCTGCCCGATCCTACCCTTATGGCTATCGCTACCACCCAATACCCTCACATAAATCCACTCACCCACACACACACACACACATTCCATCGTGTGGAATGACGGGCGTTATATGCACCATGCTAATATAGCTTGTCGCAACGAGGGAAAAGCCCCCATTAGATCCTACCGGAGACTACAAATCCATGTAGGTAGCATTGCATGTCGCCACGAGAGAAGAGGGCCATGCATTGACATCTGCCGATAGGATTGAGAAAAGAAAAAAGAGAAGGAGAAAAAAAACCATACCGCGCATACATGGTAATTTACAGTGTTACATCGGAAGCGACTATTGCCAATGTCATTTATGATTGACCTGTGGCTATCAGGACCTCCTGTCCTTGGAGAAACGCACAACGTCGCCCCCACCGCTCCTAACTGTTTCATAGCGACACGCTCGGGAAGGTGGCTTGGGGAAGGAGGAGGGGGAGGGGGAGCTGAAGATTTACGAGCTGTTCTTATGGCTCCCTCAGATGGAGAGAAGTCTCAGGCGTAATTATTGTGGCAATGGACTCTTGAAGAGGGAAAGATAGAACAAAAGGTACGTGAGCCAGGTACTGCTTTGTTCGAGCAAGTAGTGATGAGCCCGTACGCACGGGATGGAATACCTCATTTTGACTCAAGTAATTAGTAGAGGGAAACTGTCTGCGTACTTTTGGTGTATGCCTGCAACTTGGATGCACTGGCTGGGGCAGATACCGATTGGAATGGCGTTGTCTCACAATCTCTGGAGTAGACTATTTTCCCCAATCGAACCCTTCGGCCATCGTACTATTGATTGCCTTTTCTCGCAGAGTAATTTACCGTTAGCTTTAAGCTCCAGCTATCTCTCGGAACCGAGATCTCATTCTGAGGACAGCAACATCCTATCGAAGCAGACCACACCCATAGCCGGATGGGAAAAGCGTGTACCTGAACTGTGTGTGTGTGTGGACGCCGTTGCACCAAAGTCCTAGGCCGCACTCGTCATAGGACTAGAGGAGTGACTGTGGGCAGACTACATCTGCCGCGACAGCTCATTCAATAGGACAGAGGGAGGAGGTGTGGCAGGAGTCTGTGGGTGCTTGGGCACAACAGACTGGCTCCATAATACAAGAGAGAGCAAGAATCCCCCTGCCCACTGAAGATCCACTCTGGGCCTAGAAACGGGTCAGAACGGGGTGCGGCTGAAGAGCGAATGTCAGCTTGAAGAAAAGGTCATGACGGATCGTCCGGAGGATTCAGTAACGTCATTATCTTCGATACCTTCCTTCCGTGTGGACGTGCCCTTTGTGGAACGAAGCGGTGGCGTGAGTCAACCTTTCTGGCTTCTCTTCTCACGTGGAAGGGGTGGAACAGATCCTGAGCGACCGCGCACGCGGCGAGGGAGATGGCGCAGCAGGGTTCGTTATTATTTTCGAGCATTGACCCGGAAGGAGAGACCTCATCATAATCAAAACATTCACTCACTAGCTACACCTCTGGCGGTCTCCCCTTCCTTGCTCTCTCTCTTTCTCGCTGGCCACCAGGAAGGGGGGACCGGAGCACAGCCTGATTTGGATTTGTGCCGCGCGATAGGACGGACCTACGGAGAAGGATTGCGATTCCCACGCACGCACGTTGAGCCGATTCCGATAGAAGAAGACTTGTCAGCAACAGGTTCAGAGGACCCGGCCGTAAGGCTGGATGTGGATGGTCATTCTCTGCTATCTCTCTGTGTGTGTGTTCTTCCCATATTTTTTTTCCCTTCCCCCAAAAAAGGAGTCCACTGCTGCTGGATTCTCAACGGGTGGCCCATGGGGCTTGAGACAAGCTCGAATGTTCCGCGGGGACGAACAGGGCAGGGTTCAGGATCCTTTCAAGGTGAGGCGGCTTCACATACTGCAGCTTTGCCAGCCTCGTAAGCAGTGCAGTCTTGTGTCATAATGGCCTTTTTTTTTTCTTTTTTCTTTCCTCCTTATTCTTTCTCTTTCCTGGTGGGCAGAAGAGCCCCCCTTTCCCCTTTCTCTCTTTCGCTTTCGCTTTCTCCGCATAGGATTCATGGTGGGACGGCCACCAGCAGAGTGCGCGAGCGAGTTGAGTGGCAGCCAGCTTGGTAAGACATCAGTCAATCAATACATACATGGGCGCTACCGGGGGAAACAAGGGACCCCAGTCGCAAGTGTCACTTTTGACAGACCCTTCTCCCTGTTACATGATCGACGCCAAGTAAGTTAAGACAGGGGGTCCTGGCATATAAGGTCAGGGGTACCTTGAAAGATCAATTCCAGTGGCCAAGCGTGTTAAGCGCGGAGCAGTCGCCCATGTGGGCGTCGCGGTGCTGTGCTAGCCAAACTGGAAAGAGAGGGAGAAGAAGAAGAAGAAGAAGAAAATGTACTATGGCAAGAAGATCTCCATTCATCTTTCACCTGCTGGCGTGCTATGAAATCTTTTAGCAAGGAGAGTCCACTCTCATGTGTATCAGGAACTGGAGAACCTGGCTTTTTCGTGGGAATGAGCAGTCGTGTCTTTCCACCATTTTCTTTACCGAGTCAGTGACTGGACACTATTCGCTGAGCCCTTCAAGCACCATTTCACCTGGATATGCGTGATGTACCATGACTATGTATACTATGTACCCTGTATTCGAATTACCCAGTGAGGGTCCTTCCCTTTTTGCTCCTCTGTCCCCTGCCAAGGGACTGCATCATAACATTCGACTACCGTTGTTCTCTTGTTAGCCGAAGTCCCTAGAGGTATGTACTTTGTATCATGTACGGGACAGAATACTCTGCAACGTGGTCTGTGCTGAACTCTTGCGGGCACGCATACGACTGAAGTCAGAATACCGAATTATCCCGGGGACCCATTGTTTCCCCAGTCCAAGGACACGTAGGAAGTCACATTCCGGTGAGTCGCGACAAGGGGTCAAATCGTCACATGAATGAAAGGGAAAGGAAACCTGAGCGGAGCATGCTAGGGAGAGAGAAGGGGGGGGGGGCAGGGGTCCGTTTGCTGCATACTGGCAGCAAGAAGAAAAAAAAGGTACATGTTTGTGGTCCTTTTGCCAACTGTTTTTTTACTGGTTACCAGCTGTCTGGATATTGTCACCTTGGTCCCTGTCCTAGACCGGCGCTGGTTGTTTTTTGGGCGGGCGGTTATGTGAAAATGCCCGAACTTGCGCATACGTATGGTGCCTTTTTTTCTTCTTCAGTTGTAGGGGAAGTCCTTGAACGGCGTTTACACATGCATCATAGCAATTTATCCGCGACGGCGAAAGTAAGCCCATGGTATGTTTTTTTTTCTGTTATCATCCAAAATAGTGATTCGATGGTCAGATTGCATCTGTTGCCCATCACAAGCATACAAATATTGTACATGTTTCATGTGCCTTACAGTCCTTTTACGTCTTTGCACGCTATGGTTAGTTTTCGGGCCTCAATTGTGACCAATTTATATATGGAGAGAGGCCCGATATATGTGAACATAGCAACACTCTCAGACAGCTTTTTTCCGCGGTCCCGACCATTAGAGACCGTGGCTCACGACACGGGCTACACCCACAGTGCTGCTTCCATGGCATATTCATGGAAACTGAAAGAGCTCTCTTCCTCCTTTACGACCTTCCCTCCCGAGAGGCGCTCTACTATTGAAATTTCCAGATTAGGCCTCATTCCGGTACTTTTGCTGCTGCGTAGCATTCAGGGCAGGGAAGATTGAGGTGGACTGATGGGATGGACAATAAGCAGGTGGAGAAAGACAACGAAGCTATGGAGTACTTTTTTCTTTTTCAAACATAGTATTTAAAAAAAGCCTCCTAACCTTCAGAAGCCTGAGGTAGGTTCTTACACCCCGGCCTTGGCCGACCAAGTACCGGTCAAAGATTGCTGGCGTCTCGTCAGAACTTAATCTGCCGACCAGGCTGACAAGCAGCAAGACATGGCAGTGCTAGACCGCCAGCCCCGTTGACCAAGTGTCCCTAGCCTGCTAGTCTAGTCTCAACCATAGTTGATCTTCGTACATGTTACTGGACGTCATTGTCTCTGGTGCAAAAGGTTGGCCCGCTGGGCTGACTCGGGGTCACGGTCTCCGCCCTCGTCACCACCACAACAACAACTACTTGAGGATCTGAAGGAGAAAGACAAAAGTACGGTGAAACCTCGGCTGGGGTAAGTGATTCTATGATTACACTGTATGTACACCACTTATACCAAGTATGAGTGGTACAAACCATACAGTCCAGCTTCCTGAAGGGGGACCCATTGTATTTTCAGACTAAGCCATGGACCCCCGCGGGCGTAATGCTACAATTTTTTTACAATAGAGCTCGAAAGTACTTTTTGTCGAAACGGCCCGACAATTTACGCTGCTGCAGCCGAGCCTATAGCAAAGCGGCAGATTCTCCCCGTTAGTCACGCAGCCAGGCAAGAAGAGCACGCCACTGCTTTGTGCGCGTGTATTTGCTGTGCCGCCTCGTTCATAGATCTGGGCTCCACGTCGAACTAGGATGACGCATGTTCTCATAATTCTATAGCGGGCGTCTTTTTCTTTCTTCTCTTTTTTCCCCCGCCGTATTTTTCCTTTCGTTCTCCCATTGGGGATCCTATGTAACTCCAAAGTTGAGGCTAGTCAGGCCAGCTCATGGGTCACCTCGAGCCCGGCCTTGGCTACGTGATCAGAAGAAAATGAAAGACCAGACGATAAGAAAAGCCACTTGAGGGCCACAAAGGCGGCCACTCTTGCAACATGTGTGGACCGCGGTTGCAGAACGAGGTGTGGGGGAAGAAGAAGAAGAGGGGTGGCAGGGTGGCAGGGTGGAAAGGTTTTCTTCCGTTTCTGGTCTGCGCGGCATTCCGCGCCTATCAATTCCAATTTGGGCAACCAAGAGTGGGCCGATTGCCAGAAACGAGAAAGTTGGGTTAGGGCCCAGTGCTGTCGCGGCGCTTGCTGTAGTGCAGTAGTCTCCTCTCTTGAGAATGGAAAGGTGTGGTGGCCTTTCCTCCTACCCTCCTCCCTCTCCAACTTTTCCCGGATCTGAAGCAGAGAAGAGCGCCATTGGCCGCCGTTGGCCACTATGAGCCGGTTTGTTGGTCGGCTAGTTGGTCGGGTTGGGTTGGCTACAGGGGCACGCCACGTGAAGCAAATGAAAGTCTCAACCCTAGCTGCAGGCGGATAGAAGGGAAGAAAGGGGGGGGGGTGGGATTCAGCGGGCTTTTTGAGGTCGTAAAACGAAGCCAACGGTTATGGTGACTGGTGTTGTGTTCGGCATATGGGGCCGAGTTGCAGTGCCCGTTGGAACCTATAGTTACCGACCGGTATGTCTGCAGTGTGCGGCGGGCATGATCCCATGACCGGAATGGATGGCACGCGGGGGCCAAAACTGCCAATTGGTCCCGGCATTACGGGCCCGGCGCTTAGAGACACAAAGACTCGCAGACAAGACGCATCATCAAGGCGGTGGTGTGACAATCCAACCCATTTTTGGGGGTTTCGGCGAAGGCCAAGTCCTGCATGGGCTGCCCGGAAGCATAAGGTAATTAAAATTCGTGCGGTGTGACAAGTAGGCTCGCTTAGTTTTCTACGACTTGACCTTGATTGCGCTGCCGTGGGTAGATACTATGGTAGCAAATGATCTCGATAGCTTGTACATTGAGAAGTAAATGAAGAAAGAAACAAAGGAAAAAGGGCGTCCATGGTGTGGGTTGTCGGACGATTAGGAAATGATACGCGATCGGGAGCCCCAACAAATCGTCATGTCGTCTGCCCCGCGGATCAATGCCAAGGATCGAGGCCAGATCAGACGGGGGCGCAAATGAAACGAAAATCCACCTAGAGGAGAAAAAGATGACAAGGATGTAGCGAAAGGGACCATAAGAATGTCTTCTCGGATAATAGAGAAAGCGATGCGAAATGCATTGGGTACTTTGCGTTGTCGCAAGATTATCAGCGTTGCAGTGAGCTGCTCATGCAAGGAACTTTTACGTGGTCTGAGGAGCTGGTGGAGAAAGACGACTGCAGCGATTTGCTTCTTGCTTCTCAGCTCAAATCACCAGGAGAATGGCTTTGTGAGGCTGAGCAGACGGCTGCCATGACTGGTCTGTCTATGCAGATGATGATGCACACTCGTTGCGAACACGATGATTTTGGTCAACCAAGGGGTTTCCAACCATCCCGACCACTGAACGTCATGTCTCCCTCTCCTTAAGCGCCGCACAATGTGCCCGACCACTGGTGCTATGGCTACAATGGAGCCGCTATCAGGGCGGACAGTTACATAGTGCGTGACCAAACAACGATCCCTCCTGCATATGCTATGCGTAGGAAGGGGGGGGGGGGGTTGAAGAAAGAGGGCGTTCAAGGCCAGGACCAGGGTATATAGGTCTTGAGGCACACGGGTACATTCATGACATATGCTATCTATCAGTGGCAGCAACTGAATTGCGGTGGCTATCGTATCATACACCAATGAATGGTTGGTCACGGCCGTTGCGCCTAATCTACTATAGTAGCGTCTCTTGGGCGCTACCCTACTATACTTCTCTTGGACTAGCGGATCCCAGCAGGACGGACCGGGCCGTGGTTGGCTGATTCGCACAGGCAACCGAGACTAGCGCGCCTATCGTAGCAGCTGCTGACACACCGTTCGTTCGTTGCGCAGCCACTGAGAGCTGTGGCTTTCATCCCGTCAGCCCCCCCCCCCTTCTTTCACCGCCCCCTGCAAGCACGGGATTTGTATCAGAAGCCTACAACTGGTTACGGGCCAGGGGCTGCACATCCTGCAGTGCCTTGACGTCAAGGAGGGTTGCATCCCTCGTCGTAAGCGATATGCTTTACTCTATGCAACTACACACGATGTGTGCCTAGGAATGATCTTTGCCTTTTAGGCACTCCATGTTCGATGTACTAGTGTTTCGAAGACGTGAAGTTGGTGTGCTGTTGTTGCCTGGTCACAATTGACCGGCCATCTTCATATGAATCAGACATTATTTGAGAAAATCAACGGACCTGGTGATACAAGTATAATATATAACACGGAAATAGCAACTGTTAAATGCGAAAGGGCAGAAGCACCTTCCATTATGGTCTGTGAGCAGGAGACTAGACAAAGTGGCTGTGCGGGGCCAGGATTGTCACTGCCGCTCCAGAGCACAATATGTCATGATAGCGCCTTCCCCGGGCGATATGGTATGGTTATGACGAAGGTGAGGGGCAGAGCTGGCAGGAGTCATCATCATCATCAGTTGTATGACAATGCAGGCCAGCGTCCCTCTTTCACAGCCAGCTGCATGCTTCGTTTTGGCCTTGAGTTCCTTTTTTGTTGTAACAAAAAAAGAAAAGCGAAGAAAAAAATGTCTCAAGTTCCAGCCTGTCCCAATGATCGGTCGGAGCCGATCGGGGAGAAATCAGGAGAGATTCATTTCCCCGCCATGAAAAACGTGTCCATCCCATACTCTTTGTTTACCACCCCGGGCCGCCCATTACTTCCCGACCACCCCCCCCTTCCTTGCTCCTCTTTTTCGCCAGCGACCGTTGTGGGCGACGTTGCAATCTTGACCGCAACAGTAGCAGCTACAGTGCAATGTATGTACTTCTCGTACTATATTATTGTGGGTATGTATGAACAGAGAGCAGTCGTTCCCACTTCTAATACAACCCTACTATTTGCAACGCGGATGATCCACGCCGTTAGCTTGTGCTCGCTTCGCTGCAGGGTTCTTTTGCACGACGACCCTGCCAAAGGGCTGAGATCCTTCTCGTCCCGTCAACGTCTGCTTGACATCCGTCTCTACCGGTCCCCTTCTTGCGGCTGCTGCTGCTGCCCTTCACCCCTTCCTTGTCTTGTCTCTTGTGCGTGTCCTCTCGTCCAATGACAACCTGCCTGTCATCTTCGCTTTTCGCCTAGGCTAGCTAATACCACTTGGCACGGAAGAAAACTTACACCGATCGATCCTTCATTCCAGCAGTCTGCAGTGATAGTTGCCATAGCATTCGGTGAGTGGCCTCGACTATGCCGAACGATGCAAAAGTTTGGCCTGCCCTGTCGTTAAAACACACCTTTGAAAAGCCCTGTACACATGTGCTGACGGACCCAGGTGCCTCTTTTCTCCCTCTCTTCCCAATGTGAAGCAGTCGGATGATTGGGCATGGCTCGAACCATGGCCACCTCCTCAAAGCCAACAACGCCCAAGCCATGGCAAAAACTCAGCCATGCTCTAAGTATCGCAATGGGTTTTTGGGTCTTGGAAACTATTTCAGCCTCTTACAACCTTCCATCCCTCAGTACAGCAACACGTTTCTCCCTGTACATGTCTCTCTCTCTCTTTCTCTCTCCATAGGCGCTAAGCAGCGCTTCCGTCTTTGGGAGAACCAACCCAACAACGCACGAGCCTCCGCGCGTACACGATGATCAACGTCCTCTCGTACTCTTTGTTTCTTCAGCCCTCAAGTGGGCCTTGTCCATGGCACGCGCCAGACCCCGCGTCATAATGAATCTCCAATGCGTCAGGGAACATGGTCCGACAAGAAGAAGAAAAAGAAGAAAAGTATTTAAAAAAACAAAAACAGGCGACACAAGATTATTTTACCATGGTACGCAGGCATAATGCCCATCATCTCGCCTACGTTGCCTAAAATGCGATGATCGTCAGAGTGCTGGCACCGAGAACGGACCAATTCAGACCGACCTCCGGTGACTCGAAGATGAAAAGGGCGGCATAAAGTCAAAGTGTCAGTGCGCTCACCTGATACTACCTTGTCAGCACACAAGCCGTGATTGCTATTGTCGAGTGAAGCTCCTCTGTGAACATGAGTTGTTGGCACTTTTGCCTCTCGACTTCCCGACCACCAAAGCCGGGGCCGGGTTCACCACTTTCGCAGTCCAACTCGAGACTGGTCCTAATAATAACGAATGAGCCCTTACCAACACAGATGTACAAAAAAAAACACCAGAAGAAAAAGAATCACATACATACGCAAAATTAAAAGAACTTGTTGGCAAGTATGAAAACGTACTGCTCCTGCTACAGGCTGGTACTGGCATCACATGGTACATTCTAGCAGTGAGCTCACCTCCGTTATGCATACTGAGGTGGTATACAGGGCTTAGGGGGAAATGCTGGCCTTGGGGGTGCGGATGTGAGCTGCGAGATCATCTACCCTACTCCGATCTCGACTCTGCTTCCATTTTCGAACGTCTACTTTTCCCATACAGCTCACTCCCGCCCCCTCCCCTGTCCTCTTCCTCCTCCGGGCTTTGGGGTATCCACAACAGGCGGATTTGCATCCGATCCTTGTAACTCAGGTTATGCCGTATCCAATCCATCACACACTCACACAACACGCACATACACACACTCAGACACAGACACACAGACACACACCGGCCTGAGCCTCGTTTGCCCTGCCTCCCCACAACCACCCTACCCGTTTCTAATTGGGACTTCCGTGGGTCCAGGGTTAGAGCCGTCATGGGGGGTAGAAGTGTGGAGACTGTGTCTGTACCGGGTGTTATGGGTTGTGGATCCATGCCGTACCTGATGTACCATAGTACTATGGTACCACCATCAGGCTCCACCGGCTGGGTCTTCCTCCCACCTGCGCGCGTGTGTTTGTCTGTTTGAATTGGAGGCCAGGCCCTCCACCAGTCGAGGCCGCCTCTTCTGGTTTCCAATGGGGATCTGGCTATCTTTGGTCCCCTTGTCCAAGGAGGGACGCATAAAAACAAGCGACTGTCCTTCTCGGTACAATACCCACGTTGCCCGACTCAATTCATCAGCAAAGCGACAAGACTCACTTTATTTTTTTCCCCTTCTCTTCTCTACAAGCAGTGTCTTATTAGTACTACCGCCCCTCTCGCCTGAATCACTTTGCTTTTTCCCTCTTCTTCTTTCTACACACAAAGAGCCATCGACCTCGAGTTCCTCTCCCGGATGTCCAACTTCTTCGATATGGCCGCTGCCAGCCCACGATATGTCGATATAGATGCAGGAATCATGCCTGACGGGTCCTGTCCAAGCATCGCCCCTTCTACCGTCTCTTATTCTCACTCTGACCATAACTCATATTCTGAAGTAAGTATTCTGTATACCTAGTTCCTCTTCCAACCCTCTTCCTCTCTTATCCCCTGTCGTTATTCTTCCCAAATCTCTCTTGTGTCCTCCTTCTACATATAAAGATGGGAAGTTGGAACCCCCTTAAGCGCCACTCGCGTTGGTCTCTTAGCCTTTTCGTTGTTTCTTTTCTTTCCCCTGCCTTATCTATTCCTCATAACCACAAGTATAACTAGCCTTGCTCATGCCAACCAACAGGGCCCACACATTTCATCGTTCGGCACATCACCTGTGCTCGATGATCACTTATTAACACCTGCGTCAAGCGCCGCATCACCCCAGCTACAACAACGCTCCTGCAGACAGTCACCCTTTGAGCAGCAGCCAATAGACCCTACGCCCTGCTCTCAACAGCCAACGCCACCGCCTCACCACAACACAACCACAGCAACAGCAATGTACGCTTATCCGGACTACATGAACAGCGTCAGCCACGTCACCTCCTCCATGTCTATGCCCACCACTGTAGCAGAACAATCTCAGGACCTCATGGGCTCTTACCTTCACCACTCCCCTGGCCACGAGGAGCCGCCGCCGCCGCCGTCCACGCCATACTATGGCTCCTACAGCGTCTCTGTGCCCCCAGAGCCCACGGACTCGCCGTACTACCTACAAAACGCGGCCCTCGATAACAACCACATGAGAATGTTGCAGGCAGATGTGAACGGTGGCGGCGCATACACACCCCGCCGCCTGGCCCCGCCTAGCCATGCACCTCCGCCCATGAGCAGCACCCTTCTTGCGGCTTCTTCGCATAACCCTCACGCCTACCAGCGTGAATTCCAGATATCCTTTCCCAAGCTGTCACCGCACGGCCGCCATGCTTCGCTCCCCATTAGGCGAGATCCGGCGCGCAAGGCGAAAGCGCGGAGGAATAAGAAGGGTTCGCTGAGCCCATCCGCACAAAAGTCCATCCGAGTCGGCAGCGTAGGCGCTCCTGCTGCTCCTGATAATACTGTTGCGAAGGAGAACGAGGTTCTAGAAGAAGAAGTTACGCTGGACGACAATACGCCAGCTGATCTGAGACGGCTGTGGGACATTCGGAAGAGGTGGCTGGGCAAGAAGGGCAACGGCATGTGGGAAGATATCATGGTCGAGTACCAGGGAGAGGAGAATTTCAGCGAGAACAAGAAGACGCAGATCAAAGCGGCGCTGCAGATGAAAATTCACAGGATGCTTCTCAAGCACGGAAAGTGGCCAACGAGAGATGTAGGTCCCTCATCCTGCCCCCTTTCCCCCAGATTCTTTAGTCGTCATGAAGAAGAAGAAGAAAATATCAGCAAGCTAATCTTCCAATTTACTCCACTATACAGGAGGCCGCACTTCTTCGCGCTTACAGGCGATGGGAGGAGAGCCGCTACAGCGAGATTCTCCGGCTCTATGAGGAGGAGAAAGAGTTAGCAGGCGAGAAGAAGGCCTACGAGTGGAAATCTCAGCACATTGAGGCGCAGTTGGTCAAGATGGGCCTTGAGGAGCCCGAGCGAGACCGCGACTCCAAGGCCCGCAAGAGAAAACAGGCGGCCGCCCGGCATCACACGCGCACGGGCAGTGCACAGCACCACGTCGGTGGTCTCCTGAGACATGTACCTCCTCCGCAGCACAGGCTTCCTGGCATGTTTGAAAACCCCTTTGGCGATCCTCACTACATGGCACAACAACAGGGCCACTACGATCTTCGTGCCGCCTATGAGGCCGACCTGGCCGCTCTTGGTGCGCAGCCTCCAGTGCTGACAGAGGTTCAACAAGACCGTCTGGTCAACGACATCTTGGAACGGAATCCGTTCGAGGCCTCGCCTGAGACTCATCATCATCATCATCACAATCACCAACAAGATGACGCAGACGTCAAGATGTCCGACTATGCACAGCCCGAAGGCGATGTTCTGCACTCTCGCACGCGCAGTCGATCTTCTACTACTACTCCTGCCGCGACTATGACTACTACGACTGCCACCAGTACTCCTGCCACTACTACTGCCTCAATGCTCTCCATCAACGGTGTACTGTCCCTGGGCGCACCACCTGTTCAGCAGCTACATCACCGGCCGTCTCAATCACCTGACATCAATGCGCAGCGCTGTGCAGCAATGGCAAGGCAGGTGTGTGGGGAGATTATACATAATTAGAGCCGCAACTTGTGCTATGTGAGCTTGTGTAGGTGGATGCCTATGTCACTCACTCACTTACTTGCTGTGCCTCTGATCATTGTCTTCGCAATTTCTTATTGTTTTTTTAATTGTTTCGTTTTCTTGCAGCTCTACGTTATTGAAACTTTGATGGCATTCCTGGGGGAAAACATATTACCAACCAGAAAACGACAGGGCAGAGAGATGGCAGCTGTTGAAACGTTATTCATGTTTGCGTTAATTTCATTCTTGCTTATACTCGCTTGTCATCTGTGGATACAACCGGGTCTCATGTTTGACAATGACGAGTTTGTTTGGCTTCATGCTTTGGACGAGCACAAGTTGTCTGATAAGGGAGAAGGGCAGAAAGAGAGGAGGGAAGGAAAGACATTGGCGTTGTGATTCTATAGATTCCCAAAATCCCCCTCGGGATAAGCACATGTATAATCCAATACCCGCTTATACACATTGGTATATATATGTATATATCTCTTTTAATTTGCTTATTATCCTGCAATGCATACAAAATCATCAGAGTGAATGATACTCAGCATCATCTCAGAGTTGTTCACTGTATAAAGGTCATCACAAGAAAGAGTTCTGCATTATATGATAACCACTGAATGAACCAAGACTATGGTGAATAGAGTTTTCTGGTCCTCTAAATTAAGCTAGGGAACAAACATAATTACTTAGGTGATTAATCACTTTATCTTTATTTATATCTTGTTCACTTTAATTTGCCGATTTTAACGCCCATTTTTCCCATCACTCTATAGCAGCAACTAGTATACTCCATCACTTTTACACAAGACCCGCGCGATTAAAAACACGGATCAAGACGAGGACGAGGAGCCAGACAGGACCAGACCACATTTCGCCAAGGTAGTCGACGCCACGTCACCACTGGCAATCAACGGCTGATGAGTCGGCTCCTTCGATGAAGAAAAAAACGAAAGAAAAAAAAGGGGAAAAAAAAACTGTGATTCAGCTAGTATTGGCAGCTTTCCACCCTCCACCCTGGTCCAGTGTGATCTGTGCGTGGTGTATGTTGCGGAAAAGAAAGTGCGGAACGACTCAACAGCACACCATTCTCCGGTCGGCCGACCGTTGAGCAGGTGATAGGACCGTGGTGCATGTGACACACAGGAAGAGCGGCCGCGATCAACGACCTCCTTAACGAATCAGCGCTGCCTACTCAAGTATGGGCCACGTTCAGGCGTCCGCACTGCCGCCCGAAGCTCGTTTCTAGGTGGTTCGCTCAGGAATTGTGCAGCCTGTCTCGTGCCACATCCCATCCACTGCTCACTTATGTTCCAGCCTGTTCGGGATGACTCGGGGACTAGAAGACATAGAAGAAGACAAAGAAGAAGGAGAAGAAGACAAAGAAGAAGGAGAAGAAGAAGTCGAGAAAAGGGCGGAAATTGGACAGGAAATCCTTCCGCGATGCTGCCACCTCTGGGGCGCCTCCCTGGTGTGCTTCTCCCCCACCCCCACCCAGCTGACTGCAGATCCAGAACGCTTCAGCTGGCCCAAACAGGCAAACAATGAGAGCTCCTCTCAAGTCGGCCCTGTACTACATGGGGCCATGGCAAAAGTGCCAACTTGCATGACGAGAACCCTGAGAGAGGGCAGGATTCTCCCCCACCCCACGTGGTTGCTTAAGCGCGACTCCGCGCCTGTGCGACCTGTTTCACGGATGAAAGTGCAACGACTATGCCTCTTCTGGCGGCCGCCCTGGACAAGGCTCTATTCCCATGCCTAAATCCAGTATGGTAGCGCGCTCGCTACGGGAGATGGGGGGGAAATAAAGGGCGGAACGGGTGGGAGGTCGAAGGATGAAGCGACATTCAGGAGAACCTTGAACCGGTATAGAGACAAATGAGTACTACGGTAATCATTGGCCTCAATACATTCTAGTGCTAGAGCAGACAGACACTTATTCCAAATTACCTCGATGTATCTACGATACCCCTTCTCTTCCGCCCCCCCCACCTTCATGGCGCCGTTTGGTTGTCTATAATTCGTACTACATGCTTAAGACTCGGAACACTGTGCCACTAGGCCCAACGGTCCAGTTTCTTGGTGGCTGATGATGCTACTTTGGTCAGCCCTACAGGTGAGAACCTCCCGGCACTTCAGGAGCGACTTGGGACAAGGGCTACAAGGAATTTTGAGTGCTGACTGGCTAGGGGTTTGGCTGCTGTAGAGGTCGCATGATCAATGAGCTTTTCCTCCATCCCGGCCTACTGTGTTAATCCGGCGTGAAAACGTGCCGCACTTGCTCTGGGACACACACGCGCCGACTCCTCTCCCTTCTCTTCTGTCACGCTCAAAAGCTTGTAGCTAATTTGTATAGAATGACCACGCTATTCCGTAGACAGGCTTGAGTACCGGCCACAGGAATATACTATGTCCTAATGAGTGTACCACTATTATATAGCAGACTGGGGGGGGGGGGCATTGTGAGTGTCATAGATCCGAAAAGTCCGTTGCATATTGTGGCGCGGTGCTTTGTCCGCCCCCCCGCCCCCGCCGCCGTGTTCTGCGGTGCTGGGGCCAATATACGATATTGCCTAGTAGTCATCTCATGATATGTACAAAAGAGTCAGACGGATGAATTTTGTAGACATATACCGGCGTTGTCTGGTGGCCAAGGCAGACATGCGGAAAACATCTTGGCAGGCTTTGAGTGACTGCTACGGTGAGGATGAATGACGAGACGTCGGCCGCCGGCCGATAATTACGTGACCGTTGCACAAGCAAGGTATCCCACCCCCTCCCCCCCTGCCACAGTGGGGGAAGGACAACTGGGTGAGTTTAGTGGGGCCATCGTTTATGCATGGTACCTTTTTTCTGTGGGGCAGGTGAAGACAGGGGTCAACCAAACAAGCGGTCCTGGGGAGGACCCAGCAAAGCTGAAGGAAGACCCTTGTTCACTTCTGCATCTTTTGTCACCTTAGTACAGCAGCTGGTCAAATGCGGTGAGAGAAACAAGTTCAGGAAAGTGACATTGCGCGCCCCCTCCCCCCGCGAGATCGCCTGTGCTCTCCGTCTTACTGGGTGGCATGATGTCCCGTTTCTGCCTTTTCGCCTTGTAGTGGAAGTGCTTCAAAGCTTTGTCCTGTTCCAGAGAGGGTTTCTTGGTTCGTGGTGGGACAGGGAGGCACATCATCGTGCGTGGGGCCGCCGACCTGGTCATCCTTCCACGAGGTGGTGACTGTTTTCTGCAGGGTGTGGATCTCCTGATTCATTTGGGGGGTCTGCACAGATTGTGGCCCACTCCCTGCTGTCTATCCATAAATATATGGAGTACTTGCAGGGCTAGTCGAATTGGTCCCCTGCTGGTGTTCGATTGAGCTTGGAGAGAGCCACCATCCGGCATCTTGGCTATGGTAGGTAGCCTATTTCCATTGTCGTCCTTCTTGATGGCAACACATGTAAGAAGAACACGCAAGCCAGCTGCAGGCAGACAAGATCCCAGGATGGATTGAATATCAAATGTGTCATAGGCTACACACAGGCAGATGCACAAACATGAGCATACAGCACACACATTATTTTGTGCCACAGTACTAGTGAAGCGAGCCTCATGCCGTCAGTGCCTTGTCCCATATTCCCTGTTAGCTCAAAATGTCCATCTCATTCTTGCAGTTATACAGTGTCAGGATGTTAGGTGGTCCTGAATCTTCACGACATATGTAGAAAGAGGTATTGTAATCTAAAGGGAGAAAGGTGTCAAGTTCGTTGCAGAAGAAGATCAGCCTTTTACAGGGAGCACAAACAAATCACTATTCACCTCGCTGTCTGCAGAAGTCTTTCAATTTTGACAGGTTACTGATATCTGGGTAACAAGAGGTGTAAGGATGTTGTGTAAGGATGTCTGTAAGATGAATTGGGGGTTTCAAAACACACTTTAGATGAATTTTCTCTTAGAGAACGGGAACTAATTAGCATCCTTTCCCTCCTTCCTAATTAAGACATAATCACAACGGAGACAAGTCAGGTGGATTGTCGTGGCGAAACTCAACTTCACATCACTGCTTTAATTACATTCAGGATACAGTATCCCCAAGTTTTCTAAGACATATAGTCATTACTAGCCCTGAAATTGATGTATATATCTTCGAACACTTGGAATGCTCAGTTTCAAGGCATGTTCAATGCTGGAACTTGAGCAGTTGCTGACCCTTGAGACACTAGCTCATGACTCCAGTGCAGTACGAAAGAGGTATCATCATTCGAAGTTATAGTCTCGATGCTTCAGGCTGGCGCCCAACACTAGCTTCCAAGTCTGCTGCTCAATACGCTCTTGAGGCCATTGCCACAGCACACTGATCTGTAGCCCTTATCATCACGAATTGAGCACTCGGGCCTACTTTATGGAGATCTCAACTCAATACACAACCAAAAAGTGGCACAGGCTGGTGTAATAGCAACATCTGATGATGACACATTCTAATTGCAGTGTGCCCCTCGTGGTGATGACTTATGTCGAGCTCTAGTAACTCGAGAACTGTGAATTCTTCCCTATCACACTGTCTGATTGATGTATGAGAACAGATAATATCGCCTTAACATTGATTTACATGACTGGTAGTGAAGCTGAGTATTGTATGTTGTTTGATGGATCAGTAAAGAGTGTAGTTCCGCCATCAAGAACACTACTGAAGAGCAGCTTGACCCCTGTCCTCAGAGCACACACCATATTGTAAACCCTGGGAGGATACTTGGTAGCAAAACATTGTTTCAAAGAGTTCAACGTTGTGAAACACTACATAATTATGTAGTGTTTGGTTTATTTGCTAGCTGCAAACTGAATTCTACTCAAGTATTGAACCAAGTATTAAGTACTTAGAGCTGGAAATTGGGACAGCATGCTTTGGTTCCCACTTTGCATGCATCTTGATAAACTGAGCCAGTGTCATTCACCTTGCCTTTTTCTGCACAGATTGGTCAAGGTGCACTCTTGGGGCAGTGCTAACGATATGTTAGGGTACATCATAATGATTGGCAAGTCGATTTGAGTTTGAAGCACGGAGAATCAACAAAGTTTCGACCGTGGTCGCCACAAAAAAGAGGGGGAGATAATTCCAAAAACTGAGGCGTTTTTCGTTGAAGAAATAAAAATAAGAATCTTCTGTTCCGGCTACTGAGAAGGTCAAGTGATTGTTGTTCTTGCTTTCTTGTAGAAGCAACTCGGGTAACCAGTAGCCTAGATGGGCAACTACAAGGCCTTATCTAGCACCTGCCACTGCAGATAAGACGCTATTGTAACGATATTGATTACATAAGATGACAACATCCCAAGTTCAGGTCTACAACTTTTGTAATTGCCAGTGTATCAATCATCAACCATCCTGGATTTCGAGACCCCGTCACACACAAATACCCGCACACTGGCTGAAGAGTATCGTCCCAATTACCTATTGGACGGCACCCCGAGTTGACTCCAAAACGGTCTGCCCCCGACCAAGGACACCCATACACACGAAGAAACGATCAGCCTCAGGCAATCTCGGGAGTGGATTGTCGACCTCTATTCCATCCCGCCGGGGACGTCTCCCTGTCCAATTCATCACCACATGAGGTCTCTCCATTCATCCTGTGTCTGCTGCAGGTGACGGCTGCCGGGCATGGATGGCCACAATACGTCGTTACGAGCCCTGCTGGTCGCATTCTGGTTCTTAACATGGCTCGACCACATCCTGGCCATGCGCCCTGACCGCATGGCCCAGCTGCGCCAGGAGACTGTCGACATGTTCTATCATGGCTATGACAATTACATGGAATTGGCCTTCCCAGAGGATGAGGTATGTAGGGAGGCCGGCCCCTCACATGATCGTTCCCGCGCGCTCTGCTGACAACACCCTCTGTTGCTTGTAGTTGCGACCCCTCACGTGCGCCCCTCTCCATCGAGACGCCGTCAACCCGAACAACCTGGGCCTGAACGACGTGCTGGGTAACTACTCTGTCACCCTCGTCGATACCCTGTCCAGCCTCGCCATACTTGCCTCCGCCCCTCCCGACAGCCACAACACGGGCCCGAATGCCCTGCGCGACTTCCAGCACGGCGTTGCCGCTCTGGTGGAGCAGTACGGTGACGGGTCTCCTGGGCCCTCGGGACAGGGCGTTCGAGCCAGGGGCTTCGATCTGGACAGCAAGATCCAGGTCTTTGAGACGGTCATACGTGGAGTCGGGGGCCTCTTGAGTGCTCATCTGTTTGCTGTGGGGGAGCTGCCCATCCAGGGCTACAACCCAGTGCCCTCAGGCGCGCCTAATCTGGATGATCCGTTACATCTGCCTCCAATATCATGGCCGAATGGCTTCAGGTACGACGGTCAGCTGCTGCGGCTGGCGTTGGACCTTGCGAACCGCCTCCTGCCAGCTTTCTACACGACAACTGGGATGCCGTATCCCCGTGTCAATCTGCGCCACGGCATCCCTTTCTTCCCAAACTCGCCGCTCTACCAAGTCCTCGGCACGACCAGCCCCGACGCCCCAGACCCGGCCGACATAACAGAGACGTGCAGCGCCGGGGCCGGGAGCCTGGTCCTGGAGTTCACGGTTCTGAGCAGGCTCACTGGCGACCCTCGCTTCGAGCAGATTGCCAAGCGAGCCTTCTGGTCGGTCTGGAACAGGCGCAGCGAGATCGGCCTCATTGGGGCCGGTGTCGATGCTGAGAATGGCAACTGGATCGGTGGCCATTCCGTCATCGGCGCAGGTGCCGACAGCTTCTTTGAGTATGCTCTCAAGTCGCACATCCTGCTCTCTGGGCACGAGGTCCCGAATGCGACGACCCCCAAACGGTCCCCCGCGGATGGTTCCTGGCTCGACCCTAATGAGCTCTGGATCCCCCTGACAGACGAACAAAACTCGCCCGAGGCCTTTCTAGATGCATGGCATCACGCCCATGCTGCCATCAAGCGGCACCTGTACGATGACACAGGCCACCCCCACTACTCCAACGTAAACATCATGACCGGCTCTTTGGCTTCGAATTGGATCGACAGCCTCGGTGCGTACTACCCTGGTCTCCTGACCCTGGCTGGAGAGCTCGAGGAAGCCATGGAGACCAACCTCCTGCACGCCGCCATGTGGACCAAGTATGCAGCCCTGCCGGAGCGCTGGTCCATCAAGGAGAAGCAGGTGGAGGGCGGCCTGGGCTGGTGGCCACTGCGGCCCGAGTTCATCGAATCCACCTACCATCTGTATCGCGCCACAAAGGATACCTGGTATCTCTACGTCGGTGAGATGGTCATGAGAGATATCAACCGACAGTGTCGGACTGAATGCGGATTTGCCGGCATCCAGAACGTGGTGACAGGAGAACTGACCGACCGCATGGAGACTTTCTTCCTCGGCGAGACCACAAAGTACCTGTACTTGCTGTACGACGACAAGCACCCGCTGAACTCTCTGGATGCTGCCTTTGTCTTTACGACAGAGGGCCACCCGCTCATTATTCCCAAGGTCGCAAAGAATATCTCCAGGACTACACCCGTCTCCCCTGCCACGACCAAGGAGATCGCGCTGTTCTACCACGACGAGGACTTCAGGAACGTCTGTCCCGCTCCTCCCGAGATTCTTCCGCTCACGGGCTCCGGGATTGTATCAAGACCAGATCTGTTCCATGCGGCTCGGATGCTCGACCTGCACATGATACCTAATATTCATGCCGATCTGGCGGCAGAGGAACAAGGGCCCGACAATTCTGAGGTGACCAAGACCTACACATATTTCCCGTGGACTCTCCCGCCCAACGTGCTGCCTGATAATGGCACCTGTGGTAAGGTGCCCGACGCGGCTGAATATCATCTCGAGTTCGGCATGGTCGGCACCAACGGTGTATTTGATACAATCATTGGCGCACACAATCTGGACCGGCTGGATATTGACAAGGTCAGGGTCAACAGGCTTGCCGGTCTCAAGCTTGCCATGCGCATAGAGGAAACCCCCGAGGGGTCCGAGGAGCTTCGTGTCACCAGAGTCAACGGTTTCCACCTCGGTCGCGATGAGAACATTGTCCTCAGCCGCGCCCTACTTGGCGATATCTCCGACACCAAGTTCAAGCTCATCAGAGACCTCACGTCAGTGAAGATCCACCATCTCTATGAGATGGGCGTGGCGGACGAGTTCACAACGACAACGACCACCACCAACCCTCATATGGAAGAAACGCTTCTTGAGGAGGAACAGTGTGACGATTTTACCGAGGGCGGAGACGACATGGAGGATGGTTACAACGCGCCGGATGCCGAGACGTCCCCTGACACTCTCGCAACCAACATCAACACACTGCTCCGCGCCTTCTGGTCGCAGGTACGCGCCGCTAACCCATCGAACGCCACGCGATCCCCTGGCAAGGCCCTTGAAGAAATCAATCCCGCTGGCCATCCCTTCAACGTCATCATCAATACCACAGCCATCACTCCTACCGGCGTGGGTGCCGCGCCCCTCCCGCCCGTAGACATGCCAGCCAACGCCAAAATCCCAGCCTTTGGGCCGATTCCCCCCTATATCCTGCCCTGGAGCACTATCTATGCCGCCGGCGATGCCTGCGAACTCCTACCGGAAGAAGGGCCCCGCGACCACCAGATCATCGTTGTCCGACGCGGTAGGTGCACATTCTCGGAGAAGTTGGCCAATATTCCCGCCTACAAACCGAGCCCGGACTCGCTGCAGCTCGTGATTGTCGTGTCCGAGGACGAAGAAGACGGGTACCCTGTGGCTGAGGGCGAGGCAGTACTGTCGCGACCGCTGTTGGCTGAGGAACAGCGTACGCCGGCCGGCATCCAAAGGCGTCACCCCATCGCCATGGTAATGATGGGCGGTGGGGAGGAGATGTACCGACGACTTGCAACCGAGGCGGTAAGGCTGGGTATGACGAGGAAATATGGCGTAGAGAGTGATGGACGGAGAATCAGTAATGTCATTATTGACGATGGGGATACGATGGCTCGAAAGTATTCGTGAAGGGACGACCCTGGTGTATTTTGGGGAGTCTTTTCTGGTCTAGCCTAATGGTGTTTAGGGTCGAACAGCTCTGGGAAGAAGTTGTGTTGAAGGGGTTAATTAATGAAAGGCATGGACGAAGAGAGCATCGCATTAGCACGGCGTGGTGGCGTAACTTGGTACCTGGATTTCCAAGGCGTTGTTGGGAAAGGCCTCTCATGGCTGGATAGAAGGGAGGAGCAACGGCGGGGAAGAGAGAGAACAACTTGTCATATAGACTTCGTCCGCACGGCAACATGACTTGACCTGCATGGCTGACTATCTCGTGCTGCGCCAAATGCCGTGCCCCATATCAAAAAACGGCCAACCACCACTTACAACAGTGAGCTGTTATCATGAAGAAAGACTCTCAGGATCTACACGCACGCACGCACGCACGCACTCCATATCTTAAGGGCAGTGCTTGCTGCTATCATGAACAAGTGATTGCATCTCTTATGTGCTCTTTTAAGCACCTTACTTCACTACTAATGATGTAGAGGCCCGATATGGTCTATTATGGAGAAAGGCCTATGTGCCTCGAGAGTCTATCGTGATAGCAGCCCCTTTCCTCCATGAATCCGCCCTCGTCCATCCTGCGGTGGCGGTTGGCATAGCCATGTGATTAAGGCATGAAGATTTTCGTTGTGATATCCTCCAGATACCGTCAACGCCCATCTCGATGCTAGAAAATACATACTTTTGTTTAAAAGCAGAATAAGAAAAAAGAAGAGGGGAAGGAACCAGGATTGGAAAGGGAGATTCGTAGTGACCAAGTGTAAATCGTATTGACTGAAAATTGAATCTCCGTCTGGATCTTCCCACAGGTAACTGCGCCACCAAAGCGTGGGGGATTGCTCCCGCGGGTGATGATGATTGACTGCAGACAAGGTGGGCTGATCCAAGTCAGGCCATCACCAGACCTGGGGAGATTGTTGAAATCCCACTCTTGCGTACCAGGACTGGGAAGCTCGGATGAAACGAGGCTTGTGTGGTAGTAAAGCGGACTCAGTAGAACGGAGCAACCAGGCCGAGTCGGTGTGCTTGTATGAGTGGGCATGTGGGTGTGTGTTTTCATGTTCAGCGTTGTCCGGGGAGGGGGGAGGAGGCGGTCTTGGTGTTGTCGTAGAAGATTCGACTCGAATGGATAATCTTTGCCGCGCCGACGGTAGATCATCTTTTGAGTGATTGACCAGAAAGGTAAGAAAAGATTCTTACTCGTTGATGTCGAGCAGGGTCACGACCGGGACATTGTCGAGCTTGTCGCGGCCCTTGAGGAAGGGAATCTCGACGATGAAGAGGTAGCCGATCAAGGTGCCTCCGAGCTGCTTGACGAGGTCGCCTCCAGCTGCAGCAGAACCACCTGTTTGTTTTTGTCGTCAGTTGTCAGTCGACCAGAGCATGCTTCTCCGCAAAGTAGCCAACGGATACATGTTCCAAGGTGAATGGGAGGGAAGGGAGGGGTAAAGAGAAGAAGAAAGGAAGAGTGACAAGTGCCATACCAGTAGCAATGATGTCGTCCACGATGAGGACCTTTTGTCCCTTGGCGATAGAGCCCTCCTGCATTTGGAAATAGTCGACGCCGTACTCCTTGGTGTACTGGGCGGTGACGCAGGGCCCGGGCAGCTTACCCTGCTTCCGGACGGGAACGAAGCTAGCACCAAGGCGCAGGGCAAGGGAGGGCCCGAAGAGGAAACCGCGGGCGTCAAGGCCGACGACGACATCAGGCTTGATGGAGTTGCCGTCAGTGCCGAAGTGCTGGAGCTGGAGCTCGAGAGAGCGGAGCAGGGTGGCGTGGACGTTCGGGTCGAGGAACCATGGCATGATATCCAGGAAGTTAATGCCGGGAATGGGGAAGTCGGGGAAGCGGCGGAGGGACTTCTCCAGGCTTATCTTTGCACTGGCGAGTTCGGCGGCGGTGGAGGAGGAGGAGGTGGACTGTCCTCGCGAGGCATGTTGGGCAGTGGCGGTGGCGGCAGGCTCAGAGGCAGCGGATGTAGTGGCCAGATTGCCCTGAGGTTCAGAGGTTGATGTCATGTTGAAGAAGGAGGAGAAGAAAGGAAGGGGGAAAGGAAGAGGAGAGGAGAAAGGAAGAAGGGAGAAGAAAGAGGGACAGGAGGGGCAGGACGGGGGGAGAGAGGGTGTGGTGAGAGAACCAGCAGCGGTGGTTATCGGGAAAAATTGTTGGCGCGCACTGCCTGTGTGTGTAGCGTTGCGGTGCAGTGCAGTGCAGTGCAGACGCTGTAGGAGCCTGATACTGTAGGGGGTGCCTGGGGGAGGGGGGCCCTGGAGGAGGACGAGGTGGTGGTGGTGACGACGGGGGTGTGCGTCAACGCTTTGAAGATAATAATGGTAATAATACTAATAACAAATGGAGAGACAGCCTGGGAGCCAGTGTGTGAGTGAGTGACTGAACAAGTAAATCCTGCAGCAAGGCCCGACTACGTATCGTTGCTAGACCAGTACTGTGGTGGTAGTACGACCTGACATGATACTTGCTCCCCACTAGCAAATGTCCAGCGGGCAAAGGAGGTGGGAAGATATCGTTCTGGAGGCGAAGCGGGAGAGGAGGACAAAGGCAAAAGACGAGGCCAGGGCGGGGCGGGCCCCACGGCAGAGCCAAGGCAAGGGAAGGAGCTTTGGGTTAGGAAGGGAAGGGAAGGTAAGGAAGGTAAGGGTATCGACATAGGGAAGGTAGGGGTGGGGGTGTGTGTATATTCTGCTCGTGCTCCATACCACTACTACTTGCATGTACATTGCGCAGGCATGTGGCTACTGATTATATGGGATGGATCTAGCAGCCTCATGTACGGACAAGTACCATGGTAACGTAGGACAAGATGAGAGAGAACGAAAAGAGAGCAGACACTCTTCTGTGAGAAACATACCAGGTGATTTCTACTGTATCAATATATTCTATGTGCTCGTGTGGCAAGCTTGAAGAGGTGAGCTTGGTAGGGTTCGTCTTTCTCTCAAAATGGTCCCGGATGGTTTCTCATTTCAGTCAAGACGGTAAGAGGAAGCGGAAGGAGAAGGAAGGAACACACCCCTTGGAAGGAACTGAATAGGGAATAGGCAGGAGGAGAAAAGAAGAAGAGGAAAAAGAGAGGGACAAGAAAAAAAAACCCAAATTGAAAGAAAAAGAACCAAAGAAAAAGAAGAAGAAATTTCCGGACTGGGTGGATACCTTAGTTTCGAGCATCTGGCTGCGCATGCGGCTGGTGTCATTCTAGGCATGTACTACATACACATATGTTGCTTCTAAAGTCACAAGTTAAATGTCTATATACATAGTACATAGTAGCAGAGGTGGAGAGATCTACATGGCCCTGGGAGAAAGAAGAAAAAAAAAGACCTCGTATCATGTACTTCACAGTAGATGGTGGGTGTTTGGTAGAGGTTCTGTAGGCAACAGAGACATGTTGTGTGTTTGTCTTTGAGCAAGTATGAGGTGCTATTACCCCGCCTATAAGAAATAAATTTTAGAAAAATTTATGCACTGAGAAGGGGGGCACCCTTGGCTACGATAAGCATGATAAGACTCGATAAGACCAGCCACCTGGAAGTGTACCCCTCCAACCCCTCCAAGCTTACTGTAGGGTGCCAAGCAAATGCTCCAAGCACAAAGCACTTTTGGATAGTAATTCATCTTACTTGTTACGACTGGCTGCATAACCACAGGCAGAAATATGCATCATCAGCATCGTCCTACTCACTCTACCCAACCTATCTATCTACCTACGTACTTTTGCACCTCTTGTTCATTTCCACACCCTCAAGATGGCGCTACTGCTAGCATCAATGCCCAACCATTCGGCACGGGTGACTTCATGCATGCATGCTTGCCTGCTTGCTTACCCAGGCTGCTACTGCGATATGAAGAGAGTCCTACTAGCATCGATGTGAGTGGAAGTGGGTGGATCAGTATAGTAACCTGTAAAGCAAAATTGCCTAATACGGATTCCCGCACCCTGACGCACCTGTTTCATGTGGCGTGCTCCCTGCCTCGTACTCGCATCATCCGCCCACGCCCTTAGCTCTCTTCTTCTTCTCCTCCTTCTCTCTCTCGTCCTCCGGCCGTGGACCTTCAAGCCCCCATCGTAACAACAGTAGCAGTCAGCCATTACAGTAACTGTACCTGACAGAGCCTCGAGTGGCGCCCTGTTTTTCCTCTTGTCGGTTTTTCCCGGATTGCCTATTTGCTTACCGTCAGCCTCCGGACAACCTCGCTGAGACCCGACCAGAGGTCATGCATGCAGCTAACTGTACTGTAGCAGTACTAGCCAGTCAGTCAAGCAGGTCTGGGTCTTTTCTTCTCTTGCTCTCTCTACCTCTCTGCACATATCACGGTGGTATGACTCGCCCAGGCAGCCCATCCCGCCCATGACCGACGTCGCTAGATGCCACCCATCTAAAATCTCACCGCCAGTCTTCCCATCCAATATCTCTTTCTCGCCTCTCCCAAGACCAGTCCCGACAGAGCATAAATCAGCATGTGAACCTCAAAGCCAGACCGGCAACTCGGGATGCAGTTGGACCTGTACAGGTATACATGCGTACATGGCACTTCTTAGTTACTCGTTGTAACATACTACAGGCAATCTCTTCCTCGCGCCTCCTTTCTCTCCTTCTCTACTCTTCTTGCCCCCAAGTCAGCCTCCACGCCCTTACCAAGTGGCATCGGCACACATGATGGTGATGTTTGGCTCGCTCGGTGGATCTCCCGACATAGCGCCGGCACCGTTGATTGGGACGGATCCTCTGAGCCGGGCCACCTTTTGATTCGGAGCGGTACAAGAGAAAAGAGGAAGAGATACTATAAAGAAGGCGTGTGCCTCACCTGCTCTTCCTTGAGTTTCTGTTCAGCCATGGCAAACGTGGAGATTGTGTGAGCAAGCTCTTTATCTCCGCCTCTCTCTCTTTCTTGTGAGAAATTAGTTCGTACATGGACCCGGTGGCTGCATCGGGAACTACATGAGAGGCGTATGCCGATCGCCTCCGCCGCCAAAGGGGTTCGTCGGCGTAAGCCGCATGTTGTGGTGGTGTGTGGCTGCAGATACAACTTTCCGGATTACGCCATTCGATGGGCAAGCAAGCCTTGGTTTCATTCATTCCTGCCTAATGATACATCGGCGTGCAACATTACAAGACAACTCTTTTTCACTCTCGGGCTTTTGGCGTCTGGGACAGAGAGAGAGAGTGTGTGTGTGTGTGTAGATAGCAGCCCCGATGTGCCGCCCATGCATAAAAGTTTCCTAGTCCCAGTGTTCGCCGAGACAGTGATCGTCATCGTTCGCAGAGAAGGAAAAAGGAAGAAAGTCTGTCTCCCTTTCCCCCATGTCTAGCACGACAACCAAAAGCGGCTTATAGAGTGAAACCTGCATATGCAGATTGACAATGTTATGGTTCAACACAATGTCTCTTATGCACAGAACCACCTCGTACATTATCTCTTCTCCCCTCGGGGTATCATGATGCTAAGGTACCTAATTCTAAGCGCTTGTGCTTGCATTACCTCGCGTTGGGGTGCTAAGAAAATCATAAGAGGAGTAAAAAGGAAAAACAAACGACAGGGCCGAGAAAAGGCCAGCAGCAAATGAACAACAACGGACTCCCGCAAAATGCCAACACATCTATCAGGAATACGTGCTCTGTGATATGGCCAACTGACCCAGTGACCCGGGGAAGAAGAAGGATAGAAAAGAAGGGAAGAAGGGGCGGAAAGCAAGAGAGAGAGGGGGGGGGGGGAGGTTGGATTTTCTTTCCCTTCTACACCCCATCCACCCCTTGCTTGACCCTAGCAGAGACAAAAGAGTCCTTGGCCAAAACAACGAGAGCCATTCGACCACACCTATATGGAGTAACTTATCATTGTAGGTTGCCAGCCACTTATAAGCCAGCAGCCTGCCAATCACCGGAATTGCAACCTCACAATCGAGAACAGCATGTTCTGTAACACATGCAACACAACCACCACGCTCGTCGGCAGCAGCTCTGGCCAGACAGCCAAGTCGAGACTGCCCTCGGCCACAACGTCCACCTTATAGATCCACCTGATGAGGCCTGCGACGATGAAACTCGCGACGAGCTCACACGCCCACGTGACGGCAGAGGCATAAAATGTCAGCTCAAAGGTATAGTTGTACGGATCTCCCGTCTTGGAGGGGTCCTCGTCAAAGGAGAAGTAAGGGTAGACGTCCTTGTTGGCGCCAAAGTGCAGGACGACCACGGAGCCCAGGAAACACAGCATGCTGGTGTTCTCGGCCAGGAACCGGATGAAGACATTGCGCACCCCTATCTTCTGGTAGGCGGCATAGGACTGGCCGTTCATGCCGAGCACGGTGAGTACCCAATGGAAAGGGGCCGACAGCAGGATGGGGGTGAGGATGATGAGCCCGGAGGAGGAGAGCACCTGCAGCAGGATGAACTGCTGCGGTGACCGCAGGCGGGCGTACAGGGCGCGCACATATGTCTGGTAGGTGAGCATGAAGTAACTACAAAGAGACAATGGTGGTTTTGTTTTTTGCTTTTAGCCTCGTCACACGAACATCTGGGAGGGGAAGAAGAGAAGGGAGTAGTATAGTCGGTACGCACAGTTTGAATACCCAACTCAACGGGTAGCTCCCCACCCTCTCGCCCTGGTTCCCGCCCAGAATCCAGCCGGTCAGGCCGTCGAGCAGGTAGACGGTCAAGATCCACCCGTACACATACACTATGGTGTCGAGTGAACTATGGGGCAGGGTGCGGAGGTAGACCTCCGCATACGCCTCCCCTATCACGTAGGCAAGCAAGCCGATTAGCAGCGCCGTGCAGAACCAGAGGAACCGCACAAAGCTGGCCGGAAAGAACCTGGGCCGCAGCCTGACAGGAACGCGCCGGGGCGCAGCGTGATCTGCCACCCCTAGCCCGTTGACTTGTATGTCAGGGGTCTCAAGGTTTCCCCATAGGTCCTCGGCCCGCCGCCGCCGCTGCTGTTGCTGCTGCTGCTGCTGTCGCCGCCCGTTCGCCCTCAGGTCAGGCCCGTCATCCTCGCCCGTCCACCAGGAGGAGGTGAAGATGCGCTGGGTCTCGGAAAGCGAATGGCGCAGACCCATGTGCCGCTCCCTGGTGAGGAGAATGCACGAGGCAATCATGACGGGCATGGCCATGATGCAGAAGGTCCAGCTGATCCAGACGGTGTTGTGGGTCGTCAGGAAGTTGGCCTCGGGAATGTGGTACAGCACGATGGGGCCGGCGGTGCCGAGGGTTGCGATCAGGCAGATGGTCAGCGGGAACCCAAGGGCAGACGGCCACCAATTCAAGCTGTACAGGTTGAACACCTTTGTGATCCACACCAGGGCCGTCAGGTTGTAGAAGGCATAGTAGACGAAGACGAAGAACCAGAAGTTGACCTCAACCTTGGCCTCGCCGTGCCCAGGCGTCCGACGCCGGCCGTCGCCACCGCCGCCAGGCTTGTTATGGCCGTCCCAGTCCTCGTCGTCCCCCAGCGGGTACTGCGGGAAGGGGATCGCGCACCAGCCGACGGCTAGGACGGCGGGCAGCACGACCAGGACGGCCCAGCGCGACCACCAGACACGGGCAACCTTGTTCACGGTGGTCTGCTTCGGGTTGATCCAGAGCTCGTCTACCGCCCTCCACTGCCTCCTGCACCACCTGACCCATGCCGGTCTCGTCTCGTCGTCAAATTCATCGTCGTCGCTGCTGGCCGCCTCGTCGTCCAGGCCGGCCGAGATCAGGGCGCCGTAGCCATGACCGATGTGCACGCTGTTGCGCCAGGACGAGTGGGTCAGCAGGCCCAAGCTCCCGCGGCGGTTGGAACGGCCGTCGCGCGGGACAGCACGAAAGCGACCGAGGAGGGGTGAAGCCTCGCCTGTAGGGAAGCGGGATCGCGACTCGTTGCCTTGCTCGAAGGAGAAGAAGGAGGGCATGTCGGGGACGCGGAAGTTGTCTATGGTCGTCGACCTCCGCAGGCGATGCTAAAGCTCGAGAGGGCGCATTATCAATGAGCCGGGAGGAGAGGAGGAGAAGGAGGGGTCTGGGGGGGTTTTTTTTTTTCCTTTTTCTTTTTCTTCAGGGTCTGCAGAGGAGGGGCAGAGGGGACATCCCATGAGACTGGAGGTTCAGAGTGGGTGTGGGGGGTTCGTAGTCAATGCGAGACAAGACGTGATGGTCCGTTGTTGCGCTGGCGGGTGGACCCTGAAAATGGCATGTACCGAAGATTCCAATGGCTGTTGTAGCTTTTGTACAGTGGTACGTTTGTACCCTTGTACCCTGTTGATAGCACCTCTAACCTGCCCTCAAGGTGCTATAGTACGCGTGCCGGTGCACTGTTGACCACTAATCGTCTTGAATTCGGATGGCCTCGTTGCTGTACTAACCCTTTGACTATAAACATACACATCTTGCGTTCCTCTTCTGTGTTCAAGTCAACGTCAATTTGTTCGATTTGAAATACATGATAAGCTTAGAAGTTCACACAACCGCACCAACCAGTTCATGCCCTCTCACATTCGTCAGCCAGCTAATTCTCAATTATTCAACCCATCAATTTTCTTTCTATTTATTTTTAGCGTGCATCCTCTGTTTCGGGTGCTTGCTGCCGAGGCCATTTAACTGGCCGGCGTCACCTTTTACCTTTTTCTTCCTGATTCTCTTTTTCTTCTTTTTGTCTAATGGAAAATAAAAGACAGCATATTCTCTCACTACCTCGGCAGGAGTCCATGGGGTCGCAAGGAGAATGCCAATTGGAGATGGGAAGACTACTTCACTAGCACGATAAAAGATAAGAAGTGTGAAGGCGGAAAGCAGTTTATCAGGCCATTCCGGGGGTATCGATCTGGGGGTACGAGTGTATGCGTAGTATACGTATGGTACAAGATTTCGTGCACCTTGTTTGTCCTTCCAGCTGTGTCCTGTCCACCAATGACATCAGAATCCGTCGTCGTCGAGATCGTCACCAAGCTCGCTTTCCTCCTCATCGTACTCCTCCGAGTCTCCGTCCGCTGAGCCATCGCTGCTCCTGTCTCGGGCACTGGCACTGGCAACACCCTCCAGTTCATCCACAGCATCAACATATTCGGCATGTGATGTTGTCTCCGTGTCTGACGGGTCGTCGTCCGCCTTGACGTCGTCTGCAAACATGACCGCCTTGTTGTGGCTGTTGGATGGTGACTTTCCAGGCGGCTCCAGCACATCTCCGCTCCATGGCCTGCACTCCTTGGCCACCTCTCCGCAGCGGAGACATGTCCACCCCTCGCCGTCCTCGCCCTCGATCCGCGTGGCAAGACATACGAAGCAATACACGCAACCGCAGGGGATCGTCTCGTAGGGGTTCGTGATGTCGGTCTGTGCCGAGCCGACGACACCGCTTGACGCGGCGGCTGCTAGGATCTCCTGCTCTGTCGACGCCGTGTTTTGGTCTTGGTAGCAGATGGCGCAGGTCCGCTCCGGCAGGAAAGAGTACTCGCCCCGTTTTTCGCCGGGCTCGCCGTCGGTGGCGGCGCTGCTCGAGATAGCCCTCTTAGTCTTGCGCCACGCCCTCGTGAGCCACCTCCGCCATTTGTTGATGCCGATGAGCGGCAGCACGAACAGCAGGAACTCTGTGAATGCGTGCCAGACCAGCTGCCGGTTGAGATACTCAAACGAGACCTCCCGGCTGACCTGGCTGGTGGGCGGCGCCAGCCTCATGCGTAGGATCCTATCCAGCAGCGTCCTGTAGCGGCCGTGCAGCAGGAAGACCAGGAAGGACACGAAGGCTGCCCCGGCATGGACAGACTCGGCCGCGGATGTGAGCCTCCGCAGTCTCTTGACCCTGGGGTGCGGCTCCTCATATCCGTTGTCCTGCTGGAGCAGCCAGCCTTCCAGCCTCGTCCATGCATACCCCCCACCCACTGTGACTAGCCCGTACAGCGTCTTCTGTACCCTCGACGGCGGGATCGTCACGGGCCCCTGGTGTCTAGCGTCTGTGTATCGTAGGTTCTGCAGGGCAGCACCATACGTGGCGTCGTGGTCCCAAACCGTCAGCTTGAACAGGACGGCCCGCAGCACCAGCAGGATTTCCTGGGCCCAGTCATCCTTCAGTGTGCTGCCCACGCCACCAATATACTTGAGCGCATCCCCCACCTGCTCCTGCAGCAGGGTCAGCAGCTCCTCGTCCAGGAGCTCGGCGTCGACCTGCCCCACGCGGAAGGCAGGCCTCGTTCCCTCGCGTGACGAAAGGCTGTCCCATAAGGACAGTGCGCGGCCGCCGAAAGCGCGGAGGAGGGGCGAGCGGTTGGAGGCGAGCTGCGAGCGCAGACGGGAGGCGGACTGGTCGGCGGCGACGCGGGCTCGAGACTGGGCTTCGCGGGCGGCGCGGCGCTCGGCCAGGCGGGCCTGGGCTTGGGCGAAGGACGGACTAGTCATTAGAGAAGCATGGGAACAGACGGCGACAAGGAGGAGGAGAGGGAGGAGGAGGAGGAGGATGCAGGCGTGCCTGCCGCAGATGAGCAACAACGGCTGTCGGCAGCGTGCGATGCGAAAAAGAGAGGCTCTTGGAAGTGTGCTTTCCAAAGACAGAGAGGTATGTTTATGTCTTTCTGTGTGCGTGTATGTATGCTGAGCTCAACAACAGAATCTGGCTATCAGCTGTCAACTGTCTGCACCTCTAACAGAGACGGTCGGTCTCTCGAGGGCGGATAGTTGGTGTTCAAGATGAAGCTTGTGATGGAGGAGAAATGGCTGCTGATATGCCGAGGTTCTTTCGGGGACCCCAGATTCTGGGGATACCAGGGGTGGCCCTGACCACTAACAAAAATGGCACAACCTCTGCTACTGCGTACTACTACTGTACCATAGTGGTACCACCACTAGCTAGTTACTACTGTATTTACTACTGTCACTAATCAATCACCACCAACTTATCACCAACTACTACCAACTACCACCACCACCACTCCTTCTCCTTCCATAAACGTAAAGCCGCACCAAAAGCTTAACAGTCTGTCCCCTCAGTTTCTCCCCCAAACAATGTGTACACTTCCCTATACCTTGACTACGCTCGAGACAGGTTGCCTCCCTCAGACCGCTGCGTGAGTCGCACGTACAGAGGCCTTTTTTCCCACAGCAGGAACACCTTCTGCCTGCTCCAGTCGGCACTCTCGGGCATGAGTTCCATGTCGAAGACCATGATCAGCCTGGACAGGGTGATCTTGGCCTCCATGTAGGCCAGGCTGCGGCCGATGCAATTGCGCTGGCCATAACTAAAGGGCTGGAACACGTCCTTGTTGTCGTCGACGAACCGCGCCGGGCACGGCTCGAGCCACCTCTCGGGGACGAAAGCCCAGGGGTCCCGAAAGTTGGCGTCGAGGTGGAACGCCGCCCAGTGAGGGACCTGGAGGATTGTGCCCTCGGCGACGAGCCTGCCGTCTATGACCGCGCCGCCTGGCGGAACGGTCCGGTTGACCCCGGCGGGCAAGGAGGGGTGGATCCGCAGGGCCTCGTTGATGACGGCGACGAGGTACGGCAGCCTGCTCACCGAGGAGAAATCGATTTCTTCCTCGCGCGTGAACGTCCCGCGGATCTCCGCCTCGAGCTTGCGGAGCTTGTCTGGGCTGCGGAGGAGGTAGTAGACAGCCGCGGCCAGCAGGGTGGCTGACGTCTCGGAGCCGGCCATCAGGAAGATGTTGGAGTCCGCATACAGCTCGTTGGACGTGATGCCGCCGGGCTTGTTGATGTACTTCATGAAGCCTGTGACAAAGTCTGGTCGGTCCGTCTTCCGAGCCAGGCGCCTGTCGACCTTGTCTCTTGTCGCCTGGGCGTGCGATATGGCCTCGGCCCAGACCTTCCTGGGGACCAGCATCTCGATAAACGCCCCGAGGTACCCCATCGTGGTGACCATCTGGGCGTACATCATGTTCGTCAGGTTGGAGAAGATGAAGGAGATCCAGGGGTGGAACTGGCCGTCCTTGACGCAGCCGAACGGCTCTCCAAACGTCAGGTCCCCAATCACATCAAACGTGAGGTAGTTGAACCAGGCCCACAGGTCCACCACCTCGCCCCTCGAGGCGCGCTCGCCGAGCTTCTTGGTGAGGAGCTCCGCATAGCCCAGGATGATGGGCTGCTGCGCTCTGAGCGAGGTCTCGGAGAAGGACGTGGCGAGGACCCTGCGGTGGCGGAGGTGCTCGGTATGCGACTCGAGCCAGAGGAAGGCAGTGGCCCCAAACATCTTCTGGTCGTGCTTGCCCAGGGTCGACTGAGGGGGCATCGATTTCTTGCCGCCACGGTTCCCGTAGATCTCCCGCAGCGCAGTAGCCGACGTGTAGGTCAGCTCGTTGGGGGCAAGGCGGACGACAGGCCCATACTGCTCGTGGAGCTCGAGCATCTTCTCGTGCACAGTGCCCCTGATCTGCTGTATAATCTTGGGGAGATGAGAGCCGCGGTAGAGGACTGGCCCAGGAAATTGTGCCAGTGGGTGGAAGTAGATATTGTACAGGAACTGACACAGGGCCACGACGGCGGCCTGTGGGTGGGCACGTTTCTGGTTAGCTGAACTTCTATGTGCCTTTGATCTGTTGGGGGGGGGGGGGGTTGGGAAGAGGGGAGAGGGGAGAGGGAAGGGCCAGTGCCCAAGTTGAACCTCACCAGGATAGGTAACCCAATGACGAAGTTCCATGGCTTGAGCCAGCCAGGAGACATGTTGTTGAGGTCAGGCTCCATGACCGTGAGACGTCGGACTGTCTTGCACGATGATGCAAAGGTTTTCAAAAGTATATAGTTGTCTATAAAAATATGCTCGTACCGGGACGGACGGGTAGGCGGGTCTGAAGTCCTGTCGGCTGATGAACTCCAGGGTAGCAGAGAAAGATCTCAGTATACAGACGGATGGTGTTTGAAATATAGCAGTCCCAGCTGCACTGTATGTATGAAGACAAATTCCGAATGGATTCGGGATGTGAGAGAAGGGGGCGGCTACACGATCCACCCTCCAGTCGCTCACTCTCAGAGTGCTGCTTCGCTAGTTTAAAAAGGAACATGTCGAGCTTGTGCTTCGTCACCTGCAGTGAATAAGAAGCTATTAATGCTCTCTCTCCCCACACACACTAGGGATGGTTCTGCATACGTACCTGCGCGGTGCACGCGTGGTCTGCTGAGGCTTTGGCCCACCTGGGTTGATGTAGGCACCAGGTAGCACCGATCTACAGTGCCAGCACGAAGGCTCTTGATGTGGAGTAGAAAGCACCGGCGTGGACATAGCTTCAGGATACCAATCTACTCGAGACAATGTACTAGTCATGCCAGAGATGTCCATGTCACAATTGAAGGTCCATTTCAGTCCTGGGCCGTATGGAGAAGCCGGAGGAAGGGAGGGGGATTTAGTCTACACTCGATTGTTTGAGTTCTCTAGCCCTTATTCTCTCTCTCTCTCTCTCTCTCTCTCTCTCTTTGGTCCAACCCCCCAGAGAGTTGTAGCGAAGCCAAACTCCAAGAGATTATCACACCACGGACAAGTGCTCATCATCTTCACAAGCATATGATCTTACACAAAACCTGACCGGGTCCCCGCGGAACACATTCGGCACCATTCGGCACCGTGCCCTTATGCACACAGAAGCAATGATGGAACTGTGGCTTGTTGGCGCCCGGGACTAAACCTGCTCTTCCGCTTCTCAGCTGTTGTGGTCCTCAATTTTTTCGAATCAAAGGGGCTTGTTCTTGTATCCATGACACGGGTTCTAGTCTTCCGGCAGACTTTCATCTGTTCAAGTCCTACCCGATGCGCAGAAGGGCAAGGCTGAGTGACTGGCTGGCTGGCTAGCTGGATGGATGGATCCAGAAGTTTTGGCCAATATTGGAACGTAATCATCACCGTGCTTGTTGCCTGGTTAGAATCCCATAGTGAAGCCCAACGAAGTACATGTTACTGGGTGTGGTCGCTCCTGACCGACTGTTTATGCTCACTCTGATTCTAGGTAAGTTTTCATGTGGCGATGCGTGATCCGCCAAAAACATCGTGAGCAACGGGGTGAGATTGAGCTCAGAATCGACTGGGTCATTTTCACGCTTGGCTGACGACTTTCCATAGCACGGCATGAGGCAGAAGATAGTGCTTTTGATTGTCTACCTGTATACAGTCACAAGCCAGAACATGAACACTCCGTGTCCACGTTTCCCCCAAGAAATCGCCCAGAATTCACATACTCTAAGTCGACTGGAGCAGCGATGTGTGGGTGGTGTCGGTTTGCACTTTGCATACCCAAGGACACCCGTGATTTTGGCTGACGTGGCGATAGTAAGGGAAGCTGGGAAACGGAAAAAGAAACACTCCCCCCAAGAAGAAGAAAAAGAAAAGATGAAAACCAATCCGAGTCGACGGGCCGATCTGGCACTCACTTCGCATAAACGAGATAGACGAGATCTGACCTGTCGCATGCTTGGTACGGATCGACTGCAGAAGAGAAGTAAGCCGCAGGTGGCTGCCGCCAGTAAGCCTTGAATTCTCCACCATCTGCAGCTTTCTGACGCCAAACTCACGCCACTATCACAACCTCATCATTGGACCGAACCCCCTTTTTCGTGCTCCTGTGTTTCCCCAGTCGGCCCCTGTTGCCGGGCTTAGTTTCTCTCGCCTCACACTTCTTCTTGGTGAACCTAGTACTGGTACGTGATTGTCTTCGTCCGTACCCAATCGTCCAAGCCAATGCTAGCGTTGAACCTGCCAAAGCCCGAGGCCTTCGCGCCACCGTGCGGCAGGGCGGCTTCGTCGTGAACGCTCATCGAGTTGATGTGGCAAGCCCCAGTCTCGATTCCCTTGGCCAGTCGCAGACCTCTCCTGAGGTCCTCTGTGAACACTGCCGACGACAGGCCATACTCGGTGTCGTTGGCGATCCGCAGCGCCTCTTCGTCACTCTCGAACTCATACAGCGCCACCGAGGGACCAAAGGATTCCGTGCGGTACAGATCCATCTCGGCCGTAATGCCTTTGATTATAACGGGGCGCAGGCGGGTGGCTGAAGACTCGGCCGCCTCGAAGTCTCCGTGCAGCAGAGTCGCTCCTTTGCCCGTGGCATCTCGAAGGAGCTTTTTATTCTTCTCCACCGCAGGCTGAGTGATGAGCACGGGCGCATCGGCGGTTGCCGGGAAGATCTTCTTGGTAAACTCGGCGAACTTCTTCTCGAACTCAGCGGCCACAGTCTTGTGCACGATGATCTTCTCCGTGCTCATGCAGATCTGTCCCGAGTTGAGGAAGGCGCCGAGTGTGCACTGCTGGGCGGCAAGATCCAGATTGGCATCCTCGCAAACGATAGCAGGAGCCTTGCCGCCCAGCTCGAGAAGCACAGGCTTGAGGTTCTGGCCGGCAAGCTTGCCGATGATTCGGCCAACTATGGTGGAGCCCGTGAAATTTACCTTCTTGATGTGGTCGTGAGCGATCAGCGAGGCGGTCACGGCTGCAGCGTTAGCCGGCTCATGGACGATCATGTTGAGCACTCCCTCTGGCAGACCAGCCTCTGCAAGCACAGAGCAGATGCCCCGCATGGTCTTGGGGCAGAACTCGCTGGGCTTGAAGACAACAGTGTTCCCAGCCGCCAGGGGAAAGACGACAGACCGGGTCCCAAGGATGTAGGGAGCATTCCTATTCCAAACACACATTAGTCTTCTCTCCTCTAGAGCAGCAAGCTTATCGATAACCATCGATAAACGGATGAATGAGTGTGGACGCGAGCTGACCATGGGGCTATCGCCAGAACCACACCAAACGGTTCTCTCAGCACCAGAGCGCCCGTGCTGGGGTCTTGAGGCGTGGGGATCGAGCCTTCAATCGCGACAAGCCGTCCGGCCGCGTCGAGAATCAAGCTCTGGGCGACCGTGATGTTGAAATCCGCCCATTGCCTGGGAACCCCCAGCTCTTCCATATGCGTAGTCGCCAGCTCCTCCCGCCGCCTCTCCATGACCTCTGCAGCCTTCAGAAGGATCTCGCGCCGCTTTGGTGGCAGCAATGCCTTCCAGGCGGGGAGAGCCTTAGCCGCCGCGTCGACTGCGGCCAAGGCATCGTCCTCGCCTGCGCTGCTGCACTTGTGGACCACTTTGCCCGTGGCCGGATTCGAGACATCAAAGGTCTTGCTGCCCAAGACATCTTTCCCGTTGATGAAGAAGGGGACGGTCTCCAGCTTGCCGTGGTCCGTCGTGCTCGTGCTTTTGGACGCCATTATGCTGTATGAGTGGACTTTGCAGAGCGCAGCTTTTCCCTTCCTTGTCTTGGTTAATCTGCGCTGCTTTGAAGATGAAAAGGGGAAGTAGAAGAAGAGTAAGGGGGGGTAGTCTATATACAAACCCGCTCTAGTTATTTGTAGGAGTGTTAGTTGATGGGTCTGGGCGGATCGTGATCAGAGCTGCCCCTCCTCGAACCGTCGATCTTCTTTGCTAGTTATATGTACTGGTGCTATCGCCACTGCCTCTCTTTTTTTTTTTTTTTTTTTCTGTTTTGTGTCTCTCTTCGTCTCCCTCTGGTCAATGCACAGTCAGTCGAGCCTGCATTTATTTAAAATTGCTGGTTCATACGACATCGGGCAGAAGATATTCCTCGGTTTCTTGCCCACGTCTCATCTCCTAGCCAATCCGTGGTCTTGGAGCTTAAATCCTAGTGTCGCACACTACTACTACATCCGTGCTGGCAAGGCAGGGCTTTCACCAAGTCCAAGTGAAGGAGCGAGGCCTGCAAGTTGGAACCCCGCATCTCGGTAATTGAAATGGATAGTCAATTGGCTACACCACAACAGCAACGTTGTGTCCCTACTGGAGCGATTCATTGTCAAGGAGGGGGAGGTTACACACGGCGCAGTGAATGAATATCGCATTCTCTGGCCCCTGAACCTCAGCTAAGGAGGTGGCCGTAATCAATGCAAGCGTCATGCGATGCACTGTCCATGGACAAGTCCAAAATTTTTAGGGACCTACGTGAATTCACTGAATGCTTACACAAGCTTCGGGATCTTGAAATGCTCGTGAAGTGCATCGTCAACGGTGCAGCCCAGGGCTTTGATGGGCAAGATGATGGTCAGGTCATGTGAAAGCCTGGACAACACGACGCAGACTGTGACCGGTGTGCTATTGATGTCCAACGTGCATGCACGCATGAATTGCGAGAATCATCCTTGCTGGCTGGCAGGAGGCTTTGCCGTTTTGGTGTCATGAATATAATTATCGGACGTTATTATTACCTACGTTCGAGCCATGAAAACAGCGGTGGCGCAGAGGTCAATATGCTCACCACAATCAGAAACGTTCACTCACCAAACTGAAAGAAAATCTTGGGACAAATGAGACAATCTGCAAAAAACAATTGATCGCCTGGATAGCGATGATGGTGTTGTGTTGCCCACTATCAGAATCGAACTGATGACCTTATCATTACTAGTGATACGCTCTACCACTGAGCCAAGCGGGCGTTGAAATGCGCCTGGACGTATATACTCATATAGCTGACTAGTCATGATACCGGAAACTGCGCGTCTTTGCAATTTCGTGGTCCTCTACCCTTGAGTCGCCATAGATTCCTAATTGAGTAATTAGACCAAGATTTCATGAATTGTTTCCTGTACTTGACAAAATGTTGCAGCTGAATTCAAGCTGAAGCAGTCAGTGGATTCACCATGTATGTATTCTCATTCAAAGGCTTTCAAACCAGAAGTTGAACATACACAGCCTGCATTCCTATGGCCCTCCCGCTGGCCACTGCAACTTAGATCAAGAGCTCAGCATGAGTATACTAATTCAAATCCAGATCATATTACTGCGAAGAGACAAGTAGGACAGATGGATATGAACTGATGGCTACGGATGTTTACAGGCGGTCACTTGAAGTTGGGTGCTGCCTCACATGAACCCTTTACTTTATTTTCGGTATAGCGAAGGTGATGTGCTTCAGCAGCTCAGTTAGTAGATAAACATGGCAAATACGCGGCCATCAGTCAGATGCAGCTACTTCCAGAGCTTCCGCCGTCAACAACCGGCCAGAACCACACTGCGAGGCAGTATGAAGGGCCCAGGGTATCAAGAGCTTTACAAATGCCTCAATGCCCAGCGCAATTCCATGTCTGTGTGCTTCGAGAGGCGCAAGCCCCCCAGCCCCCCCTCCCCACATACAAAATTGTTGATTCTTCCATAAGCTATCACAAGCTGCCCGAGGCTTCTTGAAACACACAAGAGAGCCACCTTGAGTGCGACGCCTCGAGGAGGAACCTCGGCGAGGAACCTCGGCATTACCGTGGTACAACCATCCACTGAATATGGCACATTCATTCAGACCGAGACTTGTGACCTGTGGGCGAGGCTGTTGCTGCGTGGCGTGGAGAGCAGGCGGACTGCCCGTCGCAGGGACTTTCTTGACGGACACGTTCCCTGCTTCTGCCGCCTTCAGGCTGCACGTATGTTTTCACCGGTCTGGACAGCATCGTGCTGATGACGACCTTGCACGATCAGATGATCAAGATGGGGAATCTGGCTTGCTGCGTAGGAATGTCTTGAAGACGGGCGAGTCGGTGCAATCTATCCATGAATAACCCAGTTTACCGAGATACTGCTCAAGATCTTTGACCTCATGCTCGGGGCACAGGATGCCGGCAAGAATCTTGGCGGTATCCCCACCAGAGTTGCGGTACTGGAACAAGCTGATGTTGTGCTCCGGCCGCAATGTGTTCAAGAATTTGTCGAGCGCGCCGGGTCTCTCGGGGAAGTTGAACATGTATAGACGCTCGTTGGGCACGCTGGATGTACCGCCAACCAGATAGCGGATGTGGCTCTTGGCCAATTCGTCACCAGAGAGATCCGTGACCGAAAACTGCCCGTTCTCATCGCTGCTTATGGAGTCAATGCGGTGCATCAGACCCTGCAGCTCGGATGAGCGCTGCGATGCCGCTGCCATAAGACTCAGGCCAAGGAGCACATTCGCGCCCGAGGAGGCAGTATACCGATAGCTGAATTCGGTGACAGCGTGAGGGAGGATGGCACTGATGAGTTTGGCAAAAGACCCAGGTCGCTCGGGGATGTAGCAGGCCAGGAGGACCTCCTTCCCAGCACCCACATCGGCGCGCTCGGCGACAAAACGAAGGCGGTCAAAGTTCATGTTTGCGCCACTCGTGATGGCGACAAGAGACCGGTTTGGATCAGAGGAAGGGTGTGCAGCCACCCACTTCTTCAGACCAGCTACTGCCAAGGCCCCAGCGGGCTCGACGATGGAGCGCGTATCCTCAAAGACGTCCTTGATGGCAGCGCAGGTCTCGTCCGTCGAGACTTGGATGATCTCGTCGACCACCTCCTGACAGATGCGAAAGGTCTCCTCACCCACCTGTTTGACGGCGGCACCATCGGCGAACAGACCGACCTCCTGAAGAACGACGCGCTCACCCTTGGCGAGGGACTGTGCCAGAGCATTGGCGTCATGGGTCTCGACACCAATGACCTTGACGTGAGGGGCAATACGCTTCACATAGACGCCTACGCCTGCGAGCAGGCCGCCACCGCCGACACAACAGAAGACGGCCTCGAGCTTCTGTATGTTGGTCTGGCGTAGGAGCTCAAGGCCGATGGTGCCCTGACCGGCAATGACATAGGGGTCGTCGAACGGTGGGATATTGATCAGGCCGTCCTGCTGCTCCCTGCGCGCGCACTCCTCCTTGGCAGCATCAAAGTCGGCCCCGTGCAGGACGACATGGCCACCCAAGCGAGAAACATTGAGGTGCTTGATGCTCGGGGTGCCCTCAGGCATGATGATAGTGGCGGGAATCTTGAGCTTGCGGGCCGAGTATGCGACGCCCTGGGCGTGGTTGCCGGCACTACAGCAAACAACGCCACGCCAGCTCTCGTTGGGCTCGAGATGGGCCATCTTGTTGTACGCGCCGCGCAGCTTGAAGCTGAAGACGGGCTGTTCATCCTCACGCTTGAGCAGGACATTGCACTCAAGGCGGTTGCTAAGGTTGACGGCCGGGGTGAGGGAGGTCTCGGTGCAGACCTCGTAGACTCTCGAAGTCAGGATAAGGCGCAGGTAGTCAGGATGACCGCTAGGGAGGATAAATTCGGCGGGTACAATCTTGCGGACGCGACTAGAGGGTGAGGAGGAGGAGAGGGTTAAGGGATTGGCGCTGTACTCGGTCATGGCCAGCGCCGTCATGCTGGGCGTCCTGGCGGTATGTCCACGGTGGTCATCTTGCCCTTGGTCTTGAACTGATGGCGTGTGGGCATCGTGCCCATCCTGTCCGTTGCTATCAGCCTGCTCCAACGGTGTTGGCATGGTCTGTTTGTGGTGGCTGTGGTCAGTGTGAATAGTCTGTGGTTGTACAGGTCCAATTGGGAGCATATAGGAGACCAGACCTTGACTGAATTATTTTATGTAGTCAGCAGAAGACCAGGATGGCTTGAAAGGGGTGTGCGAACAGAAGTATAAGAAGAAATGAAGGGAAAAAAGATGACTCCCAGTAGCAGCAGCAGTAGTAGCGACGTCGGAGGCTATCTTATGACAGTATACTAACCAGTACATGACTGGTACCCTGAAAACCAGACTACTGATGGTGGGGTTCTGGCCCTTGCATTTACAGACTGATTCATTCTAACCTGGAGATTGCAGAAGTAAAATGCTCTTTCACAGACATGCTCTTGAGTTGTGTAAAATCTACGAGCCCCAGGATCATACTCAAGAGTTTTTGGCCCTCTCTGGCCCTCCTCGAATGGACATGATGCTTGAGTGGGTGTAAGGAATTGATGGCGAGGCTCAAAGTACAGATCAGGTAGCTTCTGCAACCTAGCTGCAGGGTGCTGAGAAGCTCACCCCTGTCCTCTGCTGCAGCCATTGCCCAGTACCGTGCCAGGCATTTGAGGTACAAGGTACAGAGGTACCCACCCATGCGTACCCCTCTGTGCTACGGTACAATGTTCGACTCGAAGAGCCCCAAACCCCAAAAAGTCATTGCATCACATCACATCACCTAAATTCACTTTCAGCCTCTATGCGCACAGAGCGATGCTCTGCATAAACCCCCTCCTTCTCCTTCTCCTCCACAGTGCCTCAACTATACACAACATAGTGAAAGAATAATCCAACTCACAATGACAAGTCCAGTCAGTGGCAGGCCGCTGCCATCCAGCTTTGATGAGAATGAGTACGATCCTCCGCCCAAAGTCCACACCTTCTCGCAATACCTCCTCGCCACCCTTCTTGATGGTACCTCAGCATTATGGCATGGGGCAGCACGGGTGAGATGTCTTTACAAATGCACATGCTGACCGGCATCTTTTCGCTGAGCAGAGAGTTTTACAATGAGAGCGGTCTTCAAAAGGTTCTGCGCCGTATGAAGCAGGAACCTCTGGTCCCCCTCGGTATGTCGCATACCCGCGCCGACTCAGCCGACACCTCCTCACCTTCCCCCGCTGCTGGGTTCTTGAGAGACTGACCAAAACCTCTCGCTGCTATCTAGGATGCCTTCTGACCGTCGCCGCCTTCACCAACGCCTACCGCGCCATGCGCAAAGGCGACCACCACCAAGTGCAGCGCATGTTCCGCGCGCGTGTCCTGGCCCAGGGCTTTACGGTCGCCGCCATGGTCGCAGGAGGCCTGTACTTCGGAGCCGAGCGTCACAAGGAGCGGGAGACGTGGAAGCAGCAGCAGGAGGAGAAGGCAGAGGAAAAGCGCCAGAAGTGGATCCGCGAGCTCGAGGCCCGCGACGAGGAAGAGAAGGATCTGCGCGCGATGCTAGAGAGGCGCAAGGAGAAGAAGAAGGCTGCCGATGCCAACGCCGCCAGGGACAACTTCCGTGCCTCCGAGGCGAGGAGGAGTGAGGCCGATGCGGCACTAGCGGGTGACTCGCCGAGCAGCACGGGCAGCTCGGGCTGGGGGCTTCCTGGATGGTTGGGCGGCGGCTCAAAATCCCCAGTTCAAGAAAAGGACGAGACTTCACGGCCCAAATCTGACTCTGGTCCGTCCCAGAAATGATACCCCCCGATCTCGACCTGGCAACCATCGGCGAAACCCGGTCTCGCTCGAACTGACGAGACGCCACGAGACTCCCCTCCATAGCAAGAATGACATTCATGAAAGTGTGTCCTGGTTCAATATCTTGAATAGTACTTGTGTGTGTGTACTCATCTTTTCTGTCACCGTGGATGCGGGACATCGTGTATATAGTCCATGATCTAGTCTGGCTGGAATGTTTTGCGGTGCGTTCATTCAGGCCCTCCCACCCTTTCTCAGAAAAAGCATATCTCGACACCACACCACAGGTCTTTCATGTTGTCATCAACGAGCCATATCGCCAAGGTCTAAGCCATTGAACCACCACTTCGGTTGGTACCACCCACGAGTCCCGCAAGCTCAAGCAGAGCCCTGTCGGCCTCGATGTCCCCGGTGCCCAGGTTGATACGCCGCCTCGCCTCGGCCTCTCTCTCTTCAAATGCCCACTCCGCTGCTTGGCGCTTAGCTTCTTCGTCTCCTCCACACCCCCAGACCTCTAGGCTCTCGATCTCGAAATAGGTCTGAAAGTCCTTTTTGCGGAGCACGCTGTTCTGGAAGGCTCCGCCACGCATGGTGAGGTCGTGCGTGAAGACCCCGAACTCGAAGCTCGAGTCAAGCAGCAGTGACACCGACCCGAGATGTGTGGTGTTCGTCGTCCTGTGCGAGGCCGAAGCTTTGGGCGGAGGGTTCCCCGCCCCTACACCTGCGTTGGCGCCGCTTGATCCTGTTCTGAGGAATGACACGTAATCCCTATTAACGCTCGAGGCTGCCAGGATGTCTTGGATGGGTTCGAGCTGGAAGAGAGTAGTGTCCGTGTCCCCAAAACACTGCTTGTGGCTCTCCTTCCATGGCTGGCTTACGTAGAGGCCAAAAGTCACGTTATCCGAGGTCGACTCGTCTGGAAATCGTCTGGGCGGCAGGGACGCTGGGAAGCGTGAGCTGCTGTCGCCGGGAGAGCTATGTATACGGCTACCTCTAACAAGAAGGATGCTAGGAGCCCGCCAGTTGAAGACACCGCTCTCAAAGGAGCCCTATTGGATCGTGGTTTTTTATATTCAGCAAGCCACCGAGATTTCCATGGCTCCTCGCCGGGGGTTAGGGTCTCTCTTACCATGGAGAAGCCATCTCGGTCTCCCGAATACAACAGTCTCAAACGGTGGAAGAGAGTCGAGCCGTCGATGAAGAAGGACAATTGTGATAATGTAGCGTGGTTCAGAATGGACCCAGCTTGTGGGAGTAAGGGGGCGGCTGGTTGTTCAGCCTCACTGGATGCCTCTGCTGGTCTGTCGTTCTGGTTCTTATGCTTCGTAAAGTCGAGATTCCTGGAGAAAAGGAAGTGTTCGAATAGTGTGTTCAAAGGGTCTAGCATGCGCGGAAGTAGGTCCATGACTCGACTGAATGCCTTAAAATTAATGCCGGGTGCCCTCTCGACGTTGACAAACGAAGCAAGGGTGCTATCTGCAACTGAGAGAAGGCTCTCGATCTCTACGGGGTATCGCGATATTCTCTCATTTGGGGCCACTGGGGCCATTAGGAGGAGGAGCGTGATAAGCCGCCTGAAGTTGTCAGCCGGGATCAAGGCCCCGTGAATGGTCTCCTTGTTGCCGAGCTTGAACGCGTCGTCAACGTGGAGCGCATCCAGGGCCGACAGCACCAGGTCGTCATCTTCTTCGGCCTCGATGCCGTCATCTGGCTCGTCGTCGCCGGCCTCGTCCACGCGGAAACCTGGGGCATGCGACCTGGAACTCACAGCACGTTCCGTGGTCTTGTGGTCGTTGTCATCCTCCTCCTTTCTTGTCCGGTCATCCTCACCTGCTGCGTCTTCTACCGCGTCGTGTGCCCGGTCATAGACGGCCATGCTCTTGAATAGGAGCTTCTTTCTGGCAGAGACACCCTTTGACAAGACACGTGCCCACCTGGCTGTCAGGAGAGTGACGGCTATGACTACCTCTTCGAATCCTAAGATCACCGGCGCATCTCTCTGACAGGGGAATGCCCCCACGCTGGACATCATCTGGAACAGAACCGGCGAGACATGGAGCACATCGGGGATCTCGAGGAAACGCGCGAGGACATCATCGCTTAGGTACAGCGTATTCTGCTGGACGTCGGCCAGGCTTTTGAAGTTGTCTTTGAGGGAGTATGATTCGATAGGGGTAAAGCACTTTTCGAGGAATTTGGCTGCCTGTCATTTTTTGAGCGCGTGGATAGTTTCCATGTAATCAGTACTTGAACTGCGACCAGAGGGGATGGGCGGCTCAATGGTACGAATGCCTCTTTTGCTTACCAGCGCCCTTCTTAATTCCTCGTGTGTCCATTTCTTTCCATCATCGCTACTCGACAGCGTCTGTCCCATAGTCACTGTCTGCGGGCGATAGAGAGACAGCCTTGTTCGAAAAAAATAAAAATAAAAATAAATAAAACCCCCCAAGAAAACCACATGCATCTATGTGGGAGCGATGAGGCTTGGCTGCCTTGTCCTGTGGATATAAACGCAGATTCATACTTACGTAGCTCGTCTGCTGTTTGTTGCAGCAGTAGCGTGCTATTAATACGCATTACGTCAGCTCCCAATTGGTACAGGCTTAAACCGCTGCAGGGACTAGTTCTAGAGTAACACTTAATTCCTAGATCAATGTGAACCAGCCCATAACCGATGAACGCACACCATGAGTGACAGACGTAGTCTGTCGTCGTCGCGCAATCGACAGAACCGTCGAGATGCGCGTCTCTTCAAACAAATGAGTCGCTACGATCTTGAAATCCCCGACTTCGGGAAACTATTCAGCCACATTCGAGACGGAGTCCGATAGAGCACTATACGCAAGAATGCCATGCAGCGCCTGTGCATCGTCGCTGACACAGCTAAAGAGGAAGGGATACTCATCGATCTCCTCAAATGGACAAAGTTTATCAAAGCCTGCGAGCTTAGAGCAGGAGACCACGACCAATACCTCTGCCGTCTGCTAACGCAAGCTGAAGAAGTGGCACTCGCGTTTCACCTCCAAGAAATCAACCAAGAAGCAACAACTCGCTGAGCTCGCGAAGACGAGAACGCAGTGGACCCAGACGATGCCCCATTGCTTATAATCAGCGAAAACCAAGCTTAACGATACAACATTCGAGTTATCCAGCCATTCTTGGGCCCGTCAGGCCTCGACCCCCTTCGATCACCGCCCCGCAACGAATTGGGACAGACTCAGATCCCCTTCGATGACGGCGCCACAAGTAACACTTAATACTTAGTAAATAAAGTATCACTTATACATCGCGTCTCTTGAGTATTTCTCGTTTATACCTACTCACGAGTGGCCATATAATTTTTAGATAACTCCGTGAAGTCCTTTTTCATCTTTTCACGAATAATACATTACAAGCTGGATCAGCGAGTCGAGCACAGTGGGATGCAGACAGTCACCTGGCCAGCTTACTTATATTTACTGTGATTAACATTCGAGGGCACTGGATTGATTCAGAGACTCGTCCAGTGGTAGTGGACGCTGAAATGCAACACAACTATCATGTAGAGCTGATGAGCTCTTCCGACGTCTGCTTTTAAGTGCCGGATATTCCGGCCATTGTCAATGAAATCAGTGCGTATCACAGATGTGCTATGAGATAAAGCAAAAGTAACTGTTCAATACCAGCGGCGTGCGAAGCCATCTCGATTTATTGAAAGACTGCATATTGTCGCTGTTCTAGGACTTTCGTCCAGTACGTATACTAAAAGCATCGTGCTCTGTCATGGCAGGATGATTCGCTAGAGCCGGGCTGGCGCCAGAGCACAGACAAAAGTGAGTGCTCCGTGTTGGCGGGCTGGCCACGTGTGCGTGCGAGGGGGGGAAATGGCAGTGGTTATTAGCTCGCAAAGTTCCGTATGAGTATATTCAGCTATCTCACTGGTCTCTCATAAACAGCCAGGCACTTTCAGCTCATGGCTTAAACACCATGTTCCGTAGCCTATCTCAATCTGATCTCCTCGGAGAAGCAAGTAGCTGGATAGCGGTAATATGGTGAGCTACAGTCCCTGAACATCCTAAAAGTATTAATGAGCTCCTTACGCAACGGCATGATCATTTTGTTCTCGGTGTTACTTCCTGCGACAGGCTTTCTTTGGGACCGTCTTAGAAGACAGCACCGCCCCTCGTTGTTATCTACCGTAGAGCGATTACAATATGACAAGTAACACTGTTCATTTCCTCTAAAGTGGACCCAGGAGATCCAAATGCCCGTTGGTGTTGATCTTCAAGGGCCTCCGCAGACCGTGAGCGGTATGGGTAACGGTGGAGAAACTAGACCTCTGTCAGTGACAGTTTCCAAAGGCGTCCTCAATAATGAAAGCTTTCCAGGTATTCTCCACAGTGATGGCGCTTTGATGTCTGCGGTGAAGCACTGATCTTCATACCATGCAGACGCGGGCTTGGACTCGGTGGAGCCGAGTCACATCTAGCATTGATGAGAATGTACACCGGGTATGGCTGTTTGGTTTGAGGAGTGATACGGGACATCTTACTACTTACCCCTTGAAAGAGCTACGCAGTACAAAGCAATGAAGCTGTTGGTGGTCGCAGTGACGATGATCCGCTGAAAACATCGCCGTGTCAAGTGTGAGACGAATTCCTAGTTCGTTCCCAAAGTATATACTCCGGCAGATGTTTTACCAATCGGGCCAATCGCATTCCTCATGAAGTAGAGTTGCTGCCTTGTCCGTTACTGCTTAAATTATCTAACGGTTCTCGAAACCAATCAGTCAGGAGGTAATGACTGCGTGCCTATTCGGCCCGTCAGTCATCTGCGCATCTTTAATAAGGTTTCACCTAGGATGAAGAAGTCGAACGCCTTAATTTCAGCTAGCAAGCATTCTCACGAGCTCAAGTGGTAATTCAAGAGGCTGGATAATGCTGCCTGTTTGTTCTTCATTCAGATCGCGGTACTACTCCATAGTACATATGTATCGGGAGAGCAAAGCAGGCCTCTGATTACTTACGCGTAGCAGAGACGGAATGGGCCCGTGCAGATGGATGAGACGACGGTAATCCTCAATTGACATCGGTCACATGTTTCTTGCGGCAGAATACTTATTCACCAAGTACTCAGTTGAAAATGGCTGTATTGAAAGCGTTGATACAGGCAGGCGGAGCAAGTCATGAGCTTTCCAGGTATGTCTGGTCTTCGTATATTTCTGTCATCTCATGAGGCCTATTGTCTAACGATCAGATGAACTTCTGGATGAGTGACCGATACTCGATCAGGAGAACTTGCCTACCCCAGAGAAGGGGGCCTTTGACGTTGCCACAGAAATTGATAGCGGCTGGAAGAATTGGTAACAACCACTGCATATTTGGCCCTAATACGGCACTTAAATGAAATAAAACAGTTACTACGTAGTAATCAGGCGCTCGATAATGGCTGGATCTGCGAAGAACCTGTTGGTCCACTGTTCAATACGAGATCGACCGGGACGTTGAATCGGATGTTGGCATACCATACGGTGATCAATCATATTGTGGAATGGACTCTTCTGCGTACGCCTAACACGGCTGGGTCCGCTTGTGAGCGGCGAGAGCTTTTTTCCTTTCTCCATTTCCCATTCATGGGAGAGACTGGTGGAGAGGGGACAAACCTCCAACTCAAGAGGTTCTAGAAAGAAAGAGGGGTTTTCAGGCACGACAGGGAACAAGTGCATGACGCTACTGGGTGACTCTTCGCAGTCTGGACACATGCAGTACAGTCAGCCCTAAATTGCTCCGATAGACTACTGCTGTTGATGGAGGTTTCGAAGAATACGTCTTGGAAGGCTTCATGCCACAATGCCCGCAGGGATTTTGAGCGGACTGGAATCGATGTGATTGCTTATGGAGGAGTATTGCATCGGTCAGCACCAGCAGACGAAGGCACACTGGCACCAAAGTGGCCTGGGCGCATTTACTGGAATCAAGGCTTGTGTGGTCCCGACAAGCATTCCTCGGAGAAATAGATATCGGTGGGTGTTGCGCGAGGATGCTCCCGCAACGTTTGCCTCCTGTAACAGGACCACACTAGGATCCGGACACCCTCCCCGAAAAATAAAACAGACAAAAAGGCAAAGGCCAGACCCTGAGCCTAGCGCAAAAGGGGTCGTCCCTTGCACCAGCTCAAGTGAAGGGCTACCGTAGCAGTAGTTTTGGGGCTCATGCAGCAAACGAAGCAACGATTTGCAAAGAATCTGAAGCAGATTTGGTACACAGTACAGGCTATCCATCGTGTTGGAATGCGCTGGGGGTTGGTTTGGTGGAGAGCAGGTTCAGTCGGTGGAGATGCTGCTCTTTCGGGCCGTGTCAACCGCGATGCATAGGCTTGGCTGTTGGGCCCTGTCCTGCCATGTGTGCACATCTTCTATTGGTTTCGAGAACAACCCAGGACCCAGATCAGGCATGCAGTCGGTATCACCTTGCAGCGGCGTGCAGCAAGGGGCGGGTTGTATTGGTGCTACATTTCAATCTCGCCCTGGCCAGCTGCGAAAAATGACAGGTAGAAAAGAACCCGTCGTCTTGCCAGGAGGACTCATCGTCGTCGTCATTCTTTTGTGCTGGATATGCTTCATAGGGATAGAGAGGTAAAAGTATAACGAAAGAAGAGGAGAGATGGAGGACCACGACCTACATATGGGCTCATTACATGCTACTGTTCATGATCAAACGTGTCGAGATAACGTTCCATTGCACTCATCTATTTTTACGATTGCCACGCGTACCTACGAGGGCTGGTACTCAATAGTCTAAAGAGTCGCATGCTGATAGGGTGAAGATAGCGAGGAGGCCAGACCAGGGACGATGAGTTATTCTTTTTCCTCACGCATAACCGTGTGAGTTTTTATTTGTTGTGTTTGTTTTGAGGGAGGGAGGGAGGTGTTCCGCTCAAGGATAGCCGCTGCGTACTATTAGGCGATTAAGCAAGAGTAATAATTTGTCCATCCGGACGAATGGCGGCGAGCTGGCTAAAATACGACAAGCCACCTAATTTGGAACCCTGGTACCAGCTTACCACACCGCCGAGAAATTCTATATTGGCCATCTCACTCCCAAGTCCCGTGAAAGCGCAGAGGCAAGGCGTTCAGACATATGTACATGCAGTTAGCGGCTGTGCACTGCTTACGAACTATAGGCCGCTGCTGTTGCGTTGGTGATAATATAAGTCCTGCTGGATTTACATACTTATACATGGTATGATTACAACTAGGACTATGGATTCCTTCTTGTTGAGAAGGATTCTTGGCTTATAGCTGCTGTCAACCTGATCAAAGCCGGGCTCTCGTTAAGCTCTGACCACCGAAGTGGGCGAGCTCAGCTTACGCCCGCCTACCCGCCCACTTCATCCGCACCTTGCACCCCTTGCATTGCAGCTGGAGCTCTTCCTCCTGTAGTACTGCGCGCAGGCGCCGCCCTGCAGGCGGAGAGTGTCACGGTAGCCCCTCAGCTCAACCCAATTGTCATCACGGGGTGGTCAATAGTACGGAACACCAGACACGGCCAGAAAGAACAGGCTGGCTGAGCCTGGCGGGCCCGACTAGCATGTAATGTATGTATCATAGTTATATAAGTGTTGCACTATGTTAAAAGTGAACTGTGTCACTTGCTCTCGTGTTTGGCCTCTCCAGGGATGCGCCGCGTTCGGGTTTCAGCAGGCTGGTGTTTCTTCAGCCTTGGGCTGCTTGCGCTTGGGTGTTGCTGAGCTCCCGTGTCCCGACGACGGCATGTCGGACGCCTGGCTGCTGTCCAGACGGTACATGATCACAGGCTCGGCCCCCAAGTTTCCCGTGTGTACTAATACTATAGTATATGCTTACAAGCAGCGTTTGCTCCCTCATCGTAGTGCTACTCCAAGTGCGTATAGGGTAGTTGGGTCGTGCATGAACAAAGGGCACCAAGGAGATCGGTCCCATGACAAGCAATGCTGTGCGAATCCTTGTTTCCCCTGTCTTGGTTTCTTCATCGTGGTGCCAAGTACCCATCAACTCCATCTGACCACCCCGGCGGGCACAATCTGATCCTAGGCTAAGGCTTGGCCTTTAGCAATTGTTGGGAGGAAAAAAAGAGAAAAAGAGATCCGGGAGCACCGGCAGACAAGACCTTAGGGGGGGCGCATGACTGTTTGGCGGCCTGGCTGGGGTCAAAGAGGTGGGACTCCCGGTGGGCGGGGGGGGGGGGGAGGAATTGCCTCGTACCGTTCGCCCGGGAAGGTCAAGCTAACAAAGCCGACCCCAGATTTTCCCCAGGTGGATCCGGCTGGGCGTCCCTATGAAGTATCGGCTACACTTGAATGGAAGGAGAGGAGAAGGAGGAATGCCAGTGATGCGTAGCACAGTACTCTCTGTCTACTGCTGCTGGACTCTGTCTAGGCTAGGTGTCTTTGTCAATCCCGATTTTATTCCGGGGCGCCGTGCGGGCGGTCATCACTCTTTTCCTTCCTCTTTTCCTCCTGTGCCCCTCAAAGAGACCATCAGGATCGACACTTTTGGAGGCTACTGACGCAGACGATCATAGGACTGGATGGATCGAGCAAGTGTCCACGGGAAGAGATGTCCTAGCAGGTCGGTCAAGCGGAGAGGGCGGAACAGTTTTCTTTCCCGATTCTTTGTCAGGCCGAGGCTGAAAGTTTTGACGTTCGCAGAGAAGAATGAAGCAGGGGGAAGCAAGTGATTTGGGAGCAAAAGAGAGAGAAATCAGACTAGGGGGGAAAAGAACACAAAGCAAGACCAGCTCCGAGGTGGTGGACGGCCTGTCGTGGTCAACAAATGGCGTCTTCATTTCCTCCGTCCTGGGTGTGTGGGTCTGGGGTAGGGCTTACCTGGCTATGGCCTACGTGTAGCACTACAGCATGCATATGCATCGTGTGTGTGTGCCCTTTTTTTTCTTGTCCCCTTTCCCCTTCTCTTTCTATTTGAGATTGGGCCTAGAAGTGCGTGTTGTCCTCCATCTCGTTCCAGGTAAGTCTTGCGTCAAGCTTTAGACTGCGCCCGCGTCATCCAAATCAGTTACATGCATTACAGGACTGGGGTGGTTCTGAAATCTTGAGCGACCCAGGAAATGGGGATTTCCCCTGGAGAGTCAAAGAAAATGCCACGCTGTGTCGTATGAATGTACACATGCATGCACACACACACACACACACACAAACACCTACACATGCATACGACATGACCATGGTACCCTGCGGAGTCTCTCCTGAACGGACGGCATAACACCAGCCGAGACGAGTTTAACGGCTCAAGTCATGATGCATGTAGACGTGACATGAGCAACGCGTCCAATCTTTCTTCTTCTTTCTTTTTCCTCCTCTGTTCTTCTTCTCCCCCTCCCTCCCCTTTCTACCTTACCAATTGCGTGACGGGTATGTGTATGGTGTATAATGGAACATGAGCAGGGGCGATCTGTTTGTGTGGTTCAGTCTCTCTCGCATCTCGTTTCATCTGAACCATCAGTCGACTGCAAAAATAGATTCCTGTCACTGTGAATATGGGTCTTTTCCCTTCTCTTCTTCTTTTCTTCCTCGGCCTTTCTTTTCTCGTTGGACCCTAGAAACCTTTTCTATAGGTGCTGGGTCACAATACCTACCGTCCAGAATGGTGAACAATGAAACAATTGACCTGCACAGCGTGTAGGTTATAGCTTCCTGCTTCATGTTATTATACAATACACACACACAAAACTCGGTTGCTGCATACTTGAAGGAATCTAAATAATAATAAAAAATCAGGTAGTACTATTTCGTGTGTTCAGGGCAAGCAGAGACAAAAGAATAGATAGCCAAGTCTCAGGTACATCCAGCCCTCCTTGGCCCTTAACGTACTTTCTCCCCAGGCCCGAAAGGCTAGTGCATTGAAACCCCTACCAAAAGTACTATCAAAGTAAATAGTGCGATAAGTACTACCACAGTCCTACTACGGTACGCCTATGGCATCTGCCCACCTCCCCCCCCTGCCCGTAACTTCCCCCCGGTGCCCCCCTCCCTACCTTCCTTGCCACGAATGGTGGTGTTATGGTAACTGTGGATACCCACCCTGGCCTTGTTCCATTACACTATGCTAACTAGGGACAAGGTCAACAGAAGAGCTAAGCTCTTCCTAGTGGGGTTCATGAGGGGGAGAACGCACCCACACCCACACCCACCCTTGAAAGCCCCAGTGAAGCCGTACCTGCTAGCCCCGGATCGAGAACCTGGAGCATTGGATGATCGTCATCCGTTGTTCCCTTTCTTCTATTGCTATACCAAACAAAGCGTATATCAGGCCCTGCTGCTCCCCACGTGTAGTTGCTTTTCCTCTCCCCTCCCCCGAAATTCCTCCCTGTCATTGCTTGTCTTTTTCAATCCTTTTGGAAAAAATTCCTCCCTCCTCTTCAATGTCATTGTGAGTAGGAAGCAGATCGCGCTGCAACAAGTCGAGTGCCATTGGGAAGACAACAAAAGAAAAGAGAGGAATAATCAAACAAAATCCAGAAAGAAAGACAACAAACAGTACTCTCGAGTGCATTGTTACGTCTCGTCTCATCTGCTTTTGCTCCGGATCGACTAATTGAGATCGCCAGGCCCTCCTGAGACTCATCTTTGATACCCATATAACCTACTTCTTCTTCTCCTCCTCACCATATAACCATAACTTGTCTCAGTCGACCTCTCGCACACCAGTCGAACTTTCCACGCGCCAAATTACTCTTCTTTCTCTTTCCATCTGTTCTTCCTTCGGATCAATTCCTCTGCCCTCCAACTTCAGCGCCCACCAGAGCATACGACGAGATGGCCGACGCCCCAATTGAGAAGGACGTTCAGACCTCTGGTCTTGATGTCGATGGCTCTAGGCCCGTCCACCAGCGCTACAACCACGCCGGCAACCCTAATGCGAGCGCCCATGGCGACGGTGGAGCTCGCCTGCCAGCCTTTGGCGGTGAGTTCCAGCCTGGGCTGTACAAGGCTATCGAGGGCCGCAAGTTCGCCAACCCTGCGCCTCTGGGCCTGAGCGCTTTCGCCCTGACCACCTTCGTCCTGTCCCTCTGCAACCTGCAGACCCGTGGCGTCTCCACCCCCAACATCGCCGTGCCTATAGCCTTTGGTTATGGCGGTCTTGTTCAGCTTCTCGCTGGCATGTGGTGAGTTTTATAGCACAGACTGCAAGACACAGAGAGGGCGGAGGCGCTGCACGCGGCCCCCCGCCTTCCCCTCCTCCCTCTCTACCTGTGTTGTGTGAATTTATTATTCTCCTGAGAATTTTTGTGCTGACCGAGGGCGCTTCCCTTCCTCCCTTCTTCCAGGGAGATGGCCGTGGGCAACACCTTCGGCGCCACAGCACTGTCCTCCTACGGCGGCTTCTGGATCTCGTACGCACTCATCCTCACGCCCTCCCTGGGTGTCGTCGACGCATACACCGATGCCACCCAGGTGTCCAGCGTACTTGGCTTCTTCCTCACCGGCTGGTTCATCTTCACCTTCATCCTGCTGCTGTGCACGCTCCGGTCCACCGTCATGTTCTTCTTCCTCTTCTTCACCCTGGATATGGCCTTCCTGTTCCTCGCGTGTTCTGAGTACGCCGACAACAATGGCGCCACCAATACTGCCAATGGCCTCCAGAAGGCTGGCGGTGTCTGGGGCATTCTGGCCGCCTTCCTTGCGTGGTACAACGCCTTCGCTGGTATTGCCGATACCAGGTTAGTATTACTTATATGACTATTGTTGATGAGCGAACAACTTGTTCCGGTCTCGCTGCTCCTCCTTCTTTCTCTTTTCGACCTAATGGAAAGAGAGTTCCGGCTTCGATACGAAATGATTGAAGTTACGCGTCAATCCCCTCTGCTCTTATCCGACTCTGACATTCATCTCGCGCCTCCCTTGTCCCCCTCGCGCCCAATTCACCTGTCGCGTTCCTTTCTCACGTCGATATCACTCTCTCTCTTTGCGCTGCGGCTAACCGATTGTGTGCTTTACTCTCTAGCAACTCGTTCTTCCTCATCCCCGTGTTCCACTTCCCATGGAGCGAGAAGGGTCGCGAGGCTCGCCTGACCAAGCAGGCCTCCCACACCGTCTAATGCTGACGAGGATGTGCCTTGTTTTCTTTGCTCGGTTTGATTGTTGGTTCGTTGCTGCTAGGTCGGCTTGGGGCGTCTGTCGAGGAGGCATACCAGGATGGACGAAAGGAGTAAACATACCCACTTGCGCGACTCTAGGAGACCTTGAGAAAAAGGAGTTTGTTATTATTACTACTCTGAGGAGCGGCCCACATTGGTCGGCTTTCTTTCTTGGAGGAGGTCATCTTTTCTCTCGCTGGGCGGCAGAGTTGATTCCTATCTTAATTTATATCTCCAACAACATTGAACCAAAGAGGGTATATTGGTCAGATACCAGTACCAGAGCACATAATTCGTGCTTTGTGTGTGGGATTGAAAAAGAAAGACGAAAGAGAAAGAAGAGAAGAAGAAAGAAAAAAATGTTTTCCTCGCCTATCGCTTATCGATTCTCAGAATACCGACATGTACCGTCGACAGTTCGCCGAGCCCTGGCCTTTTCAGTGCCAGTGGGGACTTTTGGGGCGTATGAACTTTAATACACTTATATCTACCTAAAAGATTTATCTCATAATTGAGACGTATGATCATGATGTGGTTGCGACACGACACCTTAAAGTTTGGGGACCGCGGGAACGGGTGACTCTGAGAGTTTAATGTCATGAGACCGCTGAGGCCGGCCTGGCTGAAGGGCCATCTGGATAGTATCAGTCCATGCTTCGGAGGACACTATCAAAGTACCGCCGGCACCCACCAATTTCGTACGAATTCTGTTACGCCAAGTCAGAATGCCGAGGCGAGTCACGGACCGTTTGTCACTGTATATAGCTTTTCATTTGCAATAAGTCCTCTGTCCTAAGAGGATGCATACCAATCCGTGCCATAGAGTTGAGCCCGCCTAATATCATGCATCCGTAACTGACAGCTGATAATATCGATCATGAACAACCCAGCCTAAAACGATGCCTCATCGTGAGATACAGATGAATCTTCCAAAGAAAAAAGAAAAAAGAAAAAAACAAAGGTCCCTGGCCTCTCATGCCTTGTGCGTCTAAATAAGATCTTCTGAAACAGGTCACTGCGTCCGCCTTTATGTATGAATGATCACTGCTGTAGGCCATTGCTTTGGACAAGACGAGGAAGAAAAAACATAGGAAGGGGTAAAGGGAAGAGAAAAGGAAATATAAATAAAAAGGGGGAGGGGTGTGCCAAGCACCAGCGAACTTCATGACCAATGCGTCCTGCGTCGAGAAACCTTCCGCCCCCTCTTGAACCTGGGCGAGGCTGACACCGTGTATGACCCGTCATTCACGACTGCGAGTAATCTGCTGCTTGAAAAGTCGCCGTCTTTCGAACGATTGATCTTATCATCCGCGGCGACGCGGTCATCAGCATCCATAGCACTGGGTGCGGCGGTCTGTGAAGCGAATATGCTGTCTGCTTGGAACTCAGCAGCATACGTGGCGGCTGCAGGTACGAGTGTGCTTAGGACAACAGGTCCTGGTCCCATGGGCATGCCCGTGGGCCCCGAGATGAGGGGTGAGAATAATTCTTCGGAGCTCTGCCCTTGATGGATGCTGCCGTCGAGGCTCCAGATGCTCAGTGCCCAAGCGCCACCACAAACAGTAGAGTTCATGGGATCGCCGGCACAGCTTATATTGCACCCTTCATCACCCATCACATTCGAGCCCACAAGTGTGTTCCCGCAGAAGCATTGAGATCCGTCCTCGGTCCTAGCAAGAACGAAACCCTGTCCCTGGCAGAAGTCGATGCACACTTCGTTCGTCATCCCGCCAGCAACAGTCAACAGCTGAGTACCCTTCAGCGCCCTGTCTTGGTCGTCCTGGTAACAGCCAACGAGCTGATAGCCACTCGTAGCCGGAATCTTGGTGGCAAATGCAGCATTGGAGATTGGTGTCGAGTACATGTGGACAACAGCGCTGGCCGTTGAGGGGGCCGGAGCACAGAACCATCCATCTTGACAATGATAGCAAGGCCACCCGTACCCACAGGGCGCCGGCAGTGCCGGGGTCTGCAGAGGCGGGCAGAACCAACCACCCAGACAGTCATCGCAAGTATACCCCTGGCCCGGGCAAGGACATCCATCCGAGCCATCTGCTCCTGGAGATCCTCCGGAGCCGGCTGGGGAGCCATCTGGAGCACTGGTATAGGATGCGAATGCGGAGGGGCACGTAGTCACGAAGTCGGTCTGTGTCTCCGTTGAGGTGATCAAGGCAGTGATGGTCTGAACGTAGTATATGGTGGTCTCTGCGACAGCCGCTGTCGGTGAGGCGCTAGGCGATGCCACTGCAAAGACCATGTCAGCAACAGAAATACGTTGACAAGAAAGAGGGGGGGACATGAAATTACCTGGTCCGGGGGTGGGTTGTGATGAAGACGAGGCGGGAGCCGTGAGAGAGAGCTGCGACACTTGATTGATCAGGGACGATAGTCCCGACAGTGCAGAGTCCGCAAGAGGGTCAGCCGGAGGGCTACCAGCGGGAGCTGCGGTCGCAGCCGCACTCAGCACCGATGAGCTCAAGGAAGATAGTAAGGAGGCGAGCTGCGGAGCGCTTGACGGAGGGCTTGATGGAGGCGTGGCGGGGCCGAACGGGAGGCTCTCGACGAGGGTCAGCGAGGCGGAGACTGAAGGAGGGGCCACTGCTGTGACCGTTGATGGAGGGCCAGCTGTCACCGAGATCTGATCACACGGGACACCGAAGACGAGCGCCGTCCCACCGACAGTGTCTGACACCTGGCAGAGGAGCCCCGCTGCATTGGCCTGAAACGACGAGAGCGCACCTGACACCAGAGGCTGAAGACCCGATGGAAGCACGTCGACGACCGCACTTCCAATAACTGCGGCAAGAGTTGAGACCTCTGGAGCAGCGCTGGCCACAGCAGAGGACAGGCTATCCTTCATGTTGTCGAGAAGCCCGGCAAAGTCATTGACCGCATCCGGATCCGCGCTCAGGATAGATTCCATCTGGTTCACGGCGGAGAATGCTACAGCCGGGAGACCAGTGGCGAGGGCGGGAGCAGCGTTGAGGAGAGATCCAACCTGGTCAGCCACGCCACCGGCCACATCTGGCGCCGAGTCCAGAAGGTCGTCCGTCGCGTTCAGCGCGCCAGCAAGATCATTCCCAACGTTGTTGGCAAGCTGGATCCCGGCTGCCAAAGCAGACGGCATGCTGCCGAGAACAGCCGAAACCTGACTCTGGAGGTTGTAAACAGCTGTGGCGGGATCAGCTAGTACAGAGGCTGGGTCGGGAGCGATGGATGTCATAGGACCCAAGACATTGGCAGAGAGCTGACCCAGGATACCGATTCCGCCACCGTTACCTTGGTCTGGCGAGCCAAGAATGCCGTTCAGCGCTGACGCGACACCATCGAGGACACTGAGACCAGGCAAGAGACCACCACCAGGGCCCCCTGTAGTGACAGCTGGTAGCATTGTAATGGGTGATGTGGGCAGGATCTGGGAGGGAGCGGCTTGTGATAAGGCACTGAGGAGCCCACCGAGGGGGCCGTTGTTCCCCCCAGGATTGCCGACCATGGGTGTGACGCTGGGCACACCAGCCAGAATGGTCATGACTGAGCCAAAAAGATTGGGTTCAGGGCCAGAAGACGGGATGGGGACGGAAGGCACAGTCAGAATGCTGGGGGAGAGAGCGCTCAAAACGCCGCCGCCATCATGCCAGCCCAAGACAGATGCCACGGCGGAGAGCGGCGCTGTCCCGAGAGGGTTGGGCAGGGGCCATGGAATCTTTTCGCTGTCCTCTGGGGCCATAGTTGCAATCGCATTCAATCCACTAACATCACCGTCGTGTACAGGAAGCTCTGCGTCATAATGCTCTTCGTTGTTAGAATCACCAGGTGGACCTGGAGAGAAAGGACCCAGCTCAGACTCCCAAGTCCGGCGAGCAACAGTGCCGGCACGGGGTCCAACAAAGGCCGGCGAGCCCGCCAGGGTTTTGAGACCTTGGCCGAGAGAGATCAGACAGAGTATAGCGACACAGACGAGGCTGCACATGATCAGGGACCGGGACGTGAGAGGGAGCGGCTGCATCATGGGCGAAGACGCAGCGCAGACGCGCCAGCCAGGAGAGCAGTTAAACGGGTCAATACACTCTGTCGTCGATCAGACAAAAGGCAATGTGAAATGAGAATGAGCAGAGAAGTAGGAGGGAACAGAATGAGATGGTCAAAGTTGGGTTTGCCAAAAATCAAGTCCAAAAAAAGCCAAAAAAAAGAAGAAAAAGAGTGTGAGTGGTGACGGTGTTGGGATGGGACCAAAAGAGTCGAAGATGAAGATGAGGAGGAAATTTCTCGAACCCAAGCTTGGGACAGCGGGGAATAAAAGGCAGATAAAGACCCTCCTGATGCCTGATTTGTGCCTTCTCAAACTGGTATATCGTTACTTCCCGGTGTTGGAGGAGGCTCTGCTGGACTTGATAACAGGCAGCGACCATCGAGTAAGGGAGGATGAACAGACGACCACGAGCAAGTCACACCCTCAAATTCACGACTGATGAAGTGATGCTGCGGTCTCCTTGGACTGCGCCTTCCTCTGACGGGTTCTCTTCTGGGACGAAGGCGATGGGCCTTCATCCACGAGCGATCTTTCCCAGTGTTTGCGAGCCACAACGTGAGTGTCGATGCACTCGTCTCTCAACGACCGGTCACTTTTTCTTCAAAGGTGAAATGCTAGCAAACCCTGCCTATTGTGTCGTGTTGCAGGGGGCTCACCGCGACAAGGGCTACGGTAGAAGCTCGAGGCTTCCTGCTGCTCTGAACCCTCATCAGGAAATCGGAAGCCTTGATCTGGAAATGATGAGTCTCCGTGATACCAAATAGAAGGGTTCTCTCTTCGTCTTGCGGGCCGATGGTCGACTTTGATGCTGCCGGCCTTATAGGAGAAGACATTCTCCACCAAAGACCGCCAAGACCTGATAATTCTTCCTGTCATGGCATTGTTAGTTGACTTGGACAAGCTGGAGGGGATATCTAGCCTTGAGAGCGTATCGTCAGCCTCTGTGCTTGGCACTTGGTGCAACGAAAAGGACGACTCTCGATCGACGGTACGAGTCACTTGGGACGCATTCTTTATATATCATGATTGAGATAACGTGATTCGGTATTTTCTCTCTCTCTCTGAATTCTGGCCGGGCCAGTAAGTCCTCATTTCGTAAAACCTGGCTGGAAGACATGACCAGTTCCCGTACCCATGCAATTAGCAGACCTCAAGACGCCTCTCAACATAATCAACCATCCTCATGCGCGATCCGCATCTAGTAGCGCTTCTCGGTACGGAGGGTGTCGGCGAACTCGTCCAGGGGAGACCTGATGAGCTTGGTCTCCTTCCAAAGGTTGGGGGTGAGGAAGCCGTAGGTGTTGGAGATGGCAGCGAATGTGGCCTTGAGGGTGTTTTCGAGGGTCTTAGTGGAGCCGGCGGAGGAAGTGTAGGCGTCCTCAATACCAGCAAGCTGGAGGAGACGCTTGACGGCGGGGGAGGCAACGAGGGAGGTACCGCGGGGGGCGGGAATCAGCTGTCGTGGGAGAGCAGAAGGTGTTAGCAGACGCATTGCGGGCGCCAGGCCATGTTTATCGGGGACGAGTTGGTTTGTAGAGTGGGAACGGAGACAAGACTTACCCTGACGGTGACGGAACCGCACTTGCCAGACTCCTTGACGGGGATGGAGTGAGGTTGACCCAGGTTGGTACCCCAGTAACCACGGCGGATGGGGATGACGCTCAGCTTGGCGATGATGATGGCGGCACGGATGGCGGTGGCAACCTCCTTGGAGGTCTTGATACCCAGACCGACGTGGCCCTCGGAGTCACCAATAATGACAATGGCCTTAAAGCGGGTGCGCTGACCGGCACGGGTCTGCTTCTGGACGGGCTTGATCTGTTTTGGGGAGGAAAGAAAGACAAGAGTGTTAGATTCACAACCAAGCAAGCGGGGAGCCATTCAACTCGACAGCAACGTGAGAAGAAGGAGGGAAAGGACCACGCCGAGGACGCACCTTCATGACCTCGTCCTTGAGCTTGGGCAGGAAGAAGTCGACAATCTGGTACTCCTTGATGGGGAGGGAGTGCAGGTAGATCTCCTCCATGCTCTTGATCTTGCCTGCCTTCACCAGACGGCCCAGCTTGGTGACGGGCTGCCACTCCTTCTCCTCGCTCTTGCCACCACGACGTCCACGGCCACGGCCACGACCACGACCACGATCGCCACGGCCACGATCGCCAAAGCCACCACGAGCAGGAGCACCACCTCGGTCAGCCATGATGATGATGGAATAGACTGATTGTCGATCGACCTGACTCGAATCGGTTGTTGGTGTTTGTTTGTCGAAAAGGCACAAACGAGATGGGCCTTTTTGGGAGGGAGGGATTGGCGTCGAGAGAGTTGTCGACTGTAGACGGTGGTGGTGATGGTTTTGGAAGATTGCAAAGGTGCCTCACCAGCAGAAACTGCGAAGTTCTGGGCTGGTCTGATTGGACAGTTCCGGGACTTGCGCTCTAGGAATTTCTCAGTGGGGAACACGCCGTGACCCTTGTCTGGCCGACTGGGGGGAAATTTTGCTGCAGAGTGCGCCCTAGCAGATACCAGCCAAAGACCTGCCGCTCATCACGTGCGAGGTCAGCTGATTTCCTTGAACCCGGACCCTGAGAATCCCCGGCCCCCGGGTTCTATTTTCTCTCTCATCTACCACCATAGTACATATGTCCAATCACGATTCAGTGTCTCCTCGCACTTTGAGGCCCTCTGGCTAGAGTAGTAGGCAAAGTCTTGCCTGCCAATTGATGCTCAATAGGCGCGATTTTCATTATAGTTTTGGAACTGGAGCAGCCAGAATCTCTCTTCAACACTCCAGAACGGAGGTGCAGAGGTGCCAGTCTGGTGCTGACTGCCCCATCGAGGCACAGGCACTGAAGTGCCGGGCGGAAACTGAGCGGCAGTAAAGCGGTACATAGCGATGGCACTACAGTACATTGAGCTGCTAAGAACCCCGCATCTGCTGGCGTGATTCAGTGTGGAGCCTCGCCTGAGCCCTGGAGCCCAGCCTCCCCCGCCCCTGCGGCGTGTACATGGCAGTTGCTCCATTTGCATTCTCAGTGCCTGCGTGGACACTTTCTTCTAGCACATAATGAGTTACGGAGCCGTAACCGCAGGCGGAGGGGAATGGGGAAAGTGAGTCACTTAGCACAACAGACCTATTCCCATCTTCCTCAGCTGTTTGTGCTTTATCTTTTGGATTTGGCAACACATGGTATAGTGTCTCTGTCTCTTCCACTCAATATGAACTTGTAAATTCTGTTATGTATGTACGTTCTGCTGTGTGCTCTGTATACGACACATAGGCACTGCAGGGTGATCTCCTCTCATGGACTCGGACATGGGGGACGACCTTCATGGGTTGGTTTGGACTTGGGACGAATGAACCCAATTGACCACCCAAACAAATATGGACACTCCGTCTGCTTCAACCTTTTCCAACCCTCTTATCTAGTCAACAATTCATCACTCTTTTCTCCCTCTCTCACACATCATCATCTGTCACTTTTCCTACCTCTCCTCGATCATGATATTAACTCTCCAGGAGAGGAGGCGAGGTCTCCTCCTGTTCCTCTTCCAAGCTGTGTTGCTGTCTGGTCATGTCCTTCTCGCCCGTGGCCAGTCCTTCGACCCTAACGCAGCTAAACCTGAGATCTGGAACCCTCTGAACGTGGTGCGTGCTCGGAAAGAGAGGGCCATTTTGTATTCTTATTCTTTTGTGCCTCTCTAACAAAACAATGCTTTGGCGTCGTGTAATTTTTTTTTAGGGGACCAACAAAACAACGAACACCACTTACAGCAACCCTATCTTCACCCAAAATGTCGGTGACCCGTGGATATCAAAGTATACCGATATCGACGGCCAGCAGTGGTATCTATTTACTTATACCACCAATGACAACATCACCATCAGGCGGAGCAAGGCCCTGACCGACAACTGGGACCATGCTGAAGAGCGTGTCGTCTTCAACCCCAACAACACGGGCGGCGAGGCCTGGTCCACAAGTCTTTGGGCCCCCGAGATTCACAATATCTCTGGTACCTTCTACATCATCTTCACCGCGACCCCAGATGCAGACAACCCTCCTCCGCTGCAGGATGCCCTCTGCCCCATCAACTGCCCTGCTGTGAACCACCGCATGTTTGTCCTGGAGGGCGGAGGGCCCGACCCGTGGCTGTCCAACTTCACCCTGAAGGGCATGCTCGATACGTACGACCAGTTCGCCATCGACGGGACCTACTTCTTCCACAACGACCACATGTACCACGTCTACTCGTGCTGGCAGGAGAAATACTCAGCCTGGCCTGCCAACCTCTGCATCACGCACATGTCGGACCCGTGGACCGTCGACACCAGCTTCACAAACCGCAGGATCATCTCGGTGCCCAGCGAGCCCTGGGAGAGGGTCCCCTACGGGCGGCCAGACACGCGCCTGGCGACCAACGAGGGCCCGCAGCAGCTCGTCAACCCGACCACGGGCCAGAACTTTATCATCTACTCGGCCGCCCGCGTCAACACCCCCTTCTACTGCCTGGGCCTGCTCGAGCTGGTGGGCGACGACCCCATGGAGTACCAGAGCTGGCGCAAGCACAGAGACGGCTGCGTCTTCCACCAAAACTCCCTCGAGGGCGTCTACGGCACCGGCCACGCCAGCTTCACCACCAGTCCGGACGGCTCCGAGCACTACCTGGTCTACCACGCCCAGACCACCGCGGAGCCCCTGGGCGACATCTCTCGCACCGTCCGGGCGCAGAAGTTTACCTGGAACGACGACGGTACCCCCAACTTCCCACTGGCAAAGAATGGACCGTTTCCTGTGCCGGCAGGGCAGAATGGGCAGGTCATGGTGGCTGGGGAGGATTATTCTTTCTTGTCAAGCCAGGGGGGCGATACTTTCCAGGCCATCATGTGACCCTAGCCAGAAGGTGTCTGCTGGATTGCCATGAACTGAGGATCAATGATGTAAATGAAAGACGGTCACTATAGTACCGCGTCGTGGATGATCCGGCTCGACGAGTGTCAATTGTCGGGACCTTCTTATTTTCCTTCTCCGGAGGGCTCGGGAGCCTCCATGGATGATCCGATCACCGTCCCTATGCCTCCTCGCATTCATAAATTCATACCACTTCCCACCACCAGAGGGGACTCGTGTATTTGTTTTGTCGAGAGTCATCAGTGGTAATATGAGATAATTTTTACTTCTCATTTACATCTCAAAGGCCTCAAAAGCAGTTACACAACGACGACGACTACTACTACTACTATCACCACTAGCAATGACAACCACCATGGCTCTGGCCGGTGTCCACCACTTCAAGCTTCCTTCCTCAGACATAGACAGGACCGTGGCGTTCTACACGACCCACCTTCCCCTCACCCACCTCCCAGAGCTCAACCATGTAGAAGCCTCGACGGGCTCCGTCTATGCCAAGATCCTCAGACACACCCCGTCGCAGACCACCCTCGAGATCCGCAACGCGCCCGAGCAGGCCGCCCGGGAGAGGGGCTGGGACCCCATCACCTGGGCCGTCCAGGGCTACTCGGACCTCGTGCGGTGGAGGGAGCACTTCATCTCGGCCGGTGTCCGCCACACGGCGGTCTACAAGGGCGTCACGGGCTGGGGGCTGACTGCTGAGGATCCGGACGGGAGGCTTGTTCGGTTCTATACCCTGGAGGAGCACGGAATAACGGCTGACCTGGACCCTGCCGTTTCCACCAAGTTTGAATGAAGGCTTGTCACGGTTGTTTGGAGGTAGAGAAAAGCCCAAGACAAGGGAGGGGAAAAAGGACAAGGCGATAATGACCAGGAGTCTCTGTGCCACCCGTGACAACAGCGCCGACAGTTCATGAGTTCAGGACAGCCCAAGTTGATGATTTGGCTGCTGGAGGGTATGGGATGGCAACAAACGAGCTTGTAAAAGCGGCTGTGTGATAGATTTCAGTAAACATCATGAATAAATCTTTGGCTGCACCGTAATTGAATTTGTTCTTTCTAGGGCTACTTAACTAGTAGCACAGTAGACAACCCAGCTCTCACACATGCGACGATTCTAGCATGTCCAGTGACGAGTCCCATCTCTGGACTTAAACTTGCTTCATCTTGCTCATTGCCCTCGTCTTCTTTCTTTTGTTCTTCTTCTTCTCCCTTCTCCTTGTTACTTTTGAACCCATTTATATGTACCACGCCTCTTTATGTCCAGGTCTTTTTCGGTGGGTGACTGGGTGGATATTGACAAGACGAGAATTTGAAGCAGCAAACTTCCAAAAAAAGACAGAAAATAATAATAATAAATGTACAGATTTCCGACCAATCCGTATCCGAGACCGCGGTATATGCGCGTAGGGTATCCGTGACAGTATGTGAACAAAGGAGACAGAAAATCGACAAGTAGAGTGCACAAACAACAAAGATGACGGTGCTGGTGAAGTACCGTCCGACCCAAGCCCTGCCAGGTCCTTCACCATTGAAAACTTTATCAAGAACGCCAAATGCAATGTATCCAACCATATTACCTTCCAGCGGGTGAATGAGAACCGACCCAGACCAAAGATGCGCGCAGCAAGCTTTCCCACGGCCTTGAAGGAGAAAATAAAAAGAAAAAGAAAATTTGGCGTAGTGCCTGGAGTGGAGATGTTGGGAAAAGTCAAACAGGCAGGCACATACAAGGTCCGCCGCCCTATCCCACAATGCTATTGCCTCCGTGCGTTTCTGTAGCCGAAGAGGGAAGTCTGCGCCTGGCACTTCGTATCACGGTGACTCCCCTGAAAGAACGATGCCACTATCCCTGTCTTGAGCTGCTTGTTTGCCGTTGGCCTCGCCAACAGGCCGCAGACGCTCGATCCGCAACCGCATCGTCTCGTCGGCATCCTCATGTTCGCTGTCGTCTGTCACGTCCTCATCCTGGTCAAGCACATCGCTGCGCTTCTCATCGTGATGGTCCCAAAGCGCGGCTCCGTCGTAGATGAAAGGCTTCTCACCGTCCTCGGGGGCGCCGTGGCCACCCACCTCCACCTCGCTGACCCGGACCTGATAGGCTAGGGCCCTTTGACCTTCCCTGATCAGCTCCTCCGTCCAGCCCAGGCACCTCTTCAAGCTCTGGTTCATCTTTTGGCTGTCAACGAGGAGCTGCTGATGTTTAGACAGGTCGACCTGCAGCCGCTTCTCATCCCGCTTCCGATGCCGTGCATCTCTCGCTGCCATCGTGCTGGGGCTTGTGTGTGCGGAGCCTGTCGAGTCCGACTCGGACAGCTCCTCCGAATCGAGGTCATCATCGTCCGCATCCAGCCCTGAGCCCTCTTCGCTGAGGTCGGACAGGTTTAGGTTGTTGAGCGGGCCCTCCTGCGCTTCGCTCGCCGTGGAATCGGAGACAGTCCGAGACGGAGCGGCAGTGGTGCTGACCGCCGAGGAGAGCCGGCCTGCCCTGGACAGCCTTTTGAAGCGTCTTAGCTCGTTTGTCTGCTTGCGCAGCTGGCGCTCGAGGGTTCGGTTGATGGCCTCGAGCGAGGCATTGGTGATCTGCAGATCCTGGACCTTGCGCTCACGGCGCGCGTTGGCGACGAGCTCGTTGAGCGGGTCATTGCCGCTGGCCGACTTGGGGCTGGTGAGGCCCGAGACTATGCTCTCGTTGTCGTCATGGTCTTCTGCGAGCTCCTCGGCAGCCTGCAGCACCGAGGCCATGGACAGAGCCGGATTGGTGAAACCGAGCGGAGATGCCATGGGAGAGCTGGACGGCTGGACAGGGTCGGCCGCCGAGCTTCCAGAGCGCGAGTGGCCAGAGGACCGCCTCGGAGGTGTCTCTGCGCTGATGCGCCGCAGGCTGGCAGCGTTCTGGCCCAGGTGAGGCGCTGAGGCGACTATACTACGCCTCTCAGCTATGGTCGGGCCGGCCGAGCTTTGGGTCGGGATATGAGGCTGAGACGTAGGCTTGGGCGGTGAGGGCGCCCTCGGAGGTGCAAGGGCGGGCGACTGGGAGGCGAGTGCCGATCTCCCCGACGCGGCCCGAGAGCTGGTTGAGACAACTGAGCTGGAACCGGAGGTCATAAGGCTGGGTTTCAGATCTGGAGTCCCATTGGCGTACATGAACTTGCTTGCCAGCGGGTCCTGCGAGGGAGCAGCCAGTGTGGGCGAGTATGGCGACGAGGTTGTCATGTTCGGGCTAGATCGGGAAGGCAGATTGTTGCCATTGGCGTAGAAAAACATCGAGCCCTTCTGCTGTAATGTTGCTGGAGCTGCTGCTGCCGTCGATACTACTGGTGTTGGTGGTTGGGACCTGGTCTGGGCTGGCGGTTTGTCGGGCTTCGGGGCGTCGCTCGCGTAAAAGAACTTGGAATCACGTCCAACCGCAGACGAGCCATTCTGTTTCGTGTGGTCGGCAGCGTGAATAGGCTCGGGCTGGCGAGCCGACCTGCGGGGGGCGGGCGCTGCGAGAGTAACGGTCTGTCGCTGAGGGGCGGATGTAGGCGCCGGCCTGGAAGTGGTGTTGATGGTGGCAGCGGACAGCTTGGGGGTGCCCTGTGTCCTCCTGGCCAGGGTGGGCATCTGAGGCTGCTGGCGCGACGCCGAGGTTGTCATGGGACTAGATCGATCGTACGGCATCCTGGCCGAGGAGGACGAGGAGGTGGTGGTGGCGGCGGAGGAGGTCAACGAGGCCACAGGCGGCTCTCTGGTGGTTGAGGAGCGGGAGGTGTTTATGTTCCTCATCTTGTCGGCAGCATCTTGCCGGGTAGAGATGCGGTTCGCTCGGTGGGGCGGGTAGCAGTTCGGGTTGGGAGTCGGTGTAGGAGAAGGAGAGGGGGGAAGAGACAGTGGTGACGAGTCGGAAATCGAAGGCGAAAGCGTGATGTGCTGATGAGTTGCGCGCAGGATCGATGTCCAGCAGACAGGATTAATTGTGCTGCTATAGAGCGTGTAGGGTGGGTGTGTCGCGTAGAGGTCGATCGCGGTCTGACTGTCTGTGTATGATGTAGTCGCGGTGGTTTGTTGGTTGTGTTAGTGGTGGTGGTTGGTGGCAGGTGTTTGATGTTTGGTGGTGGAGAGATTGGAATGGTTGGTTGCGAGGGAACCGCTGTAGAAGTGAGGAGTGGGTTTGGGCGCTGATGGATGGGGCGGCTTCTCTGCTCTTTCCCTCTATGAGAGATCAGACGGAGAGACATAGATGGGGAAGGGGGGGGGGGGGGCGAGAGTGGGGAGAGTACAGGGTACTGGCCTGCTGCACCGGGCTCGGCATATGTCTGATGTAACAATTACCTTCCCAGATGCTACTGTCTAAGTACACTGGTATACTAGCCAAGGGCGTCCCGGGCAAGCCCTGGAGGGCCAAGCGCGGCTTTGAATTGGGACTGCAAGCGGAAACGAAGTCGTGGTGGGACGGCATTTGATGAGGCCATGACCAGTTGAACCTTCTTCGATTAACAGGTAGCACTGCAGTACTATGCAAGGTATATACGAACAAAGCAAGGCAACAATTTGAGTATTCTTCTGGCATCAAGTTTATCAGTGTAAAAGTCATCTCGAAGTAAATGATGACCTGGAGGTACTTGCGCGAGATTGCTGTGCATAATTGACTAGATTGCATAGCATATCGTGGATACTTCTTTTCCTCTTACAGATATCGAACTTGTCCACCTACACGAGCGGCAACAACATGAGAGCGGGAATTGTAATATCACTGTTACCCGTCAACATCCACGAGGGCTCGAGGTCGACTTCCAGACTGAGGGAAATTTAGATCTGTCTGTCTGTCTGTCTGTCTGTCTGTCTCAATGTATCCCTCTTCTCACCCTCGTTAAATGGAAGTGGATCTCCTCTTTTTTTGGTATTGGCACCTGAAAATGAAAACAGAATGAATAATGGGACTGAGGACGGCGGGGCGGCCGATGGGGCAATGCCTTCTCTCCTCCTTTTTCTTATTTTTTTTTTTAATATTTACTCTATCCTTTTTAATCCCTCCTCCTTTTCCTCCATCCCTCCATGCCCCCTTTCATGCCTACTCTGCACTTACCTGCCCTCGGTGTGTGCACATTTTTCATGTCAGGTGTCTCCTCTCCACCTGCGCCTGGCGAGTCCGTCCTCTATCTCGAGAAGAAGAGCAGTGGTATGAAGCAGCAATCTGTGCTGCGATGCCTGCCAGGTCTTCGCCTGAACAATTCCAATCATTGTAGATAGTATGCAGTATGATGTATGTATATAGATCTGTTTTATATGCCGTCCCGTTCACGCCTCCAGCAATACTGAGGCATCCTCATCCCTGCCCCTTGCTGCAGGCAGAAACTCTGGCTCCCAAGAACCCTAGAACCCCCTCCCGCTATCCCTGCCCCTATAGCGCCGTGTCATATTCCAAGCAGCATAGCGTGTCTAGGTGCCCTTGACCTACTAGCATGGTTACATACTATGTAAATAGGTATGTACTGTAGGACCACCTGGTGCACCTGTACTATGGTAGTAATTAGTGAGAGCATGATTGGGTCTAACACAGACCCTTCTAACCCCTCCGCTAATCTTTTCACATGCGCCGTCGCCAACATCAACCACACCCCCTCTCTTCCTCCCTCACTCTCGCACAAATTCATGACTTTTACCAAGGGCCCCCGAGCAGTCTGACCGCTCCCTGCTATGGCGCTGATCGGAATCTCCCTCATCGTCGCTTCCTTCATCTTCGTCTGCCTGCGGCCCCCAGAATGGCTACACAGCTTCCTGAGCACTTTGGGACAGAAGCGGCTGGGTGATGGTGGTCCATCTCCTCCTCGTGCACCACCGCCACCACCAAGACGGCCGTCGCCCACCATCAACTCATCCGACCCTGAAGAGGACGAAGACATCAAGAAGGATGGCGTGCAAAAGCCGGCAGCACCGTCAATACAGCCACCTCCCCACCTAGAGATCACTGACTCTAGCTCGGAGGTCCAGGAGAACGAGGAGGAGGAAGAGGAGGAGGGACAAACAACCCCGAGGGCAACAACCCCGACCCCAGGCAACGATGTCGTACCTGGCCTCGTCATTCCAGAAGCTTCGTCGTCGTTATTATCGTCGACAACTGCACCCGATGTCGTGCTCCAACCGCCCACGGCCGCATCCGACCTTATGCCCCCGCCGCCCCTACCGACCACCACCATCAGCCGACCGAGACCCAGCGGCATCCCTCAGCCTAGGGCGTCCACGTCCTCCTCCTCCTCTTCCTCCTCACCCTCACCACGGCGCATACCCACTCTAAACGGGACCCTCGACCCGGCTCCCACACGCGAGCGTAACCTTCCCGTACCCCGGCGTGGCGCACCTCTCTCTGGACGCACCGCGGCTTCATCCTCCTCAGGCAGCAGTCTCTTCCCGCCTCCCACGGCCACCTCCATCCCCAAGAAGCCATCGAGACAGGTCGCCCTCGAGCCAGGCCACTCCCCGCTCGACTGGGCTCGCCTTGCCCAGTCGCCCACCTCCGACCTGCGCGGCCTGGGCCCCGACGCCCCGTACTTGCGCGTCACCCCGAGCATGCTGCGCCAGCAGAACGGCCGCAAGGGGCGCGACGCCTGGACCGCCTTTGGCGGCAAGGTCTACAACATCCACCCTTATATCCCCTTCCACCCCGGCGGCGGGCCCGAGCTGCTCCGAGGCGCCGGCAAGGACGGCACAAGGTTGTTTGCCGAGGTTCACCCTTGGGTCAACTATGAGACCATGCTGCAGTCCTGTTTGATCGGCCTGCTGGTGGAGGAGAATGAATCCGGGAACAAGATGGAGGAGATGGACTGAGCGAAAGCGTGCTCTCTTTTCTCTCCCAATATTTGAGACGGAGGGGAAAATCACATCGGCGCTGCTTAGAAGGACTTGCTCTGGATTGTTTCATGGTGGTCAATAGATTTTAGATATATGCATCATAGACGCTAAGCTACACAGCACCAGCTAACGATAGGTATTCAGATAGAGGCCACCTGTACGGCTACGGTTGACTGAAGCAAGAAGATACCCACTATCCCTTTTGAGAGCCAGAGAAGTTCGCTCCCTCCAACCTCCCTCTTTGCGAGATGCGCCCCGCACGATCGTGTCTTTGGGGAGGGTCTGTCTACTTGCGCTTGCCAAACCTGAAGCTCAGACCCCCGTCCTCACTGTCCTCGTCCTCATCGCTGTCTTGCTGTGTGGTCCTGGTCACCCGGCTCGCACGCCTCTTGGCCGGCTTCTCCGCGGCGGGTGCTTCCAGCGCCGCTCGCTTGCCCGTAGCCGCCTGCGTGGACGCACGCGTCTGCTTCCGGCCCATCTGGCTTTGTTGTGTCCCCGCCCGCGAAGCTGCCTTGCCCTTTCGTGACCGGGCCGGCCTGGCAGACTCCATCTCCATCACGTCCGGTAAGGAGGACGCATCAACGTCGTTCACTCCAGTATCCTCCTCCTCCGCCTCACTGTCGCTGCCAATCACTACGCTCTGTTGAGTTGCACTGCCCACCTGACCTCTGGTGGTCCTGGCTTGGGTCTCACCCTGCCTCTGTGAGACGCGCTGGCTCTGTGTGTTGCCCTTCTTCTGCTGCTTCTGCGGATTCTGCAGCCAGTAGTCGTCACCAATACCGTACTCCTTCATCCTGACGGGCTCGAGTGAGATGATAACTTTGGCCTGCGGACGGACTTGCCTGTCTCCCTGCTTCCGGAATTTTTTAAAGTTCTTGAGCCCGTTCCATCTCGGGTCCCATCTCCTTTCCTCTTCGGCGTCCTGGCCCTGTCGTCGTCTGATCTCTATGGGCTGCACTGTCATGGAATCTCTAATATCCCTGAAGTCAATCTCGCCCTCGTTGAGCTGGCGGCGGAGAAGCTCATCCTCGGCCTGTCTCTGCGCTTCTTCTTCCTGACCGGCTTGGATGAACTGGTCGAGAAGCTCGTCACCAGACTCCTCGGCAGTCTTCTTGGATTTGCGACCCTTTGTGGTCTTGACTGTCGCCTGGGTCTTGGTCTTGCCTCCTCTACGAGGTGGAGACTCTTGCGCCTCGGCTGTTGGAGCGGTCGTTTCTACTGCCGGCAGAGGATCCTCACCCCCTTCCAAGCGCAACCGTTTGATCCGTGCAGCTGTCGGCGCCACCTCTTCCATGATATCGCGCTCTGTGGCATGGCGCTTTCGCTGCGAGGCCAATGCCGTCGCTAATGGTTGTAGGGGACCGCTGACATCGTCTGGCTGCGTCATGAACATGCCCTGCGATTCTTCCCGCACAGGAGCGTTTGATTGTGGTTGTTGTTGTTGAATCTCTGCTGGCCCGTCATCATTGTCACTGTCCGGATCGACATTGAAACTCTTGAATCTGCTTTTGGGTGCAGGTCGTTGGCGACCCCTCCGAGCAGGTCGTGGTGGCGGAGGCGGGGACGACTCGACTACTGTGGCATCCTCTGGGGGGTTGTCAATGTTCATGGCATTATCTGCAGCACCAGCGGTTGGCGCGATAGGATCCTGCACGGCTGCAGGAAAGTGAGCTTGCGTGCTGCAATTTGGTATGGCTCAAATAAAGGGGGGAAGGAGGGTGGTGACATACCTGACTCCCGAGGAGTGGATTCCACCTCAAGAGGCCTTCTCAACTGCGCAGGCTCGACATCAAGTATGGCAGGGAGCAGGTCGCGCGATTCAATGGGCCGGTGATCCAGCCGAAGTGCCACCTGGTTGTAAAAGCTCAGGAACCACCCTGCGTCTGCATCCTCCCCAGGTGGCACATATCTCACGACAACCACTCCTCTCCCTTCGCTACCGTCTTCAAACTCGCCCAAGCCCTTCTCTCCAGCAATCCCTTTCACATAGCGAATGAAATCGTTTATATCTGTCTTCCCTGGAAAAACCTCTCTCAGGAGGGCTTTTCCTTTTGCACTCGTGAGGACCGGAAGCAGTTCCTCATAGCGCTTGCGCTCGTAAAAGACAAAGGTGTACCCGTCAAAGATTTCCTTTCTTCGCTCATCAGGTGCGAAAGCCGCGTCTGGCTGATCAGCGCCGGGACCATCAGTTCTGGGCGGCAAGTACTTGGTCGCATCCGGCCAGTTGCCCTCGAAATCCTTTTCCAGCCGGCATGTCTCGGCACCGTTGCTGTCGTTGAGTTCCGGTTGAACAGCGTGAGCAATCGCATCTGTGAAGGTCTGGTTGACAACGAGCTGTCCATTGATGAGAGCCTGAAGTACTCTTGATGTATTCCGCCTCTTGCTGACAACATATGTTACGTCCACCAGGCGATTGTCGGTAGTATACTTGATATCAATGGGCTCGAGCGTCTCTTGTATGAGAGCCATGGCGCCTTGCTCGATCTCGGCCTTGGACAGTGAGAAGCTGATGACGACAGGATTCCACTTGATACTGCCAGGACGTCTAAAGTCAGACTGAAAGTCTTTTTTCTTCTTCGAGAAACACCCCCCCCCCCCCTCCTTTTTCTCCCTTCCGATAGGACATGGCTTACCGGAACAGGTCGTCACAGTCCCCCAGCTTGATTGTGTTGTTATCCTCACTCAAGATCAACTGCTCGCCTTTGATCGACCTCCCATTGATCTGTGTCCCGAGCTTTGTCTTGAGATCCTCAAGAGTGACGGTAGAGCGGCTTCGAGGATCCGCCTATAGTGGTGTGCAGACACCTCTCATGGTTAGGATGTCGGAAGGACAGGTCAAACAAGGGAAATCCATTTTTTGAACTCACACCTTGTCCCTGGAGGACCTCGGCAATCTCGATGGTAAGGTGCTTTCTTGAAATGGTCTTGTGCGGAATGCAAATCTGGCCAGCTGTGCGGACGGTCAGATCGGCAATGACGCGAAGTGCTGTGAGTGAGACTGAGACAGTATAGAACTGAATACCTTCCATGGGGGTCCTGCCAAATAGATACCGCTTCCCTGGGCGCAGCCAAAGCTTCTTGCCTGTGAGCCACCCCTCAAGGGTCAGCCGCTGCCTTGAAATCTTTATCATATGACTTGGTAGTTTACTTACCTCCGAAGGCGTTACCGTCAGTCTCAAGGAGCCACATTTTTGGCGAGACTTTTTGTTGTCGCAGCCGCAGTGAGGAAGAGGGAGGACTTGAGAGAGGCGTGAGGGGCGTGAGATGTGGCTTAGCTCATTGATGATACACTCTCTCTCTTGGGGAAGACATGATCCAGAGCAAGCAGATACCGAAAGACCCAGGAGTTCTGAAACACCTTCTGATATGTGCTTCCTGGTACAACGATGGAGATTAGATGCACCTTGACGCAGAGACGGAAAGATCTGGATCGTGATGGTTGGACGTATGCCAGGAAGGCTGCACAGTGCAAGGATCGCGTCAAGAGACGTCAGCGCAGCCGCGACCTTAAATAGAGTGGGGTACAAGTACCGTGTATTCCTATCCACGTTGTCACGTGCCCTTCATCTTCCTTACATACTACTATTTCTTCATGTTTCAAAATGGCAATGCCATATTTTGTTTTGGACTGCATATTGAATCAATAGGTTCGTATGAAAGGCATTCTAAAAAGCTGAAAGGCGTCGATATAGCCTTATGCAACCATCGTAAAATGAAAATAAAAAATAAAAAATAGTTGCTCTCCAATCCCACCATCCGTTCGCCTCTTTTCACCCTGTGCCATGCCAGTGCTGCTCGCGTGAGGACTGGGAGTTCTACTTGAATATCTGAGCCCATAGAACGTCCACTATACCCTCGGGTCACCAGTATGCAGAAGTGGTTGATATATTCAGCCTTGCTTGTGATCCATCATCCGAGAGCCAGGGCGCGTTGTGGGGACGACCTGTCTATTCTCTCTTAGGATTCGCTCGCCGGTTCAGGGCTTGCTTTCCGCTGCGAGGACTTGTGCTTCTTCTTGCGCTCCTCCTTCTCCTTCTCTTTCTCCTTCTTGATCGTTGCCTCCGCTACCAGCTGTTCAAATGCCATGAAGTCTCCTTCCTCCTCGGGACTTCTCTGTGCCTACATTTTGCACAATAACACGTCAGCCTTGGTCCACAGGAGGGATCTTCTTCTATAGGTGTGGGAACGTACCTTTGCGCAGATCTCGCCGATGATGACCATAGCCTGTGCCCGCTCCAGCCGCTTGTTCAAAGACACCTTCTTGTCGTTCAGCACGGTGTCGCAAACATCGCGCAGGACGCTCTGGATCTCAAACTTGCTGCCGCGCCAGGCTGCATTCAGGATTTTGCCCGTCACCCGCCTCTCGTATTCCATCTTCCTCTCATCTGTCCAGTCTTCGCCGCCCTGCTCCTCCATCCGGCTCATCTCTTCCATTGTCTGCTGCGCGTCGATGGCGCTGGAGATGGTGTTCCACGTCTCCTTGACGATGGTGCCCTTGTCCTTCATTCGGCCGAAGAAGCCGCCGATGCCGAACATCTTCTGCGACTTGAGCAGGTTGGTGGCCTTGGACAGGTATGTCTGGCCGATGGCGTGCAGGATGTCGATACCGAAGGACTCCATCTTCAAGTTTTCCACCTCAAGCCGTATCTTGGCCTGGAACGCATTGGTGACGTCGCGGCCCTTGTCCGTCTCTGTCCATACCGATATTCTGTCCAGAAGTTTCCTGGAGAGGGTATCCACGCGCTCCTGGCGCACGCGCGCGCGCTCCCTCTCGTACTCTGCCAGTTTCTCTCGCTGCTCCTTAGTCAGGCCAGTCTTCTTCTTGTCCTTGTCCTTCTTGTGTATAGATGAGTCGCCTTGAGAAGCCCCTGCCACCTCGTCCGAAGGGCGGTCCATAATAGCAGGCCGGAGAGGGATGCCTTGCCTCCTGGGCGTCGAGGTGCCGCTGGGGGCTGGAGAGGTGGTACGGGAGGGCTCGGTTCCGGGGGTTGTCAGGCCAGGCGCGGCCGCAGCGCTTGGTGCGGATGGCTTCTCGTTGGGCACTTCGTTCTCCACCGTGACGGTGGGCGGCGCAGGTGTCTTGTCTTCCGCCTCGGTCCCTGCTGTCTTCATGCTCTCCTTGGTGGCGCTCTCCGTTCCCGGGAACTCGCCATCGGCATCGGCGGCGGCTGCTGCTGCCGCCAGCTCCTCCTCCTCTTCAGGAGACATGGTGATGTCCATGGTGGTGGTCAGGTCCTTCATCAAGCCGATCTCGCCGATCCAGTCAACGAAGGCGTCACCTCCAAAAATGCTGGTGAAGAACTCGGAAGGGTCGGCGAAGCCCTCCTGCGGTTTTGCGTGGTCCTTGCCGAACTTATCGTAGGCCTTGCGCAGGTCAGAATCGGAAAGGACCTGGTAGGCCTCGCCGATAGCCTGGAACTTTTCGTGGGCGGTAGGATCGTCTGGGTTCTTGTCTGCGGGATGGGAGAAAGACAGGAGGGTCAATGTGTTAGCCAACAAGTCTTTTCCTGTGCTGACTGGTCTACGTGCGCAGCCTCCAAGGACCTTCCACATGCTGCGGCTGTGTGCATACCTGGATGGTGCACCATGGCCATCTTGCGATACGCCTTCTTGATCTCCAGGTCGGTCGCAGTCGGCTGAACGCCGAGGACGTCGTAATATGCCGTGTCGACTACCATGTTAGGCAATGGGTTTTTTTTTTGGTTTTTTTTTGCACAGCCCAAGGCGCGAAACAATTTCCACGAACAAGCAGGTATAAAAGGTTAGCAAAAAGATAGAGCGGGTGGTAAAAGAAATAACAAGACAAGAAGTCAGGACGGGGGCCTGCTTGTGTTTTGGAATGAAGTTGCCAAGTAAGGCGAAATTCGAGAGAAGGAAGCAGATGTCAAGAAATGTTGTTGACGCATGCCCCACGTCAGCCAGCGAGCCAAGCCCGCCAGACTGCCCGCCCACTGCAGGTTGGCACTGCGCAGAGTTGGTCTGGCTCCTCAGGTGGGGGTAGGTGGGTGGTACTGCATGTTACTATGACTGTTAGTGGTTGAGACATCGGTTGGGCCCGGCCCATGCAGTTATTACGTCGTCAGGACTTGAGGACTCAACATGTGCATGCATCTGCACCTGCGTAACGTTCTTGTTATCCTTATTTGTTGTTATTGTAGGACTCGAACATGCGCATATCGACCATAATGCTAATGAACGGCCCAATCAATGCACACAGAGACGTAAAACTCCAAATGGACATTGACCCCAAATAATTCTATCGAGACATGAAATTCTGCCCGGTAGTCGACTCTCACCCATATCGAATGTCTTCCCTGGCCCCCTCCCCTCCAAGCCAATGATCCGCCGTCTCTACATCAACATAGCATTATGGATTCGCGCCAAGCATTGGGAGACCGCCAGAGAGATCAATGTATCTCGGCCCTGAGCTAAGCGCGGAAAGCTGTGAGCTGCAGCGTGCAGGCTTTGCTTACTTCCGAGGGGTTATCACTCCTCGAAACCAGAAGACGACGGGGACCATGTCTGAGAATCCCAGTTGCGCCATTGCCGTTTTGAAAAAGAAAAAGAGAAAACTCCAACAGCCCAAGACACGTTCAGCTGGCCAGAAGACCATACAAGCTTGAGAAAGAGCTCTACCCAAGTACAATATAGGCGCCCACAGGCTTTGGAGCTTCCCTGCACCTTGCCCCTAAACGCGTCCCATCCCTTCCCTCTCTACTTGCCATTCTTTTCCTCCGCCTTCTTCTTTACTGAACACCCGCCGCCTTCATCCTCTCGAAGCACTGCCTGTATGCCTCGTGGATCTCGGGCACGTCGTAGCCATACTCCTTCAGCTTGGCGATCAGCTTGGTGGTGTCCAGCTTACAGTTGCTTCGGCCGGCCTTGATCACCTTGGCCTGCTCCTCCAGCGAAAAGTTTTTCCAGGTGTAGCCCGGCCTGACGATGTCACGGAACAGGGTCAGCACCTCGTTGTGGGAGATGGCACCCGGGTTGGTGAAGTTGTAGACACCCGTCTCGCTGTGCTCAGCCATCAGAATGGAGGCGGGCAGCAGGTCATGCAGGATAGTGTTGCTGTTGGGGATGTCCACAACACGGTCGTACTTTGCGATCTTTGTGACAAAGTTGCGAGAGTGGAGGTCGTCCGAGACGGGCATACGCAACCGGAGGATCAGACAGTTGTTGTAGTATTTCATGACCTGGTAATTGTGACACTCATCAGTTCAGGGGCCCCAGTATCTCTTTTTCTCTGTGTGTGGGAAAAGAAACTCACCTCCTCGACATGGCCCTTGGTCTCGGAGTAGAAACTGCCCTTGAAGTTGGCCGGGTCGGTCTCGAGGTAGCCGGGGCCGTCCCACGGGTGCTTATCGTCATACTGGTAGATGCACCCGGTGGCGAAAACGGTACAGTGGATGCCCTTGAGGAAGCAGCAGTCGGTCAGGTTGAGGGTGCCGATGACGTTGGACCGCATGGTGTCTTCCTTGTGGTCTTCGCACCAGTCGACGTTGGGGCGACCAGTACAGCCGGCAGCGTTCAAGACATGGGTGGGTTTCTCGCGCTCCAGAACCTCAAGGACCTTCTCGCGGTCCTGCATGCGGACGGTGGTGCTGACGACGTGCTTGCCCTGGCCCTCGAGTATCTGCTTGAGGTGGCCGGCCACCCAGCCCTCGCCTCCCCAGATGAGGAAGCGGTTGTCGGACTTGGTGCCGTTCGTCCCGTTGGTACCGTTGGTGGCCATGGTGCGGCGTAGGTGCGAAAGTCGAGTTGTAAGGTGGTGGCAGGCGGGTTGTGGGTGTGGTGGTGGGGGTGACACGGCAAAGGGTTCGATGTGGATTCAACTACAGCAGTTGGTGGGCTAACAGATATGGAGGGATAGAGGAGGGGAAGGCACGAAAGAAAAGCCCTAAATAGCTAGGTCTGTATAGAAAAAGGGAGAAGACAGAGAGCAAAGGAATCGAAGAGAGAGGTGTCCCAAGATATTTATCACAAGAGAGAAGGAGAGGGAGGAAGACGAGCTAGTGGGGGGAACCAAGTGGCTTAGGGCGGACTTAAATGTCAGGTCCAGGTCGGAAGAGGCAATGCAGAACATGGAACATGTAATGCAAGTCGTAGCAAGGGAGAGAGGAGAAGAACCAAAGCCAAATCAGTCCCGAGTGCCAGTGTCACCCTTTTTTTTTTTTTTAGAGGGGGAAGTGTTTCAGTGCGTGGGTGATTCTCCTCCCTCTCCCTCGCTCGAACTCAGCCTTTATTACCGAGACAGCTACGAGAAGCTCAGGAGAAGGTGAGCTAGGTAGGGAGGGCGGCTGCGTAAACTACGGAAGAAACTATGGTGCACACTATGTACTACTAGAGTACTATAGTATTACTCAAACAGGTAGAAGGAACATCCACAAGGTGGCTGAACGGCAAGAGGTGGATGCCACTGGAGCTTCTCTTGGGACGCACATCTGTCAGGGTCCGGGTCCTGGTCCTCGTGGAGGGGTCCAGGAGGTGGAGATTCCACCAAGTGATCACGACTTGTTTGGGTGCAGAGAATTATGGCACAGGCGCAAATACAAGGATGCGGTCGGTCTCGACACGTTCAGACCCTTTAAACCGCGTTGTCTAGACCACGCCGCGCCTATGTCTAGACCGCGCCGTGAACAGACTGGCAAGATTGGTTTGTGGCGCGCTAGATGCGTCGTATTTCTGCTATGTCTTACTCGTAACATGCTGGGGGTAAATCGTTGGTCTCTGGAGCTGGCGGTACAATGAATCGGCGGGGGGAGTGGTGGGGGGGGGGGGGGGGTTGAAGCATCGGTTCCTATCCTGGCAGGCAGAAGAGGGTCCGATATACATGGTATTGTAAAGACTATGGCGGTCGTTCTATCATTCGATCATTTGTTCTAGCATGGGGGCCATGAAAGAAGAAAAAAAGGGGGTGAGGTCACTGCTTGTTGTTGTAGTGCTTGCGCGGCCTGCAGAACGTCATCCGTGACACCCTGGCCACTGGCTGAGGAGGGTGTGTGGGAGAGTGGAAAACTTTAAGTACTGACCATAGTACTATATCTGTTGTCTGTAGTACTGTTGTATGTACTTTGTAAACTATTAAGTAGGGAGGAGGGGTGGACGATCTTGTCCTGCCTCTCACATTCAACTCATCCTCTTTTCTCCTTTCCCAACTCATGCCCTTGATACGGTACGAATTATCATGTGTGGTACCTGGCAGCCTGGGTACGTACAGTCGTAGTAGCTGTAGAGTTCCCAAAGTGCGTCAAGGGGATCGGGTGGTATCAAACAGTAGCAGCAGAGAGCAATTGACCAATAAGAGAAGCTTACTGGCTCATGAGCTTGTTTACACACTTGAAACAGGTACTATATAAGGAAGTCATCCCCATTGCTACGGTACTGCATGCTGTTAAAAATAACAGTATTGGTACTATGTGCTGCATACCAAGCTTAGGTACCAACCATGTGGCCATCCAAGCAGATACAAACAAAAATCACTACATCTCTATCTCTCTCTGATAATATAACAGGTACTCTTCATCGTATATTCTCAGCGGAGCAAAACCCCATCCATCCACCCACTCACCCTGATACTTCAAGTCATGCTCAATCAAGCTTCTTCAGACGATAATTATGAATGCAGGTACGCAACTGGTGAGAGGCCGAGTCGGGGTTCTACTGGATTTGTGCTACACAGTCTCTAGCTGCGCACTTGATTTACTGTGCTGCTGCCGTGCACTAAGGTATACTGGTCCATGGACGGATGCTGGGTTGCCCGTGGCCCAAACCAGACTTACTATGTCCAGGCGTGGTAGCGTGTTCAGATGTGGGCGGCGGCGGAGATTATCGTGCAGCTCTTGTCTCCGTCATTGGCGCCCTCCCCTCTAGGAAAACCCAGTGTGCCTCTCTCTGCTTCTCCAGGAATGGGTACCCTGCACCCAAATTTTCTCCAGCTTTCCAGGGGTACGTCTGGTACCGTGGCCACCTAGAAACACGACGATGCTACTACATGCTCATCTTCAATTTCGACTTCTTCACCAACACCGCCACCAAACACCCCTCCAGATACACATGTTCACCTCGTGTGCCTCAGTCCTTTCTCCTTACGTCCTCAATACTTCCTAAGTACCGGCCCTGACCCTCTCGCTGCCCCCACAATTACCCTGTGTGCTCCTCGGTCGCGTGCCTGTCTCGCGCGCCTGCTTCGTCCACAAAGCTACCACGGACATTGAGTAACCTTCTGTAACTCAACAATTCAATCTCATACTTCCTGGGACAACGACAACGAGGACGACGTCGACGACAATAACAACCAATCAACCCCCCCCCCCCCAAAACCAATCATTCAACCTCGTCAAGATGGGTGCCGCATCCCAGGCTCTCTACTATGTTTTCCATCCTAACCAGCTTCGCAGCATAATACAATGGTACGCACGTTACTGGCGCAACTCGTCCTCCCTCTGGCAGATCTCGCCCTTTCCTTAAATTTTCCCTCTTGGTCTTGCGGCTGACCCTTACACGCCAACAGGAAGATATGGCACGACCCTGTCCACCGCCGCGAACCCAGCAAGGAGACTCCCACGGTGAGGTCATGCTTCCACTACCTCGACCTTACCTCACGAAGCTTCTCCGCCGTCATCCAGGAGCTCAACCCGGAGCTCCTCATGCCCATAGCCCTCTTCTACCTTGTCCTGCGCGGCCTTGACACCATCGAGGACGACATGACCCTCGATATCAAGGTCAAGGAGCCACTGCTGCGTGACTTTCACAACAGTATCGAGGTTGATGGCTGGACCTTCACGCAGAGTGGGCCCAACGAGAAGGACCGCGAGCTACTCGTTCACTTTGACGACATCATCTTCGAGCTGCGCAGGGTCAAGAAGGAGTATTTTGTCATCATCAAGGACATCACCGACAAGATGGGGAACGGTATGGCCGATTATGCCCTCAATAGCGACTTGAACGAGTACGGCGTCATTTCGACAAAGGACTACGAGCTGTACTGCCACTATGTCGCTGGTCTGGTCGGCGAGGGCCTCACGCGCCTTTTCGTCGAGTCCAAGCTCGCAAACCCTGCTCTGCTCGAGAGGCCCCAGCTCGCCGAGGCTATGGGCCAGTTCCTGCAAAAGGTCAACATCATCCGCGACATCAAGGAGGACTGGGACGAGGGCAAGAAGTGGTGGCCCAAGGAGATCTGGAGCAAGCACGTCGACAACATGGGCGACCTGCTCAAGCCAGAGCATAGGCAGAACGCCCTCTGGTGCAGCTCCGAGATGGTCCTGAACGCCCTGAAGCATGCCGAGGAGTGTCTGTACTACATGGCCGCCGTCAGGGACCAGAGCGTGTTCAACTTCGTGGCCATCCCGCAGTCCATGGCCATCGCGACGCTGGATCTCGTCTTCATGAACCCAGCTATTTTCGAGAGAAACGTCAAGATCACAAAGGGAGACGCCTGTCAGCTCATGATCGAGTCGACACAGGATCTGAAGCTCGTGTATGAGTTCTTTCGCCGGTACGCCCGGAGGATACACCGGAAGGCCGACCCCCGGGATCCCAGCTACTTGGCCATCTGCATCCAATGCGGCAAGGTAAGTCGACGACCACTGAGGCCCTATTTGCTAGTAGACCTGCAGCTTGGCTAACCAAACCCACACCCTGGCAGATCGAGCAGTTTATCGAGAGGATCTTCCCCACTCAAGACGTCGCGAAACTGTCGGACGAGGAGAAGGCCAAGGCGAAACAGCGGGAGCTGGACAAGTCTACGGATCAGAAGGAAGCCATGTACCTCATCCTCGCTGTCGTCTTGGTTCTCGTCCTGGTTGGCTCTCTGATGGTAGGTCTAGAGAAGGACAAGTGTTACCCCTCAAGGTGCTAGTGAAGCTTGGACGCTAACTTGGAAGCAGGTCGGACTCGCCTGGTTCATGGGGGCCAAGTTCACCGAGGCTATTGACAAGGTACCGACGACCACAATAACGACATCGTTGCCCACCGGGCATGAGGAGCTGTAATGATATGGCGGTATATCCTGGCCTGTACGAGAAAGGAAGGGAAAGAGAAAAAAATTGTATGTACGTACGAGACGAAATGATGTATGGTATACCAGCCCACAGGAGGGAAAGCATGGCTCAAGGTGACCGAAGGCGACATCTATATATGCAATTCCAGGCAGGACTGGACATACAACTGATACTAATGACATAATAATATCCCCTTCCCCATGGCCCGGTGACGCTTGGTATGGGTGGGACGGAGGGCATCCTAAGGAGATTCCGCTGGGGACTTCGAGATCCTGACCTCGCTCCCTTGCCGCCCTCACCTACACCCGCGTCCGTTCAGGACGTGACGAACGCCAGTGACCAACAAGCATGGATGTCAAATTGCAATTCAGCCTCTCTCAATGGCTGTGATTGTGCCAAGAAATGCTGATAGTGATGATGGGGGCATTTGAGGCCTGGTTTCCGGGCACATGGAGGCGGTCGTCCTTGAGGTTACCCGCCAGGATGGCTGCTGCACATGGATTGCATACATTTAATTCAATACACAAACACGCATACATACTGCTGTGTGCGTTCTTACTATATACACGTTGAACCCAGAATCTTTCCCCCAGGGTTCTTTCTTTATCGTCTCACAATTAAATTGTGGGGGCCAATGAACAAGCCAAACACCTACTATTGCCTGAATGGAGCAGCATGTTTCTCTCGTATGAACAAGTCCATACTTCGTGGGACCAGGTTTCTAGGATCAGGGCCGTAGGTTGGCACCTTGTTGTACATGAATGATTTGTTGAAAAGGGGGCGATGCGGATCAGTACAGGGAGTGTGTGAGGACCCGTGTGCTCTAGCCCTGGAGGGCCTATGTCATACACAGACTAAAGTGTTCTCTAGTATCTCTCTCAGTTGTTCCCAAGTAAAATCAGCAATCATTCCTGGGCCAAATGCACATTAATAAAATTCCTGACTGGTATTTTTGTTTGGTTTTTTCTCCCTTCTCTCATGTGATAGCCCGCAGACTTATTGCTGATTGTTGCCTGCTCTTGGTGGCAGTTGCGCTTGCTTACATAATGGGATATCCGCCCACCTCTCCTTCTACCCCCTGCCACTCTATCCCTACCCCCCATCGACAACAAGTTAACCCCCATCTCATCTCAGCGACTGCAACCCTTCACGACTTGTCTTCTTTTCATACCGCACAGCATCGACTTACCGTTCTTACGCCCATTCCTCCCCCTCCCCTTTCCTGTTCAGCTCCGGCAGTTCAGCCGTTGCAACATCGGTGTGGCTCCTGTCCAGTGAACCGTCGTTGCAGCCGTCAATGCAGGGGCGTAAAGGGGCGTTGATGGGCATCGAGTCGCTTTCAGGGTCTCACTCTGGTCGGGGATTTGGCCGCCTCACAAGGTCTTCTGTTACCTGAGCTGGCTGGGCTAGCTGGAAGGGAATGGTCAACGAGACGTAGGGTTCAGTAAATTCTCTTTCGCTTTCGAGGCTGGTCATCTCCTCGTCGTCAAATCGTCTCCATCCCCAATTAGGACGCTCCGGCCAACCCCGTTGCACACCGCCACGCCACATCTACCTTGCTCGCCTTGCGACATCTCGTCACAGCTTCATATTGCTACCCCAAGCAGAAGTATTTTTGGACCAAATCAGTCACCACTTTGCAAGTTCATCTCCCCTTTTCTCAGGCTGTGTGGCCAGCACGCTCGACGTCATGGCCACCCTTCAGGTTGCCGCAGCAGACCTGTCGGCCACCAAAAAGAAGGCTGTCGAGGATGCCGACAAGATGCAGCGCTCCATTATACGCGAATGTGCCGAGAACGGCAGGGAGCCCCCTCCGTACGCCCTCTCCGAGCTCATTGGCAAAGGAAGCTTCGGCCGCGTCTACAAGGCCAGAGCCTCGGCCTCTGGGCAGCTTGTCGCCGTCAAGATCATCAGCATCGACGAGGGCGACAGTCTTGCTCCGGGCGCTGCCGACACCTTCAAGGATATCCTCAAGGAGGTCAACACCCTCAAGAAACTTGGGGACAGCGGCGCCAGGAACATCAACACCGTCATCGAGACGCTTCTCGTAGGCCCTGCCATGTGGATCATCACCGAGTACTGCGGTGGCGGCAGCGTTTCCACCCTGATGCGTCCCTCTGGGGGTCTACCCGAGAAATGGATCATACCGATCCTGCGCGAGGTTGCAGAGGCGCTGTACTGGGTGCACAAGGAAGGCATCATTCACCGCGACATCAAGTGCGCCAATGTGCTGGTGACCGAGAAGGGCGGCGTCCAGCTTTGCGACTTCGGCGTTGCTGGAATCATCGAGACCAAGTTCGACAAGAGGAGCACTGTGACGGGCACGCTGAACTGGATGGCTCCTGAGCTCTTCGACATGTCTGTCTCATACGGTACCGAGGTCGACATCTGGGCATTTGGCTCTCTTGCTTTCGAGGCTGCCACTGGCTTGCCCCCGAATGCAAAGAATATGGCGAGGATCGACATCCCCCAGTTTGGCTCCTATCTGAAGCAGCACTGCCCCCGCCTCGAGGGTGACCAATACTCGGAGCATCTGAAAGATTTGGTGGCCTTCTGCATGACCGAAGACCCGAGGAACCGGCCTGCTATCAGCCAGGTCCAGAGGCATCCATATATCAACAACACGGCCAGTGATTACCCAACCCAGTCGCTCTCCATGCTTGTCAAAGCCTACCGCCTATGGGAAGTGCAGGGTGGGAACAGGATGTCTCTGTTCAACGCTGGAGGCGCACAAGGTCTTGCCTCCAACGACGCCCCGGGACCTTCTGGAGAGGATGGCTGGAATTTTGATACCGTGACTGGCGGATTCGATGTCCCACGTCTGGGAGACACAGAAGCCAAGGCCGTCTACGATGCGTACGGGCCTCGTGTCTCCATGATGCCTCCGCCTCCTAGAGACTCGAGTCGCCGCCGCCGACCCCCCAATATCCCCAAGCTAAAAGGTCCCCTGGAGAAGGCCTTCGATCCCAATACCATCACAACCTACGAAGATAATTCGCGACTGTTTTACGGCAGGCTCATGCCAACTTCGGCGCCCGAGATGGGCATGGAGAACAGCGACAAGCCCGCCACCAACAACAACGTGAATGAGCCAGCCCGCGAGTCTCTGATCGATCTGGACTTGTCCCTCGACGGCGACAGGCTATCTCGATTTGCAGACATGAACGGCGGCACAATAAAGGGTGCCCAGCGGCCAAAGCACGAAACAATTCGAGAATCTGGCCTGATCGACCTCGACATGTCACTGGACGGAGATAGGCTCTCCCGGTTCGTCGATATGGACACTGTTAGGGCTAGCCGTGTTAGTATCAGACCGCTTGGGAGAAGTCAGACAACGCTAGACAGGCGTCGCACGCAGGACTGGACGTTCCAGGGTGCTGATGGGAACGAAATCGTCCTAGAAGAGGCTGAGGAGCCTCGTGAAGCCGGTCGGCAGAGAGAGAGCCAGCTGTTCAGGAGCCAGTCTACTATAGATCACCGCCGCACGCAGGACTGGAGCTTTGCTTCGGCGGCTTCTCAGGCATCTCCCACACGTCGGCCGGACATCGGGCGCAGCCAGTCGAGTCTGGAGAACAGAAGCACGCGGGAGTGGACATTTGCAAGTGCCGTGTCCACGAACTCGCACCTAGGAGGCGAGTGGTTCCAGTCCAACGAAGATGATGACTACATGGCCCTGGACTCCCTCCCTCAGGCCGCAGCCGCACATCATCATCATAACAACTCACTGGAGGTGGACCTCCCGCCACGGGCGGCCACCAGCCTGGAGGTCAGCCGCTTCTCCTCTTCGAGCCTCATCGATCTTGATGCGAGCCTCACCAGCGAGGAGGGCGAGCTTCTGCGCCCCTCTACTTCGCTTGCGGAGCCTGCAGCATCCGAGACGTGGATGCCTATGTTCAGGTCGCAACAGCCATCGTTCGGGTTGTCCAGTGATGCCTCCCTCCATTCGAGCAGGGAGCCTTCCCTATACATATCAGACGATGCCATTCCCAGAAGCAATAGGGAACCCTCCCTTTCCATATCGGAAGATGCCATCCCGATGAGCAACCGAGAGCCCTCGCTGTATATTGGCGATATGAGTCCGAATGGGTCATTTTCGGCCTTGTCGGCATCGGAGAGGGAGCCGTCTATCTATGTCCCTGATGATGTCGGCCTCGGGCAAGTGCCGTCCACACCTACCTCGGACGGCATGATCATGACACCGCCCTCCGACACGAACGATGCTGCTGAAGAGCTCGGCATCCGCATCAACGGCGAACGTGTGTCGATCAACGTTGAAGAATCAGACTTCGACTCAGATGCCCCTATGCCATCGCTTCCGTATATGCCTCGGCCACCGACGGTGAATGTGCTACAAGGGACTGGCGCCCAGGACGACGTCAAGGATGAGCTCCAGCGGATGATACGAAGCCTCCATGAGCATCTACAGTACACGTCTTCTGTGCTACGAACCCTTCCAACTCGTCCAGGCCAGACGGATTATCCCCAGCCTGAAGTTGTGCTATGAGCGAATGTGAGAGAGCGAAAGAGGGAGAGCGGAAAGAACGGAGGGAGAGAGCGGTGCATGCGTCGGTATAGGCTGAGCCGTCCCCGTCTGCATTTTTTCATGTTGTCGTGAACGGGAGTTTCGGGTTCATCATAGGGTTTGGGAAGCCTCTTTGAGTCACAACACTGGTTGGTCAACCATGCCAGTGATGCATGTTGGTGCTGTTTTGGAATGAGATGAGGCGATATCAAGATACCATTAACTAAGGGCAGCGTAATACATAATGACTGAAGACTTGATACTGTTGATAGAAGATTTATGTAAATTGACGCAGAAAATCTGAAGTGCAGACCATAATGACGGTGAGATAGGTCTGCTGAAATACGTCTTATGCCACTCCTTCTCGCTGAGACTATAGATGCTACCATAGAGGTGTATGCAAATGCAGGGTGAATGAAGAATGACAAACAAATATGCTGTATTGTATTCTATGTTGGAGTATGCACGTGCTGAATGATGCCCATAGCACACATGTCCTTCCTTGCCCTCTGGTAAACCGGTAATGATGCTGTCACCTGTGAAACTGTGACCTTGTCTGAACTCCTCTGTCTGTATGATCATAAAAAGAAAAGCAAGGTATCTTTTTATGGCTGACATGCTACATGTTCACTTGAGCATGTATAACTAGGCACATAGGCCACGAACGGTGTATGTGATCTCAGGCGTGATGATTCACCCCTATCTATACCCATCCCTGAACTCCATTGTTCGCAATCAAGTCGGTGGTCAACATCGCGTTTTCCATCACGGATGAGTTTGTGGCCCCGGCCAGGCCGAGTATCGTGGCCTCCACCACACCGACATCGGTGATATTGTGCAGGGCCATAAGGTACGCAGCCAGCCCTGCAACGTGTGGAGAAGCCATGCTCGTGCCGTCCTCGGTCTTGGTTGCTGTTGTGTTCTGTATGCCAACGCTCTCGACGTTGACGCCCGGCGCAAATACATCCACGACCTGCCCGAAGTTGCTGAACCAAGCCCTTTGGTCTGTCGTCTGGTCGATGGCGCCGACGGTGATGGCACCTGGGGCCGAGGCGGGGCTGTCGTTGGAAGCATCTTCGTGATCATTTCCGGCAGCCACAACCGGCACGGCTCCAGCGATGCGGACGGCAGTGATGGCTTGGTTGATGGCTTGGGACTTGGACCCGCCCACTGCGAAGAACTTGTCAACTATTTATTCATGCCTCAGGGACTGGGGACACTAAAACTTACACGACATATTCACCACAGCCTTCCCAGAGAGGTTTCCAGCTTTAATTGTATCGACAACATACTCTATTCCGCTGAGGATACCAGAGTACGACCCCTCACCGCTCGCATCAAGGACCTTGACGCCGACGAGTGAGACTTTCTTGGCCACGCCGAAGGTGTAGCCACCGATTGTGCCTGCAACCTATCGTTTTTTGTGTCAGAGTCAGTCAGCTGCACATTCTCATGCAAGACAAGATTGCGGCTTTGCGTAGACATACATGGCTACCATGTCCATTTTCATCGGTATTAATGTCGTTCACAGCATTGAATCCAAGCGTAGCCCTGCCCTGGAACTGGGTGTGGTTTGTCATGATCCCTACATTATAGGTATCGTATTAATATTAGGTTTGCTCTGGAATTTGAACTTTGCGTTACGTTTGGTTTTCTTTTTGGTGGGGGAAGGGGAAGGGAGGTCGAGCTGGGGCACAAGATTCGCACCTGTATCGATCACAAAGACTGTGATTCCCTCTCCGGCGCTGTCGTCGTACGAGTAATTCAAACCGCCCGGCTGCGAGGCCGACAAACGAGCGAGGCCTGTGGTGGCGTCGTCTTGCGTGATCAGAGTCTCGATGTGCATCTGCGTGTCGCTCTCGATGAACGCAACCTCGTCGGCCTGGTTGATCTCGATAGCGGACTGATCGTCCGCATCCAGCGCCATCGCCCTGACAGTGCCGATGCTGAACGTTTTAACCGTTGTGCTGAGAAAGCGGTCACCGATGTTGCTGCGCTTGCCAATGTTGCGCCTCGCCATGGTAACCGTCCAGTGTGCCTGGTGGGCGACGACTTCGTCATCGGAACAGCTCTCGTTGTAAACAACAATGTAGGAGTTTTGGATAATGTTCTTGGCAGTTGGGTTGGCGATGGGCACCCGCAAGGTCTGGTTGAGACCAAGTCCGGCTCCCAGAGTAGGGAACGCCCCCACGAGAGTGTTTAGGAGGGCTAGGGTGAAGATGAAGAAAGAGGCCAGCTCCATTTTAGAAGTGGGTTCGAGGTCGAATTAGGAGAATATTATGCTGGGAAGGTATGACTGCAAAATCTCAGAGGTAAAGACAAAAAATAAAACAAACAAAAGGATCTAAAGTGAAAGAAACTCAAGATGAATTATCAGGGCAAAAAGACTATTGGAAGTCGGCTGGGGTGTCCTTTGGCTTGCTGATGATTCGAAAGGAATGGAAGAGGAAGAGTGAGGAGAAGAGAAGGGAGAAAGATAGAGATAGAGAGAAATGGCTTGCACTGCAGGCTGTTATCAAATGGATTTGGAAAGGGAAACAAAATCAGGGTAAAGGCGGAGGAGGCTGGGAGGTTTCCATTAGAGACAGTAGAAACAGGCGCCAACAATGGGGGCCGGGAAAGTGGAAATATCTAGAAACCCACAATGTCATTGTCCCTCTCCAGTCACAGCATGCTGAAAAGAAAACGGTAGAAGAGTATGGAGGCACACGAAGTGTGTCGCGAGAGGAACTTGGCGTATTGGCATGGCGGGGCAGGGAGGGAGGGGACAGTTCAAGGCAAGGGACCAGGGATCTTTTTTCCTTCTCCTTTTTTTCTTCTCCCAAGAGAGCATACCAAAGTCTCGACGGGTGACGAGTGCGAGGTTGACGATATGGGGTCGGTGGTCGTCCTGCGTTGCCTTTCTCTGACGAGGTGTTGCCAAGTCAAACGCGTGGCACTGAGCGAGCCTCTTGGAGTCTGACAAGGGCTGCCGCGCGCGAAGTGAGGTAGAAAAGCGACCAGTATTATCCTTTTCCTTTTTACTTATTCGTTCTTCTTTCCCATGCACTTTTCCTTTTGTACCTTCACTTGCACAGCCATTGTCATTTTGTGTGGACGGCAGTGATTTGGGAAGATGATGTCACTGGGAGCTGGCAGAACCAGAACGCGTCGTCACTGCAGTTGATGCAAGCGCTTGTGACTCGACAAAAACTGTTATCTAAACTACCTACCAAAGGACTTGAATGATATCTGTGATCTGGTCAAGCTTATAGGAACTACTTCAGCATATTGAACAGCAAGGAAAAGGCTAAAGAGAACTCTCGTTTAGCAGGAAGAATACATGGGTGGCAGTTCAAGGACAGATGATGTTGTTTTTTGGATCACAGGAACAAGATGTTGTTCATGACAGGGTTAGGGTACTGGGGCTGCAGAACTGGCTAAAAATAAAGCAGAGTGGACATGCATGAAACAGTTTCACGTTTTCTGGCCAGGTACTCCCTCCATCCTGGCCAGGTACTCCTCAAACTAGAGAGACAAATTTGCAGATCATCCGGAGGATGCTGGAAAAGGGAAAATGGTTGGGACAGTCTTGTTATTACTGCTTATAGTGTTCGTTTGCTTGCCCTCTTCTTGGAGCTCACTACCCACCTAATAGGCTTCGTGTTCAGGTACCTGTTTATGTGCATGAACAGCAGGAATGTCCCACTCTCATTGTGATTTTTGGGGTGATGATGTGAATTCCTCTGATATGTTTCTCTGGTGGCATTCAGGAATGTCAGATCGATATGATGTTGGTTGATCAGAGAGCGCCTGCTCAGGTACGGGGCAGGGCAGGTTTGACTTGGGCTTGGAAGGAGGACGATACTGCCTGCACTCAGGCGTGTCACAGCCACAGCAGGTACTACTGACTGACTGACCCTCCCTGTCTGACAACATTTTGTGCACAGCCTCTTCTTATTTCCTCTTCTCCCAATGTTGTCGTAATAAAATACGGCCCAATTTCCCACTAGCCGCCTGCACCTGCTGCTGTGTGAATCTTTATGAATTTTTCAATCTTCCTCCCTATTCCTTTCCTTTCCTCCCCCCGCTCAATGATTCCCCTGGTCTTTTCAATGGTGTCCCCCCTCCCCTGCTTTAGATCATCTCTCAACACAGTCACCTATCCTCTGTCGGGATCTCCTGCCTTCATTCGCTCAGTCTAGATCCTGTTAGTCTCGACCATCTTCATAAAAGCACACCCAGTCTTTCTCCCCTGGAGCGAGCGAGCAAGAGAGAGAGAGGGAGAGAGAGAGGTGTCACAATAAATCAGGACAACATCAGGCAAGAGACCATTTCAGTCAACAGACACAAACACACATGCGACCTGGGAAACATCAGGCTCAACCAATCACTACTGATCAAGTTCCTCGCGCCCACTCTGTGTCTGCATGTCTGCCAGTGCTCATACCTTTTAACCTCTTACGCGAACTCTCTGTTTTATCGAATCACCTATCCCATTTTGGGGGCCGCGCCTGCTCATCTGCTCAGGCTGACTAACTAGGCCTGCACCTGGAAATCCCGCTACCACCTTATCACAAGCAGTGGAACTGGCACGAGACCATCTTGTTCTTCTTCTTAATTTTGTTTCCTGATTTATTCTATCCTGTCTCTTATTATCAGCATTTGGGTGCTGGTTGTTGATTGTTTGGCTCCAGGGTCTAGACTTGAGGGGGTCTTTCCATTACGCTACAGTAGCGGGACCACACAAGTGGAGTCATAGGGCCACCACCACCAGAGAACCATCATTCTCTCTGTTCTTCCACTCTATTCTTCATCCTCATTCTCGACATCGTCCTCTTTGCCCCCTCCACCACCACCACCACCTGCTGTAACCATCCCACTCTCTTTCTTTATTTACCCTTTGGTGCTGGGTCATCAGAAGGGTCGGAAAGAAAACTTGCCTTTTATTCATTCATTCCATCTTCAATCTCGACCCTCTCGCCGCTCTCCACTTGACTCACCTTTTCTCCCAGGAAGGCTTCTTCCTCTTGTTCTTCTTCTTCCAGAGCACTGCAGTCCAAGGCCGCTCACTGCCTCTCCCGCGCCTCTCCACGGCGTCGGATCGCGACGCCTGCTCAAATCTGCCATGAGAAACATGCTCGGCCCTCCCGATTCGAAGTGACACACAACCTGTTGACCCTGTCTGCGACCATGTCGGTCCGAAACTCCACAGTCTTCGCCGACGACGCCCATACCGGGCCTTTGTCCATCGACACGAGGCGTTCCAGCATCGAACGCCCCCAGGCCCGGGAGGATGTAGGCAAGGCCGCTGTCGAGCTCGCCTCCATCATGGCCATCGCCTCCAATCCCGTCTCCCCCGGCGCCTCCAGCCCGCCCTTGGCCCAGGGCGCCAGGATGCAAGACTTCTCCCCGCCCACGAGACCGAGCAGTACTCCCTTCCCAGAGCCCGAGCACGGCCAGACAGACATACGCTGCCTGAGCTGTCCCACAGGGCCAGAGGCCGGCCACCTCCACGGCTACGATCATGAACACGACCACAGCCACGACGACGCTGACGCTCCCTCCTCCCTCGAGCCACCCGCCCCTGGCATCAGTGCCGCCGACCTACCCGAGTCGTCGCTCGCCATCAACCTGAACGACCTCCCCGCCGAGATCCACGAGTGCATACTGGACCACCTGTTCGGCTACAGGGTGTCAGCCACCTCCAAGAGCTCTCTGGGCATGCCGAGCGTCACCCGAAGCTGGGGCACCGCTCTGAGGCACTCACGTCGGAGGGAGCTGTCCTCCCTGGCGTTGGTGAGCAGCCTCTGGACGGTCCTGGTCCAGGAGAGGCTGTACCGGCACATCAAGATCAAGGCTACCGTGCGGTCCCTGAACGAAGCCGTCCAGTACTTTGCCGTCCATCCACACCTACGACCCTATGTGAGGCATATCGAGCTGTGGTTTGCCGTCTTCCAGCCTAAACAGTCCTCACTTGCATTATCTTCGATCCCTACCCTACCGCCTGTCTCCCTGGACGGGCTGACAAACGCGTCCTACGTGCTACCGAATGACAACTGCTCTCTCGAGGAGGCCTTCTACTTTGTGAGCGCCACTTTCCCCGAGGTCTGTGTCCTGACTCTTGAGGGCGGAGAGCGCAAGAAGGCGCCCAAGGTCCGCCACTTCATCGCCGACGGGGGGCGTGACCAGCCGCTGCACGAGAAGCCGCTCCCCAGGATTCCGCCTGTAAGGACACTGGTGTGCAAGGGCCAGTGGAATCTGATCAGGACTGATAACGATTTCTTCACCATCGTCAATGCCCTGCCGAACCTCCAGGAGTGGCACGGCAACTACAGCAAGGCTAAGTCCAAGAGCTATCTGAGCATGGCCGCCATATTGCTCAGGCTCCCGTCCAGCTTGACCAGCCTGAGTCTCAATCTGGAGGGTGTCGAATACCGAAGGGAGCTGTCCTTCCCGCCCTACTTCCTCAAGGTTTCGAGCGCCCTGCACTTCTGCACCAAGCTGGCTGAGGCCTCGACCAACATGGAGCACTTCGCCTATACCGGACGCGTTTGTCGGACCTTCTTCGACCTCTTGTCCAGGCTGGCGGAGCCCCGCAGCTCGCGTCTGAAGTCGATCGACTTGACCGTGAAGAACTGCTGTCGCCATGTGGTCCACTGGAACGAGTCGGGATCGGGCATCACGGACATGAACTTCATCAATGCGTTTGAGGCGCTTGTCTTGGCGGGCATCAAGGCTCTGGCGAGACTCAAGGCGGTAGAATACCTGAGAATACGATACGTGGACCTAGGTAAGTGCGATGTCACATGCACACACACACACACACACACAGAGAGAGAGAGAGAGAGGAAGAGGCAGAGAGACACAGAGAGAGAGCGCGCGCATATTCAACTCCCTACATGCAGCCGGCTCGCTTGACTCTTCGTGTGGATTACGTAGCTAACTTCAAATTTTCACAGACTCCCCTGTACCACCGCTGAACCCCTATTTCATCCTTCGCGATGGCTGGTGTTCCGGTGTCTGGAGTGACGCCATCATTCGGGAGCTGAACCGAGCCCGCCCTGACGCCCGCTTCGAGGATCTTGCAGAGTCATTTGGTGAGGTGGGCATCAACAAGGATGGCAGGATGGTCATCTCACCCGAATTTCCCAAGAGCAGAGTGCTCTCGTTGAAACTCTCCAACTACGCCTATCTCGCTGGCGGTATTGCCGTGCCTTGAGGCATGCTTGGCAAGTAGGGACTGCTCGTCTCGAGTGAGAAGCTGGGGCCGTACAATGGTTCCGTTCTGCCTTCCCTCACTGCTTGTCTTCCCTTCCTTCCTTTTTCTTTTGTCTTTGCTATCTCCTTTGATCTTGTGCGTTTGTGTAAATGTGTCTCTCTGTGTCTGTGTGTAAGGAGACAATGTTGAGTAATTCGGAACAGGTACAGCAATCCTTTTGCCTTTATCCCTCTCTTTCTTTTTTTCCTCTTTTTTTTCTTTTGTCATCGGAAGGCGGCGCCACATGGATGCAGAGCACGGCGTTTTGGGTTGCCCTTAATACAGATATCCCTCTGGCATCATCGGTCTCGAGGCATAGAAAGGCGTTTCGGATAAGGGTTCCCAGTCAGCGGCAGCTGAAAGGGACAATGGGAAAGAATTATCAACTACTGGATGTCGGCGGTATGAGGTCAGGGTTTGGGTTTGGGCTGTTGATAATATGTAACGGGTCTCGTCAGATGCTTCCAGACGAGGATCTTAATCAGCGGTGGCTGAGCAATCTTTTAAAACACTGACGGTCCCGCCAGGTCCCTCTCAGTCGGGCTCAGAAATTCACAACGGTCTATCCCAGCCTTTATGCGAATGCGACTGGTGCACTGCTATGTGTGTGTAGGTGAAAAGCAACGATGAGAGTTCGTCAAATGAGAATTGTGCCACCGAGTCAGATCATGAGTATGGCCATTCATAAATTTGTCTCTTTTCGGGGTGTCACGATATACTACTGTGTTTTAAGCCACATCTCCCACGATAACCCCCAGTATCCAACAATTGGCTAGGAAGAAGCCCAAGGCCGAGACCCAGAGCCCCGGCACGAAGGTGCTCTGGCCCAGGAACTCAAGTTGGTAACCCTGCTGCAGCCAGGCGGCCTGGGTCAAGACCCACAGCGCGAGGGCAGTGAGGCCCAGTCCCGGCCTCTCGAGGAAAGACGACCGAGGAAGATAAAGAGGAAGCAGTATCAAGTACCAGAGGAAGTACTAGTGTATTATTTAATTCGCGTCAGTAAGTAGAGACGAGAGGAGGGGGGGGGGGGGGGGCAGAGAAAAAGTCTCGATGAGGATTTTTCTGATGCATACCTGGCTGGTGCAAACCTTGTTGAAGGTCACAAAGATCCATGTCTGTGCCAGCATGGTGGACGAAAGATCCTTTTTCGCCATGGCGAGTGGAATCAGAACGCAAGAGAGGAGAAGCTGGGGCAGGAAGGCGACGGACTCGATGCCGAAGCCCGATGCGCCAGGATCGGCAGAGGTGAGATACAGCAGTATGTTGTACGGACTGAAATTGTGGCGGTGATCGATGCGGGTAACGTGATGGAGGAAAGTATGGAGCAAGAACGGGTGGCCGTATATGGCGTACATGGCAAGGTTAAGGCCAAAGAAGGTGGCCAGGCTGAGGACGGCGAGCTTGAGCCTCGACGCCGTCAGGAATGCCACGGCGGCGTCCAGGGGTGACGACGACGAGGAGGAGGAAGGAGAGGAAGAGGACGGTTTCCCTGCCCTCATCCTCTCGTCATCCATCCACCAGATGATTGCAGGCGCGTAGATGAAGGGGTAAATCTTGAGGTGCACACCAAAGCCCAGCAGCATGGCCGCAAGGGAGACCCTTCGCGACAAGACGGCCCACAGGAGAGCCATGACCATGACGGCCAGCAGGCCCTCGGAACTGCCACGCGTACTGATGGTGGCGACCATGGGGTTAAGAAGCCAAATGGCGGCATACTTCCTGGCCCTGGCAGCATCCAGTCTCCTGGGCCCTTGCATGGTCAGGACCTCGACGATCAGCCAACCCGCTACCAGGTCAGCTACCGCGAACAAGACCTTGCCGGAGGAGAAGAAAGCCACGGCCTGCGAGCGAGAGGCCGCGGGCCACGTCGTTGGCAACAGCATCCACGACAACAAAGGCGTGTAGCGGTACGTTTCGCGGGCGTACGGGCCCTGAGGATGCTCCTGTGCCACGAACCTGGCGGCATCGGTGAAGACGAGATAGTCGATGTCTGTGTACTTGACGGGCGAGTTTGCGTCCTGCCAGAGGCCGCAGAGGAGCATAAGGATCCGCAGGCCGGCAGCTAGGGTGAAGAGAGGTATGCTGCTCGCAAGGAGGGACGAGAGGGCGCCCATGTTGGCCTCCTTTGCTGGCTTGGGGGCTGTCATGATGTTGAGGTTCTGGTGGTTATCTGGTCTCAAAGTCGAACCCTCCTCATATTTATGATCCGGGCCTAGCCTCAATCTCAAGCGACAGTATGTAGTGAGAGCCCTGTGATCAGCTTGGGAACAGGTCAGTGAGAAGAGCTGCGTTGTGGTGGGCGGGTCTGTGAAGTTGAGGAGGACCCTTACTGGTGTTGATGATTTAATGAGTGGTGCAGTGTGTGGATGATGACAGCACAGCGCAGGGCGTCATCGAAGCATTGAAACTTGCGTAGACGCTAAAACTCAGCGGCACGGCACGTTCCAAGGGGTTGACTTGGGGAGGCTCCAGTACGCGCAGAGGACAGGGGGGGTTGGTGGCTACTACTGCTGTATGTACTAAGTAGTTAGTGCAGCAGGGCTTGCTTTAGTGAGGTGGACCCCTCTGCTCTGCACAGTGGTGCTATTGATCCAGTCACTAAATTGTCAAACTGATCTCAAATGACCCACTTCGAGCCAGTCCAAAACAGCAGAAGAAGATGGAGACTACAATCTCAAGCACAAACAGGATACTTGACAGGAACAACATCACTAACGCCCCCCAGAAGCCAAAGATGCCTGGCCAAAAGAGGGACTTTAGGGGCAAGGCCAAGACCAATGAGCCGCCCAAGGTGCGCAATGAGTTCACGCCCATGTTCGAGCATTTCCGCGATGAGCTCGACGACCACCATGACCGCCGAGAGAGGATCATCAAGGCCTCCAGGGACATCACTGCCCTGAGCAAGAAGATGTGGGTCCATACTGTCAACCATCTGACGGTTGCTCGTTCAATTGAAAACCTGATTTCGATCGCGCATGACACTGACACATGAGGGGGCGCGTCCCTGCAGGATCTTCTCGTTGCAACGGGTCCGCAAGATCCAGCCTGACCTCCCAGACTACATCGAAAAGGATATTGAGTCGCGCCTCACCGACATCTCCAGGCTGCTCTCCTCCATCACACTCGAGGTTCAGGGCATCAACCGCTACCGTTACTCGCGGCAGATGAGCTGTATCGAGGAGCTCATCGAGGCCCTCACCTTCGCTCACTACCTGCGCAACCAGGCCCTCATGGGCTACGAGGATGCTGCAGCCAGGGTTGCCGCCCTATCCAGCTACGTCGATCAGATGGACGTGGATGGTGGTGGTGGTGGTGGTGACCAACCCCCTCCACCACCTGCTCCGTCCGCGCTGCCTCCTGTTCATGTTACCGAGCAGGACTATCTCATGGGCATCTTTGACCTCTCGGGGGAGATGATGAGATACGCTACTGTTGTTGCCGCCCTCAACGGTACTATGGCCGGTGGTGCTGCTGCTGCCACGCTTGAGGGCGCGCGGGTGCGGACCATCGTCAAGGACATGCAGAACCTGGGCAGCTTCTTCGAGATGTTACCCCAGCAGCACAATAAGTACTACCAGCAGAAGCTCGAAACCTTGAGGCAGTCCGTATTCAAGGTCGAGAGGCTGGGCTATGGCCTGAAGGTCCGTGGTAGCGAGCGCCCAGCTGGTTGGATGCCTGATACCAATGACGAGGCGCCCGACGCTGAGGAGTAATTGGAAGGTGATGTCTGGTGCCCATGCCAAGTCGTCACTGCATGTATGAAATCCTTTTCAAGCGGGGGGCCGGCGGGGGCGGGGCTCATGGGAAGAGTCTATTTCTCTGATAACGGTGAAAAATTAACATTCTGTGCCTACCTCTGCATTGTTCATTGCAACAAGATCGAATACATCCGCGTAGACATCGAGAAGAGCATAATTCCTTGCGTGTAATTGTACGCTAGTTGGACATAGACATATGTACAGAGGATCGACAACATGACGAAGGAAAAGAGCAGTCCTAGCGAGAGCCCAAATGCGATCTGGAAAAGACTTCCGTCCTGCTCCCACACGAGCAAGCAGAACCTGACTTTCTGGGGAAGGCTTGGCGGCTCTGTCCGAACAGGTCGGTGTTGCCATTGAGTGCTTTGTTGTTGTCCTTCTTCCTGATGTCTGTTCTCATTCTTTGCCCTAAGATGGCCGACAAAGTTTGTATTCTTTCTGCTGTTTCATTTTTTCCCTCTCTTTCTAGTTTCATGGTTTATGCAATCCTGACTGTACGGCTATGTCCAAATCGCTTGGATCATCTGACCAGTGAAGAAGGATATTCCATTCACAGCAAGGGGGAGTTCGTGCTAGAATAAGACGTCTAAGTTCCATCAAGAGGCTCTAGAGGAAGGGATCCTCCATAAGGGCTCTGGAGGTCGCATAAGGGTATCGGACTTTAATCAATAACCTTTGTTTTCATGCGCCAACAACACTTGACAGCCCTTCCACCTGCTGGAAGCTTCAGGGTGATATCTGGAAATATTGACTAGACCATCCTTGCGTTCAAACGACTCTGATGAGACTGACTCGTTAGCCGGTACATCGTCCACAAGGACATGTTTGCGTTCTTTGAAAATTGGTTATGAGGAGGGGTTTCCATGTATAGTAATAATAGCGGAAGAAAGCATGCATTGTGGTTATATCTACGCTGATAGCACAAAGCTCCACGGACGCTTCGATACTAAAACAGGCGAAACCCTATCATAATCACTCAATCCTTCGTGGCGTATTTGTTCAAACCAAACAGATTGCCTGGCTGAGGAGAGGGAGCTACTATACTATTTTAAAAAGGTGGGTGCCGATCCAGCATCAAGAGATCGACGTGTTAGAACCCCTCAGCAAGTTCTCACTTAAACTCAGGAGCAGCAACTAAGCGTTATCGCCAAGATGAGAATCCTTATTAGAAGCGACATGTCGACTCAAGATTGCAGAGTAGGCTCACAACTTCCCGGATTTGCCAGGGATAGAGTACAATCTTGAAAGAGTTGCAGATAGACACCCGTCATTACGTATTCATCATCAGCTTGAAATATTCTTATAAGCGAGCTCTAGCCCGGCTCTTTCGCCTGTCCATGATATATACGGTGAATGAATGATACACTTTCCCTGTGTACTTGACGGTTATCTCTGATGAGGGAAATTGATGTTCTCGAGGGTGTTTTCGGCTTTCTACCGCGTCTCTCGTTTCTCTATCCTCTTTACTCAGCAGTAGAAGCCACGGGAACCAATACAGAGAAGAAGAAGAGAGCAGAAAGAGTGGTTACCAGAGAGTAAGCGAAAGAGAGGCTAATTTATGCAACGATGGGTCAGAAGAGTCCGCAGGTCTAATCCCCTTTCGTCATAAAACTATTAACAGCCTCGACACTATAAATACAAGGCTCTTGTATCTTTTAAGGGCATATATGCGAATGAGAAAGGAGCTGCATCAACCTCCGGCTAATCATTCTCCTCGTCACGAGGGCCGTTAAAAAAAAAAAAAAAAAAAAAGAGTAGCTTCGGAGAAAACGAGGCGTTTCTGCATATTACTATGTATAGTGATAGGCATTGTGCTCTGTCCTTATCTTTGACTTATCTATAAAGGATCGCCAAGGAGAGACATCTGGCACGATAGAAGGCGGCAAACCCCTCCGTTCTTCGGCAGGCCCAGCCACCATGGGCGGCCCAATAAAGCATGCGTTGTCGACCACTTGCATCATCTCCAATGCCAACCTTGCAGGGTAAATCGTAATCATGTGCATGGGGACGACACTTGCCGAGCCCAGACCCAGCCCCAACCTTGACAAGCTCTCAAGCAGATGGATGAAGAGGGAATCGTGGGGAATTATTGTTAAGGTACAGTGTTAGCTTCCTCCACGTAACCCCCTGCCGATTGCCAGGCCGCTCGTTCCCGTGCCTTGACTGCTTATCGTTGCGGGGTTGAGTGTATCTAGTACCCAACATAGCACGATGACTATCTCCGGATCGGACGTATACTATCTTGTTAGGTCTGGATGAACGAGCCAGTCAGTATCGTGCGATGTGCTTCTCGGAGACAATTCGGGCTTGCTAGTGATACAAGCTTGTCAGAAGGACGGCGCCTTGTTGGTCTTGGGAGGTTTAAGTATTTGAAAACGAAGAAGACCTGGAGGTGGAGGTGGTATTATTTTATGATTATGATCACCGTCGCCGCCTCGTCATCATCAGCAGCAGCAGCATTACCACCATCTCATGCACTTATTCCTCGATAATATCTTCCTTTACCTCCCGTACCTGCTGCTTAATACGTGTTTGGGGACGTTGATATTCATACTACTGCTATCATTTCTTCGACACTAGACGATCCTCGTAGCCGTCTATCTGCTTCTCTTGTGTTTGGCTCTTCGAACGCCCAAGCCAGTCCCCCGTCATGGCGGTCGGCGGTGGTGGTAATAACCTTCCTTCCCTTCTTGGAGGGACCATTTCACTCCCTCTTGCAGCTTTTGCTCTGCTTTTGGTCCTAGTTGGTCTGGCTGCTCGGTTCGCACAGAGAAAAGCAGCTTCATCCCCCAAGCAAGGTGCACCGACAACTCCTGAGAAGACACCGTGGATAGCACAGTTTCCCCCCTCGCGGCGGCAGACCTTGGCAGACCTGAAGCTCAAGGGCGTGGCTGGGCCCTTTATCGCCCCATCTCCTGACGTTCTTCTTCGTCGGGCAATCCCTTCGACGCGCACGGCAGATTGGGATCAGGATGACCTTTACACGCCCACGGGGTTTTCCACACAGGATGTTCGGGCCCTGGGAAGATTTCCAGACTACTCTGTCCTGACAGGAGTACGCTACCCACAGCCGTACGGTCCTCATTTCGATATCAACAAGGCCCAGTTCAGGCCGTTCCGGCCTTTCAGATGGAACTACCATCAGACAATGGGTACGTGAAAATTCACCATCAGATAAAGAGATACTGGCAGAGATATTAGTCCCAGCATCATGATCAATCCTGTTGACCAATTACTGACACTCTACCTTTCTCTGTCCAGCGCACTACAAGTTTGACCCTGACTGGTGGGTGGAGCTGGAACAGAACTACGTTCCAACCATGGCAGCCCGACAGGAGATTCTGAAGCAGCACGGAGAGCTCGTCTTCTACACAGACCCTGGCTCGGAGCTGGCCTGTAGGGAGCTCATGGAGATGCTGGTCCAGTTCATCTGCAAGCGCTATCCACAGCACTTTAGGCTGGAGAAGGACAACACCGTCCTGCACAACGGGCTTCTGAATACCAAGACGGACCTCGTCAACACGCCGCCTCTCAAGGTAGTCTTCACCAACATCCCAGAGGACTACGCCATGGTCTTCCGCAACGAGAACGACGGCTTCTATTACCTCCGCGCGGCCATGGTCTGCTCGTCTGTCGGCTGGGATATCGGGATGAACCGGGGCAAGCCGCTTCGGGCGATTCACGAGCACGTTCCCGACTACGCCGAGAAGATGGCCTTCAGCATGGACCGCTTCTTTGCCAAGATGGCAGTCGACCAGCCGATCCAGCGCTGCAGCTGGAGTCTGGAGGACCACGCCCCGCTGTTCAGCAGCCCGAGGATGATGGAGAACTGGGAGCGCAGCGCCTTTGCGGAGAACAAGCAGGATCTCACGATCGAGCACATCAAGCTGCGGTGTGACTACCAGACGCTGCGCAGGCTGCCCCTGAGCGGAGCTGTCGTCTTCAACTTCAAGGCAGTCTTCACCCCGATTACCGAGCTGAGGGACGAGCCGTTCATGCCAGCTCTGCTGCTGAAGGTGCTGGAGGAGGGCAAGGAGAACCTTATCACGTACAAGACAGTAGACCACGTCAAGGATGTTACCATTCAGGCCTGCAAGGAATGGGCACAGGAACAAGTCGAAAAGGGTATGGTGCCAAAGGACTGGGAGGTGGGGACGGTCAATGAGAGCCCATTCTTCCCTGGTTGGGAGGCAAAGTGGCATGCGCAGCAAGGCTTTTAGTAAGAATAAGAAGGGAGGAGGGAGAGGGAGAGGGAGGGAGAGAGCACGCTCTTTGAACCTTGTTCTGGCCCTGGGCTCCGGAGGGAAGCAGGGTGCAGCGTGGTATTGGTGGACTATGATAAGTTTGTCCCTTTGGAAATAGAAGGGGAAGCGGACCACAAGTATGTGAAAAGACCGTATGAATTATGGATTTAGCCCGCTCCGATGATTGAAATTTTTTTGCCTGCATTTAACATACAAAAGGACATTTGTAGCATAGTACGAGACGTAATTTCACCTGCAGCACTATTTATTTTGGGAGGGGGAGGAGGAGGGAGGTGAACATGTGGCACAGCCACCACCATTGCTTATCTTATTGTGCTTGGGGGCAGAGGAGGAAAGGGAAAAAGAAAGCTCGCATTAATATCGGTCAACCATCATTTAAAATGTCAGCGCCTAAATCCACTTGTTCCCACTCTGTGATTCGACTACACCCGGTTGCCAAGAAATCCTTCGCTTCTGGCCATCCATTGGGATGCCAAAATTTAAGCTTGTTTAGGCCTAGATGTCATTTAATGATCCTGCGGCTGAAGGGGTTATGGGGTCTTTTGCCTGCAGTCATCGTGAGATCCAAACCGTCGTCACACTGGGGAGACCGAAGCGACAAAGGGGCGTCTGCACTGGAGCCTGACGAGGCAACGTTCCCCCCCTGACTCATTCTGTTCCTTTGCTCATTCTGCTTCTCTTCTCGTGTCCTGTTCCCTCCCATGCGTCTAATAAATTTAGTATATATTCCGGCTTCCTCATCGCAGGCATCCGACGTTACTAGTCACTTACTTGTTCTGTCTTCGTGAACCCTCGCCATCAAGTCACTCGTTGCTCATATTGCGCAAAGCCAAGATCACTCGTTTCAATTTACTACTTGCCATAATAAATAATTTGTCCCTCCTCGTCCTCCTCCACCACCTATTATATATCGTTCACAATGGCTCGTCTCACCTATACCTTAGGTCTGGCTTCAGCCCTCTTCACTGCGGCCGTGCGATCATATGACGATTATGACGAACTTGAGATTGCCGATACAGTCCAGGCGGGAGTGTCAACGACGGTCACCGTCAACCTTGATGAGGATGACGACGACGACGACGATGACGACTACAGTGGGTACCGCATCTACCTTGCGACCACTCCTCCAGGATGGGGCACCGGACCTGCCTGTTACCTTGTCAACGACACCGACAACGACATTACCCAGGTTCAGGTGACGATTCCTGCCTCTGTGGCCCCGGACCAGACAACTCTTTCGCTGTCCCTGTCAGAGCTCTACGACGGGGACGATTTCGAGTCCTTCTCCTATTCCAATGACTTTGTCCTGGAGGGCGGCTCTGGCGAGTGGAGCGCCCTGGAGCTCAACGGATACAGCATCACCGATGCCGAGGCGACGCCTTGTTCGGCTCTGCAGTGCGCCCGAGACTGTGGCAACCAATATTATCCAGATGGAGTTGGTCCTGACGACATCGACGATCCCAGCTACGAAGACTTCTACAACTGCATCGCGTCCTGCCCCGGTGTGGACATGCCTTCATGGGATGAGGTCACGGGCGACGACGGTGGCGATGACGGCGGTTATGGGGACGGTGGTGCTGCCACCTATACCTACACCTACACGTCCTTTGAAGGGCATACAAGAACACACGAATCCGCCCAGGCCACCAAGACGGGCTCGTCTGGCTCGTCAGCTTCAGCTTCAGCTACAACTACTTCTGCCGTCGCCACTTCTACAACTGCCTCCGCGACATCTTCCGCCGCGTCGTCCTCAACTTCTGCTGTGACTACCAGTTCTGCCAGCCGGCAGTTATTCTCTTCCTCACTTGTCTTGGGTGTTATTGTTGCTGCTGCTGCACTCTTCTAAGTACTTTGCAGGGAGGGGACTCGGTGTGATAGTCTGCTGTGTTATTATCCAGAATGGAAACCTAGATTGTTGCCCGTCACTGGAGGCAGATGAGATATGTAGTAATGGTAATCAATATGCATTGGCCTTGCCAAATATTCAAACTTCTTTCATTGCAGTAATCTGATACTTGCAAGCAAGCAGGTATCCATAGCCATTACTTGATACTGAAAGACCACACTTTAGGTGATTAGATGGCACCAGTTGATGCCAGCCATTTTCGTAGGGTCTCCTTGATGTCCTCGTTTTCTGGTAGCCCCAACAGCGCATTGGCCTTCTCTCCCTCCTTCAAAGCATGACCCTCGCCGTCCCGATAGAGGTGGACCCGAAGGAGTGGCCCAAAGGCACTGAAGTCGCCCTTGGCCAGCTTTTCCTCGCCAATCTTCTGCAGGTCAGCAGTGCTCTGACGCTCCACCGTCCATTTGCTCCCGGTCTCAGCCTCCACAATTTCCAATATCTGGTTGAGGGTGGGTTGGAAGGAGGCGATAGACAGATACTTGTTTGCGGTCTCTTGGGGATGCTTCAGGACAGAGGCTACCGCCTTTGCGATCAGGCCCTTGTTGCTTGTTTGGAATGGCTCGTTTCCAGAATCGACGATAGTGGCCGTCTTTTGTTTGGCATCGAATCCAAAGATCCCGAGCTCCAAATTCTAAATGGATGGACGGTCAGACTTTGTTCTTTTTCTTTTCTCTCTGTCTCTGTTTCCCTTTTATCTAAGTAGGAGGCAAGGGGGGAAGTCTGCAAGGCAGCGGGGCCCGGCTAGGCGATTGATTACTTACCAGGTCGAAGAAGAGACCATTCGAGATACCGGTCCAGCTGAAATCCGACCTCTCCTCTGCCTTCTTCTGCAGGTCATCCACCAGGTGCGTCTTGCCAGCGACGATCTTCCCAATCTCTAAGCCCTGTAGCTTGCGGGTGTTGATACCGAACTCGCTGGGGACGAAGCGCTTAATGCCGACTGCGAACGCGGCATCTGCGAGTTTCTGCTGCGGGTCCCCCACGGCAGCAGATGCAATAGTCGAAACGACGGCGTCCTGGCCTGTCAGGGCCGCCTTCAAGGACTCAATGTCGTCGTAGTTGACGGTCTTGACAGTCACGCCTTCGGGCACCTTGCCATTGCCAGCACCACGGCTGAGGATGGACACTTGGAAGCCCTGCTCGACCAATTCCTGAACAATGGGTTGGCCAATGCCTCCGGTTCCCTAATTATCTCGCAGTGACAACAGGTTAGCTACTCATTCCAATCCTATAATTGAACATATGATTAGAGAGGGGCACTTACACCAACGACAGTGACTTGGCGAATCTCGACAGAAGACATCCTTCAGGTCTTCTTTTTTTCTTTCTTCTGATTCAAAAATGACGTGGCAATACCAGTTCACACATACGAGATGGTACAAGATATGAACACGGAAAAGTGAAACTCAAAAGAGAACCTGAAGGATACGTGCGGGGTTCAAATATAATGAACACATGGCACGCCATCGCTGTGTCCGCAACCGCGTGTCATTGCCGCTGCGGGCAACGGGATATCAATATAATCCACAGCAAATCCGTGGCAGGGAGCTTCATGCTATAATCATGACAAATTAAGGCCAAGAAGGAAAGATTGGTAAGAAAACTCTAAAAATTCTCCAATAGAGCCAAACCTTCAATGTATTAATATATAGGCATAATGACACCATCAACGGCTCCGCCCGCGGTTGTGATTTCTTGGCCGCCTCGGCTATTGGAGTGATTGGGAAATCAACGTAGATGCTCTCTCCTGGTGGGTTTTGAACAATTTACTGCCATCAAGCCACTGAAACAAAACATTGCTCTTCATACGCTCATTGAGAGTCAAAGAATGCATCACTGATCAGCACACACTTTTTCGCGTACATCATTGTTAATTGCTTTAAGTAGTGAACGTATCGGCGGCCTGCAGAGCCTGTCTTGGTAGTGGTTAGTAGTCAACATCAGTTGGTGGTCTATGAACCAGTCGGAGTTGTCAAAGTCGATCCACTATGACACTACGTTCATCTTGGAAGCGTCCAGAGTGATCGTCACCAATCTTGTATGCCTCGGGACGAACAACTTGGTTGATTCTCTTGCTGGACAGACACCACGTATCACCCCAGCTCCTCGACGCCCATCGCTGTTTCAACGTTTCAGCCATGAGCATCTTGTGTGAATGAATCACTTGCGGCTACCGCTGCTGCCGCTGCCCGAGCTGCTGCTACCGTACCCAGAAGAGTACTGACCACCGCTGGGAGAGGTGTAGGTCGAGCCTCCAGAACCGTTGTTGTAGTACGTCTTGATCAAGGGAGCCAACGTATAAGTTCATCAGCTAACCACCTTCCACCCAGTGCTTCTTGTGTAAGGAGGTGCCAACTTACGGAGCCATTAGGGTTGGAGTAGTAGTAGGATCCGTCCCTTAGAGTCATGATCGATAAGTTACTTTGTCGCTCTGCGAAACAAACAGCCAAGCTCAGTGATGCGCCGCAGTATGGGATGGACTCACTGGTTGGAGTAGTGGTAGGCGTTGGAGCCATTGCCGTAGTCACGGGCACAGTAGTGGTTGCCCTGGCCAAGACGAGGTCAGACGTGTCATAAGTACACCAATGTGAAGGAAGAAAGTTAGACAGCAGAAGTAGGACGAGTGCTCTCTGCTCACCTCTGAGTTGGTGCCGGAGCTCTTGTACGAGTAACCTCTACCAGACATGGTGATTGGGGGTGCTGCGTTGATCTCAGTTGGATTTTGATTTTGATGTATGGTAGTAGAAGAGTAGAAAAGATGATGTTGATCTGTCTGGTTCCACGAGGGCTTCTACTGCCTTTATATGTTTGTGAAGTCAGAAAAGGAGGGGGAAGAGAGAATAAGGTTGGGAAGGCGGGAGGAGCTGCTGCTGAACAGATAACACAAATGCAGGAGGCCTGCCACTATCTCCTTGTGAATGCAACGCGCCCCATCACCCATAGACCCCAGCACAAGCAAGGGACAAGATGGAACATGTGCATTGACAATGTTTATTTCATCATCGATTCACGCACTGACGAATGTGAGGGGTCTTCAAGGAGACAGAATGCTTCACATGCTACAGGCAAACAAAAGCAACCTTTGACCAAGCGAACAAAGGGGGGCTGGTCGTTGATGAGGTGCGTCTTCATGTACATTGAATTTCCTCATGCGTATTTGATTCAAAGTGCGATGTACAAAGACTTGGCAGGAAAATGTCTGGTATCTGATTCTATATTTCTCTATTTGTTTAGCTCTCTCAAGCTGTCTATTGTATAAAACAAGAAAATGAATCACAGCCGGACTCGAGAATCAGATCGTTCGGTTCACGCCTTCTCGCCCCAGTTCTGTTCCGCCGTGACTGGTGCCTCGGCCTCTTCGTGCTCCGAAAGGAACTTTTCGGCCTCGAGGGCGGCCATACAGCCCGAACCTGCGCTCGTGATAGCCTGCCTGTACCTCTTGTCCTGGACGTCGCCGGCAGCGTAGACACCCTCGATGTTTGTCAGGGGCGTGCCGTTCTTGGTGACGATGTAGCCGTCCTCATCCGTGTCGATCTGGCCCTTGACGAGGGTGGAGGCTGGGTCGTGGCCTATGGCGTAGAACAGGCCGTTGGCCTCGAGCGTCTCCTCGGCGCCCGTCTGGACGTTCTTGACGACCAGGTGGCTCATGAGGCCCTTGTCGTCGCCCTTGATCTCGGTACCGACCGTGTTCCACTTGATGGTGACGTCCTTGTGGTTCTGGAGCCTCTTGGCCATGATGTTGCTGGCGCGGAGCTGGTCTCTGCGGACGAGCACGGTGACGTGGCTCGCGTACTTGGTCAGGAACATGGCCTCCTCCGCGGCCGAGTCACCGCCGCCGATGACAACCAGGGGCTTCTTGCGGAAGATGGGAGCGGCGCCGTCGCAGACTGCACATGCCGAGACGCCATTGTTCCAGTACTTGTCCTCGCCGACAAGACCCAGGCGGCGGGCGGTGGCGCCGGTGGCAATGATAACGGTGTCCGCCGTGTGCTTGGTGTCGGAGTCCCACTCGGTCGCGTACTTGAAGGGCCGGCTGGAGAGGTCCAGGTCGGCGATGGTCTCGCTGATGATCTTGGTGCCAAAGCGCTCAGACTGCTTGCGCATGTTGTCCATGAGCGCGCCGCCCATTATGCCGTCGGGAAAGCCGGGGAAGTTCTCGACATCGGTGGTCGTGGTCAGCTGACCGCCCGCGGCTATGCCGTTGGCCATGAAGCCTTCGTAGAGGGTGGGCTCGAGGTTGGCACGGGCCAGGTAGATGGCGGCGGTATGGGCAGCAGGCCCAGAACCGATGACTGGAGAGACAGACAAGGCAGGCAGGCAGGGTTAGCAACGCAATAGCCAAGAGAACCAAGGGACCAAGAGAGAGAGGAGGGGGGGGGGGGGGGAGGAAGAGGACATACCAAGAACCTTGGTGTGGCTGGACATCTTGACGGAGCTGAAGCTGGTGGGCAGGTCGGAGGAGGAGAAGAAGCGCGTCTGGGTCTTGAAACCTGCAGTAGCAAGAGCAGCTACAGACAGGCTCGTGGCGCTGGAGCGTAGAGGTCGCGTGAAGAAATACTTGAAAGACAGCTTGACGGTTGGAGACCCGGGCCGGTGCTCGAGAAGAGGCAGAGAGAGTGTGTGGTCTTGTAAGGAGGGGAAACAAGCAGGAGGAGGAAGTTGACGCTATTGCGACAAAAAAGACGTTGCGACTCGGGAGTCGACGAGATCGGATATTTGTACTATGGTGGGGTGTGTGGGGCTGATAGACGTTTATGATTTCAGATTTGTCAGTGACTTGCACTCTAGTATCTTTTGAGGAAGAAGTATGGTATTGTATAGATCAATTGATTATTATATCAAGGTGGCTTTGCATGTTGACGCGATCTTGTCTTCTTTTTTTTTGCTCCGTCTCTTTTTCTTCTCGTTTTCTCTTCCGTCGCAATTTCTCCAATTCTGCAAATCCCCTTCACTCAGATTTGTCAGGTCATATTTGGGGGCGGCGTACCAAATCTAGTGAGGGGAGTCTAAAGTATGCAAGGGCCGATGAACGGAACACACCCAAGCCTGTACGTACCCCTCTCAGTACGTACTAGTACTCATTGTATCACTTCTGGAACCCCACACCTCGTCCCGCTGACTGTTACCGCTGGGGCCCACTGCTATCGATAATCCAGCTAACAACAAGTTGGTACCCGTTGCACAACTTGCAGCACTACTACTGTACATAGTAAGAGAAGGTTACCACTACTGAGCGAACCTCCCAGAAACAATCACTTGCACAACACCCAGCACCACCGCGCCGCCACCACCACCACCACCACCACTATACACACACACACACACACACACACACACACACACACATCCGCTCTTAGAGCCGCACCAGTAGTGACAAGAAATTCAGAGACCCAATACATAATAGCAGTCACTGACGACAGCAGTGTTGTGACGGCTGTCGACTTGTTGGCAAAAAAGGACAGGATCATGGCGCCGTCGGCCACCGCCACCGTCGCGACCCAGCTGTCGGAGCAGCTGCTATCCAAGTCGACACCCCAACAGTCGCCCTCCTTCTCGTTTACCCCTTTCCTCCAAAAGACCTACCTGCACAGCCTCCCTGCCGACAGACCAATATGCAGGGCCTACAGCAGCGGCCATTGTCCACTCGGCACCCGTTGCCCCGAGCGACACGTCTCGGCCACAAACACTGCTAAGCAAGACGGCGGTGGCGGCGGCCATGCCTTCAACTCACTGGTCTGCAAGCACTGGCTGCGGGGGCTGTGCAAGAAGGGCGAGAGCTGCGAGTTCCTACACGAGTTCAACCTACGCAAGATGCCCGAGTGCAATTTCTTCTTGAGAAATGGCTTCTGCAGCAACGGCGACGAGTGCCTCTACCTCCACGTCGACCCCCAGAGCAAGCTGCCGCCGTGCCCACACTATGACAGGGGCTTCTGCCCGCTAGGGCCGAGGTGCGCCAAGAAACACGCCCGCAAGAAGATGTGCCCATACTTTCTGGCCGGATTCTGTCCCGACGGGAGGGACTGCAGAGAGGGCGCACATCCTAGGTGGCAAAAGGACCTGGAAAAGCCGAGCGCCAAGGTCGAGAAGAAGGAGGACGAAGAGGACGGGGCTCTGGTCAGGCGAGAAACCTTTGACGACGACGACGAAGGATCATTTAGAGACCGTGGGGATAGGGACCGCGACCGCGAGAGGGACAGGGACCGAGGTCACGACCGGGATAGAGGCCATCAGCAGGGCAGATTTGGAGGACGTGGGGGACGCTGGAGAGGGAGAGGTGGCCATAAACATCGTGGCAGGCACTAGGGCGGTTGAGATGGCATCGGGCAGATTCCATGAGGAGCATACCTGCCTACTCTATCTGGAGAAGAGACTGGGTTGCATGTGCCCCAGTCGACACGCTCAGGTGCTCTTCGAATGGCTTGAGGTCTTGTTACTCGTGACGGATGACGAGATGGCAAATTTGCCCCTCTTGGGCCATCCTTGCTACAGACAGAGAGTTGTATCAATAGGACCATTGCAACCACGTCGAAGACCATCTCTTTAAAAGCAAATGTATGATACCAACATGGGAAGTTTACATCCCAGAATTGACCTATATTCTGATCATTCCAATCACGTCTCATCCCCGGTGTCATTCTTCCTGCAGATCCCACTGGTCACTCACCCTATTATCTATCATATGCATGTTTGTCTGCTTTACTCAGCAACGACAATGGAATGAAGGGCCATGGAGGATTGATTGGATGCAACGTCGTCAGATCAAGGCAAGGATCTAGCTGCTACATGGTACAGTTTCCGCTACTCATATTGGGACATGCCTGCCCTGCTCTGCAAGGGCGGTGTGGGGAACAGGGGTTTTCTTTAATCTTTATTTTTACTTCTTCCAGGCCGTCCTCTGTACGTGTATTCTTTACCCCTACTCCTGTACTTGTAATACATTGGGTGGTGTTTGGTTTGTTCTTCTTCTCCAACCTTTGTTTTATTCCAATTCAACTATACTTCATCCTTGTGAGGATCTCGCATTCTCTCCCTTCGGTCGATGATGTCCAATGCAATCTCCTTCGAATCCCTTGCCAAATCCGTGAGCCGTCTACGCTCAACTTGATCGCGCTCTCTTCCGCGGCGGCTTGGAGGGGATAAGGATGATCGCGCGTGGAAACGGCTGGATACTGCGCTCCTGGGCAGTTCGCCTCGAAGGGCATCCTCGAGCCTCTCGTCTGCTTCATGAGCTGCGAGCCTTTCTGCCGCCGCTGAACTTCATCACCGTCCACTACACCTATTTCATCGTGGTCACCTTGGTTACTTCCCTCATCTTCTGGGGATCCTCTAACCCATCCTTCAGCATCAGCTATGCCGACAGCCTGTTCCTTGTGGTCTCAGCCATGACCGAGGCCGGCCTGAATACTGTCAACCTTAGCCAGATGACCACCTGGCAGCAGGTCCTCCTGTGGCTCCTCATCCTCCTCGGCAGCACCGTTTGGGTTTCGATCTGGACCGTGGCCTTCCGCCTTCACGCCTTTGAGAAGCACTTTGAGGACATCGTCAGGGCCGAGAGGGAGAAGAGGGACAAGGAGAGAAACAAGCGGCCGAACAGCTCGAAGAGCCTCAGGTCCCTCTCCTTCTTCAGGTCCATGACCTTTGGAAAGGCTACGACAACGCCATCGGGTGACATGACCCTCACAGGCCTTGGGCCCAAGATAAAGGAGGAGCAGCCACAACCCCCTATCGTGGATGACACCGATGGCGTCGTCGCCGGCCAACAAAATGACCGCCGCACAGCCTCTCTGCCGGATCTGGATGAGATGAATCAACGGCTCGAAGGACACGGCTCGCAAGATGTATCGCCTGGTACCGGAGCCCACATCACGTTTGCAAATGATCCACTGGGGATGAGCCACGGAGATGTCAGGACCACATCAAGTACTTATGCCAATGATGGCCAGGCAAGGAGGCGCACCGGCACCGTCGACGCCAACGGGCTTTCCAAGAAGCAGCCGGAGAACAGCCCAAACCTGTCTGTCCAGCTGCACAGGTTCCTGACGAACAAGACCGCAGGCAGAAATTCACAATTCCATGACCTCAGCAGCGAGGAGCGCGAGCACCTGGGTGGCCACGAGTACCGGGCCCTGAGAATGCTTTCTGTCGTCGTACCCCTGTACTTTGTGTTGTGGCAGTTCTTGGGCTGCATAGCGCTCGGGGCCTGGATTGCGAACTACAAGCCAGAGGTGGCCACCTCCAATGGCCTGAACCCCTGGTGGACTGGCATCTTCTTTGGGGTGTCTGCATTCAACAACTCGGGCATGGCCGTCATCGATGCCAACGTCGTGCCTTTCCAGAACAGCTACTTCGTCCTGATTGTCATGGGTGCCATGATTCTCGCAGGCAACACGGCCTATCCGATTATGCTGCGGTTCGTGTTCTGGTCTATGCTTAAGCTCTTGTGCTGCACCACGGATGAGGAGACCCTCTACGACTTCAAGCTCACCTTGAAGTTCATCCTCACGTATCCCCGCCGCGTCTACACGAATATGTTTCCCGCCCGTCAGACTTGGTGGCTCCTCTTCATGGTGTGCCTGCTCAATGCCACCGACTGGGTCGCGTTTGAGGTCCTCAACCTCGGGAACCCAACGATCGAGGCCATTCCGGTAGGGTCGAGGGTTATTGATGGGCTTTTTCAGGGTATAGGTACGTCTTCTTGCACAACTCAGAGTAGGCTGATGACGGGGAAGAGGATTACGGGCACTAATTCGACTGCATGCTATAGCTGTTCGATCGGGCGGATTCTATGTGGTCGGCATCAGTAGCTTGTATATTGGACTGCAGATCTTGGTATGTATTTTGTATACGGCTTGCCCTGAAGGGAAGAAGATAAAACCCTCACCAAGAAACCCTTCATCCTCCCTTGGAAACCTGCCCTGGCCCTACCTACCGCGTCTCTTCTGTACTTTAGACTGCCTCTGAACAAAAATCGTCACGTGCTAACGCGGTCTTCCAGTACGTGATCATGATGTACATTTCAGTATACCCAGTGGTCATCACCATACGTCACTCCAATGTCTACGAGGAGCGTAGTCTGGGTATCTATGCAGACGACCCAGAACCTGAAGGCGATATAGAGCAGGCCAATGGAATGAATCGTGGTCTCTCACGACAAGGAAGTAACATCACAACGGGTAGCACTTCCAGACCGGGTCGGACTAGGGAGACGAAAGCATCTCGTCTCTCACGCGCGATCCGGCGTCACTTTGCACTACATGGCGTGGGCGCTGCACCGCGACAAGAGAACGCAGACAGCCGGATTGACTTCATCAGTCAGCAGATTCATGGCCAGCTTGCTCATGATATATGGTGGCTCGTCCTCGCCATTTTCACTATCAGCACCATCGAGACACGCCACTTTCTCGACGATCCCGTCACCTACAGTGTTTTCAATGTTATCTTTGAGGTCGTCTCTGCTTATGGCACTGTCGGCATCAGCACTGGTATACCAAACGTAGCCTACAGCTTCTCAGGCGGTTGGTATACCGGGAGCAAGTTGGTCTTGTGCCTGGTTATGCTTCGTGGTCGGCATCGAGGGCTGCCCGTGGCACTGGACAGGGCAGTGAGGCTGCCGCGGGAACAGCTTCATCGCGAAGAGGAGGAGGACTATCGTATACGAAGAAGTATGAGTCGCAGGATGAGTATGGACTCTGATGTCTAGCGAGGGAGAGAGACGAAGACGAAAAAGAAGAAAAATAGAAGAGGGAGAGAACTGTACCCAAGGTCCATGGGCTTTCTTTTGCTTGGAAAATACCTTTCGATGACAATATTTTACGTTACGAAGAGCTGTGGCCAACATCATTAGACCACCATGCGCTCGCTACGCTCACATGTCCGCTATACGCACCATGCTGTGTCCATCTTCATACAGAGACCAGAACTGCTTCACCAGCCCCGACAGAGACAGTACTATTTTCCAAGGGCTCCACAACCTCGGACCCAAGGACAGATCCATCATCCCCAATCCACTGGCCTGCAAAGGTAATGTTCTCGGCAGTATCAACACCAGGATTCGTCAGCCGCCGGACTGCGCCCCCCTCAAACTCGGTTGGGAGCTGCACGGTGATGTACGACCGATCCTCCGCCGGCATGGTGGAGTTGAAGATATCCAGGTTCGCAATGACCACAGACTGCAGCGCGGTGCTGTTTGCATCATACACAGCATAAGCAGTGAAACTTGTCTCGTTCGCCAGGACGGCGACCTGCTTATTCCCGCCTGCGAGTACCGTTGACGTGAACAGATTGCCGTAGTACAGCGGATTCACGTGCGCGGCGGTACCGTTCCACTCGATGGGCTGCCAGGCGCTGTAAAAGAAGCTTGTGCCGCTGTGGAAATAGACTCGCTCCACCTTGAGGCTGGCCAGGTACATGACGTAGTCGACAGACCACAAGGCTGCGGCGAAGACGTCCGAGATACCTGGCTGTCCCTGGCACGAGATACTGTTGGTCTCGCCCAGCACATACGGGATGCCGGAACCGGCGGTCGCGTTGCCCAGGTAGTCGTGGTAGTAGAGGATGCTGGTCACATGGGTGTGGTTCAAGAGGTTGCCCTCGATGGTCGGGTAGCTGGTGGTGTCGCACGCCGCGCCCATGTAGTCGTGGTCTGCGACCGTCACGGCCAAGGTCTTGTTCATGCCAAAAGCCACTGCATTCTCGACATTCCAGAACGGCGTCTCATTGTACCCCAGATGCCGCGGTGCCTCAAACGCGCAGCCCTGCAAGAGGGGCTCGTCGATCCCGATGGCTTCCAGCACGGCCTCTGCGTACTGTGCCCACTGCGCGACATACACATTGATCGTCCAGTTAATAGGTCTTCGAGAGCCACCGGGCCAACCTGTCAAGCAGAGAGAAGCAGGCTTGTTAGACTTCAAGACACGACCCTGAGGTAGATGGCTATATGTAGTCTCTTTCTCGCTAGGGTGGCTCACGACGTACCGTCGACCTCGTTTCCAATTTCGTACCCATACAGTGCCTCTCCGATGCCATCGTACACGAGCTTCGCCTCGGTAACGGTCTCGTTGAGCCCATCGCAGCCTCCGCAAAGAGGATCGTCCTGGTCATAGAAGCTAGTTCCGTAGATGTATTTGGTCCCCTCTGGCAACTGCTGGAACGACTGCACCCAGGCTGGCCCGATGCTGACGGCGGATGGCTGCTGGTCTGTTGGGCTGTCAAAGGTGTTGATGACGCCCACCTCCTGGCTTGCGTTGTATGTAACCCTGTTCTGTGAGCTCCCGCCGGCCCTGAACATCGGGTACTCGCCGGTGATGTTATAAAGGTTCTCGACAAGACGGATGGAGAACTCATTTGGATATCTGGAGCATCTCTCTTAGCTGCATGAAACCGATAGAATTCCTTTTCTTTTCCTTCCACATGAATAGGGCAATGAGCCTTGAAAAGTCGTACGAGTCATTGCCGGCGTAGTCGGCCATGAATGCAAACTCGACAGAATACCCAACATAGTTGGCGGCCACAGTCTGGTGGCCTGCTGGTACCGTGGAGGGCACATCGAGGGCCCTGGCCGACTCATTGCTCTTCGAAAGGACCTGCGCCATTGAAGGTCGTCCAGTGAGCACCGTTGTCATCATCAGGCCCAAGAGGGCGAATAGGGTTGTAGGTGCCATGACTGCTAATGTTCGTGCGGAACTGGAAAGCACTGGCGGGGGACAGCATCCTGGATAGCAACCAATGCCGCTCTATATAACAGTTTTTATAGTTAATAACAAGTTCGGTAAGATTTGCTGCGTGACAAAGTTGAGAAGGGAAGAAGCCGATCAGCTGGGGTAACATCTGTTGAATATTCGGAGCAATGCTGAACGAGCCGGTAGAGAGGAGAAACGACCCCTCAAGATGACGCAGGACGCACGGATGCCGAAGTAGTAGTAGCAGCAGCTTGAGTCCGTTTTAATGCTTCTGACATCAACGTAACTGGACTGGTTGGCGGGAAATGATGATGAGTACCATTCCATCTTTATTCAGATTCGCTGGGTATTATGGAATAGGCCGGTCTGTCCCAAGTCTCGCTGATGATGAAGCTGGACTTGGAATCGATAATTCTCAGCATTATGTGCTTCCACAAGTGGAAGAAGGCATCGGAATGTCGTCTGTGTTACGATCTTGTTCTTCTTGAGTGCAAGGCCCCAAGTCTTGTTAACAGAATCAGATGCGCGTAGAGAGAAAGGAGTGTCATGATATTGCACCTATGCGTGAAGGGAAACGGAAGAAAGAAAGGAAAAGGGCCAAAGAGGTCAGCATCTGTGACCTAAAGGCTAGCACTGACCAGTAATTCACGCGCAATAACTGAAAACACGTATGCCCTGCATTACGATTCGATCAACTCGTCGAGATCCTCCGGAGACGATTACATCCTTCTCTGTTCACCTGAGCAATTCGAAGGCGATGAACTCGAGGCAGTGCAGACACTTGTCGGCAGCCCAGAGAATTATTTAAGAGGGTCGGTCGATCCCTGAAACAAATGTGACAGGGATACAGGCTGTTGCAAGAGGTGGTAGCAAAAAGGGTAAGTCAGGTCTTCTTATTGCCAGATATAATATAACCCTTATAGTGAATGCTACCGATGACACCTTAAGCCTCTTTAGAAGCGGTCAGGGAAGTCCGTCTCGAATGACCCAGACAAAATGTCCCGTGTCGAAGCAGGAAGTACAGGGTCCGGATGTCTTGTTACGGACGAAGAGGAGGCGAGAAGAGTGATCCTTGCTGTCCGTGTTTTTTATACACCAGCGTGTGCTGCTCCACCACGCAGCGGTAGTTCCCTCGTATAGTGGCTCTTAGCGGTGCTACCGCTTTCGTGTATCCATGCCCTGGCCCATGAAAGTCATCTGTAGACAGCAAGGGCACGAGAAAAGAGGCGTAGAGCGTTTCCTCATTGTGACTCGGACCTCGTGATATTGGGAACGGCCCCTGCAAGATTCTATTGCAATTCTTGCAACAAAAATGGTCTGCAAAGATGATCAAGGTCTTTAGTCGATATCGTCATCCTCGGCCGCCGCCGTATTGTCCTTCTGAGTGGCAGTGGTGAGATCTACGTCGCCAAGGTGTTTCCTGGCCGCCTCCAGAGCCGCCTCACCATCAAAGTCGGGTTCCTTGGCGTCCTCCTCGTTGGCTATAGCAGCCTCCTGCTCGAGGGTGAGGGGGGCCGCCTCAGCGGTGTAGGCGCGGGCAGCCTCTGGCTTGAGTGACCCATCCTCATTGACGTCCTCCTTGAGGTAGAGAGTGAAGAGGATGACAAGATAGACCTGCTTGGTTGTCCGATTTCGAAGAACGTATCTGAGCTGATGTGAGCGCTTTTTCCTGTACATAAGCAAACACAGCAGCGTTAACCAATCCAGGTTCCTTTGATGCACGCGCGCGCACACGCGCACAACAAGTTCAGTTTCGTCTCGGGGAGAGGGGGGCGGGGGGCGTACCTGAGACCCTGCCCATCCCAATACTTCATGATGGGAACGGCATAGCCGGGCAGCCTCAGCGCGAACTCGCTAAAGTCAATATAGGCGTTGAAGAAATCGACAGCGTAGGTCCGGCCGTACTCCCAGACCCAGTCCTCCTTGCTCTGTTCCTGCAGAGCCCACTTCATACGGGCCTTGCCGTCCGAGGGTGCCCCGACATCCTGCCGCCAGCCCTTGGCATCGGCGTCAGACGCTCCCTCCTCGACCCACAGGCCGCCCTTGGCCTCGTCGAAAGCGGCTGGCCCCACGTGGATGGTGTTGCAGGATGACAGTGCCGGTCCGAAGAGGTAGGGGCTGTCTGCATATGGATCGCCGTCCAGGCCCGGGTCTATCCACCACTTGACAATCTTCATGGCGTAGCTGAAACCAGGGGGAAGGCGGTCGCGGATGGGATGATCAAAGTCGTTGCCAAACTGAAGATCCGCGCCAGAGATGCCACCGGGGTCTTTGTCGTCATCATCAACATCATCTTCCTGGGGAGTCTTGCCCTTGCCCCCTCCTGTAGATGGATCCTTTGGGGTGAAGCGAAAGGCGATGCTGTACTGGTCCTTGTTGGTGGCGTGTGGCTCGTGGGAGAAGTAGGGCGAGGTCGAGGGTGAGTTGCGTGGCAGGCCTTTGAAATTTTGTATGCGCACGCTGAGCTCGACGTCCATCAACTCGGTGCTGACCTTGACCAGATCAGGAGCGTTGACTGGGACCTCCTGATGGCCTGTGAGGTCATAGGTAGGGCCAGCCGTGACCCTAAGCACGTATTTGTCTGCCATCTTGACGAGGAAAATGACGAGGATGAAAGACAAACAGTTCCCAAGCAGGAGAAGGATACAAGAGTGATTTGCGTATAGTCTATGGTATAAGGTTATAGTTTGGGGGGGGGGGGGCGAAGGTTGAATAATACGACTGGTCTCACAATACTCTTTTTGTTTTCTTTATTTCTTTTTTTGTTGAGCGAAACCCCATTCATGTTGAGTAGGAAGTTGACATGATGGTGAGCTTTTCATGACGTCGGTTGGCCTAAGTGGGGCCTATGATTCGACGGCTCTCCTGATTGGCTACAGGGCAACCGCCAGCAGGAAACCTGCCTGATGACTGGTCACTGCCTCTAAGGCGGACAGCAAACATTGCAGATGTGAAGGAGACGGTTTGCACATTCGATTACGATGATAACTATATGGGAGAGGTAAATATGCAATTTGCAACATGCAAAAGCGAGGTGAAGGGAGTATGTAAGAGGGAGAAGACAATGATGAGTACAGTAAGAAGAAATAGGGAGAAGAAAAGAAGAAAGAAGACGGGAGCGTAGAACAAGAACTCTAATGGAAATTGTCACAATATTCCCTTGTCAGAAATGTCGGCCCAGCGACTGCATCTGTTTACCTCTCAGCTAAAAAGAGCAGCATTAATTCATCATTAAACCATTGTGGTTTACAGAGGTTGATAAGAAGAACAAAGAAGAAAAGGGGAGAGAGAGAGATGAAGATGGCTCCAGGTGTCAACACCGATTTGATGATGGGCTTCACAATATTTCTCCCAGCAAACATCCTTCTTGTAGGATTCCGGGCCCGATGACGCTGTCGTATGCAGCATTGAGTATGGATCATTCATCCTTGCCGTAAGACCTGGTGACAAGAACTCTTCTTCTCACCGTATCGAGCTGCCTTTTCCAACCAACATAACCTTGGAAGCCGTCGTCGTCGTCTGTTAACGCCTTCCTTGCATCTCGTGGCCCCCCTCCTTCGAAGCCAGCATGCTGCTGCACTCTTTACTTCGCCTCTCCAATCACCGCAGCGCCTGCGTGCCTGCATCTACTATCTGTTCCCAGTACAGCTGCCATTTCAGGCAGCTGGACAAAATCTTAACACAGCAAGGTCCGCCCTGAGGTTCCCTTTCTTGGTGATTGGCCCCATCTCTCGACCCTCTCAACATGGGCCACATTCGGCGCATCTCGACTGGTCTTCGGTGCCCGAAGACTATGCCCACCCCTGGCTGGCGCACACTTCGGCCGCCTGAAAATGAGTGCATTTATTCCTCAAAATGCCGACGGTGGAGCAGCAAATATTTGTCCAAAATCTTTACGCCTTTATCTGTCTCGTCCTTCCTTCGCCTGCAATTTCGAGCACGCCAGAACCCCTTGCTTCTTCTAGAAGGCTTCCCTCCTCCTTGGCCTGGGTGGTGCAATTTTCGACCACATTGACGACGACCACTTTTGATGCACACGCGCTCCAACTCTCATCTCGACGAAAGTCATCACTATACCACATACAACACGTGGGGTCTTTGGTACACGATGAGACGGGGACGCACAATGGGAGAGACCACGAGAATACACCGGTAAGTCGAGTCATTTTCAAGAGGACATTGATCTTTGTCATGTCTCGAAGGAGATAGAATTCAGATCCAGCTTTGAAAGCTCCTCTGCAGAGGAAAAGGCATGCAACCCGCTCAAAACGACAACTAAGATGACATCGACGCCACGTCCGTATCCTATTTTTGTCTTGTTTTGTTTCTTCTTGGAACATCCAAGAATTGGGCCACTTTGGGCACGACCGACGCCGAGATGAAGACCTTCCCAAAGACAGAAACGGAAGAAGAGGACAATTACATGAGCTCATGCACTCACACCCACACACCCACGCATGTAGCCAGAGCCGATCATCGAAGATACAGTCCTAGTTGGGGCCCAAGAATTTGTCGACATCGACCCTCTCAAAAAAGCTAATCTGGTTGAAGTGAACCCAGAACTGCGCAATCCTGTTCTCCGAGATCAGGATCAGTTGAGACTCGATATACCGATCTATTTGTCAAATTGGTTAGCCTCTTCTCCCCGCTGCGTGTGTGAAGATTGGGCAGGGGTGCAACTCACCATTCAAGAACCCGGGCCGGGCAATGTGACCCTTGCTGCGTACGACTCTCGCGCCCGTGAACGGCTGCTCCTCGACCGTTGTCACAAAGCCGGCCTCACCGAGGTCATCCACAAAAATGCTGCACTCGCCACGGGGCACATTGACATCACCAGTCAGCTTGACAGCCTCGAGACTCCCGCGATACCTCCTGGCATCTGTCTTGCGTTCTGCGAACTCGACGTCCGTCTCGCTTTCAACCCGCGTGGCGTCAAAGGCGGCCTCGTCGAACGGACTCGGATGGTTCTGCTTGATAAGGAGGAACTCACACCCGTGTGAGCCAAAGTCGCCCACCCATATTCCCTTCCATGGCTGGTCGGCTGTGGGCGTGTACAACTCAGGTTCAAGTGTCGAGAATGTTGTCACCCTCTCGCCGATGCGGGCGACGGGTGGCGGGCGTCCGCCATACAGGTAGCTCGGCAGCCAGGGACGAGAGGCTTGACCGAACGCGCTGCTGTCAGAGTCGAAGAGCCAGTCACTGTCGCTGGCACCGCCAAAGGGGTGAGATGAAACCCGGTTCTCCATGGGCATACCAGGCGGTCTGGCCTCCATCCAGCTCCGAATGCGGAACGATGTCTCACTGATCTCGGAGCGCTGCGTGGGTCGGTGCTCCTGCGACATCGAGTCTGCAAGACCGCCCATGATGGGGGCAGCCGTCACCCTCTCTGATGCCGGAATGGCTGGCGGGGGCCAGACATTGCCGTGTGGGAAGGGCTGACGGCCTAGCTCCTCGGCCTCGGGGGCCGGCAGAGCCCGAGCCAGCATGAACGTGTCGAACGAGGAGACGGGGACCTTGTCGTCCAGCGACATGTGCGTCTCTTCTGAGTATCTGGGAAGGCTCGTTGGAGGGGTGCTGGGTACGGTTGTGGCTCTCAGAGCAGTGCTGAGGCTGCTACCCCAGTGTGCGAGGCCTGAGGAAATGCTCCCGGTGGCGCAAGAGGAGGATGACTTGGAGCTGTTGGCACGAGCAGCGGCCTCCTTCCCGTCGGCGTCAATGCGCAGGACGGGCTTATCGAGGTGCAGGTGGAGCTGAGGGTCAAAGTGGTGGACCTGGACGTCACCATCCATCAGGCTCGGGCTGTTGGCCGCAGAGGGGGAGAGGATGTTGTTGCCAAGCAGCTGGTGTGCCTCTATCACGCCACGGCGCTCATCGTACCGGGCAATGATCATCTTGCCGGCAAAGTTACCGTCGCCGAACCAGACCTTGTTTTTCGTAAGAAACCAGTGCGGGTCGTGGGCGGCGTAGAGCTCGCGAAACGAGGCACAAGGGTAAGGAGTGGTAAGCTTGACGCCTGGCACGTTGGACTGCACGATACGCTGCCACAGATGGTCGGCCCTGGCGTGGGCGTACAAAGTGCGGTCTGCATGGCTGACTGAGGTGAGGTCGACTGGCGACAGGTACGAGAGGATATGGTCGATCAGCTCGGAAGGGAGACGAGGCAAGGTAAGAAGACTGGCCGCCGTTGTCGGCTGAGCCGTGAAAAACTCTCCTGCTGAGCCTAGAAAATGGGTGGGTTAGCTACAGCTTTGATCGACATGCTTTCCATAACTTCGTCCATATAGGAGGGTAGAAAAGGTGTAGCCCCAACCTATTGATGTGCTGTCGAGAGGATACTCGGCAGACCAGTCCATAGCCATGGAGCACGGCCTAGACACGCCATCCATGGCGGCTATACCAAACATCATGTACTTCTCGTTCCCAGAAATGCTGAAGATGCTCTCTGTCTTTCTCTCTATTGAGCTGGTTGCCAGGTGATTCCGCTTCGGCGTTATACACGCGACGTATTACTATTATGGTATGTATGTATGTGTGAATCAAACCTTGCCGCAGGAGACAAGACTACTACTACTACCACTGAATTAAGTAAAAGTAGCAGCAGCAGCAGCAGGGAAGAGAACGCGAGGCGACGATAATGGCGGTGGTGATGGTGATGACGAGGATGTCGATGATTATGATGATGATGATGATGATGATGCAAACACGCAAGTACAACGGCAACTAAGGTTTGAGGCCTGGGAACAATTTAGGAAGGTAAAAGAGAGGAGAGTGACCCCAAGGTCAGGACAGGGGAGATGGGGAACAGGTCGAATATGTAGTGTGTTGAAGTATGCTGGGAGGGGTTGCAGGAAGACGAAGAAAGACTGAAAGCCTACTTTCCTCTGAAACTCATCATTTGAGGGTGCAGGTGTGCAATATTCTCGCATCGATGATGTGATCGGCTGGCACACGCCGCAGACAACTGGGGCCCTGTAAGTTGTTAACTGGCGCTGCAAATGGGCACTTGGGTTCAAACTGTATTTTCCCTCGGCTGATCAACTGAATAGGGAGGGGGTGAGCCCTGAGCTGTTACTTGGTTGGGGGGTGGGTGACAGGGCCTTGGCAGGGGTTGGCGCTGATGCTGACGGTACTATGGCAGTGACGGTGAGGGCAGCCCCGCAGTCTCTTGAATTGAGAGGGGGAAGGGGGGATGGTGTCACCACCTTGCAAGGGGAATTCTAGGGAAGGCGCATGTACAGGCCAAGTTCCCTCTTGTATCTATCTGGGCACTGCTTCTACTCCTACCTTTGGACAAGTGACCCAATAAAAGACTTCTCGACAAACTTTATCCAACATGTATATTCTCTTGTCGTTTCCCTGCTGTGGGTGGCCTGTTCGTGATACCAGACACTGCTGAATAGGAACTGAAATTAGGCATAGACATCGCATACGACTGGATGTTGAGAAGTCTGGTTCATCACTGAGCAGGCTTAATGCCTGGCTCTGTGTTTTTTCTGCCAGCTTCCTCGGATCCTCACTTGCCCATTCAGCACGCGCACACACAGAGAGAGAGACAGAGAGAAAGAGAGGGGTTGGGCCGAGGCGTTCATCTCCCTCGATCATCATCAAGGTACAGTACTGTGGAGTGGACCGTTCCTTTCTCCTCCTCGATGAGTAGAACGATCAGTCTCAGCCTAATATAGCAGCAAACTGTTCGCGACCTGCCATGTACACGGAGTGACTTGTGCTTCCTGTTCACTTGTCCAACCAACCATAGGAGTATGCCGATGCTCCTGTGACGAATGGAGGAACACGTACAGGAAGTACGTGTTTCGCACTGGCCCCCCGTTGCCCATGCACGATCGTCCAGGGCCCTGGCCTGCAATAACCTCCGACATGCCGACATCTCCAGTGACGGAACTCAGTGGGAATTTTGGGCAGCGTGAGGAAGGGGAAAAAAGACCGACAATGGAACATCTTTATGGGCATGTCGTCACTCTGCCTTCCGCTGTCGAAATTTCCTTGTTTCGTCCTTGGCAGATAAGCAGCGCAGGCGGCGGCGGCGGCAGCATGAAAAGTGGCCTGGCCTAAGAATATCTCGTCTCGTTCGAAAGCCAACAAGCAAGTCGCCACGCGATCCAGCATTCTGGTAATAGGCCTTTCGAGCGGGTCGCCGTCCGTTGCCTTGGGACGGCCTGCCTCTTTGGCCCTAGACCTCCCGAGGACAGATTCTGGAGTCTCTTGGAACATAATAAATGTAGCAACCTGCTCCACGAAACTGCAAAGGCTAGAGTCCCAGCTCCGAAACGACACGCCTTCAGACTACCCAGCCTCGTCCGACCGGCGGTCTATATGACAGCTCTCTCAGCTACTGCTCTGCACATACAGCAGGGCGGCACCCGACCTTGCCGACCTCGTCCGATTGTTCGTCCGAAAAGGGCGTCGTCCTACAAACCTCATTGCTCTCGTTGGACAGGTGGACGGCTGTGATAGCCTTGTTGAGCTGGACGCAGCGACCTTGGGGCCATGAGCGCTGGATGCTATCCTGGTCCGGAACCTCCGTCCGGACGGCTGAGTGCTCTGCGCGGGGGGAGAGAGAGAGCAATGACCATGTAACTCCACATCATATGAGGAGCTGCTGTACTACTACCATAGTAGTATGGCACATTGTAAACGACACAGTTTTTAAGTTGAGGAGAAACATCGGCGCTGGACAGCACAACTTCCGACATCCGATCTGTCTTAGCCACTTGGTGACCAACCTTGCCCTATAGGCCATGGCTTATCAACTCACCTCCCGAGTGATCAATGCTACTCATCTTCTTGGGGCCCCTGGCATGTTCACCAAGACAAGCTGATGATCACCAAAGCGCTCAGTCTAGGGGCATATGCACGAGAACACGCACCTCTGCCCATTGATCACTGTCATCACTTTTTTGCTTGGGCTGAAATCAAGGCTGGGATTTTGCCTCGAACAATCCGGGTCAGAACACCGGCCTACCCTGGGACAATTCAGGGTTGCGGCTCCATCGGCCAGGCCCAGGGCCTGTCCACACCATCGGCGCTTGTTTCTCAGAATTTCCGACAACACACACGCGCTGCACACAACTCTCGTCATCAGGCTGTGTTTGCAGGTTGCAGTCCACAAGGAGCAGCTGTGCCCACCGCCTCCGCGCGACAAGCTAATCTCATTGTCGGCAAGCCCTTTGCTTTTTTCTCATGACCGGACTGCCGACGTTTCCTTGATCCAGTCCGTCGTGGCACGCACTCATCCACACGCCCCCACTTCTTCGATACTCCCTCGCATCTGGCTCTCAGCCTGGACTTGCGGACGGTTTCGCTGCATCCGTGTCTCATCTGCATCCTGCGAGTCACCTCTTCCACGGAGACTCGCCTTCCTCATCGAGCAACGCGCCTCTGTCAACCCCGGGTCTCATCCAGTCAGGTGGGGTGTTCGTTCCTCGTCATATGCCTTTATTGGTCACATCTGCGGATGCTGCCGAGCCAGGCGACCAATATTTTGGCAAACCAATTGCGAAAGCCAGCTGGCAGAGCACGTCGTGAAGTGTACGATCCGCAAGTGCTCCTAAACTGTCCACTGCATTTCCAATTCCTCTAAGCTCAATTAGTCATAAAGATTTGGCCTATACCTAAGAGATATAATATTGTTCTATGTACAGCGCTGCGGAAGTCCTCCTTCACTGTCAAAGAGGCCGATTGGGACCAGACTCAAGAATACCAGCGAGTAGAGTGGAGGCGAGGGGGTGATCAAGACTGAATTGACAGCTCGCAAGATTTAATGCAAGCATGAGATGTCCTTAGAAAGGGCCAGGCAGACAGAAACCTCGCCAACCAGCAAGTAAATCGCTCGAGGTGATTGTGTCACCTCATCCGGAGAAGCACGGGCACTGGGAGATTTTCCGAGAAGAAAGTACCAATGACTGTTGCTGTGACGCATCATCCACCAGGAAAGGGTTGACAAGACGAAACCTAATCGAAAGCCATTCGACGCACACACATCAACATGGCGGAAGCTATCATCGAACCGACTGCCAAACTGCAGCTTGACGAGGAGACTGGTGAGATGGTGTCCAAGAATGAGCTCAAGAAACGCTTGCAGAAGCGGGCCAAGAAGGCTGCTACTGCTGCGCTGCGCAACGTCAAGCCAACGCCGGCGTCAAAAACGACACCAGCAAATACTGTCAAGCCCGAGGAGCACATTGAAGACCCCGATACCATGTTCAAGCAGGGCTTCCCTGCCGATGTCTACAAGCTGCGCCCGTCAAAAGACGTGGTGACGCGGTTCCCGCCCGAGCCGAATGGCTACCTCCACGTAATATCTTTCCAAAGTTGCTACCTATCTGCGTGTCTGTCTGGGGAGGAAACTGATCTTTGAAATCAGCTTGGGCATGCCAAGGCAATTGCCGTCAACTTCGGGTTTGCTAGACATTTATGGCGGCAAAACAGTGAGTTTCATTCACCCTTGAAGGCATACAGAGACATGCGAATAACGTTCTCCTAGATCCTCAGGTACCGTAAGCTCCGCCATCAAACGTCCGACTCCTATTGACGCGATCATGTCAGATTCGATGATACAAACCCCGACGCTGAGAAGGAGGAATACTTTGTCGCAATCAAGGAGACGATTCGATGGCTGGGATTTACGCCATCCGAGATCACCTACGCGTCTAACACTTTCAGCGAATGTCAGCGAATGTATGATCTCGCTGAGGAATTGATCAGAAAAGAGAAGGCCTGTCTGCCACTGCAACGACGTCGAAACCAAGCTGCAGCGCGGTGGCGAGGAAGGCTCAAGTCCGCGGTATCGATGCGAGCATGCAAAGCACGACGTCGAGACAAACCTCAACAAGTTTCGCGGTATGCGGGATGGCGAGTATGCACCTCAGACAGCTTGGCTCCGCATGAAACAGGACATCGAGAACCCCAATCCCCAGATGCGGGACATCGCAGCCTACCGGATCCCTAAGAACCAGGAACTGCACTTCAGGACGGGCACCAAGTGGCAGATATACCCAACCTATGATTTCGCACACTGTTTGTGCGATAGCTTTGAAGGCATCACCCACAGCTTATGTACCACCGAGTTCATCATGTCGCGGGAGAGCTACGAATGGCTGAACCAGTACGAAATGCCCCATCCAGGGTTCAAGACCCCCGCCTTTGAGTTTTGCTGACCGAAATTTAGGCTCCTGGTTAGCTTCCAGCCTATGCAGCGCGAGTACGGCCGCCTGAAGCTGAACGGCACGGTCATGAGCAAGAGAGACTTAAGAGCTCTGATAGAAACAGAGACGGTCCGCGGCTGGGATGATCCACGCCTCTACACCCTCAAGGCAATTCGTCGACGAGGCATCCCCCCTGGGGCGCTTCTCTCGTTCATTCATGAACTTGGCGTGACGACAGCAACGACCTCCATAGACATCAAACGCTTTGAGCAGTCTGCCCGACGTTATCTCGAACTGACTGTCCCCCGCCTCATGCTTGTCCTCGATCCTGTGCCGCTAGTTATCGAAGACGCCGAGGAACTGGATCTCGACATTCCTTTCTCGCCCAAGGACCCCAGGATGGGCTCCCACAAGATCAGGCTTACCAAAAGAGTCTATATAGACCGCTCCGACTTTCGTGAGATCGACAGCAAGGACTATTTTCGCCTCGCCCCAGGCAAGACTGTCGGGCTCTTACAGATGCCATACCCTGTTAGGGCCGTCTCTTTCACGAAGGATGACACCACGGGGGCCGTCAAAGAGATCAGGGTGGTCTTCGACAAGGACGGCAAGAAGCCCAAGACCTATATTCAGTGGGTGCCCGAAGGCTCTCCTAACGCCGAGGTGCGCATCCACGCGTCTCTTTTCAAGTCAGACGACCCCAAGTCAGCGCCTGGAGGGTTCATGAGCGACATCAATCACAACAGTGAGACCATTTGGCCAAATGCTATGATTGAGACCGGCTTTTACGAAGCGCGCAAACGGGCACCGTGGCCGGAGGCGGAGGGGAAGAAGACCGGGGAAGTCAGGCCTGGAAGTGTTCGATTTCAGGCTATGCGTGTTGCATACTTTGTAAGTGGTGTCCTTTCTCAGTCTGCTTGCTCTTATGCCATGCTGATACTCATGTGTGTCCCAAAGGCCCTTGACTCAGACAGCACAAATGACAAAATTGTACTGAACCGTATTGTGGCATTGAAGGAGGACTCAGGAAAGAATAGCTAAGTCGACTGGGCAAATGCAGGACGAGGGCTGGATGCGGTGACGGGGCACTCTTCCGAGCAAACGCTCCCTGAGGAGCTGCCGAGGGCCAGCAAAAGCCCGGGTGTCTGGTGGGATCATATAGGGTGCCGAACACAGTTCACCTTCTCAAAACACACACAGATGTGAACTCTACATTTTCCGTAGCTTTAGACGATAGCTGATTCTCGTGGTCAGGGCATAGAACTGCGCTCCTGGACATGGACGATTTAACTTGGTAAAGGGCTAGAACTATTGGAAATTCTGAAACAACTACCAGTGTCATTTGGCGAGAAAACAATTGCTACTTATTTTCCATACTCTTACTAATGGACACTGTCCAGCCTGCGGATTTAAGAGCAAGGGTGAAGTGGCCAATTTCTTATTGTACAAGCTCAGCAACAGTCATAAGGGTTGTAATTGTTCCTTCATTGATGTTGTTCAAGTGGAAACAAGCAAGGAGGGAAGCTGGGTCTCGTGGAACTTTGAGAGTCTTCAGACCTAAGAGCCATGAACACTGATAGGCTGCGGGTGAGGAGGTGGCCAGTCAGTGATCCCCTGAGCAGCAACTGCACGGTGGCTAGTAATATTAAATAGAAGCAAGATGTTCTATGTGGCTCTTCAGGTTCGTATAGGTTCTACATGGCGAGCAGGAGTGAGGGTTAGGGTCTAAAAAAGTCCACTTCCACAGGCCCCTTTGCTCATGACGGGTTAGCCGGATACGCGCCTCCTGCACTATCCTTCCTGACGCAGAATTGCAGAAAACCCCAACTCGTGGACGCCATCATGGTGTCGCTTCTACCCTTGCTCCATGACCTGCTCCCCATGATCATACCGGCAGAGGTTCATGTTGCCCGCGGCGCTGAGCTGATCTCCACCGAGGAAAAGGCCGAGAGACCACCATGGTACCAACGTTCTCGAAGACGTGCGGAGGCATCCGGCCAGTCGAGGGAACAGGGTCGTAGTGTGAAAGCGGCTGATCCAAGGTCATCGTCGGAGTCGATCCCCGAAGAATACGAGCCAATACAGCTGCTTGATCATGAAGAACATCGCAGACCTGCAGCAGCCGTTGCTAACAAGCAAGAAAAAGCGGCCGGTCTCTCGACGGTCACTGAACATGCGTCGATAACATCGCCAGCGGACGGCCCGAAAGTCTTTCGTAAAGATGTGATGGCTGGCATCACTGACAAGATGTGTATCTCAGGTAAGCAGTCGATAATACAGCTTTTTTCGCTTCGTGTTTCGAGTCCGAGCTGTGCTTCCCTATTGGGCCACCCCTTCTCGGTTCCCCCGATGTTTATTTCCTTCTTCTTCCCTCGCTCTTGAGCTACCCTGATATAGTCCGACTGAATTGTTGGTGAGATCTTTTCGTTCTCGAGGAAGTTAGAGATTTCGATCTATTAATCACTGCTTGAGTTGCCACTGCGCCCTCTCTACATGCATATACATTACGGCCTATGGCTCGCTGGATGTCTTTTACTGACTTGCTGCAGTTCTCACAGTCAAACCAAGGTCTGCATCGGCGATTCGTCATTACGGTGAACAGGGTAAGTAGCCATGCCTTCATATCATACCCGCCCAGGAGGAGTTGTTGCATCTCCCTCGAAAATTGGCATAGTTGGTCTGCTGAACGCGAAGGACACCCCCTGTTTTCTGAGCAGACCTAGTTCTTGCACTCATACTGACGCCGCTCCCAGACACTGTGATATACGCCGCCACTGGCGACGGCGTCCTTCTCACCAGTCCGTCTGTGAGTATGGTCAGAGGTCTCAAGGCAGACATCAAGGGCGAACTACCCAGCCGAGAGGAAGAGCTGCCACGCCGTATTGAGCTGGGACCCGGTGACTTTGCACTCATCCCCGCCTGGACCGAACACCAGATCGTGAATGAACATAGCGATAGCGACGTAAGTTGGGTGGTAGTCCGAAATGGAAGCGAGCCCGAACATGTAGACTTGGACAGCTGGGGAGGCAGAGCTATTGAAAAGTAGACTAATATTAGTCTATGATTTGTAATTAATTAAAAAACATATAGGATATTTATTTATTAAAAAAACTTTAAGTTATAAATCATAGTTATTCGTGCGCGATAAGCACTATAATAATCTAATTTTCTGAAATATATCGAAATCTATTAATTAAAAATATGAAATAATACTTTTTTATAATTTTTTTAAATAGCTACCCGTGGGCCCTAGCCTAGCCACCTGGCCCACTACCTCCGTTCCTCCCGTAGTGGGTGCCGTAATTGGTTGCCGGCCAAAAAGGTGTCCATTTTGGAGGAATTTTTTTACTATGGGAATGCTACCAAAATCCGGTGCTTAAGCTATGACTGATAGTTGAATTGAAATATTGCAACACCACGATATCGCAAGTTAACAAAAACTTAGTATTTCTATTCACAGACCTCGAGGAATAGGTGATAAGGAACTTATATCCTCATTATTGTACCAAACTTCAGCATCGTGCAACGCTATATGAAGATCCCTTGTAGCTTGCAACGAGGCTATATCTATATCTTGAAGAGGGTGCTCGAGGCCTTGCCCTAGACCAGATATCTCTGCATTGCTTAAAACGGGTATAAAGTCCTCATCATCGATCTCAATCTCGTCAAGAATCTTGATATCTGTAATGAGCACTGCAGCAATCCGAAGATTCCAAAGTACACAAAGGGGTTTATGCTAACAAGAGCGGTATCAAGGTGTCAAGTCCTTAAATACGGAACCGTACAAGTTCTGATGAGCGATGCCAGTGTTCACTGCCTTTGGGGCTACTCAGTATATAAGACTGAATACTTAGATTGACAACTGAAGAGCTATGTACTGAATCTATCTAATGGTAATGAACGTGTCCTTATATATCCAGCTCTTCAGTATGGCTCACCTTGGCTCATTACTGATCCAGGTGATCCGGGCTCACTGGATCACCTAGTGATCCGGTGATCCATCCCTGTTGTAACCCTAACCCTGGGTTATGTAATCAATGTTTTTAGTCAGAACGTTGGGTTCTTGACACCTGATCCTTGTTACTCGTGACCTGTTTGTGACCTGCATGTTGGATGGGTCATAACAATATCGTTAAGGATCTCGATATCGTTAAGCTGTTGTATATCTGCAGGTAATAGTTGCTATGGTGGCGTTCGACGTTCCTCTTGAGTTGCTAGCTGAGCCTTAGAGCAATGGATCGTTAGCTAGTCTCTGAAGAGGATTAGCTGGCTTTGATATCTCTGATGAGCTTCTTTTCATGCTGTTTGCTGCTCTTTTCGTATTGTTGCTTTTCTCTTTGCTTCATTCTTTATCGCCTTAGCTTCTTTACGCTTCCTGATACAAGCAATCCTCTGTATTTCAGCTTGACGATCTTTCTTCTCGATTTGGATATTCCGATGCTATACATTGCGAACAGTAAGGCTGTTTCCCACCTCGCTGTCTGGCCTAACCTGAGTTTTTGTAAGCTTGCTCTGGTATTCTCTCAGCCTGCTCTGGTACTCTCTTCCATCATCTTCTAGCCTGCCTTTGAGGAGAACTGATTCTGTAGCCATCGAGCTTAATATGCTTAAGCTTCTGCAAGTGCCTGAGGATAACAGCTCAGAGTAATGATTCAGAAGCCTAGCAGCAGTGCGTAGGCCTTGTGCATCAGTCTCAGCTGAGAGAGAAGGAAGGAGATCAGGATGCTTAGAGCGCTTTATCTTCTTTTGCTTATTAGTTAGGTCTGAAAGGACGAGATGATGATCGATAGGCCAGAGGCCTATCCTCTCGAAGCCGCTTATTATATGCATTGCTGTAAATGCATAGTTGATTATTGGTTAGGCAAGATTAGCAGTGAAAGAGAAAATAGGACAAGAGATATACTTGTAAGGCTTGTAGTACAAAATCGTTTCTTGTAAAGCTGAGATTGCTACGATGAATGTTTTCCAAGAGAATTTGATAATGCCTTGCCTTTAGCTACTGAAAAATACTTACATCCATTGGCTGTAACAGATGTGTAGAGTGAGGAGGTAAAAAGATTACAATGATATCGAAGCGAAAGCAGTAATCCAGGATTTTAATGCTGTAATGCTCTGAAAAGCTATTGAGGATTAGATAGCGATATATCCGATGATATTAAGCATGTTAGCCTAAAGCTATTGCTTCAGGATTTTGTTCCTGGCGCCAGTTGAACTTTATAGTGCTATTAATACCAAACTACTTCTTAAGCATATATTCAAGCCTTTTCAGATCTGCATAATGGGTATTGAACCAGAACTAGGGCGCTGTTGCCCTCGTGTTATAACCCATCTAGCATGCAGGTTACAGAACAAGCTTCGCCAGCAAGGAAGACAGGGAATACAGCCCAAAAGCACAAGTACGCCTAAGGAAGGATTAAGTAATCAAGAGTTAGAACTAGATAGGAATAGATCACCAGGATTATCAGAAGCATAGCTTATCAGGCTTACTAGATTACTGCAGTAATCTATGGAATACTATGAAGATAGTAATCTATACTGAAGAGCTGGATATATAAAAATATGCTTATTACTACTAGATAGATTATCAGAATATAGCTCTTTAATTATTAATCTAAGTATTTATTTATTATATATTTGAATAGCTTTAAAAGCGAATAATTAGTACTTATATAAATTATTCGGTTATAGTTCTGTATTTAGTAAATTTTATTTTAATATTGCTCTTATTAGCATAAACTCTTTATATACTTTAGATCTTTGAATATTGTAATATATTTATTATATTTTAATAACTCTTGTTTAAGAATAATTTAGTATTATTCTCTTAAGCAATATAGAATATAATAGCTTTAGAAATCTCTTTCTTGTTCTTATATTAATTTATATAAAAGAATTTAATTAATTAGATTTGCTTTCTTATATAATGTATTAAAAAACTTTAGCTAAGCTAGTAGCAGCAAAAGAGTATTATTCAAGCTTAGCAAGAATAGATTCAGCATAATTCCCAAGCTTCTACTTATAAGAGCTATAAGATGAATAAGCTTATTATATATAACAGTATTTAGAAACTTTTTCAGAAATTTCTTATTTATTACAAAGTATACTTCTTATATAATACTTCTCAGTTTATTATAGAATCCAAGAAAATTATTCTTACTAGAACTTGCTTTAAGAAGAATATTCTTATTTAATATAAATCTTTTCTTTACAATTATTTGGAATATGCTAATAATTCTAATATATATACTAGAATTACTAAGAAAATATTTAATTTCTTTAAAAATTTTGAAAAAGTTTTTAAAAATATCTTTAATAATTCTAATAAAGAATATATAATAGCTAAGCAATTAATAAATCTTAAGCAAACTAAATTAATATTAGCTTATATAATTAAATTTAAATAATTTGCTATATAATTCTTATAGAAAAATAAGAATCTTATTAAATATTATTATAAGAAATTTAAAAATAAAATTAAGAATAAGATTATAAAATAAGAATAGCTTAAGAATTTTATAGCATTTGCAAATATAGCTATTAAAATGAATAATTATTTATATAAATAATAAATAGAGAAATTTAAGAAGAAAGAAAGCTAATTTATATAGCAATTATAGCTGAATACTAGCAAAAAGTTTCAATTCTAAAGCTAGAATAAAAGCTTTTAATAAAATATAGCATAGAATAGAAATATTTATATTAAATTTATAAAATTAGATATAATTATAAGAAAAATATATAATTAAAATTATTATAACTGTAATAAACTAAGCTATATTGTATAAGATTATTGCTAGCTTAAAAAGCTTTAATAATAAAAGCTTGTTTTCAAAGAATAATAGCTTAATATAATGCAAATATAGCAATTCAATTAGCTAAGCAAAAATATTCTATCAAAGCAAATATTGAATTTTATTAATTATAGAAATCTCAGCTAAATATTCTATTATAATAATAACTGCTTAATATATCTCTTAAATAAGAAAAGCTTAGAATAATTCCCGAAAGTATTATAAAGAAAGATTAAGCAATTAGCAATAGAAAGAAAAGAACTAATCTATAATATAGTTCTGAATAATAGCAACTCAGATTGCTTTAGTATCTTTAAAAAAGAATTAGCTTTCAGAGAAAATAATAAAGAAAGATATCTCTTGAAATATTACGAATAATAATAAATAGAATAACTTTTATAAGTATTTAAAGAAATATTCTTTAATAAACAACTAAATAGTTTATTAAAGCTTATTAATAGTTTATTGAAAACTGTTAGCTTTAGCAAAGCAAACTTAGCAATACTTTGCAGTATACTCGATTTCATTAGTATATATTATTATATTTCTATATATAATATAGAATATATAATATATAAACTCAGCTTTAGAGAATTCTTTATTTATATTCTTATTTATAATATAAAATTAGTTTAATATAAAGATTTCAGAATTAATTATATATACTAAGATTACTATAAAACTGCTTAGATTTCATATATTAGCTATAGTTGCAAGCTATACTTTTCGGAAAAGATTAAATATAAATAGTTTCTAATACAAGAATAGAAACAAATTATTCAGATTATTGAGAAATCTAGCGCTAAATTCAGAGAAATTCTTGAAATAAGATATAATAATGTATATATCGAGCTATTAGCAAATAGCTCTTAAAACTGCATTAATAGCAAAACGAAATAATAATAATATTAAATAATCAATTATACTATTTATATAAGCAATAAGATCTGCAACTAATATAATAAGCAAGAAGCTAGAAAGAGATATTAATATAAATAGCAACAAGTTAGAAAATTTGCTTAAAGAGCAGTATAATAAGCTTAAACTTTAAAAGAAAAGAATTATTTATAATAAAATTATAAATAATATCAGAGCTTGTATGCGCACAAAGGAAATAGGTGGCCCTTGCAACCCCTGGTAGCAGTCCAGGGCTGCTGCAAGGGCTTCGCTCCAAAGCAGCGCTCTCGTACGATACCGCATAGCCATCAGGCTATTATCATCCCATCTAGTCCAGGCCAATTGTATACATAAGGGA